TTTTCAAAAGTCTTCCGCTGTTGCTTCTTTTATCAAAAGTCAAGTTGAGAAATTTTCGGGTAAAGCCTCTTTAGAGTATCGTGATTTTTCTGTTTTGGAAAGTCAAAGTGATCTGGCATATACACAGGAGGCTTTTGAAAAGCATGGAGTGCCTTACAAAATTCTTGGAAATTCATCATTTTGGAGCCAAAAGGAAATTGCAATGGCTTTACACACATTGAGGGTTATTCAGTCTCCTGATGAAGATCGGTCGGTAGTTCAGCTTTTAAGATACATGGACTTAAATGTTGACCACTTTCTTGGGTTGAAATTTGACGGTTCTAAATGCTTGACATTATTTTCCAAGGCTGCTGCTATTGCTGATGGAAAAGCTATAGTCCAGCTCAGCAAAAAAAAGAGGGAAATAATTTCTTGTTTTGTAGAAGTTATTAGGAAGTGCTCTGAAGGAGGTATATCTTTGGAAAATACACTGAATCAAATTATCACTGGATTTGGGCTTGACAAAACTCCAGAAGGGAAAAAATCAACTGATAAGTTGGTTCAGCTTATTAAGAGCGACAAACTTCAGAAAGACTTTAACAGTATTCATTACGATAGTAATCCTACTCATGAAATTACTAAATTTCTTCAGCTTCAAGCTATTGGTCAAATTAGTGTTGACGACTACGACGACAACAAGGTTACTTTATCTACCCCGTACGATGCGCAGGGACAGGCATGGCCAATTGTTTTTTCTCATTTTGAGTATAAGAACAATGTTAAACAATCACTTAGCCAACTTTACTCAACTGTTTCTTGTTCCAAAGCTATTAGTATAATTACTTTAACCTCCACATTTTTTACTAATACTTCTAAGTCTCGGAATATTAAAAAACCCCTTGTTTGCGTCACTTAAATCGTCTTTTCTTCCTATTGATCGCGTTGCTGCCACGAGAATCAATGCCTTAAAAAATAAAAATTCTACTCCTAAATGAATTTTTTCTTCTCAAAAATAGCTTTTTTAATTTTGAAATAAATACTAATTTTTTGCTTATATATTGAATAAAAATTTATTAATTTGTTTTTGAGTGCTTGTGAACTAATTAGGTTTGTGGAGGTTTAACTATGGGCTTATCTAGGTGGTAAGCCAACTGCCATGCTCATTTGGACATATTTAATAATTCAGGTTAGGGTTTTATTTACAATAAAATATCGTTTGTTGTCTGGCTTTACTTAAAATTTAAAATAACGAGTTTATTATCTAATTGGTCTTTTGTTCAATTATTTAGTGATATTTTACCAACCGCACTTTTTATCAAAAGTTATTTATTCTTCATACCCTTATAAAGATACGAATAATATTATTATAACATTTGATTTAACCTATACACGATTCTATTTATTTTTGTTTTTTTTGCAACAGCGATTGGATAACATAATTCATTGAATAGTATACAAAAATTAGGTTGAGTAAACTTCAGTAAAGAATTTGTCATTGATTTTTAAAAAAATTTCTTCTTACCTAAATGTTCAAAAGCAGCTGTACGATAATATTTAAAACAACATTATTAGTTTATTAGTCTATTATGGAAATTATCTTGTTAATTGGATTATAAATTTCTTTCGGTTACAGTATGAGCTCAAACTTGTTTTCTGAAGACTTGTCTTATAAGTTGCCGCCCCCACCATTGTTAAACGATGACAGTCAATCTTATAATTCAACTGGTTCACATAAAAAATTATTTGCCCATAATGATCAAAACATTATTGTTGTTCTTAGATATCTCACGCCTTTTAAAATTTCGATAGCAATAGTAATAGTACTCTATTTATCTGGTTCTATATCTTTTTTAAACTTGCCCAAAACTATGGAGTATATTATTAAAATTTTAGACAGTTACATCAAACAGTCTGAAAGCTTACGCAATACAAATATTGAAGGTGATTTATTTACTATTAAGGACATTATTAGTGGGAAACCAACTCCCTTTCCTTTTATGGAGCTTAGTTCAGCATTCACCAAAAATAATGAAACTTTTAATGCTAATGACAACTGCAATCGTGTTTTTGATCAGCTTCTTGAAGTTTTATTTTCAATAAGGTCTATTGATGAATTACATACTTTTATTAATAGACTTCCTGGATTTGTGATTATAGCTGATGGAAAACATGATGATAAAGATAGTAAGATTATAACTGAATCAGCGTCTCTAGGCATTAATTGTGTAACGCAAAATTCTGTCATCGGAACCTTTTTCACAAAATGTTTTCTTGAATTTGATAGTATGGCTTTTGACCAAATAATAAATTTGTGGGATTGCTTAGTTTCTTTTCGAGAACCGTTTTTACAAAAATATCAATATACTCATTCTAAGGATTTCTGTTCCGCGTCAAAGGAATCTGCAAAACTTCTGAAGATTTTTTTTGGCTCTGAAATGCTTAAAAGTTATACTTTTCAAGATACTAAAGTTCTTCAGTCTCTTCTCCCTGATTTACAACATATATTTTGCATTTCAAGCGAAACACTAGATATAATGCTTGAAGGGAAGGTCGCCGTTTTAGACAGAAGTGATGGGGTTTCATTGTCCTCAATTAACAAAATTTTAGGTGATCTTTCAAAAAACGATAAGTCACTCCCGGTATCAGCATATTATATTAAATACTTTAAATTTATACAAGAAAACGACTATGAACAAGCTTTTGAATATCTACATCGTTTTTATGACTATACTATGCATAGACATGGCCGAGCTCATTATCATAATGCACTTTTCACATTAGCAACCCTACATGCTGAGTTTGAATCTTTTGAAGAAGCCTTACGCGCTGTCAGTGAAGCTATCTCTGTTGCTAGAGAAAATAAAGATAATATGGCTTTAACAGATATCCATTTTTGGTTATATAACTTTATTTCACTCCATCCTCAATACAAAATTCCTGATTTTTTATCGTCAAAGGATCAAATGATACAATTTTTAAAAGCCAAATCACAGGATACATCATACAGTCTTTATTCTTTAGTACTTCAACATGAATCTTTACATCAACTTATTAACTGCGGGTCACTCATTCAAGTATTTGAATCTCTTTTCAAGAGTTTTTTTATCAGCGTAACATCGAATTCAGTTTTACCGGCTTTTAATTATTTCACATTAGAGGCATCAATTTGGGAAAAATTAGGAATCTTTTCTATTGCTTCGACATATAACCAGATTTCTTTTACTCTTTCAAAAATGACATATACCGCTTTACCGGTTATCGAAAGTACCATTCAGCACGCAGAAATATTATTTGATGGGGGAGAAATCTGTTCCGCTTTCGAGTTACTAGAATCAGTCAGAGATCTTTCCATTAGATCGCAAGTTTCTTATAAACAATGGTATTGGAGTTATATGCTATTGAAGATGAGGCATAGAATCAATGAAAATAAATTTGATGAAGCTGAGTTTATTTTACACAAGCTAACTCCTTTAGTTAAACTTAGTTATCAAACTCAGGCAAACTACTATATATATGAGGTTTTATTGCTATTTAAAAAAGGTTTGAAATCCGTTGCGAAAGACAAATATTGGAAAGCTATGAACGCTTTTATTAAAGAAAACGCTGATGTTTTATATAATTTAAAACTAATGCTTATTAATATTGATATTATTTTTGAGACCGAACGGCCAGCCAAATCTTTGAACGCATGTTTAAAAGTTATTTTTCTTTCTGAAAAAGCTTCAATACTTATTTATAAGTATTACGGTATTGTTATTTTAGCTCGCATTTCTAAAGATGAGAATGAGTTTTTAGATTCTATTTCATTAATCGATTCAGTTATGCCAAAGGTATGAAGACATTTTACTTTTGAATTCTATTAACTTCTAATATTTTGTTGTATAGATCCTTGAAACGGAAAATGCAGATTTGATAGGTCTTAGCTATATGGTATTAGGAGAAACAACATTATCAATTTCTTCTTCATCATCATCATTACCAGAAAAAAATACAGTCTCATTTCTTAAGAAATCATTGAGTTATTTTCATAAAGCCACTCACTTTTATGAAAAAATGCAAAATTGGTCTGCACTTTTGAAAACTTTTGACTTCATAAAAATAACCTCATGGACCTTGTATTCCAAGCTCAGTCAGATAAATTCCAACACAGCCAAATATGAAGGTTATGAGAAATATTTAGAAATATTTCAGGCGGCTGAGGCTACAATCATTCGATTGAATGAGCTCATCAAAGAAAATAAAACTTTTTCATGTATAGAATCCCAAGTTTTGATTTAAATGTAGATATATTAAAAAAAAAATTACCGAACTGACCAAAATTTATTTACTGGATTCTAGATGAGTAAGATTCACCATTATGCATGCTAAAATTTTTGATAATTTTTATAAGTGTATAAACCTAAGAAAATGACCAAGAAATAAATTCGAAACATTGATAAAAGCAGGTGTAATTAAGTTTAATTCAATCTAAATAGATTGATCGTCTTGTACATTAAATTTCATGACACGAAGTCCAGGGCTATTATAGGTATTAACTAATATCATCTTTTGAGAAACCGTAATAAGATCAATTAAACATTTGGCACTCCGTATGAAGTTTTTTATTTATTTTCAAAATATCTATCCGTAGAAGTATGTTTTAATAACTTTTTTTTTTGTTAATATTTTCATCTTAAACATGCCCCATTTTTAAATAGCTTCAGTTATCCGAGTATGGTATCATTTTTTCAAGTCCATTTTTTATCTCTATATTTGTAACATCATTTTAAATTCAAAAGTTTAAAACTATGTTACCTCCTCAATTTGATAAGTTTGAATTTCTTTTTATCAAAATCTGATTTTAAATGAATTGCGTTTGTTCAATAGTCACGATATATTTTGTGATATATACTATATTACTTATTCTAGATACGTAGAAAAAATTAAACCGTTTTAGAATAATTATTATTAATAACAAAATAATTTGATAATAAATTATTGAAAGATGTCCAAAAAAATGTGATAAGTTTTAAAAACAAAATTTACATCCACTGATTCTAAATAAATTGTTAGATTCTGTTTTGTTCAGTTACTTGAAAAATGTTTCAAAACCATACCTTATCCCATTGAGGGTCTTGTATAAATGCACATAAAACATTAGATCCCGTTTGTAGCAGCGGGTGACCTGCAACACTATCCATAAAAAAACGTTAATATATGATGTTTTCAACATTAGATAAGGTAATAAAAGTTAGATAGACATACATTTGAAGAAATCTCTCTAAACCCTCGCGACGATGCTCGATAACTTCATCTGAAAATCTATTAGTAAATACCTTTCCAGGTAAAGCAGGAATTGTTACTCTTGTAGTTTCGCGCTCCAGTATATCTCTAAAACATTCAAAATCGCTATACCTTCTCCTAACAGAAGAACTTTTCAGTTTAAAGGCGGGAATATTGGTCTAAAATGTTACATTTATACTTATTTAAAAATAATTAAAATCAAATACTTACCCGACAAATTATTTCATAATCCGTAAACATCTTTCTTGCAAAGCCTTAAATATTTCGTGTTAGAAAATATGGTGGAAATTTTTACAAAGATTAAAGAATATACCATGAGTTTGTGGATTTTTGACCTTTTCATAACATCAAATAACAGAAATTTTTATTGCATATTAGATCGGAATATATATTATTAAAAATTTGCAATTAAAAATCATACTTCTATTTCCAAAAAATTTTCCGGAACCCCGTATATTTCGTCAAAAGTCTGTTGTTTAATTTCGGGTCGTGCTTCAAAGCTAATATTAGAAGAATGAGAACGATCAGACATGGAGGCAAAAGGTCGTGATGAACCCAAAACTGAGGATGATTGTGAAGCAGAATTGCTGGATGACATTGTTTGTTATAAGAAGTATTGTATTATTATTTTTAATATTCATAAACTTAGACAACAATTAAGTTTTGAAATTAATTAGGCTTTATGTTATTTTAGGATTTACATAATCTATTTTTTTTCTCTCTTGTCTCCTATAATACAAAATTAATTACAAGTTTGACTATTTTTTGTAATTTATGAATTTGGTCTAGAGGAAAGGTCTGCAGACATAAGTGTTATCTTGGAATTGATTTTGTTCATCAAAACCTATAACTTCTTTTTTGCTCACAATATAAAATCTTACATTTTCAATAATTATTCACACTGCAAAAAAAACTACAATAAGAACCATCATTATCACCACATCAATTAACCCTAACAAATATTTACCACAGCACTTCACTCTTATTTCCCATAAAACCACTGTTAAAATAGATTTTTTAACAATTACTGTTTAGATGCGAGGACAGCGAATTGGTATTTTGAAAAAAAATGTCAACTCCGATATTTTTCAGCTTTACCACATTTTTTTAATACTGTACCAAATAAGATAACACAGGATAACAGAGAATAGCGATAGCATTATAACTAATTAGTAATGGATAGCAATGAGGGGACCAATGAATTATCTGATTCCTCATATTCAATCCTCTGCATGTATACCAAATTACAATAACATTTATGCTAGGTATGGATATTTGTAAACAATCAAATTTAATTTTAGTAGTAGCATGGTGTCTTTGCTTATAAATATGTACGAATATTTACAAAAATAAAATAAATAAAATTTCACTTTATTGACAGGGTCTCTAAACAATAAATATGATGTATATAGGAGACCACCGAAGAGGGAACAACATCCTTCTTAAGACTGAAGGCTAGATGGAATGAGCTGAGCAGATGGATCCTGGAAACTATATATAATCAATCACTTTTAATTATAACTGATTTCTATTAAGTATATTTAGTATGTTAAGTTGTTAAGTATGTTATATAATAACGAAATAAATATTGTTTTTACTTAAGGATTTAAGGATAACTAAAAAAATTATATACAAAAAAATTTTACAAACCATTTTTTTAAAAAAATGTAATTGGGATTAAAAGTACAATGCAAATCAAATAAGCCAAGTCCATAATATGAAATAAATTGAATAGGTTGGAGGTTTCAAATACGTTAAGTTAAGATAGCTAAGCATACCAAGCTGAAGCGGAAAAATTAACGTGCATGAGGTATAATCAGTAATGTTCAAAAAAAGTGGATAGATGTCAACATAGATGTCAACATATTCATGTATCAAGCTTCAGTATTTGACATTAATCGAATAATTAATTCCCATGTTCCAAACATCACAATACTGTTGGGAACAGTCCTAAGAAGATGGGGAGTAAGGCCACTATACATCGAAAGAAAACCTTCTTCTTTAATAATTACTTTGAAACAGTTGATCAAGCCGTTATACTTTGGTGTTCCATTTTGCATAGGGGCTTGTCTAAGACGAGTTCGTACTACTTCATGAGGATAAGTGATTAACGAAGCCATGAGCTTTGCAGCTCCTGCAGAACCAGAGGTGGCAAACCAGTCAAGAACTTTATCTGTGTTTGTATGAAGGATACCCAAATCACGTCTGTGCTTTTCCCTATTTCTAATGAAAGATTTCATTTGTTCATAAAGAACCCACTGAAGAGAGCTCTCTGCAACGCCTAGATAGGATGCAGTAAGACCACGATATAATCCAAAAAATCCTTCTTGTTTTACAACTTTAGTAATAGTATCCCAGCTGTTCTTATACTGTCTTTGTCCCTTTGAAGCTTTGTCAAGCTGAAGACGAGTTTTAACTAACCAAATGGGATTTGTAGCTGTAGAGGTGACAATACCTGCACATGCAGCGGCAGAAAGTTGAACTCCAACAGACTCCTTTCCGTCATTAAAAGCTTGTGAAATAATATCTTTACCAAGTCCATAAGTAAAAAAATTGATTGATCTTGCTGGGATTACGCCAACCAAGTTTGGACCAAGACCCTTGAAAAGAGCACGAATACCTTCCAATTTGTAAACATTTGTAATGATACCAATGGTATCTTTAACATGCGCGATTGCCTTGGTAACAGGATTATGCGCAGTTCGTGCGGAGGTTGCTGAGTATTGCGATTTGTAAATATCACTTTGTAGTCTAGTCTTGACAACATCTAGAGGACTCGTGAAAACAGCACCAGCCATACCACCAACACTTTTATTTATATTAGAATCGCTTCAAGTAATACAAAGAACATAAAATCATCATACCCTCCAGCAAAAAAATGAAGAAAAGGGTTAACTTTGGCCTTTTCTTTTAATTCTTCTCGTGATAAATGTTTGGTCGGTTGCGTATCTAAGTTTATATTTTTTTTTTGGCCGTTATCAAATTCCTTAGTTTGAATAATAGAAGAAGTTCCTAATTCAGGATCTTGGATTTCGCTAACTGGACCCCGATTTCCAGGATCTAGCGTATTGAAATGTAGTGATGAAGTTTCCGTGGCGTATCCGGACATGACTGAAAAAATATGAAATGGAATTTTTATTAATAAATAATTAAAAGAAGACCTAATTAATAAAAGAAATATTGAGAACTTATATGATTAAATCATTTAGAGAGAGGGATCTAGGAATTATATATGAAAATTTCTAAACATGACTTAAGCCGATATTTTTGCTTAAGCTTATATGGGGCCAAATACAAATTTTTTTTTTTTTGAAAAAATTTCCAAACTGAGTCAGCAGCAATTTCCAACATCTATCATGCAATACGTTTACTCATTCATGTTAAATAAACATACTACAAACACTCTACTTAACATTTATTCACGTTTTTATTCGTTTTATCATGTCAACAAAGATGCGCTTAAAAACATCATGTTTATGTTTTGTAATATATACAAATTATTTTTGATCAAATGATACTTTTATCTTAAACAGTGAACAAATTATCAAACATACATGTGAAATGAATGTCAAGAAACAAAAGATAGCCATAAAAAGCATGGAATCTTTTAAAAAAAAAAGGAATTAAAAACTGAGTAAATTTTCATAATACAAAATTATTCAAAACGAAAAATTTAAATAAAGGTCTCGTAAGGAACAGGAGTGACAGTCTCAGGGATCTCAGAAACCTTGACGACAGCAGCACCCCGGGGCTGAACAGGCTGTCTCTTAAGAACAACAGATGTGCCATTCTTCTTGGCCTCAGCACGCTTTTGCTCGTTTTCAGTGACTCTCTTCAAAAAGTCCTGTCTGCACTTGGAGTGCTTAACGTGCTCAACACGGAGATTGACACGCTTCTCCAGGTATCTGTTACCAACGACCTTGTGGATAATGACGCCGACAGAGCTCTTGGTAACGTTGAAAACAATACCAGTCTTACCATGGTAAAACTTGTGGGGCATACCCTTCTGAATAGAACCATTGGCCTTGATATCAACAATATCACCAACCTTGTAAGTCTTCAAGTAAGTAGACAAAGGAATAGTTCCATTCTTCTTGAAGTCACGCGAAAAAGCGTAACGAGTACCAGATCTGTAACCGCGGCTGTTTTAAATAATGAGTTAGAATAAATAATGACTTTTAATAACCAGAATGTGAACTATCAGTGCAAAAATATAAATCTTCAAATTTTCAAAATAATGCCAAAGTATATTTCTATAATCCCAAACATTATTACTTCCGTTTAAAATATTCCCTATTGTTTAGTATTTAAAACATTTGATATAAAAACAGCAAAACAAAAAACTTCGGTTTAATTATGCACTGATATATTCATTCATGGTATCACATCAAGGTATTGGTAGTTTTCATGACTTACCTCTTACCCATTTTTAATATTGTACGATATGTTGGATTCTGTCGGACGGCAATGTATGGTCGAAGAGTATAGCAGGGAGGGTTGAAGAAGGGAGTGTAAATCGCCAGGTGACTGGAAGACAAATTTTCTTAATGTTAAATTGTAATCAATTTCTAAATTCAGAAATTAAATTTTGTAATTAAAGGTGATGCAATAAATATAGGGCTTAGCCCTAAGCCTATTCAACTGTTAAAATGTAACGGAATAAATAAATAGCTCTTTTTTGAAAAAATTTTTCCAAAATTGTCTGAAACCTGGGAGAAACTATTACCTAAAAAATTAGGTATGCTTACGTGAAAAAGAAATCTGTGCTCTTTGGTACAACACTAAATTAAAAGCACAACCCTAGCCCTTGAAGATTCTTTACTTGTGTTGCACCTGAACGCTCATTCTTGCCTCATTTGTAAATTTAATTTTTAAATTGAAATCTTTTAACTTTTAACTATAAGTTAAAAGATTTCAATAATTTAATAACTAATTAGTTATTAAATTAAATTAAATTAAATTAGTTCGTCAATTTTTTTCAATTTTTTATTTTTTAATATTAATGCCGTTAAGATGAACTCGTCAAGCCCACTTCAAAACAATAATTTAAGATACTATTAAATATTCATTTTCATACTTGCACTCGCACTTGAAAAGCTAGTTTGGTTGATTTTATTCAAATTTAGATCTTTCCCAGAAAGCGCACAAACTTGTATTGTTATCATCACTTTCTACATTGCAAGAGGGAAAACATTATGTTTACAGTACTAAAGTGCTAGGCTCTTTGTATTCTTCGCGCACGAAAGAGAAGAAAAATAAAAAGAAGTGAATGAATAAATAATAAGTAATCTTGTATATGCTTTGTACCCCTTACCGGTAGCAATTTGCACATCTTTAATTTTTTTTTCAATTTTTATATCTTTCTTTCCTCATAGGCCATAATCATGAAAATATCTTGAATTACTATATAATTATTTAGAATTGAATTTAGCAATCAGTCTGAGTGGTCGGTGTTGCTTTCATGTTCTTCCTTATCATTTGAATCCCCTCCATCACCATTTCCACTTCCCTTAACCTGAACATATTTAAGCAGGTCCAAGATCAAGGCATTTTGATCCAGTTTTACACGAGGCCGCTTCTTTGACTTGTTCTTTACAGCATATCGAAGTTTGTTTTCTATAATGGTCAATTGTTGTTGAGTTTTAGCGAGTCGTGAAGTGAGTGATCCCACTTCCTCCTTAGCCTTTTTCAGTCCCTTCAGACATTGATTAGGATGCCTCATCATATACATTCGCTCAGTCCTCCAATCAGAAAATATGGGGGGTTTTCAAAGGCGCCAAATCGATTGGTGAAGCCTCCGAGCTTGTAGAAGACTGATTTGTATCGATTTCGGAACTTTGAACTTCGCATGACAATTCAGAGTTACTTTCGAGAATAGGGAGGTTCATCTGCTTTCTAAAGGAGTTTATAGCAGTTATGACGCTGTGTGGATAAATCCCAGAGATTCTCCATCCTCCTTTGATAATTTGTTTTGTGTATGCCTGCCTTCTTATTTTCATATATAACAAATAAAATGTGTCCTTTGAAGCTGCGAATCCCATTGCAAAGTTAATAGCATTTTGGTGACGAAACGTTTGTTTAGCAACACCAATACATGATCTATCTAAAGGCTGTAAGACGTTCGACATAAGCGAGGGTAAATATAGCGAAATGACGCTTTTTTTGATGGAGAAATAATGGAATTTCTCTGGTACATGGGCTTTGCAACCATCTAGGGTTAATAATTGCCATGTATCTGGCTCGGAAGAAAGAAAATATTTATCAAACCACTTGAAAAATATAGCTGAGTTCATGAAGGTCGTTTTTGAAGTCGATACAAAGCCTAGTGGCACCGAAATATCTTTAAACCAACCCTCCATTACGTTAGCCCCCTTGTATATAAAAAGTGGTTCTAAAAGTTGTCCCTCAGCCGATATACATTCAAGTACCGTGGTCAAATCGATCGAGGATCTATAGGAAGCATTGTTTAAAGCATCTTTAGGTCCGATTTCTCATGCATGGTCGGCTGATTCACCACATTTAAACCCGCATTCGTCCAAATTCCATACACGCGAAGGGGGGATATCAAACTTCGTTTCGTAGTGGTGCAAACGTTCGAAGAATAAATTAATTAAGAGCTTACCGCCTTCTCTGATTCTCGGTATATCGATTACACCCCGTTTTGGCCGCACTAGAATGCCGGAGCGTTGAATAAATCCCCTTAACCATGACCGTGATGGTTCACGTTTTTCAGGGTTTTCTAGTTGCAATATTTTACTTGCCATAGCCATCACATCTTTGCTTGATGGGATTGATTTCGACTTGCACAAATCAATGATCTGATCCACGAGAATCGATTCTTATATTGGCATCAATATTTGTTGCTCAGCTCGAGCCGTGGCAAGATCTTGACTACCGTTGATGCGATTGTGAAGTGTGCTATATGGAAAATCAAAATATTTTGAGATCTCAACTAAGGTGTATTTGTTCTCGGTGCTATTAAACGCCTCGACTGCTTTAAGAATTCGATGTTCTTTAGGGGATGACATATTTGGATACTGTAGATTCTAAAAATGAAAACGCGGGTTAAAATGAATGGAATTAAGTGAAGTTATGAATTTTTAAAAATTATATATTTTTTAATATTTATGAAACTAGTCACGGACCACGATATTCGGACAAAATTAAAAATGTGCAAATTGCTACCGGTAAGGGGTACATACGGTAAGGGGTACAAAGCCTATAGTAACAAATCAATTTTTTTCAGTAAAATGTAAAGGAAGTTGGAGTATGGTTACCGGAACCCCGTAGATAACCAAGAATCACTTACCCGGACTTCAGTAGCCAACTCCAAATAGTATAAATAGCTACATAATTCCGTACTTTCTTCTAAATCCTTATCGATTCTCTGTGGATAGTTCCACTAAAGGAAAATTAATAAAGGCACAAAATGAAATATCAGCAATAGCATTAGCTGGGCCTTGCTTAATCAAGTTACATTTTAATTATATATGTTCATATAGTAAATTTAGATATTTGAAAGCCTAAAATTCACTATTTTAGGATGAATTTTTACAAATATTTACACCTTCAGGTGAAACATTCAATTTTAAAATCCCTATTCATACGGGCAAAAGAACAACTTATCAGCTACTTTTTAATTTTTTATTGTTACTACTTTACAGTAATTTTTAGTTTTTCTCCTATCCATTAAGATGTTTACTCCTCGTCCTCAGCAGCATCATCGCCGCTAGAAGCCTTGGCCTGGTTCTTTCTCTTAACACGGCCGGAGCGACCACCACCGTAAGGAGAAGTAGCAGCAAAATCAATGTGCTTAGAAGAATCAAGACGAACAGTAAAAGAAGGAACGTTAACCAACTGCTTGCCAACACGAATGTGTCTCTGCTTAATCAAAACACGGGCATGGTGAACAGACTTGGCAAGACCAAGCTTGAAAACCTGAGTTTGAAGTCTTCTCTCCAAGAAATCCTCGATGCGAAGGGCAAGAACATAATCAAGCTTCATCTTGTCCTCACTCAAGACACCAATGCGAACAAGACGTCTAATAAGAGCATTACCCTCAAAAAGACGCTTGGGGTCCTTCTCGTCACGAGTCAAAAGATCACGAGCAGCACGTCTGATCTTAGAGAGCTGAAGACCAATTCTGTAGATTTCTCTCTTGTTCTTCAAACCGAACTCACCAGCGAGCTTAAGCTCGGCATCCATACGGGAGAGATCGTAAGGACGTCTGGGAACAGTGTAGGTCTTGGAGTATGATCTAGGAGCGCCTGTTAAATGGTTAGAACAATAACAAATTCCGTCGATTCACACTATGAAATTCAAAGTATTTTAATACAACAAGATCATTTTAAAACCTTCTATGGGTATGAATCAAAAATAAAATTTAAAAAAAATTGGAAAACATCAAAATATTCTAATTTAAAAAATTCAAATAGAATTAAGGGTAATAAATGACAAAGTTGTTTAATCAAATGGTATCAAAATATATGAACTTCATAATGATAATATAATAGTGCAAATAAATTATTACCACTTACGAGGCATGTTGTGTTGCTACTGGGACCGGTATGTCGACGATGGTGAAGTTCGAAGGTCTTCAAAAAAAAGATTTTTGAAAAAATTGAAGATGGGAGAATACCTAGGGATCCCCCTCTCTCTGTCCTCAAAATATCCAGTTAGTCTCAAATATTATTTTCCGTGTAAAATATGGTCTGTAAAGTACGTCCCGTAATAGGTAACTCACTAAAATTGTGCCCTAAATTTGTTTAGGGCTGTTTATAATAAACAGGAATATATGACTAATCAATGTCTAGACAATGAATGTTTGAAGGATACTAAGCCTCAAGTTGTTGGCTTACGTTCGATCAGACTTAAGCTTAGAGCAATACCTTAGCAGAGATTTATTTAATAAGTATTAAAGACTTAAATCTGTTTACGATATATTTTATTTGAAAAATAAAAAATTTAAAAAAAAAGTACAGAATATGCATAAGTGAAAGAGATAAGCTTATGTTCATTTTTACTGAAAGTAGTACCAACATATGTACGAAATTTTATGTGTAAGTTTGTAAAATAAGTAAGTTTAGATGGCAAATTTTAGAATGGATTCTTTACGGTCATTTATTAATTAATTATTATTTTTTTGAAATTACATAATCTATTTAATTTCTGCCTTGTTTCTACTGTATTAATTAATTAATTAATTAATTAATGTCACGGTGTGCCTCTCGGTCCCGTGACCTAAGTGGTTAGGGTTATATTAGCCAGGTGGCAATATAACCACAAACCAAGAAGTATCACCACCACCATTAGCACAACACAATAGGAGAATACTGAAGAGAGAACAAAGTATTCTTTACTATCAAAGGTAATATGAATGATCTAGGCTGATAGTTCCGGTATACTAATTATATATAGACTATTATCTTTATTCAATATATTACTTTTATTATTATCATGTACTTTAACTTATCGACAACACGACAATTAATAAATGACATTATATTTGTAGAGAAAACTAAATTTAAGAAACTTATAAATTATGTTATCTATTCAGTCCTTGCATATTAAATTGTTTTATGTTTTTAGTTTAAAATACTTACATATATAATTACTGAAACCACCTAAATGAACATCGGACATCTCGAACCCAGCATTAAACTTCTTCCCGACTCCTTATCGTTATCTATTACTTCACAAGTCAATGTCGCTTCTTTATGTGAATGTACGATTGAACTCATCAGGAATAGTACGTAAAACTAGAGTCATTGTTTAGTTATTATTAACTATGTCTAAAGGTATTGATGCAAATTCAACATTTATTTCCGTAGTATTTGATATTGAACAACTTTCTGTAAGAGTTACTGATAACGGGAATGGAGTTCTTCCCTCTGATTTAGAAAATATTGGACTTCCTTATCATTCATCTAAATGGACTCCATCTGGTCCAACCCAAACTTTTGGATTTAAAGGGTCTGCTCTTGCATCCATTGCATCTCTCTCAGTACTCACTGTAACGTCAAGACACGTAACTCAAGCTGCCGCAAAATCAATTCGCATTTCATATAATCACCGGTCTAAAGTTTATTCCCCTCGCGATTTTGGACCAAACCATGGCACATTAATTGTCGTTTCTGGTTTATTTTCCCGACTACCTGTTCGTAAAAAACACATCCATGAAACTCCAGTATCACTTCATTTAGATGCTCTTAAACAGGCAATTCTTCCAATTGCAATTACTAAACCTCATGTTACAATTTCTATTCATGATTCAAATAACAAATCACTTCTTCACATACCCAGTATTACTACAAATCTTATTCCACGGCATATAATGACGCTTCGTGCAATATATGGATCTTATATTATTAATCGTTGGCAAACTGTGCATACAATTGTGAATGGATTTGATGTTAAAGGAACTATCGCTTTTGATCCCGCCCGCACTAAGCTTGCACAACACATAATAGTCAATTCAAAAAGACTTGAAAATTTTGAAATTTATAAGGAACTGAATGATTTATTTACAGTGATGTCCTCATCCCATTTCAAAAATTTTGGCCTTTCCATGGTTTATATTTTTGAAGTAAAATTTGAATGCTCATTTGACCAACATCTTTATACATCAGTTATCTATGATACTTCTACCGAAAATTTTGAATTTCTTACAAATTTATTAAAAGTTGTTGTCAAAAAGTTTCTCAAAAAACATGGCTATCTGATTGACAAAAAAAAGGGGTTAAAATCATTAAAATTCGGAAATGCTCCAACAGGAAGTAATACTGATATACTAATTTATTCATCTTCGAGAACAGCTCGAATGGATATAAACGAATTAAAAGGAAGACTAAGCAATCAGCCCAGCAACCGAAATATAAATGATCAATTCTGCAGCCTTGCAGAACATCGGGTTTCGATGCCCATATCTAAGCAGTTGGTGAAAAATAATCAAAAGTTTTTATTTTCTCAGTCAGAATTAATAAATAAATATTCCCATGTTTCATCTAAATATTTTTTTCCAAAAAATCAAGTATTCAGTGGGCTTGATTTGACGACTTTAGAAAAAAGATTTAATCGGAATGATCTTGCATCTCTTAAACTTATTTCTCAAGTAGAGACCAAGTTTTTGCTGGTCACCATCAATTCAACCTCAGCATCTGGCTCGCAAAAGTGTCTTGCCATAATTGACCAGCATGCGGCTGATGAGCGAGTCAAACTGGAGGCTCTTTTTACCGAAACAACTGCCACAGCCCTTGCAAATTCTTCTACCCCACTGGCCCACCCAGTCCGTATTTCTCTCAGTGATACAGATCATCATATTCTAGCTGAATCTGTTTCTCTTTTCCGTCAATTTGGAATTGTATACCATTTATCTTCTCAAAAATGGAAAAAACCGTTTGTATTATTAACTCACGTGCCAGAGATAGCAATGCGAAAAATTATTCCAACAACAGAAACGTTAGACACAAAATTTGCACATAAACTTTTGATAGGACATATTAATGATGTCAGCAAACACCGAACATCATCTGCTTTACCGGATCTTTCACTCCATTGGTCTGTAGCTATAAGAAGTTTTCCAGTAGCTCTTATAGAACTTCTACAATCAAAGGCCTGTCGAAGTGCTATTATGTTTGGAGATTTGTTAACTTTGGAACAGTGCAAAATTCTTATTTCAAATCTTTCCAATTGTATGTTTCCCTTTCAATGTGCACATGGAAGACCTTCGATGGTACCTCTCATATATATTTGAAAAAATTCATGACTATGATTATGTTTTTATTACCAATCATTAATTTTAGTGATCAGAGGCCAGTCATTCTCCAAAGAATCTTTGTGTTGAGAAACTGCCTTCGCACGTGAGTAGTAAATAGGACAATCACTAGAAATGCATTCAACAAAAACACCAGGAGAAATATTTGCACAGCTTTGACAAATGGCATCCAGATCTTTAACTTTTTTTTCTCGTTTTTGCGCCCGGCTAATCAGTCTAACAGAAACATTTCTTAAATCTTGACAGCACCTTGTGCACAAATTCTCAATTATGTTATCTGGACTTATAGGTGCAATTTTATCACCACAAGACCGGCACATAGCTTTTTGAACAAAGCTTCGGATACCTCCTATTAGTGCGGGCGCTGCGTCAAAACGGCTTTTACGGGGCATTTCTTGATACCAACGACGCACATCTGCTCCGGCAAGAGAAAGCAAACGTTGAAGAGGAGGAATAAGTGTATGTGTAACGTAATACTCGACGTCTGGGATAAGCGTTCCACCACTGGCAAGAACATCTTCCGGTGCCACACAACGGTCAGAAATGCGTGCAACAGATGGGCCAGACACAACAATATAGGGAACACGCTCGCGGTATTGAGGAGCAGAATAAGGATCATAAGCAGCACGACGTGCGCTAAGTACTGCACCCGGAGGAGGTCTAGAACGGTATGAACCCATACGTACTTCTTTTGCAAAGCATAAATCTGATAATGGAATTTGCCGAGTTTGAATTTTAGTAAACTGAGCTAGTAAATATTCTTTGACTTGAGACAAGTCAAATGTATCAAAAAGAACATGAAGAGCTTTTTCTTCAATTTTTTGCTGAGCCGGAATACTAAAAAGTAGGAATGTTAGCAAAAAAGAAAACTTTTATGAATTTGAATCAATCAGGCAAAAATTAAAACGACAATTTTTTTAACTTACCCATCTCTTCGTACTGTCTCAATACCTTTGGCATTAAAAATTGGAACTTTCTGATCAGGATATTCCCACATATAGCCAACATATCTTTTTTTAGTTTGTAAAATGCAAGGCCAATAAACCTTTTCAAACTTAAGTTTCATGGGCTGTGGGTTCATTTTTGTGATCTCATCAGCAATTTCATTTCCAAGAATAAAAGCATCCTCTTTGGAGCGACCATCAAAATGAAGAAATAAACTATCAGTATCTCCGTAAATTACATCAGCTCCCCATTTAGAATGATTGGCACAAATATGTTCAATCGCACGTTCCATAGATTCTCGACCTGTCTGTACTATACTATCTGCAATTTCAACACATGGCATCCGGCCAGAGTATGTTGCAGAAGTATATCCGTATGTAACGTTAGCAATAAGCTTAAGAGCCAACTGTCTGTTATTCATCAGTTTTTGAAAAGCTGCATTATCTTTGTTGGTTTTCATTCCATTTTTGACCATCACACGGGTATCGAGAAATTCTGTCAACATCTTGGCCAGCAAAGATTTACGAATATTTGGCTTGACATAAATCATTCCATTAGGAGCTACAGTTATATTGTCGCGCTGAAGTAAACTTAAAAGACCTTGAGGCAGCTTAAGATCTGAAACCCCTAGCTTGTTTCTCCCACGCCAATTCTGTATACGACCTAAACATGTTGAATAACAGTAATTATATGCAATCATGACCGACGGGTATAAAGATTGAAAATCAAGTACCACAACGGGAGATGTGTAAAAATTGGTCTTAGGCTCAAGGATAAGTGGAATACACTCAATTGCATTTTGTTCGGCAACCTGTTTTTTGCTAGGAGAAATCATGATAAAGTTTTCAGCTTTGGCAATACGTGTGAGAATGGATTCCACCTTGTACTGTGAACCTCGGTAAAAAACAGAATAAAAATCAATTCCAATAATCCGTGCTTCTTCACAGGTTCTAGTAACAATTTCTTGAGAATCTATCAAATCCATTGAAACTTTCAATCTTTGAATATAGTAGTTAATTGTAATTTCTTTTTCAGATGTCAAAGTACTATTGTACAATCGAGTCAATGATTCAAACGAATAAAAAGGAATACGATAGTGAAGAACATGAAATGCAACATTTTCCATGGTATATTTTAATAGGTTTAATTCGTTTCGGAGAACACGCCAAATGTTAAGCATATGTCGACCAGATATACGAATAGCTGACGCATGAGTGTAACCCCAGCGATCACCAACTTTAACGTTGGCCTTGTCGAGCACTCTGCTAAGCATTTCACACAAATCATATTCATATTTTGCACGACTACGCTGAATGATATACCCCCAAGAAGTCGAATTTATTTCATATCCAGATAAAATATCAGGATCGTAATCTAAAACAGTATTGATTAGCTCATCAATGAGATCAACTTCTGTAGAAACAAATCTAGTAATTAACATTTTTGATAGAGCTGATGAAATTTTTTTTTGTTCGTCTATAGTTTTTGAAACAAAAATGCATCCTTCAATAGAATCTTCTGAAATGTATTCTGACTGATATCCCCAAAACGCTGCCAAAACTGGATCCCTGTCTGGATCCGGGTGTAAATCTTTGCGAGTTGAAATATGAAGCTCCAAAGTCATAGAAGACAAATATTTTGAGCTGGAAACACTTGCTTTGCGAAACTCGTTACGCTTTTGGGTAGCATATTTAAAGCCATATTTGTTTTTTTGAGTAGGACCTTTAATTTGAGAATAAAATGATCGACAATCAGGCTTGTAACGAGTTTGTTCTTCCCCCCATTTCTGAACCTCAGAAAATGAAGGGGGTATAATATTATATCTCAAAACTTTTCCAGTGATCTTGAGTTTCGTTTTGTTTAAAACATTTGATACCTCATCTAGGTTTAAGCTAGGAGAAAACTTAAAAGTAGGTAAAAAAGGCAGAGTATTTCCTTTGAGGTTATACTCTACTCCAGAAAACACGTTTGGATGTTTAGGAACGTCAGCTGGATTTCCATAAAACGGTTGACGAGGGGACTCAGCAGGTAGTTTAAAATCTTTCCAACTAGTTTGAACTTCTATTTGTGTTGGAGGTTTAATGCTAAAAACTAGAGTTTTGCCTGAAGACGGAAAAACAGATAAAATTTGATTAAGATTTTGCTTTTCTGAAATGGTAGTAAATGACAATTGTTCCTGTGAAAATGTGAGTTTTTTTGGAATCGTGTACTGAGAAGTTATTATATTTTTAACAGAAGAGCATAAAACTTTTGACTTGCATATGCTTTCTTCAGAATCTAATGCCCGTTTTCGGGTTTCTGTTTTAGCCATTAAAATTTCAGGAAGGCTGGATTCAAACGAGCCAAATAATATGTCATTTGAATTAAACCCCGAAATAAAAGGATTTGTTTCTGGTATACAATCAGCTTTAGCAATTTCTGAATTTTTTTTGGCATCATAATCTTGTTTATGATCTTCTTTTAAGATTTGAATTTTTTTATTTTCAACTTCTTCCGTTTTGACATGTTCATTTTCTCCAGAGTCATCTGATGAATTATCATTTATTTCTTCCATAGGTTTAAACTCTTCCTTTTTGTTAAATTCTGGAGAAAGCAAATTCAATTTTTCTAATCTCGTAAGAACAAGATCTAGAGTAGTAAACATCACATTAACAGTTTCCAAAGCTGTAGGTACTGCAAAAATATAGTCTTTTTGCGAAATAAAATTTTGAAATGTCACTTTTCTCCCCTTGTTTTCTTGTTGAGATTGTTGAATACGAACTTGAACTTCTTTTTCCAAGTCACGGCCACGTTTCCAATGCTCAAATTCATTTGAACAAGCTAAGCGTGGATTCAATTTTTGAGGAGGTGTATAAGTTCCGCCGCCTTCCATATGACGTCTCTGGTAATCATCTAGCCAAACTTCTTTTAAGCTGTTCACATAGCTGATATTCCCAGTATAATTATCACTTTTAAAGCTGGTTGTATTACTTTGTTCTTGATCATGATTATTTTGTGAAATAACAGCCTCAGTGAAATCATGGTGGAGATTTCTTTCAACAATTTCTTTTCTGTTAAGAATTTGGCCAGCACCAACCTCAAGCTCAAGAGCACACGTGGCCATTTTAGGGAAGTGACAAGAAGGAAGAATGAGATTGGGACTGACACTTTTTTCATGAAAAATACCATCAGCATGCAAAGCAAATTGAGAGTCCATTCCTCCATTCTCTGTGTTTAAAGGTCCGCGAAATAAGGCAGCCGATAGTCGTAGAAGTCCGCACCCTGTCAAATTAAAATCAGTTAAAAATTGTAACATATATGGAATATGAGACTCATAAGGCTGCATTTTTGTCCCTAATATTGATCCATTATTAAAAAGCTCTGATAATTTCGAAATGTGTGAAGGGTTTAAAAGATATACTTTAAGATATGGAACCCAACCAATATGAAAACCATAAAAAGGGACACCTTTGCAAAGAACAATATTGGCAACAAATACACTACTGGGGCTATTTTTATTTCTTCGATAGGCTAAAATTAAAGCATCGTTTATAGCTTTGCTAAGTTTTTTAATATAATGACAAACTGACATTTTTGTTAAACCATGTATATTTGAATAATTTGATAAGTTAGCATACCTTCATATTCTACCAAGCTACCTTTATACTCAATATAGAGATAGGGAAATACACCATGAATATGGACCATGACATGTTGGTCATGTGCTGTGGTTCCGTATATTCTAATAACTGGAACAGAAGGGAATGTATTAAGTGACCGCTGAACTGGATTTATTTTCCGATCAAACGCATTAGGAGGGGCCTGATAATAATCTAAATTGTTTATTTGAACTTCTACCGCACAGTCTTCAGGTTTTCGATAAAGAATTCGTAATTGCTGACCAGCTTCATTCATTATTCCACTAAAAAAAAGTGTTATGTTTTAAGCCTGCCCACAATCAAAACTGATTGATGGTCTAAATTTTAAGTAAAAAATAATTAAAAAAAAATTAAAAAAAAAATTAGAATACACGAAAAAATCGCGAAGCTAGGGTGCACGTTATCACGTTTTTATCATGTGATATAAAAATAACCTGATTTGGTTCTAGTAGATTTTAAAGTATGTGGTCGGCCGTGGTCCGTCAGACTTCCGCTTCTCCTCAATATATTTCTCACTGCTCCTTGTCCCCTCATTTTCTAGCCCAAAATCTAATCTTTACTTTGTTAACCTATTACTACTACTAACATTACCAACATCTTTTCAACTTTATCACCTCTATCTTCTTTTGATATGAATATTATAAAATCTACTTTTTTTGTTTCGCGCAATTGTGGCACCAGAGGTATGTCGAGTTAGAAGTTCTCATTACTTTTTTTTCGTTTAAACCTAAGGCGGTATTCCATAGCTGGCCTACAGTTTTCCGACCTTGTTTCTCTGCCGTATCTCAATTGAACATGTTTATTAACAGGATTAGCTTTCACTACAACTGGAACCCGTCTGGTTGCCAGTAACTTTGGTATGCCGGCTATGTCTCCTACAATGACTGAAGGTGGAATTGTCGACTGGAAATTCAAAGAGGGTATGTGTTAAGCGATTTGATAAGATTTGATAAGGACTGTGCCCGATATTAACTCCATAAACAGGGGATTCTTTCAACGCTGGAGATATTTTATTGGAAATTGAAACAGATAAGGCTCAGATTGATGTTGAAGCTCAGGATGATGGTATTCTGGCTAAAATATATGTATGTATATTAAACGCATTGGGACTGTTTAAACGTTTAGACTGCTAATATTTCTTTTAGATACCCTCTGGAACAACTGGCATTCCAGTAGGAAAAACTATTGCTGTACTTGCAGAACCCGGCGATGATCTGAAGACGCTAGAAATTCCCAAACCAGAAGGAGGTGCTTCTGGCTCTTCTACCGCTACCGCTACCGCCACACCAGCTGTGGCCTCAGCACCAGCTCCTTCTCCTTCTCCTTCTCCTGTAACTCCGGACCAAAGCAAAGAGCCCGGAAAAATATCCGCTTCTGGTGTAACCAGATCTCCTAATGAGACAGAAACTGCTATTATCACGACTAAAGCAAATCCTTTACAAACCCTTTCACCATCAGTACTTGCTTTGGCATTGGATAACAACTTGACCAAACAAGATGTGCTTGACAAGGTGCCTGCTTCTGGACCCAAGGGTCGAGTGCTTAAAGGTGACATCCTTGCATTTCTCGGAAAAGTTCCACGTGCTGATGTTGACACAATTGTAAGCTCAATTCAACGACTTCAGCATTTGGATCTATCAAAAATCAACATAAAGAAGTCCATTGCTTCTACTCCTGCCGCTACTGCCGCACCCACGGGCTTTAAAGCTCCAGCCTCCGAAAAGAGTTCTGAGGCCCCCGCCTTGAAAAAGCCTGAGGCCACTCTACCTCCCGCACCAACCGTGTTAAGTGCTTTTTTCACACTCAGCGATGTTTCCACTCTTCAAAAGTCGTTGGAAACTAATCTCAGGATTACCCCGCCATCCACTAAAACCCTTGTTGAAAAAGCATCTAAACGTGCCATAAAAGATGCCAATACGTTTTACGCTACACGCCGTGCTAAGACTGTGCTTTTTGACCCTGTCTTTGAGGATATTATTGCCCCGAGAACTCATGGTCAGTCCCCCTTTGTTGTTTCAATCAAGTACCCTAAAGCACCTGTTACTGCAACTGTTACTAAAAGTGACATCTATGACGACTTGTTAAGCAACAAAAAGCCTTTTGGGCTTAAAAAATCAGCCCATATCACTCCTTTAGACCTTTTGACTGTTGATGTTACTCTCAATTCGAGGTACCCTGGTGCCTCCGAAAAGGCTAAGATTTATATTGATCGGTTGGGATTCTATTTATCTCAAGGAACAAGCGAGCTCTTTTTGTAAGAAATTAATGAAATCGGCATTCATATTGAATTATCATAGTAGAAAAACAGTTGACTTTATTAACTGAGAATATATTTACAGGCTGGTATATATCTAATTAAAAAGTATATTTACAGCGAAGAGGTATTAGAATTATTGATTTTTTTTGTCCTTGGCTGGACCACGAATGCTCTTGTTAGGGGGTGTACTGTTTGTAATTCCAAGCTTTTGACTTGCACTAGAAATGTCCTCCTTCATCAGGTTGGCCATGGCCTTAAGTTTCCATGCTGGACCCAGTTCTTGCTTAAGATTCATTGTAGCTTGTTTAACTTGTTTTTGGCGAATTTTGAGCATATCATCATAACTCAGCCCAAGTTCAGCTTGTTCAACTGGCTCTTTTCCAAAGATAACATCATAAACACGGCCATCGCCCCAAAACCAGCCACTGCGATCAACAATCCAAGGTGTAAGCTTTCCTTTTTCAAACAGCAAAAACAAAAACTGCGTGCGTTGAGCGGTACCATAAAATCCTTGGCCAGTCCATACCTTCGATGTTTTCCCAATGGTAACGTCTTCAAGAGGTAACGTAATAACAGGAGATGGGCGTCCAGGGAGGAATGGATGTGTAATGAGCTGGATGTGTTCACGAGGTCCCGGCAAATAATATATGCGACGTACAAGACGTGTGGGAATCATAGCAAAAAAGATAGCGGCAGAGGCGTAGACACCAACAATAGCCAGGACCATTCCAAGTCGTCCTATTGTTTTAACCACATTTTGGGCAGGCGGCAGGTCTTCGTCATTACGCACATAGTCGTCCCAAGCAGCAGGAAGAGTACGTTCAAGAAGATCATAAATGTTATAGCACACAATAAATGCTAAAGCAAAACAAGAAACCAGGTATAATCGATGTGACTCAGCCATATAAAGTAGTTCAGGCTCTTTATAAGACCTAAGAGTCTGAACTAGTTTACGAAAAGACATGCTTTTAGACACGCGAGGTGAGTCCTTGGGAATCAATGTGGGCTGTGCTTCTTTGTGAAATGGAAACTTTGGTAAGCGATTTTTAAACGAGTTATCAAGAGGATCACGAGGATCTACACGATCTGGAAGTTGTGTATTGTAACGTTTAAATATGGGCCTCGGGCCTTGTCCAAACAGTGTAGCATTTGTTACTGTGTGTTTGCGCAAAAAAAACTGGCTGCCGGCACCAGTAAGATATGTTCTAATAGACGTAGAAAGCAGATAGATTGGTTTAGAAAATCCCTTTTTCAGCGATTGTGAAAATTTCTGGGAAGCAATGGCAGGTGCCATGGGTCTCAGAAAAGGACTGAACATTTCTTTATCTGTGACTTAGTTTGTATTTGTTCTTGAAATGGCTTTTAGACCCCAAAAAAACTTTTAAAACGTTTTTAGCAGTACGTAACTGGTTAAAAAAATGGGGTTTGGACTTGATACTTCAGGGTAACTTTTATTAACCGAATATTAAATTACAAATTCATTGAAATAGATATTTTTGTTATTTAGCTGCCATAGGGGTGAGTTTGATCATCACGATCTATTGTATGAAAACCTAATATCAAAAAGATGATGTTGTTTTCAAGAAAGTTGAACGAACAATGAACAGTGATTTCTTGCTAACATTTAAAATTCAAAATTACAAAAGTTAAATGATATTGATCTTCATTAAAAATATGAAAAATTCCAAACTGAAGCAAGCAGCAGATTTTATGCTGTTGCTTGAGAGATTATCGGTGCCGGGCATTCCTACAAGAAGCACTTACCGGACCTTGCTGTAATCGCGGGGCTTCCTAATTAGGAAACAACTTAAAAAAATTTTTCATCACATATGGCTGTGGATATGCTTAAAAACGTATGCACAAGCTAACCTTCAAAAATTTTTATGTTGGAGCAAAAAAATAAAATAAAATAATACTTAAGAAAATCATAGAAGTATTAGACTATCGAAATCAACGATTTAGAATACAAGCAAGTTTATAAGTTGATCATTCATTTCGAAAGTATGGTTTTATATATTAGGGACCGTTCATAAAAAGATATTTGATTCTGCAAAATACAAACTTAAAATAGATCGAAAATCTAATTCAAGATCAAAGATACCTCTTATTTTCAATATGACTAAAGGTACTTTGACAACCTCATCTATCGTACAAGCACCGGTGCTATCGATCGCTTCAACACCAACAACTACAGCTGTCTCTGCACCTTTATCAGTACCAGTTTCAAGTCACACAGGAGCAGACCATTCATATATTACTATCAAGCCGAGTTCTCTGCCTTCGACCACTATTTCTAGCGGATTTGCAACGCAAACACATCGACAGAGACATCATCCTATTGCCATTGCACCAAAACCTGTGTCTAAGACTATTACTCGAAGAGCCTCTTTGCCAACACAAAGTATGCGTCCTCGGAAATGTAGTAAAAACTTGAGTTCTATGACCATCGCCGTCCCTGGAGGAATGAACGACAAGACTCAAAGCAAACCACAGCCAATAACTTTGGCATCTCCTGTAACGAGAAAGGGATCAACCAGATCTGTGTCAGCATCGGCAGAAGATACTATTTTAGCACCTTTGGAACCTGATTCTGGTTCTATCTCTACAAAACGGTCTGGGTCCCCAACACCAGGGGTTCAGCCTGCCAAACGAAAAGAATGCAACACTAAGCAGAAATGTACAAAACAACGACATCAAAACGTTTCTGGAACAACTGTTAATACGATTAGTTCTAAATCCTCTCAAATAGCAACAGTTGCACAGTCTGCCTTAAAAAATCACTCTAACCAAGAAGATACGTTTTCATCTTCATTATTATCAATTGACGAAAACCCTCTTCTGTCTTCTCTGGATTCCAATTTATCTTTAGATGTTTCTTCAGTGATAAATGAATATAAAGAATTACCCTTTAACCAAATTTCTGGTAAAACACGGCCTGGAGTGAGAGCTCTCCATGAGGTTCAAAGCATTGAACGTACCCATTTTTTTTCTCCACCCTCATCGCCTGCTCCAAATTTTTCAACTTCCATTCAATTAGCCCCAGAGGCACCGTCTTCAATATTTAGTCTAGATTCAATGGAAAGTAGTGATTCTCTATCTAAAGATTCCGATCACTACATTTCACCCCAAGTGTCTGCTCAATCTGACCTTTTTCTTTTCGATAAACAACCTCATATTTCCAAACCTGAACCAATATCTTTTCTTCCAGAAAGTTTTTGCAACGAACCGATATTTGGACTTTCTGAAAACAACCCATTACTTTTGCCTGTTACATCCACAGGAACCCCACCAACTCAAGAAAATTCACCTGCCATGGAAGAATCAGCACTTGTTTCGGTTACTAAAAATCAAGTTTCTGATCCCAAACTTGGGGCTAAAGAAAAATCTAAAAAAAATGTTAATTTAAAGACGGAAAAAGAAGTATCACCAGCTTCTTTTTCTTCGGACCTTTCTTTAACTCATTCGTCGGAGTCTGCTTTAGCTCTTAGTCCAGATTCATCTTCAAGCTCTTCTTCACTCACTTCGCCTGATAATACCAAAACACAATCTTTTAACATTGAAAATAACCCTGACTATATCGCCTTAACATCTGCATTATCAATATTAGAATCACAGCGTGCTAAAGCTCGAAGAGATATCATTTGTTTAAAAAATCTCAAGACAGAAGCTTTACGCAACCCTGAAGATTTTATGCGCGAAGTCCGTAAAACTGGTCGTGTTTATGGCGCCCCTACGATGCAAAATATTGTCCGTGCGCCCTTTATTCAATGGGAAAAGTACGGTATAGATTTGAGTGATCTTGAGCAACGGATACGACGTGGTATTGTTGATAATCCGGAACATGCATCATTTAGTTCTATAAGGCTTTTTGATGAATTTTTAGGCCCTAAAAGAAATGAGTTTTAACGGGATTTTTATTCTGTATTCTGTATTCTGTATTCTGTATTCTGTATTCTGTATTCTTTATTCTTTATTTTTTATTTTTGATTCTTTATTTGGTTTTATTATATATATTATCAGGAAATTATATTTTATTCAACTAGGTTTAAGCATTAAAAAAGGCATCCTCCTTTTTTTTCTCCATAAGTGCACGATATCCTTCAATGATTTTCTCTCTTTCGGTTTGTAAAATATAGCGCCTCGCCATAGAACCGGCTGATTTGGGGACATTGTTCAAAAGTTTAGTTGGTACTCTCAAATCTGGTGGTCTATCAGCGATTTCACCGAACTTCGGTCGGTCTTTCTTAGTTTCCAAATGTGCCCAAGGATCAGGAGAATTTTCTCGTTTTCTTTTTTTTTTGCCTCCTCGCTCGTTTCCGTTTTCATCGTAATTCTCTTCATCTTTAGAATCTTCGTCTTTAGCGTTTTTCAAGTCACTATTATTTCCTTTTTTCCCTTTCTCCTGAAAAAAACTATTATGATTATCTCGTTTCGTTTTCTTTTTATGTACTAAAGGAAGAGCATTATTTACTCGTCGATTGAAATCTGCCCATGATTCACCTGGCATCATTTTTAAATTATTGATCATGTTTTGCTTTTCCTTTTCTTGTTTTTCCCTTTTATTTAAAGGTTTATTTCTCACAGCTCCACTGAGCCGTTTTTCCTTCAGGTCAGCAGTATACTTCATAAAATGTTTAAATGATTTCGGTGTATCATCTTCCAAATCAACATGTTCAAGTGGCAATTTATTTTTTTTCCCCAATCTCCCAGGCTTTGAACTTATATTGGTACCCGGATCATTATCAAAACTAAGTCAAAATTAATATTTCAATAGTTCATTAAAATTTTTAGCTTACCTTAAAGATTTTCTTTTGAAATAACCTCGAGATTTTTTGAGGGGCATCGTTTAATGAATTATTCTTTATATAGGAAATCAGGAATCAGTAAAATATTGCACTTTCACAAGAAACACCTTTCAACCAGTACTTGCTGATTAAGTTCTCAGGGATAAGGTTTTGATAAAATTTTTTTGAAGTGTAACCCAAAGCCACGGGGTCCCGTGACTTTTGTGGCTAGGGTTATTCTCAGTGGCTACAACCAGAAACAAAACCAATATGTAGATTTTAACTACGCGCCGTCACAGAAGAATAGGCAGGGAGTAGCATGGCTGGGGGGTTGTTTTACTGCTTAGCATAATAAACAACGGTTTTGCAGGTTGTCTCCGATTCTGGCCCGCTCAGATACAAATTGGATAACCAACTGTGCTCGCCTAAACAGTTTTATAGTGATAGATTGAATGTATTTAGGATCCTGGGATTTCAAGAGTTGTAATTTGTGATTGCCAATTTCCACGATGTAAGGGTACGAAATTTGGTAGAAGGGTTCTGACAGCAGTTCAAGGTCTTTCTAGTTACAGAGGTAGCTCTTGGGGACGCAGTCTTTACAAAATGATTTCGATAAAGCTTTTAATTGATTAAAGCTCAATGATTGATTATAACTATATAGACTAATTAAGGAGATATTGTCCAAACCATGATAACTACGAAAATTATGAAGCATACTTAGTGTAGTGCAAATAATAAAAATTTGATCATAATTATGATGAATAATAAAAAGATTTTCAAGGGGTATAACTCCAATACTTTTATTAAGTTCGTAACCGCTAATTATCATTTAAATGCTAGTTGTGACGGTCTAAAATTCAGAGCGTTTCTTTTTATGTAATATGCGTATCCCGCACAAAACATCATGTGATTAATTTTAACAAAATTCTCCATATCATTAATTTTTAAGTGCAATTTAAAGTTGCACTTGTTTAACATGTCACAAAAACAATTTCATATTTTATTTCATCTGATCAAAAAACAACCAACATATACCCATTTTAAAACCCTTTTAGTTACAATGGATGCTTTAAAAAAATTGTCAAAATTTCAATAAGGAATTGAGGTGAAAAAACCTTTTTAAGTGCAATTTGAAGTTGCACTTGTTTAACATATCACAAAAACAATTTCATATTTTATTTCATCTGATCAAAAAACTAACAACATATACCCATTTTAAAACCCTTTTAGTTACAATGGATGCTTTAAAAAAATTGTCAAAATTTCAATAAGGAATTGAGGTGAAAAACCTTTTTAAGTGCAATTTGAAGTTGCACTTGTTTAACATATCACAAAAACAATTTCATATTTTATTTCATCTGATCAAAAAACTAACAACATATACCCATTTTAAAACCCTTTTAGTTACAATGGATGCTTTAAAAAATTGTCAAAGTTTCAATAAGATATTGGTTTTTCTCAATTATAAATTGGGGGCAATTTCTTCGTTTTTTTGCTCTCGAAATTATTCCGTAATTAACAATATCTATCGACAATGCTCCCAAAAACTACGATATGTAGTCTAATTACCCAAAAAAGTATATCTTCTTGCTCAATTTCTTCACAAAGTGGGAAAGATGATAGTATTAAACACCACCATAATTCAAAATCTTCTGTTAAGCCACCAACTGTTAATTCAACTGTTAAACCACCGGCTTTAAACAGTAGCACATTTTCACCATTGTCTGCAACACACTCAACTTACATGAATTCATTCAAGGCTCCACTTTTCAAAACGCAGTCATCTTTCTCAAAAATTTCCTCTAACTCTGTCCCTCGTGTGCTACCAGCCATTGTCCCTGAGAGCATTCAATACTTGAACCGCGCTCAACAAGCGGCAATTCTTGCACCTTCAGAATTACCCCTCGAAATCAGCGGTGGCCCAGGAGTTGGAAAAACTAAGTCACTTGCTGAGCGTGCTGTTCAAAGCATTGTCAGTGGGATTTCTCCTAAAGATATCGTCGTTTTGTCTCATACGCCTCTGGAGGCAAACAGCCTAGCGCACCACATAGATCATGGCCTTTCTAAATTTAACGTCCAGTCTAATTTTTTTTGGAAGCACTACGTTTCGTTTTTTTGTGTCCGGATGCTACACTTATTTGGCTACAAGATTGGTTTATCTTCGAATTTTTTTGTATTATCGGAACAAGACAAACTTAATTTTGTCAATGAATCCCTTGCTGACTCTAGAGTCAAAACGTGTCTTAGAAATATGGGCTACTTCAAAAAGCCTGTTAAAAACAATATCAAAGACCTTCATCTGGATTTTGCTGGAAATTCCTACTTCAATAAGTTGTATAAAAATGGTGATGATTTGGATCCCCTTTACATTTCCTTAGTCATTGAAAATATTAAATCAGGAAATTCATCTATTTCTCAATGGGTTGCTATTAACTCGGACCACTTTCCTGCTATTGCTCGAGTTCTTGTTGAATATGAATCCCGCTGCAAGAAAACAAAATCATTAGATATGAATGACTTGGTTCTATACGTCAATGAGATTATTGACAAGTACCCTGATGTTGTTAAAGATGTTCAAAGCGTTTTTGTTGATGGGGCTGAGAATATAACAGGTGCCGAGTACCAGCTAGTTTCCTCTTTAGCTAAACAAAATGGCAATATCACTGTTTCTGGCGATCAAAACAAAATCATTCACCCTTTTTCTATGGCTTCACCTATCAAAAATCTTTTAGGGGCTGAGCATTCTAAATCTTTATCTTCTGTTCTTTGGACAGGTTATCGATTAACTAAGCCTATTGCTAAATTGTTGGAAAATATTGCCGATAATGATTTAACAATCAAACCTCGATCACGCACCATTTTGCCCGGTCCCTATGCAGTTGACTTTACTGATCCTTTTCAAAAGTCTTCCGCTGTTGCTTCTTTTATCAAAAGTCAAGTTGAGAAATTTTCGGGTAAAGCCTCTTTAGAGTATCGTGATTTTTCTGTTTTGGAAAGTCAAAGTGATCTGGCATATACACAGGAGGCTTTTGAAAAGCATGGAGTGCCTTACAAAATTCTTGGAAATTCATCATTTTGGAGCCAAAAGGAAATTGCAATGGCTTTACACACATTGAGGGTTATTCAGTCTCCTGATGAAGATCGGTCGGTAGTTCAGCTTTTAAGATACATGGACTTAAATGTTGACCACTTTCTTGGGTTGAAATTTGACGGTTCTAAATGCTTGACATTATTTTCCAAGGCTGCTGCTATTGCTGATGGAAAAGCTATAGTCCAGCTCAGCAAAAAAAAAAAGAGGGAAATAATTTCTTGTTTTGTAGAAGTTATTAGGAAGTGCTCTGAAGGAGGTATATCTTTGGAAAATACACTGAATCAAATTATCACTGGATTTGGGCTTGACAAAACTCCAGAAGGGAAAAAATCAACTGATAAGTTGGTTCAGCTTATTAAGAGCGACAAACTTCAGAAAGACTTTAACAGTATTCATTACGATAGTAATCCTACTCATGAAATTACTAAATTTCTTCAGCTTCAAGCTATTGGTCAAATTAGTGTTGACGACTACGACGACAACAAGGTTACTTTATCTACCCCGTACGATGCGCAGGGACAGGCATGGCCAATTGTTTTTTCTCATTTTGAGTATAAGAACAATGTTAAACAATCACTTAGCCAACTTTACTCAACTGTTTCTTGTTCCAAAGCTATTAGTATAATTACTTTAACCTCCACATTTTTTACTAATACTTCTAAGTCTCGGAATATTAAAAACCCCTTGTTTGCGTCACTTAAATCGTCTTTTCTTCCTATTGATCGCGTTGCTGCCACGAGAATCAATGCCTTAAAAAATAAAAATTCTACTCCTAAATGAATTTTTTCTTCTCAAAAATAGCTTTTTTAATTTTGAAATAAATACTAATTTTTTGCTTATATATTGAATAAAAATTTATTAATTTGTTTTTGAGTGCTTGTGAACTAATTAGGTTTGTGGAGGTTTAACTATGGGCTTATCTAGGTGGTAAGCCAACTGCCATGCTCATTTGGACATATTTAATAATTCAGGTTAGGGTTTTATTTACAATAAAATATCGTTTGTTGTCTGGCTTTACTTAAAATTTAAAATAACGAGTTTATTATCTAATTGGTCTTTTGTTCAATTATTTAGTGATATTTTACCAACCGCACTTTTTTTATCAAAAGTTATTTATTCTTCATACCCTTATAAAGATACGAATAATATTATTATAACATTTGATTTAACCTATACACGATTCTATTTATTTTTGTTTTTTTTGCAACAGCGATTGGATAACATAATTCATTGAATAGTATACAAAAATTAGGTTGAGTAAACTTCAGTAAAGAATTTGTCATTGATTTTTAAAAAAATTTCTTCTTACCTAAATGTTCAAAAGCAGCTGTACGATAATATTTAAAACAACATTATTAGTTTATTAGTCTATTATGGAAATTATCTTGTTAATTGGATTATAAATTTCTTTCGGTTACAGTATGAGCTCAAACTTGTTTTCTGAAGACTTGTCTTATAAGTTGCCGCCCCCACCATTGTTAAACGATGACAGTCAATCTTATAATTCAACTGGTTCACATAAAAAATTATTTGCCCATAATGATCAAAACATTATTGTTGTTCTTAGATATCTCACGCCTTTTAAAATTTCGATAGCAATAGTAATAGTACTCTATTTATCTGGTTCTATATCTTTTTTAAACTTGCCCAAAACTATGGAGTATATTATTAAAATTTTAGACAGTTACATCAAACAGTCTGAAAGCTTACGCAATACAAATATTGAAGGTGATTTATTTACTATTAAGGACATTATTAGTGGGAAACCAACTCCCTTTCCTTTTATGGAGCTTAGTTCAGCATTCACCAAAAATAATGAAACTTTTAATGCTAATGACAACTGCAATCGTGTTTTTGATCAGCTTCTTGAAGTTTTATTTTCAATAAGGTCTATTGATGAATTACATACTTTTATTAATAGACTTCCTGGATTTGTGATTATAGCTGATGGAAAACATGATGATAAAGATAGTAAGATTATAACTGAATCAGCGTCTCTAGGCATTAATTGTGTAACGCAAAATTCTGTCATCGGAACCTTTTTCACAAAATGTTTTCTTGAATTTGATAGTATGGCTTTTGACCAAATAATAAATTTGTGGGATTGCTTAGTTTCTTTTCGAGAACCGTTTTTACAAAAATATCAATATACTCATTCTAAGGATTTCTGTTCCGCGTCAAAGGAATCTGCAAAACTTCTGAAGATTTTTTTTGGCTCTGAAATGCTTAAAAGTTATACTTTTCAAGATACTAAAGTTCTTCAGTCTCTTCTCCCTGATTTACAACATATATTTTGCATTTCAAGCGAAACACTAGATATAATGCTTGAAGGGAAGGTCGCCGTTTTAGACAGAAGTGATGGGGTTTCATTGTCCTCAATTAACAAAATTTTAGGTGATCTTTCAAAAAACGATAAGTCACTCCCGGTATCAGCATATTATATTAAATACTTTAAATTTATACAAGAAAACGACTATGAACAAGCTTTTGAATATCTACATCGTTTTTATGACTATACTATGCATAGACATGGCCGAGCTCATTATCATAATGCACTTTTCACATTAGCAACCCTACATGCTGAGTTTGAATCTTTTGAAGAAGCCTTACGCGCTGTCAGTGAAGCTATCTCTGTTGCTAGAGAAAATAAAGATAATATGGCTTTAACAGATATCCATTTTTGGTTATATAACTTTATTTCACTCCATCCTCAATACAAAATTCCTGATTTTTTATCGTCAAAGGATCAAATGATACAATTTTTAAAAGCCAAATCACAGGATACATCATACAGTCTTTATTCTTTAGTACTTCAACATGAATCTTTACATCAACTTATTAACTGCGGGTCACTCATTCAAGTATTTGAATCTCTTTTCAAGAGTTTTTTTATCAGCGTAACATCGAATTCAGTTTTACCGGCTTTTAATTATTTCACATTAGAGGCATCAATTTGGGAAAAATTAGGAATCTTTTCTATTGCTTCGACATATAACCAGATTTCTTTTACTCTTTCAAAAATGACATATACCGCTTTACCGGTTATCGAAAGTACCATTCAGCACGCAGAAATATTATTTGATGGGGGAGAAATCTGTTCCGCTTTCGAGTTACTAGAATCAGTCAGAGATCTTTCCATTAGATCGCAAGTTTCTTATAAACAATGGTATTGGAGTTATATGCTATTGAAGATGAGGCATAGAATCAATGAAAATAAATTTGATGAAGCTGAGTTTATTTTACACAAGCTAACTCCTTTAGTTAAACTTAGTTATCAAACTCAGGCAAACTACTATATATATGAGGTTTTATTGCTATTTAAAAAAGGTTTGAAATCCGTTGAAAGACAAATATTGGAAAGCTATGAACGCTTTTATTAAAGAAAACGCTGATGTTTTATATAATTTAAAACTAATGCTTATTAATATTGATATTATTTTTGAGACCGAACGGCCAGCCAAATCTTTGAACGCATGTTTAAAAGTTATTTTTCTTTCTGAAAAAGCTTCAATACTTATTTATAAGTATTACGGTATTGTTATTTTAGCTCGCATTTCTAAAGATGAGAATGAGTTTTTAGATTCTATTTCATTAATCGATTCAGTTATGCCAAAGGTATGAAGACATTTTTACTTTTTGAATTCTATTAACTTCTAATATTTTGTTGTATAGATCCTTGAAACGGAAAATGCAGATTTGATAGGTCTTAGCTATATGGTATTAGGAGAAACAACATTATCAATTTCTTCTTCATCATCATCATTACCAGAAAAAAATACAGTCTCATTTCTTAAGAAATCATTGAGTTATTTTCATAAAGCCACTCACTTTTATGAAAAAATGCAAAATTGGTCTGCACTTTTGAAAACTTTTGACTTCATAAAAATAACCTCATGGACCTTGTATTCCAAGCTCAGTCAGATAAATTCCAACACAGCCAAATATGAAGGTTATGAGAAATATTTAGAAATATTTCAGGCGGCTGAGGCTACAATCATTCGATTGAATGAGCTCATCAAAGAAAATAAAACTTTTTCATGTATAGAATCCCAAGTTTTGATTTAAATGTAGATATATTAAAAAAAAAATTACCGAACTGACCAAAATTTATTTACTGGATTCTAGATGAGTAAGATTCACCATTATGCATGCTAAAATTTTTGATAATTTTTATAAGTGTATAAACCTAAGAAAATGACCAAGAAATAAATTCGAAACATTGATAAAAGCAGGTGTAATTAGTCGAAATCAGTTTGTTTTCTTATGTAATTATGCCTATCTCTTCACGCACTTTCATAGGGACTCATTGCTTATATTTATATTTATATTTATATTTATATTTATATTTATATTTATATTTATATTTATATTTATATTTATATTTATATTTATATTTATATTTATATTTATATTTATATTTATATTTATATTTATATTTATATTTATATTTATATTTATATTTATATTTATATTTATATTTATATTTATATTTATATTTATATTTATATTTATATTTATATTTATATTTATATTTATATTTATATTTATATTTATATTTATATTTATATTTATATTTATATTTATATTTATATTTATATTTATATTTATATTTATATTTATATTTTTTATTTTTTCATTTTTTATTGATGTAAGGTTTTTCTTTTAAGATGTGTGTATTCTGTATTTTTTTGAACCCGTGTTTTGGAGGGTCCATTGGTAAATTGGTTTTCTCATTTCGATTAGTTGGAGGCGGCATTAATAATCCTCGCTTTTTCTTTAGGTCAATCGTTAAAGGGTTACCAATTAAAATTGATTTGTTTGAGTTGCATTTAAAATTTGATTTACTTTTATCGTTTAAAATATTTTCGTTATGTAGTTTAACTGAAGGCAATTGTACCTTAGTGCTTTCATATTTAGTCGGTTTTCTTTCTATAATACTTTGTTCATTTGCATTATCTTTTTTCAATTTTCTCCTTCTATTTGCAAACCATGTTCTAATTTGAGGAACTGAAAGGCCCGTTAATGAGCTAAGTTTTTCAACTGCTGGTTTGTTGACATATTTGGACAATTTAAAACTAAATAATTTTTAGTATCTTTTGAAATTTGACTGAGTGTTTAATATTTACCTTTTTTCCAATAACGACAAACGATATCTTGAATCTGAAAATTCCAAATAGATTATTTGGGACATTAAACAATTTTGAATTTGGCGTTTTGTTTTTATAAGAATGTCAGAAACTCTCATATTTAATTTGTTATCTTTTTTCAATTTTAATGCTGTTAGCCTTTCAAACTTATTTCGAACTCCATAAACAGTTTTTCGAAATTTCATAAACTTTTGAAGAACAATAGACATTGTAATTAAACAAGACTCTAGTACCTCACCAATTTCCAAAGAAGGAACGGGCTCAAAAACTGACAATTTTAATGTCTTAAATGTTAAACCGATAGCCTTGATTTAATTATACTTATTTTTATCGACTTACTTCTAAAAGAAATTCCAAAAACCTAGATAGTTCAAGCGGGATATATGTTTTTGGAATTCTGACAATTTCAATTATTTTCAATATGAGAGTCATAGCTATATTATACCTTATGTTTTTTGTTAGATTTTCTTTTTTTTGTACATCTATGTAACTTACCATGGAATCGTTCGATAAACTAAAATACTTGAGAAATCTATTGTTTTCGGAATTCCACCGGTACTCACTATGTTACAAAATGATATAAATATTGTTCGTTCGATATTAAGTGGGAAAGCATGATTTTCATAAAGGCTTTTAAAGCCTACATTTATTTCTTGAAGTTGTTCTTCGCTTGCCATCGTGAGTTAATTAGAAGTTGAAATGAAATGTTTTAGAATTTTATGAGAATTTTTATGAGAATTTATATTCTTCAAAATTGTTACTTTATTTCTTTTAAATGTAATTATATCACAATCTGTGTTTTATCGAATGAAAATAAATTTCCACTCTCTTTTTTATTTTTTCTATTTCTTAAAAATATAATAGTTTATTTGGCCTATTTCATAAAATATTAATATTGTGATGTATGGAGCAACTAGTGTTTTGTCAATATTTGATACAGATTACCTTATGTTGAATCTAAAAAGCACAGCTTTCTGTCATTTACCATAATTAGTCCATGGCATGACTCTCTTCACTCATTTTCTCAGAACAAAAATACTATGTCATGGTTCTTTAGAAATGAGCAAAGCGAATTTTCATTTTTTTTTTTTACTAAAACTGATTTGTTAATTTAAGAATAACAACAATATTATCGTCATGGTATTAGCTTTTATTAAAAATATCACAAGATGTAAACACTAGTGTCAACTTTAGTATAAGTAATATTATTATTGGAATTAGAAGGTAATTAGCTTGTAGAGCGAGTTTTACTACTTTTTTACAAAATTGGTTTCACTAAATAGAAGCGTTCCGTTAATCTATTTAAAAATAATATTTGTTATTTATTTCTAAAATCTAAGAAAAAGTTGAAACTATGTGACAGGGGTACCCTGGTATGGGGCTTGTTTGATAATAATCAATGCCTGTGCAATACTTATGAGCTAAATAGTCTTGCAGCTAATTTATATGCAAGGCTTTTTTTTGGGTCATTATAAAATTTATTCTGTGACATAAGTTTATTCATTTGTTTATTTATGTGCTTATCACATTTTTATTTTTTATTTTTTTATTTTAAAAAAGCAGAATACCTCATGGTAAAATGAATTGGGTTTGTCTTAACATTAAACACATCCCTGTTACTTTTAGTTTATCATAACAAAGCATCCTTTGTCGTCATTGAGAAAAGGCAGAGCAAAAATGAAGGTTCATCAAAAACTATATAAATATTTTCCATTTTGCTTTTTTTATCAAATTTAACTAATATTTGAAATCAAACATCTGTTTTTAATCTCTTTAATGACTCTTCAAAAAAAATCATTTAAAGCATGGCGTTTTCGCCACCACAATACTGAAAAACCTACCCCAGCAATTCACACAATGAACAAAGTTACCACATATTTTATTGATTTTAATGCTCCACAAGAAGGTACTGAAAGTTGTAATCACACTGAAGAGCTTCCCGCTATTCCAGAAATGTCTTTAGATCTCCGATCAGCACTAGAACAACTAAAAGCTTTGCATCTAAGCTCTAATAAAACAAAAAAAAAACGGTTTTCTCGTTCTCAAAATCATAAACCATCAAAAATTCATGGGTTTACTGCTTATAAATCTTATTATAGCCGAAATTTTTTATCTGTTTCACAAGGTTTAATATCAGCGATTTTATCTAAAGCATGGGCTTTGGAAAAAAATCAGCATGTATGGGATCTTTATGCGAAACTCTACAGAAGATACAAAAGAAATCTGTCCTTTTCTGAATGGTTAGAAAAAAACACTGTATCTGCTGAAAGTTCAAACTTTGAATTTGATGAAAAAATTAAGAGTTTAAACACATCAAAAATTAATCCTTCTGCAATGTATGAAACATTTGATTCTTCAAGCTCTTCACCACAAATATCTCTAGACATGCAGCCAGCAAACTTTGTTGACAGCACACTACAATTATCACTAGAAGTTCTGCCATCTTCTATACATGCGGGATCTGGCCTACCTTATATAACTACTGATATGAGTGATAATAGCAGAGATTTTGTTTTACATCTTACCCCTGAGAATAATACTGAAATTTCTAATGAAAGTCTTGATGTGACCCTCTCAATGATAAGCTCATCATCTAAAATTTCCTCAAGCTATAACGATCTTCTTCATATATTTGGGCCCGAATGGCTTCAGGAATCAGAATACTTAGGATAGAATAATAATCTTACCTAGTCAAAGAAAAAAAAATAACATAATTTTGTATTCTTTTAAACCTAGCTTGTTATTTTATTAAATTAATTTATGCCTAAGTTGATAAATTCAATCATCATCCTCATCGTCTATGTAGCTGAATTTTCTAATTTCACCCAATCTTTTTCTTGCATTTCCAAGCATATTTTCCAACTTGAGAATCTCAACTTGCTGTTCCATCTCAGTACGTTTAAGTACATGGGGAGTAAGCTTAGAGTAGTCCACATCTTTGTCGGCATCGGCTTGTCGTTGCTGCTTGGAAATAATGTCTTGAACTTGTGCGACTAATGACTTGCAAGCGCTTGTTACATTCTTGCTAGCCAGCTCAAGGTGATCCTGTGTTTTGGACATGTAGGAGGATTTGACACGCGAAGCAGCAACCAGCTGTGCTGTAGATGCGGCCACCTCGTTACTGGCAACAATGAGCTGCTCTGGGCTATTTTGTTTGCTCAGCACGCCGTCTGCTGTCTCAATAAGCACGTTTGTTGAAGCTGCAACACTCTTGGCTGCAGAAATAAGACCTTCAGTCCATCTATTGTGTTTTTTGTAAAATGCTGTAGGTGACGATGACCCCCGGCCTTGCGCCACAATTTCTTGCTGGCATGCAGAAGCCGCACGAATAAGAGCAGCAATGGCAGAGGTGACGGCTTGCGCCGCTGATAAAATAGCATCGTGAATGGTCATTTCGAGCTCCGAGAAAGACGGGTCACGAGGCTTTGTCATAAGCTGGGCGAGGCGTGCGCTTGCGGTGGAAATAGCCTCGGCAGCCTTGGCCATGGATTGTTCAACAACATCGCCGAGATTGTCCGAGTTGAGAGGTCCGTGCGAAGAAATCTTGGGGGCAAGGGTTGTGGCAAGGTCAGAAAGTTTTTTGAGTTCGGATTGTACGTGAAGGTTGTGCTGAATAATAATGTTGATTTTATCATCGGTGGAGTGGTTAGCAAGGCCGGATGAAATCATGCCAACAAAGAATTCTTTAAGGGCGTGTGCAGATTGTTGTGCATTATGGACAATCGTATCTGCAACTGAGTCATCTCGGACAAGACGCGTGATACCCTTTGAGTTCCCCAGAACTTCAATAATTGCAGTTGTAGACAGAGTTATTGAGTTAATGATACTGGCATTATCAACATCTGCAGGATCTTCAGCAGCCATGAAATCAGTAAAGGCATCAGTAAAGTCAAATACCGAAGAGGAGGCCTTTTCGATAACAGAAAGAAGGTACTGAGGAGTGGCATTTTGGTTGCCAGCTTGCATAGGAGACTCAAGTTCAAAGAGAGAATCTTGAATGCGATCAGAAGAGGACTTAAGAATTGCATCAATAATATCTGCAATTGATTGCAAAGAGGGGGCCCCATTGCCATTTTGTTTTTCAAGTGCCATTTTCTCAAAGGCTTGGGTCAAAGCCTGGTACATTTCCTGTTGAATTTCAAGCTCATCTTCCTTTTCTTGCAGCTTGTCCTTGAGCTCACCGTCGTCAATAGAGCGGCTTCCATAACTGTCAATAATCTTTTGTTTGGCCTTAATGGCCTCTTCAAGCTCAGAAAGTTCACGGTTGTGCTTTGCAAGCATAAGAGAAAGGTCAGCCCCCTTAGAACGCTCTGAATCATTGAGCTTGTCTGTGGCCATACGAAGATCACGTTCCAATTTTTCAATCTGGTCTTTATTGGAACCACGAGACTTGTCGAGATCGTAGCGAGCACGGTCACGCTCACGAATAAGATCTGCAAGCTCAATATTTTTGGCTTTGAGATCACGTTCAAGCTTCTCGCGTTTATCAATGGCTTCTTGAGCAGAAGCAGCTTTAGCTTGAACCTTTTTGAACTTGGTGAGAAGGTCAAGATGCTCCTGGCGCAGTTGTGAGTAGAGCTTGGCAAGGGCCTCGTACTTATTTTTCCAAGTATCAACTTGGTCCTGAACGGATTTGATCATCTCATCCTTTGAAGAAAGTTGCATAGCACTGTTGGAATTAAGCTGTTGGAGCTCTGTTTCAAGAGCTTTGACGCGTTGATCATATTGTTCCAAGTTGAGTTGGTTGCGTTCAAGCTGGCCGCGAAGATTAAGAATTTCACGCTCGAGTTCTGCAGCATGGCCTTGGGCTTGACGTTGAAGCTGATCACGAAGTAGTGCTTCTTGAGCAAGACGTTGCTGTTCAGCCTGTGCACGCTGTTGCTCTTCAAACTGTTGTTGTTGTTGAAGACGGAGAAGTTGTTGTTGTTGAATCTCAGCATCTCGTTGGGCCTGAAGATTACGTTGTTCTTCTTCGTATTGTTGTTGTTGGAGAAGCTGTTGTTGTTGCTGCTGTTGAAGTAGTTGCTGCTGGCCAGCCTGAGTAGACCAAAAGTCAACAACAGGCTCAGGAGGGACTGCACCCGTAGGTTGCTGGGAAATTGGAGCTGGAGTAGTTGCAGCAGTGGAAATGGGGGTATTATCTTCAGGAGGTCCAGCAGTTCCAGGACGACGAGGAAGAGCGGGTGCATTTTCGTCGTCTTCGTCAAACTCTCCATAAAGATTAGGAGGGTCAGGGCTAAGATTGGGGATGGTGATAAGACTGGTGAGGTATTTAAGACTAGAGCAGTCATAATAAAAGTTGAGCAAACGGTTGTACTGAGAGTAGTAGCGAGAACGAAGAGGTTCGAGAGCATCGTCATCGTTTGTTGTAGCATGCATTGCACGAATCATAGTAGTGAGGAAGCGGTAAATTCCATAGGACTCAGCAATAAGAGCAGTGAGAGATGAAATTTTGCACTCGTTTGAAGGGGAACGTTGAATAGATGCAAACACAATGCGCTGAAATTCATCGATAGAGTCTTGAAGGTTCATCAAGTCAATAATTGCCTCATAACCTTCATTGGGATCGTCAATGTTTCGAAGAGAAATATACTCCTTGTACTCAAAGGTGCCATTAAAGTCTGGGTGCATGCGGTGGAATTCAAGTTTACGAACAAGAAGACGAACGTATTCTTCAATCAGACGATCATAGCCACCGCTGCGAGGGCCTCCAGGAGGAAGATTTCGTGCTAAGGACTCAATCCAATTAACGTTTGTCTGTGCCTCGCGCAAGACACTTGGATGACCTTCTTGGAGGACCTTATGAATGGTGATGAGAGCTTTAAAGATTTGAACAGGATCCGATTGGATAGGTTGAATTTTGATACCGGCCCAAAAGGCGCGGCCAGAGCGTTTTTCCCATGTGTAAACAGAGCACGCGCGGACGTGTTTGCGCTTGGGAGCTGTTTCGTCAGGGCTGGTAGCCTTTTTGATATGGAGGTTGAGGTCAGCCTCGGACTTGGACATTATTGATGACTACTCAATGTACGATACAAGACTTTTTTAAAAAAGAAAAATATTTATATATATATATATGAAAGAAAGAAAGAAAAAGAAAAAAATTGCGAGTAAATGCAAATATTATATATATATATTAGTGGGATGAGTATAGAGATATTTTTTAAAAGAAAAAAAAAATTAAACAAATAAAATAAAAAGGTGGCAGTGAAAAGGGGGGAGGGGATGATGATAATATGGTGGTGGTGGTGATGACGGAGACGTGTAAAAAAAAAAAAAAAAAGAGAAATGCGAGGCGGTGTGATGGTGGAAAATTCATTCGCTCAATGACTTGCGGGCATTTTTTTTTTTTTTTTGTAACCACCTCATACAAGATTATTTTTTTTTTTTTTCAAAGCCAATTTATATCAATTCCATAGAAATAAGATCTTCTTTAGCTACAATTTATATATATTTCAAATTCAAGTAGATTCAAATATATATATATATATATATATATTCAAACTTTTTAACAGAAATAAATTTAACAATTGTCAATTCGGTGTTATAATTCCGGCACCGGAACGGTTTTTTTTTTTTTTTTTCAACTTTTTGCTGCTTAGCTTGAAAAAAAAAAAAAAAAAAAAAAAACAACGCGCGAGCAAATTTTAAAAAATTAAAAAAATTAAAAAAATTAAAAAAAATTAAAAAGCCGCATGTAGATTAGTTATTTATGACAAATAATGAATAATATTTACCCCAGAATACTTTATTATTTATGTAATCTTTGTAGCTGTTACAGTTGTTTAACTTTAATTGTTGATTTACTAATTTAACTTATTAGTTATAACTATTATGGTCCGTGCTTTTTTTTTTATTTTTATTTTTTTTTTCAATTAATGATAAATTTTAATCATCAAGATTTTTAACAGCTATATTTTTGTTTGAAATCACAACTCCTTAAATCAAATATTTAGGCGCTTATTGGGAGGCATAACTATTGTTACCATTATGAGGGGATGATGTAGATGTGGCACTTCGCATTGGGTCTTCAGTATCACTAATTAGTATCACTAATACACACTTGTTAAATTTTATTTTTTTTGTCCTGCAATATAAATCACACAAACTTCCCCTAATATTTTTTTTTTCTTGGTCATCCAAAGAATTTTTAAAAAAAAAAAAATAATTAAAAATTAAAAAAAAAAAAAAATCTTTTTTTCTTGATTTTTATCTTTTTTACATTCTTTTTAATCTTCATCCATCCACATATTCATTCCTTTCGCTAAAAAAGCATTAATAGCTTTCACCTTTTTTGTATGTCTACATCTATCGACAATCTCAAATCCTTCGGTATGTCATGCATTCTCTTTCCTTTTTCCTACCTTATCTTTACTTTACTTTACTTTATAATACTAACAAGATCAATCCATCTACAGATCCCTTCGCCGACACTGGTGACGACGAAACCCATACCCCTGACCACATTCACATTCGATGCCAACAGCGTAACGGCCGTAAAACTATCACCACTGTACAAGGTATTCCCAAAGAATATGACTTTAAGAAGATTCTAAAGTCTTTGAAAAAAGACTTTGGCTGCAATGGCCATATTAACAAAGACGAGGAACTTGGTGAAATTCTGCAACTTCAAGGTGACCAACGTCAAAAGGTCACTGACTTTTTGACCCAGCAACTCAACATTGACAAGAAGATCATTCAGGTCCACGGCTTTTAAAAAAAAAAAAAAAAAAAAAAAAAAAAAAAATTGCTGATTTGCAAATATCATTATTTTGTCTTTAAAATCTGGGATCATGCTATAGCCGTCAATTGGTAATTGCACAGTGCTCAGAATTAATCCCATTCTGCCCACCACAAAATCCCTAGCAACTAATTTTTTTTTTTTTTCATTTCATTAATGATCTTCCCTTTTTTTTTTTTTTTTTTTTGCTTTATAAAAAAGTTTTGTACTTCTAGAATTAAAAAAATTTTGTTTTTTTTATTTTTCAATTTTTTTTTTTTATATTTTCATATTATCCCTGTTCTATAATTTTATATCGCTTGTTTTTTTTTTTTTTTCTTTTATCTCGATAAGCTTTCCCATTCTTAATCCTTCTCACAATTCTTTGTTATCAAATGTTAGTTCATATCAAAGAAATGAAAATTCACTATTGTCTCGTCCCTCTGAAGATGTCTCTCCGTTAATATCGCCACTGCCACTGCCACTGCTACTGCCACTGCCACCACGAAGACCATTCTGGGGTCGTCCCATAAAAGTTCCTGTACTTAACGGTTGACCCGGATATGGAATCGCAATGGCCTGTGGAGCCGTGGTAATCAACCCCCCATCTCCACTTGCAATCCTATTTGTATTGCTGCTGCTTGTTAGGCCATTGGCATCAACACAGTTGGTTTTTGCAGAAGAACCTGCAGTTAAACCTGTCGCGGGATCAGGACCAAGTTCAGGAGACCCAAACACTGCAACGCCGTATCCGACCCCGTCTCCACCAGAAGAGCTTCCACTATCTTGTCCATTATTTCCATTAAAACTCGACCCAGAACTTCTGAAATGAGAACTTGTACTCTTTCCCAAAGTATGGCTGTGACTGTGATATGTCGGTGGACCCTTTGCACTCAAAAACTCGTCCAATGTCATATCATGTGTAAACGTGGTAGGAACAGGCACAGGCTTTGCAATCATCTCCCCAAACCCAGACCCATCAGTTGTCAAAGCATTAGCAGGAGATACTAGTGCTGCAGATGCTGTAGCAAGTGCAGCCGCTGTCGTGGCATCATCCTCATATCCTGAAATGTGGCTTGTCCGATCCCACTCACCACTATCACATACTCCTCCAGACTCCTCACTAATAACTCGCACACCTGCTTTGCTGCTATTTCCTGGTACTCCGTATCGCAGCCTTTCATTTGAAACACGCTTCGAAAGCGTCTTACTTCGCAATGCTATCGGTGGAGCTGCAATGTGAGGAATATTTGACCCTCCAGTCATTATTGTACTAACGTTAGTTGCAGCCAAAGCTGCTGCAGTAGCTGCTGAAACAGATGCCGGGGATGCATTGTGATGATGAGAAACTTCATTCTTGGGGAGTAGTGGTGATGGAGATTTAGCAAGCAATGGTGTTTTCATATCAGGTGCATTGCAGTGTTGTGTTTTTTGCTTCTGTTGTGTTTGTTGTGTTTGATGAGAGTAAAACGAAGGTGACTTGGACCCCCCTCCAATCGTACTCCCGCTGATGCTGCCATCATTACTGCCAAGGCTATTGTTCTCTGCTATAGGGGATGCTGGTGTGCGACCTCCTCCACTGCTTCGTCGGCGATACCGTGGAGAGGAAGGCGGGGTAGCCTTTTTGAGGCTACCAGTAACATTATTAATACTACTGTTCACTTTTGAAGAAGGGGTTGGAATTGGCAAGGTTGAAACTGTAGATTGGCTGATCTCATCCTTGTGGTTTTCTGACAAAGAACCCCCAAAATCAGAAACAAATCCGCCTTTATGAAGACCCCCATCGTGTCCGACATGCCCAGTCTCGCTCTGATTTTTGGGAAGAAGAAGTCGTGGCTCAGCAGGTGCACCAGTAGTGCTTTTTAAAGCAAACTCCGGTTCAAGCGAAGACTGCTCTTGCTCAACTTCTTCATCCACCTTAATTGTAGATGAATCCGAGGGTTCAACCGGCTTGACTGCCTTTCTTCGTACTGAAAATCCACGTGCAATGAAACTTGCGGCTGATGAAATGGTGCTCGCTGTTGTTGCAGACAAGGTGTTACTATTGCTATTGCTGTTACTGCTGTTGCTGCTAACGCTATTTGCTCTGTCCACAGTAGTATTCCCGGGATAATCCTCGTCTTCTTTAATATGTGGTTTTTTATGGTATTGATGAGAAGTTCCGCTATTTTCTGATAATGTTAGCATCTCAGATATCGGGCCCTCAGGAATCTTAGGGAAAGACCGGGGAGAAGGAATATTGACCACAATTGTTGCAGGGTGTCGTTTAAATGACGACACAGATGGCAAAGAGAACCCCTCATCCGTACCCTTATTTCCACCACCACTACTAGTAGCATTGGCTCGGCTACTAAGACTCGTTCCACTTCCACCGCTGCTAAGTTTAAACGATGCCATTCCGTCGTAATTGGTGTTACTGCTGCTACGGCGTGATCGTGGTTCCTGGGTTGTTCGAAGAACAGGAGAGGTTGTTGCTGATGTCACAGCAGAATGCAACGGTGATGATCCTGTAGACACAGAAGTCCCCCCATTGTTATGCTGCTTATTCATAAAAGAAATCGCATCCGTGTTGCTTCCACTCGATGAGGAAAGTGACCCAACCCCACTTCCGCCGTAATTACTGTTTGAGCTGTCAGACCGCTTTTTCTTTCTGGCAATAGGAACTGCAGGTGAGATACTATCTCCTGTAACAATTACTGGCGAAGTAACTGCTGTTGTATATGAAGTTTTACGCAACATCTGGACGGAAGGATTGTGGTCAATTTCCTCGCCATTTTCAGTTTCAGTTTCGGTTTCAGTTTCGGTTTTAGTTGATTCAGCTGATATAACTTTTTTCTTAGACTCTTCAGGAAAAGAAACTGTTGATTCAGTTTTGACAGGTTTACGAGCAATGCGTGTGGGCTTGACAACTTGCTTGATGGCATCATCACTTGACCCATCTTCTTTAAAAACCTCTTGGCCTTGTGATTCTGAAAGCTCTTGCGACGGAGTTGTGCTAATGAAGGATGTGACAGATGATGTTATACCTGTAGTAGTAGCAATATCTGCTGCAGAAACCGTAGCGGAATCTGTGGGTTTCTTATCTGAAACTATCGTACTTCTATCACCGCCTCGATCAACTGACTTGCCACGTTTTAGACGTCGTTCTTGTTTCTTTTCTATCTCTCCATCATCTTTCCCTAACATGCTCATCAACTCAGGTGGAAAATTATGTGGAAGAGGTGCAGGTTTAATATTGCTCATAGACGTACTAGTAACCAAATTAGATGGTCCAGGAGAAGGTCGCCGTTTAAAATAAGACGCATCGTCATCTTTGGACTCGCCAGAAAAACTACCGAATCGGGCAGTCCGTGAATTTCGGAAAGTAGCTTTATATTCCGATGCAGCGGTTTTAACTTTTTGACGTAAACTTTCTTGTGACAGATCCCGCTTCATATCCTCCCCATCCTGGCTCTGCGCCAATCTATCCAATGGGCCATTGTTCTCAACAGAATGAGTCTCTTTAATTGGCCACCATTTCTTTACTGCGTTCATAATTGTTCCAGACCTGACTGAAGATGCCTTGGATGGTGTAGGACTCACAGACCTTGGTTTTCTTCTTCCCTCCAAGGGAACATCATTTTCTTGTCTAAGGGTGTTGCCATTAAACAAAGAAGAATCTGAATCCTCTCTCATAGGCGCACTTCTGGATTTCAAATGACTTTTATCTTCAATATCATCATTGTTATTAGGCGACGAAGAAGACTGGCCAATAAGAGAATCCATAGAACGAGTTGAACTACGAGACAAAGGCCGTCGATGCTCTAAAGTTGCTTTTTCAGCACCATTAGGGCTCTCCACACGTAAATTAGGAGTGGTTTTTCGATGGCGGAGTTGTTTTAGGTTGCCTGTTGGTGGGTCAACCGAGGACGAAACAAGTGCTTCTGAATTAGTCACCGTATTATTACTATCTTCTGCCGTGTCATCATCAGAATCGTAAACTTCATCAGATGGCTCTGGGAAATTAGGACGCACTGTTGAATCCCAAATACCACCTCGGTATACTTCAGATGAAGTATTGAAAAATGAAATATCTTCAAAATTTGGGTAAACCAAAGATTCGCGAAACTAAAACAATAATTAGTAGTGGGTAAAAAAAAAAAAAAAAAAAAAAATACTGATTCACGAAACTTATTCTCAATTGCTTTAGTAACAATTGAATATTTAATTTGACGGCTGCTAACAACTGGTTCAATAAGGAGCGAGATCTTTGGCATAACCTCAAAAGTGTACCATATACGATCGGATGGTGGTGGTTTGATTTTCAAAATTAGTTTCCCCTCAAGATGTTTTAGTGTGATTGCCAAAGCAATAGTAACCTCTCTAGGTTTAATTCTTGACCCCAAATTCAGAGTTGCCTTGGTTGTGATTTGAAGAGAAAAGTTTCCACTGTAGGAAACATCACAATCAATAGTCAGCTTACCCTCTGGAGTAAGTTCCGAAAGTTTGGGGTGGGTGATATAAGGTATAGAGTCGCCACAAGAAAGCTGCGTGACATAAATCTCACTTAGAAAAGTTGGACGTTTAATTCTAGTAAGTTTGTTAGATATCTTGTTGATCAAAAAGTTGGTAAATGGTGGGGTGTCCTTAGTGGCAAGAAAAATACGGCCAATGATGGCATTGAGCCATCGGGTTTGAATATTCGAATCAGTGGAATGCAAAGTTTGTATAAGATCCATAATGTCGGAAGTTCTATGATGTAGGGGGTGTGCCATGTACACAGGGTTAAACAATGAAACTGGCTTAGTGGGTTCAGCTGCTGAGCGAAGAGTATAACGTTTAGAAGCACGAATGAGTGCAAAGTAAAAATCTTCTTTTTCAGAAGCGTTATCTGAATAAAGGTAAAATGCATTTTTAGGGGGTTCTTTAGGATTAGAAAGCATCTCAGCAATTTCATAATCAGAAAGGTTAGATGAACCATGATTGTAGGGAATTTTAACAAGGCAAATGGCACTTCTTTTTGCAAAAAGCTCCCCATCTGGAACTTTTGGCGGCCATAAAGTCACTAAATGATGCGCAATAACAATTACTTGGGTCAACTGCTCATGATCTGGATCTTCATAGAGAAACAAATTTCCATGACGCAAAATGGCATGGTATTTTATAAGCTTTGATTTTTTGGACTGTGTTGAGGACGATGTGGAGGAAGACGTTATTGACGAAAAGGTAGACGACGTAGTTAACTTGCCGGTTTCGCTGGAACCTTCAGAAAACGAACTTGAGTGAGAAATTGAAGATGAAGATGTTGTTTCCATAGATGAGACTGTGACTGAAGATTTTGATTTTGAAATAAGCTTGTATAAAGTCGAGTATGCACTTTCGTTTTGGTTCATAGCAGCTTGGTTAGAAGCTGGAGGAGGAGGATTGCCAGTGTTATTTGGTCCTCCGGTGGGGTATATGAAATAGTTGCGGGAAACGACTAAGATTCCGGCAAAGTAAGCGTCCACTCCAGTTTCATGCTCGCGGTCAAGTGATAAAGATGTAGAGGAATGACGAAGAACGGCAGGATGGTTGGTATCATGAATTGCTGGAGATATTGAATTGTTATTATTTTGTGAGCCAGACGACGAAAGTGTATCGGAGCTGATTGAAGAAACAGAGTTAGGCCTGCTAACTTTTTTCTTGGGGGAGCTTTCATCTGAAAAAGAGGGTTTTGATTTGGCGATTTTGTCGTATACAAGTGAGGGGTTTTGATCAGAAGGAACCTGTGGTAAGGTCCAATAAAGGAAAACAACAACTGAAAGAGCCATCATTGGGACAAGCGTTAAGCCGCCCAGAACATAGAAAAATGCCAGCCAAAGAGCAAGTGACATGGTGATATTTCTTATATTTTAAAGATATTCACAATTAAGTAGGTACGACACACACACACACACACACACACAAACACAAAAAACAGTGGTTGTAGAGGAGGGGAGAGGGAATATTTAATAAAACAAAATAATTAAAAAGAAAAAGACTTTTGTTATAAGAAAATTTTATAATTTCTTTTAGCAAAATGAGTGAGACTCCATCGGAATAATGACAATGAAAGAAAGTGAAATATATAAAAATAAAGTCAAAACCCCTCTAGATTTTTTTTTTTTATCAATATAGAGATATTGGAGTTACTGAGCTGTGTGTGCTATGATTGATGTGGGTTCAACAAGGTTTTCTCAGTCGTTGATGGTTTAGCCACCTAAGATTTCACCCAAGACTATGTAATTGTAACTGTAACCAGAGTGTACCAACGTGGTTTTTATGTACTGGTTAGTATGTGGTTGTTATTTAGCTGTCGTATAGAACTTTTAAAATATTTAATTGGCCAATCGTCTATTATTTCATCAAAGTACAATTACCCTCTTGAAGCTATTTAGGGCTGGTCCTACATCACCGTATAAAATTTTCATAAACCAACACACACTCTCTCAAAAAAAAAAAAAATTTTTTTTCCCTTAAAGTATATTTAACTATTGAAATCTTACCATCTTTTCATCTTTTCATCTTTTTCAACACATTATTATAAAAATCACTTTTACCCACGTTTCTCAACAATGACTGGATAATATTTTATTTGTATATCTGCTTAAATGCTTGATGCATTAAAATTTTTAGGCCACCAATGGTAAGTTTTTTTTTTTTTTTTTACTTTATTTCTTTGAAGAAGAACAGGAAACAGTAATTGCGAAGATTATAAATCAATACCTTTGCTCCTTCTGATGTTAGTGAGGACAAACATATCGTTAACTAAGTTTCAGCCTTGTATGAGCTCATTACTGGATATTTCTGTGATTCTATATAAATATATTTTCTGTTGATTTTTTTTTTTGACGTCTAACATTATGTTTTAGGTGGCTATGAATAAGATGTATGTTTGAATTTAATTTCAATCAATGTTTTTTTTTTCTTGTGATGAACAATCGACCGGGCGGACAGAATTGTACTTTTCCACCTTCGGGTAAACGTGCGTGCCGTACAACATGCATGGAACAGTATTATTGCTGAATGGTCTATTCTGATTTTCAGTTATTAGAATACAATACTTTAAAAAATTGTTGGGAATCATTCTGACTCATTATATTTTAGACCCTTTTGATGAAAAAAATACCACTTTGACTATTAATGAGTTTAAATGGTGAGTAATTATGAATAACTGCCCTTTTTACGCAATTAGCTTAAATGATGAACATTATATTCACACTGTATGAGATCCCAATGATTTCCAAAATATAAAACTGATTTAATGAATCTGATTTTACAAGTTAATTGACGTTTTTTTTTTTTTTTTTTTTGGTTTAATAAAATTCCAAAAAACTGGATTTTTTTTCTAACATTTTTTTTCTAGATTTTGTATCAGTCAGGATCAATTTAAGAAAGATTTTGATGGAATCTTTAAGAAGGCGGAGGTTCCCACTTTTTTATTGATTTCTCAATCTTGCTTTTATAACATCATTTATATAGTTAATACAAAATTTTAAAATTTTTAAAAAAATAAAATAAAAAAAATATTCTTTGTTCTTAAAAGTTAAAATGGCCAACGGTCTTGTTTCGTCATGATTTTGCAACCGTTTTGCATTTGTGAAATTTGCCACAATGTTTATTTCAAGTCTTTAAAAATAAACAAATAAACAAATAAACAAATAAACAAATAAACAAATTTACATATTAATTAAACACATTTTCAAGTGAATATACTAGAACATGTCAATATATTGTAATTACAAAATATTTTAACATATTATTATTACAACCAAGATCCCGGGCACCAGAAAGTCTGTTAACGTGATTTCCATGTGATGACAGCAAAATAGACGGCACCCTTAGCCACCCTTTGGTACCAAGTAAGTACTACTATGAAAATAAAAAATAAAAAAAAAATAAAAAAAAAAATAAAAAAAAAAACTTTAAGGTGGAGGAAAAGAATTTTTTCATAGCCTATTGGAATCGGAGGAAAAAAAATTATGTAATCTTTTTTCCCGCTAAAAAAAAAAAATAAAAAAAATTAAAAAAATAAAAAAAATAAAAAAAAAAAAAATTATGCACAGTTCCCAATGTGAATTTTTTTTTTTTTTTTTTTAAAAGTCGGAAATAAAGATATATATATATTTTTTTTTAATTTTTTTTTAATTTTTTTTTTTTTTTTAAATACAAATTATAAATATATATTGCCCCCTTTCTCCTGTTTTTATCTTTTTTTTTTTTTTCTCCTTAAACAAAATCTCTCTTTTTTTTTTTTTTTGTTTTGTTTGCTTCATTCATCTTTTTATACCAGATCTTCTACTTAACAACTTTCAATCTTTCTTCCCCTTATTTTCCCAATAAAACGGAATCACAACACACACACTTTTTTTTTTCTTTTTCTTTTTTTATAACTCTTTTGATTTACATTCAACATGGAATCCAAGCTACTTCAGTCTAAGGATAACAAGCGTAAGCGAACCTTGCCAACACCTTCTATTGTCACAAGAAGCTCTTCACGAAAACTTTCGAATTCGGCTTCTGATACTAGCAAATCTTCAGATGAACATAGACCACTTCCTCGCATCAAGCTTGTTATTTCTAAACCCAAAAAGCAACAATCGCCAAAGTCTATTCGGATGACACGGTCACACACTCAAGCACAAAGTAAGTCTTTAAAACCCACCTCTGTGGAGGACAAAAACAAAACCCTTTCTGGTGGTGACAGTGAAACAAAATCCATTTCTCCGTCTTCAGAGAAGCCTTTTGCTTTATCCTCAGACACTTTGTGCTCTAAAGAAAGTCCTAACAAGAGCATTTCTTTTGCCACGACAGTAACCCAATTTGATGAGGATGAATCTATGCTTTATAGCGATCATGAAAACCAAAGCGACATTGAAGATCTCTCAGATTTTGATGATGATGACTTGGATATAGAAGCACAGTCTCCAAACAAACGTCCTAAAATCGAGCATCTCTCCTTCATGCCCATGGAGACTAGCAAAGATTTTTATCAGCTGACACATTCATCAGACCATCAGGAAGATGGAATCGATAATGACGACTCTACTTCTTTGGACGGAGAAGCAGAGGAGGAGGAGGAAGATATGCCTCATTTCCATTACGAATCTCGTTATAACGCCACCAAAGCTGAGGAAGAAGAAGATCCATATTTTGTCAGTGATTTTGAAGATGACGATAAACCAGCACCTATTTTATTAACGAAGGCTTTGCCACAGCCAAAAACTTCTAAGCCTCAGCAAGAAATGACTGGTGGCGACCTTTCACAACTTTCGAGGAACCCATCACCATCACCTCTGGATTATTATAGTTTTTCGGATTCTGTCGAAAGCTCTGTTTCCTCTCCCAGAGACTTTGACGATTTAATGTCTCTTGGAGAGCCTCTTGATTTTGTCACTGGCGAAGATGAGCTGGATTCAAATTTGCCTTCCCTGACACCATTCAATATTTTAAATCAAGAACTGCAAAACATAAAAACTCCCAATCCATTAGACCTTCATCACAGCCAGGAGCTTTCAAAATGTCTAATGAAAACTCCCCACTCTTTAAACACCACTTCTGAGTCTCAGGAACCTGTGTCTGGAGCAGATGAAATTGCACTACGTTGGTCTCAGGCTTCTCAGCGTGAACGTTCAAATTCCTTTTCGACTTTGATTAACAGACAATCTTTTAAACGCTTTGCTCGTGTTCTTGCAAAGCGTCCCCACTTGGCTGCTACTCTCAATGACACTCTTAGCATTTCCTCTGTTGATGAAGAGACCCCCAAGGACATTGAAGCCTCTTTGGACCAGTTTTTTGACCTTGTTGATGAAAGCATGGTCCAATCATCATCAACCACCTCAGGTCAAAAGCGCAACTCAGAATCCTCTGAAAACTCTTCTACTTGGACCACAGAGCAATACAATAAGGTTCCTCTTTGTGGCTATAGAAACCGTAATCATACAATCAAGGTTCCTGGCGGAGCTCATCTTAACGCAAAGAAAATTCTTGCTGCATTGGCGTCTATTTCTTCTGATAATGAAAAGCTTGTTGCTTCTTTCCCTGATAGCAATCCCTTGCTGCCTGCCTCTACTAATAACACTACTTCTACATCTTCTACCACCATCAACAGTTCTACTTTGCCAGTAGAACCCTCGCTTTCTACACCTGAGTTTTACAACGATATTTACCCGCCGTCTGTTAACTCACAACCATTAACTCACAACCATTCAACCATTAACGATGTTATGACACCAATTTCTTTTGATAATAATACTACTACTAATAATGTTCAACAGCCTTTGGACATGCAAAAATTGGATTCTTCCAACAACTCCTTAATCTCACCAGCATCATCTGATAGTGCTATCGAGTTTTCAGCTGAGATTACAAAATCTGCTCTCGAATACTACCAGCAGGCCGTTGTTGCTGCTACTGGTCTTAATCTTCGAAGTCTTTATTCTGGCAAGGCCAGAGAGACTATTACTGGAGAAGCACCAGTCTCTTCAGTTTTCTGAAGTGGAAGAAAGAAGGCGCTAAAAAGTTTTTTTCATGAATTACATTTTCTTTTGATGATTATTTTGTTTTTATAATTTTTTTTTGATGTGGCTTTATTTTATTTTGTTTTATTCGATTTTATTTAGTTTCTCTTTTTTTTTTTTTTTGGTTTTATAATAAAAAAAATAATGTATTTCTTCGTTTAATTTAATATTCTTCATTTGAGTGATAAAATTTATCATGATGGTTCTTTGTTTGGTAGTCTATGTTCAATAATCACTTTTCATCAAAATCTTTTTTTTTTTTTTTAATACTGAATACAATAAATTCAATAAGACTATGATGCAACATAAGGTTGTTTGAATACCATAATTATAATTATGGTAAAAAAAACTTAATGATATTTAAATATCTGTAAAAGATAACCATTGCTTGCTGTAGTTAAGTTTAACCAAGCATCGACATCACCCACTAATTTAATATAAACTCACAAGGCACATTTTGTAACTTATGGATCAGATTTTAATATTATGTATTCTAATTGAAATTACCCATCACCAATTTTTTCAAAGTTAAGTCGTTTAAAATTTATTTTTTTGAAATATATATAGGACACCAGACTGCTAATGGAGAAAGACAATATCTTTATTTTGAGGACTTTAATCGAAAAAACATGAAGCATTTAGGCCAGATTTTTTTTTTTTTTATACAGTGGCTTAAGCCACAATAAGTGGCATAAGACCCAATGTAGACCAAAGTTAAGTTTAAAAGGTGAAAGAAAAAAAGAAACAGGGGTTGAGGTATGGTCCAGTAAGTCTTACGGTACTATTCTCATATCTTACAGTGGCTATCATGTTTCTAAATGTACCTTTGGTCTCTTTTGGTCTCAATAAAACGCCAACAAAACCAAAGGAAAGAAAGAAAAAAAAAAAAACCTTTTTTTGAGAAATAAAGCAGACAAATGAGAAATAGAGGATAGAAGTTCCATTTGGTTGGACAAAGGTAAAGAAAGCTATCAGTATTTTCTATTGAAATTCTACAATGATAAGTATATATTACTACACTTTGGTATTATTTTTCTAAAGCAAACGAACAGCGTAGTTATAATGAAAATAATAATAAAAATTATATCCATAAAAAAATAAATATGTCCACTATGTGACAATCCACCTATATATATAAAATTTGTATACAGAAACTTGGATCTTTTTGCAAGACAAATTTGAGTGATGACAATTAAATTGATGCTAAAGTTTTAAAGGGATCAACAAAAAGATAATATAGCACCAAAATTTTTAAATAACGATATTTGAATCTCTCAAATACATCTATTTTATTTTATTTTTTTTTTTCTCAAAGCTTCAAGAATTTTTATATTTTACCATTTGATGAATTCGAAAAATCCATCAGACTCATTTTTCAATTTGGAAGAATTGGCGCGTGGTTTATCCTAAACCGAAGCCTTGCATATTGGCCTTTTTTTTTTCTTTTTTCTTTTTTTTTATTTTTTATTTTTTATTTTTTATTTTTTATTTTAATTTTTTTTAAGGCCGTTATTATCTGCTATAGAGCCGAGGCGGACCTTGACTAAAATAGATTTGTGTGAACCACAGAATAAGCTTAGGAAAAAGATAAGAAGTCTAGTATATTCAATCAGAATTCTTAACGAGAAGCAAGAGATGTGTAGGTCGTGAAAAAGAGTTAAGATGGATAAGATTGAATAACAAGATATGTACCGTAGAAAATAAAACCTCACTGTTTGCTTAGACAAATTTCGGGACTCCAACCCCCACAGTGTACTAAGTGGTTAGGGTGCCGGTTTCTGTGAAAGACGGCACTAAAAGATTCGGGTGCTTAGCCCCTCCGTGCTATGCTGCAACAAGATTTGTTTATTTTTTGTTCAAAAGTTTATGCGACAGGGTGGCAGGTCACACTGGCCACGCATCCTTTTCGAGGCAGACTACGCACCTTAACAAACAGTGAAGGAAAAAGGCTAGTTTTTGCAACGGAAAGGCTAATTTATTTGACCGCGAAAGATATTGATGGTGACTCCCAGAAACCCTCCCCCTCTTTTCCTGAAGGAGAGTATACGGAGAATACACAATTTAACTAAACCCCTATGCTACTTTGGTCAATAGGAAAGCCTGCTCTTCTAATCAGTCTAATAAACCCGTAGGTGATTGTGAGCTACACTTATGTAAGAGGGAGTTAAGAATTACATGGGTGTCTGTAAAGACAAGTAGAAAATAGGTCGGCTAGGTTTTGAGACAGAAAAACTGGTTCTTTCTGTTTCTTGTAAGCTGGCATAAGGGCCCATCTTCCGAGCTATCCGAGGCGTACAAATCAAAAGAATAACCCGTAATAATGCAAATGTTAACCCTTGAAATAAAAACAAACAAAACTTATCAACAAAAAAAAAAACGCTTAACTTGGTAATTGTATTATTGAAGAAAAAAAAATGGAGTATCAAAGTATTGGAGATTGCTAGGAGTGAAAGACTAGAAAAGCAATATAAAATCAAATATTTAAAATTGTACCGCTCACATGGATAACTTTTAATTTCTACTGAAAAAGAAGAAGAAGAAGAAGAATTAGATTTTATTGATAACCCTATTATGAGAAATGGAAATGGAAATGGACTTTTGACAAGATATCTCTATAGATAAGCTTGATTTACAGCCATATATCTGTTATTTAAGTAAAGATTCTTTTGCATTTCTGGTTCCGAACCAAAATTTCATTTATTTTTTAAATCACGTGAACCAAAATTTACACATATGTGTGAATAAAATAAAAAAATTTCTGTATGATGCCTTTTTTTTTTTTTTCTTTTTTCGGGTCAGCATCAAATTTCATGTTGAAAAAGAAAATACATGAAATACTAGAAATCTAAATCATGAGCTAAGAAATCTCCTGCTCAACAGAATGAAGCTTAGTTTGTCATTCTAGTTACCGAAACTTGTGTTCTAATTTATTTATTTTATAGATATTTTGGGTTGTTGATTTGTTTATGATTTGAGTTTATATACCAACAGCAAACACATTCAAACACATTCCCCACCCCCCCAACATTTTACCCATTCCACCTGAAAGCTTTACACTGTTCATAAATAGTAACCTTTTCCTGAAAATATAAACAAACAGTGTACTCATTTCAAACGGTTTTTCCAGTTGTATGGCTGATACTTGGAGGTAGGCTACTTTGCCCACCTCACACTTAAAAAAAAAAAAAAAAAAAAGAAAAAAAAAAAAAAAAGTTCAGCCAAGGCTATTATTAATTAATATATTGTGAGCTTGCTAGTTTAAACAATGACAATTAAACAAAAGGATTTCATATAATGTCGGTGGTGTAAATTTAGGAAGCTAGAAAAGTTATGGAATAGAAGACCACAGCCAAAAAAACATTTAAAAATTTCAATATTAGAAAATAAAAAAAAAAAAAATTCCCAACATCGCATCAAAACCCTTTATATTTACTATTCTGGAATTCACGTTAATATGAGTTCACCAATCATCATTTTATTGAAAAAAAAAATCTGTTTCCATGACTACATTTCCCAAAATAGATGTTTTTTTTTTATTTAGTACATGACATAAGGGGTAAGAAGTAATTATAATCACGATGACAACTACAGATTTGGTATTTGGATGGTGAAAGAGTCGATGTTAAAAAGAAGATGGGAGTTTTTGGTTTGTGATTTGAAATTTTTTTTTTTTTGTATGCTATATGCCAACTGAGATTCTGGAAATCTGTTTAGAACAAAATTTTCAAAAATCTAATCAAAAATCTAAATCATTAATGATAGAGAAGAAAAAAAAAAAGAGCGAGAAACAAATTTGACACTACTGACAACAACTTATGTTAGGAGAAACCAAAACGACGCATGATTCTTTCAATCTTTTTAGGCTTAACAGTAATTAACAGTTTGAGTCAACTCTCAAAAAGCATTCAAACTCAGCGAGTAGTTCAGCCTTTTTTTTTTTTTTTTTTTTAACCTTTAGAATCACATTGAACATGCATATACGTATAAGATGGAAATAGGAATAATCACCCTTTTTCACATGTCTCTGATTATTGCACTATTTCCATCTCATAAGCTTAAATGATGTCCTTTATTTTTCTTAACCAACCAACCAACCAACCAACCAACCAACAAAAAAAAACAACATCAATCATCTCTAGTTTTCTTCATGTTATGTTAAATCTTTTTATCCATCAAATCATCCAAAACAGTATAAAAGCAGTGAAATCCTATACTAATGTTCAATAATGTCTAACTTGATACCAACATTACCAAATACCAAAGATTAAAAACCAACAAAAGAAACCAACAAAAAAAAAAGACCCTTGTTGATTGAGTAAGACTACGCTTACTTTTTTTTCAATTTCTTTCTCTTGAATTGCTGCCCGAGACAAAAAAAAATATTTTTTTTGTGATTAAATAAATAAGGTTAAGATTTTCTGCCGAAGAAGTAAATATGGAAATACATCTTTTCTTCCTCATCATATTAATTATATTTAGAAAATCTAGTTCAAAATAACAGCCCATCTCTATTTTTTTTTTTTTTTTGATATCAATTTAACCTTGAACTAGTTATTGTAAAGTAATGATGATCATATGCCCATATAACTCCCTGGAAAACGGTAAGAAATACCCAAAAAGCTTATCATCCGAACAATACGATATTTTTTTTTTCATATTTATTTTATTTTAAGTAGTGTTAAAAAAATAATCTTGGATGGTTGTTTTTTTGTTTCAAAAGTACATGACTTTAAACAATACCACATTACTTCAAAGAAACATCTCTCTTTTTTTTTTTTTACCAAACTTATTTAGTATTTTTTAACAATGAAATTTTACATTAAAGAAAAGAAACTAGTTTTCACTGTTTATATTGTGAGAGCAAATATATTTGATTGTCTTGCTAAAACTGAGAGAACTTGCAGTGAAAGTTTTTGAGCTTAAAACTTAATTCCCCACGTTGTACTAAAACTTGATTCACATCTCTTCGCCCGCTAAGGTGTGCTTTTATTGATGACAAATAATCTCTAGCTTAAATATCTATTTAAACTATATCAATGTCTTAAATATCCGCTAACGATTTTTTTTTTTTTTTTTTTTAAAAAATGGTCTTTCACTTTTTTTTTTTATGGTCTATCATGTTAGTCTATGTATACCAGGAAATTTAGTTTCACCAACTTGTTTAAAACGTAAATTATTTTAAAATATCACGCAGTACAATAAATAATAATTAACAAACAGTATCTTTAGTCTTTTATATATATATATATATATATATATAAACCTTTCATGATCCCTCCTTTCCTTTCCTTTCCTTTTCTTTCCCCCCTTTTTTTTTTCTTTTCATTTTTTCTACTATAAAATTCCTCCCACCCCCCCAAACAAGTTTAAACAATGACTCAAGATCTTGATGACCTTGACTTGTTTCCTTATTACAACAATATTGATCATCAATATGATCAATGGTTTAACAATTCCGCCATAAGCATAGAAATGGAGTATAACCGTCGCAATCGAATTTTTAACTCTTCTGACAGTAGTAGAGCCTCTAATGGTGGTGCCACCAATTCCAATAACATAATAAGAAATCGTCAGCTTTTAGCAAATAATCTTAACTCTTCATCATTGGAAGTCCAATCATCTAATTCTAATTCGACAACTGGTACTTATCCTAATGGAACTTTAGCCAGCTCTACATTTTCACAAGCTTCGTTGTCAGATTTTGACGACGATGACGACACAGCATATACTAGCCGCCGTCCTCTTTTGCCATTATCCTCTTCTTCATCATTACCATCATCTTCTTTGCTTCAACTCATTCCTCTATCTTTTCCAAACAACAGATCCAGATCCTTAGGAACTTTAAATACAAATAACACGGCTCATTCAAACATTCAACACGATGTTGTTCATTTGTCACAGCAGTTTTCTGACCTCAACATTGATTCAATATCTACTGATAATAACTTTGTATCTTCACATAATCACCTAGGAATTGACTTTTTAGCAGCAATACCACCAAGAGATTTGGAAACATTTAACTATAACAACAATATTAACTTTAATAATACGATTGATACAGATATCACTGTTGTTCTTAATGATACCATTTACTCAGAAACAAACAATAACACTGATGACCTTACTGCTCATACTCATGATAATTCAAACCAAGTTCATACAAATGAAGTTAGCAGCCTTCCTTCAGAACCCTGGTTTAATGAAGAATCGGTAATTTATTCTCATCCCGAGTTGAATAATACAATAGTTGATTTAAGTTCTGAACCTTCTAATGAAATAAATCAATCAAATTTAGACCAAAGATTCAACACTGGGTTTGGGATTTTTAATCGATCAAGATATAGCTACTCTCGTGACGATGAATTGGATGGTAATAGTGATGTCAGTGATTGGGACAGTATGGATCTGGAAAACGGGATTGGCCATAATCCTCACGAACTTTCTGATGCTTCTCTGAGAAACCAGAGAGAGTTTTTACCCAATCAAGAAGACATACAACTTAGGACACCAAGAACTGTTGACGCTAATCCTTTTCCTTTAGATAATACAAACCACTCGTTATTTTCTGAAACCACCGCACTCTCGTCGTCACTTGATACCACTACACCTTTCCCATCTTCTGACACTATTGAACCTACTTCATCTTTTGATACTACAGCTCCTTCTTCATCGTCTGTAATAATACATTTACCTAATGACCAAGAGCTGTATAGTGTCCCAGAGGTACAAGACCATGAAAGATTGGGGTCTATTTCTGATTTGGAGATTAATGGAGAGCATGTTAGAATTCTACAGGGTAAGAATTAAATATGAGTGAAAGTTTTTTTTTTTAACTTTTTTTTTTAACATTTTTATTTTTTAAAGCGAGACTTTGCACAATATATGACTATATCCCTTTAAGTTTTGCTGATCCTGTAAATCAATGGCGAATCAGAAAGAAGTATAATGTGATTAGGGAACTCATTGAAACTGAGGCGGTTTACATTAGAGACATGGAGGTGGTAAAATTTATTTATTATCAAATGTGTGTCATACACCCCTATCGCGAGTATTTCACTCATAAGGATATCCAAGCTTTGTTTGGTAATATTGATCGCATAATTGATGCATCTAAAGTTCTTATGGGTAAGCTTAGATGTTACGTTCCATATTATATCAGCAATGAGGTTGATCTCGGACTTGATATTGATGATCTTCCCATGATTTTGGACATGGATTCCAACATTGGAATTGTTTTTATGGAATATATACCAATCATGGAGACAGCATATAAGATTTATTGTGTCCAGAATGAATTTCAGATGAAGACTCTTCATCGAATTGAAGCTCTGGCATCTCCAACAGTTGATGAAATGTTTCAACATTGCAGAGAACTTTCTAGGGATGTTACTCAAGCTTGGGGCTTGGATGCATTGCTAATCAAACCAGTCCAGCGTCTGTTAAAGTATCCCCTGTTTTTAAGGTCAATGATTGATTACACTTTAGAAAGACATACTGACTATGCTCCATTAGTGCAAGCATGTAATGAGGTCCGAAATTGTGCCAACAGAATCAATGACGACGTTGAGAGAGTTAGAACAGATGATGAAACTTCTCCCACTTCCCATTCTCCACCTCCTCCCCCATCTCCATCAACACATTCCACCTCAGGTTCTTCTAGTTCCATATCCGATTCTCTGAGAAATTCAAGAACTTCAGGATCCAGTTCTTGGATTTTTAGTAGACCACCTTCTGGGGTTTCTTCGGGACCAACAGATTCTTCTAGCCTAGCTTCCCGTTCAGGAAACTCTCCACCTTTTTCTGAGACTTTTTTTGAAGATAATATTTTAAATTCTTCTCTTCCTTTTGATGAAAATAAGGCACTCATGAAATTGTCAAATAACTATGAGGCTGATGAAGATCTAGCTGACTTGGTTCATCAATTTGACCTCAAGCGGGCCCAACTAAAAGATCTTATTGCTTCAATCCGTGGAAGTATCAGTTACATTCAGCACCATTTTGACAAAGCGAATTCATTAGCAGAATCTTTTCTAAATTGTTTTGAAGATCTTGATTTTACTACTGAAGATCTTTCTCCGCTGTCAGCTAGTATCGATAAAAAATATCGCTTATACCAACTGTATTGCACACCCTTCACAACTTCCTCTCAGGCACACGTTTCTTCAAATCTTCTTAGGCTAAGAATTGATAAACATGTTGTCACACCTCTTAGAAAAGTTTTGACAATGTTCAGCAACATCTCAGCACTTTTAATGCAACGAGCTTCTTTACACCCATTTTACCAAAAGTTCATACAGCTTAAACGGCGTGAACTGAAACACATCGAAGCTATTGCCTACACCAATGCGGACATTTTTATGCAATTGCAAACACAACTTAAGAATCAGCTTCCAGTGTTTTTGGAGTTGACAAATCAAATTATTGATCCTTGTCTTTTAAATTTTCTACTCATCCAGAAGGAGTGGTTTATGCAGGTGCGTCTTTCCGGGTTAGAAGTACTGAGTTGTTCAGAAAATGATATCAAGTTTTCTCAAGAAGCTGATTTTATTGTTGATGACTTTAAAAGAGCTACCAAAGAAAACAATATCAAGCAAGTTCTAAATGAGCAATTGACTCTTTGCCCATCAAACTCATCAACCCCCCTTGAAATTGATGGATCAATCCCTATTAGAGTCAATTTGCCAAAACTGGCCTCTGAAGCAGTACGTGCTAATCGGAGGAATAGTACTTTGCCATTACCTGTTGAAACTTATGGCGAACCTTCCAAAAAGCGACAGGCTTTTCCTGGGTCTTTGGATGTCATACTTGCAAGCAACTCTGTGGCTTTAGTACACAGACCAAGTCAACGTATCAGCACTTTTAAGACTTCAGAAAAGGTTGTTATGGTTTCTTCTAAGGACTTTAAGGAAAAAGAAAAGCCCCCTAAAAGAGCTCGCAGACTATCTCTTAGTTTTAGCTATCCCAAAGTCGACAAAACCACCCCAACTACTAATGCTGAGGGTAATGGACATCGAAAATCTAAATCCAATGTTTTCGAATCAAGTCCAACTTATACTAGAATTCTGAAACCAATTTTGTCTTCTAAAAGAAATTCTGATTAAATATTATTTGCTCTAAAACTATGGTTTTTTTTTTTTTTTTTTTGAATGGCGGTTTTCATATTAATTTAATTGAAATAAAAAGTTTGCTTTTATATCTGTTATACGTATAGATTGAATCAGCTGCCAAATATAACTGCCAGGAATCTTTGATACCAAGTTTGTGGTTTTTGACTGGGAATAAATGAATCAATATGCTCTTGAATTTCTTTTAGTCCCGTTGTCAAGTCAATATCTATTGATTTTCTGAAACTAGTTTTTTTAAAAACTTTCCAAACCAAAAAAATGATGACACAAATTGGAATCATAATATAAGAAAATATAAATGTCGTAACATCCCAATTAACAAAAACAGGATATCCGGCTAGAAAAGTCATCGTAAGAGTGCAAACGAGTCCAACATATGCCAGATAAGGCTGGAGGTATCCACAATATGGCAAAGAATTTCTATCTATATTTTGGGCTTTAAGTGCATGGAAGAAACAAATATAGGTCACACATAAAGTGCTGAAATTTAATAATTGTGAAACCGTAACAATATTAACCATCCAGTTGAGTACGGCTTGGGCGCCTTTACCAAGTTGCAAGAATGAAAGAAAACCGAAACATAAAGAGACACCAACTGCAACTATTGGGACACCACTTTTAGTACAATAAGACAAAATCTTTGGTGCGTGGCCTTGCAGTGCCAATCCATATATTGTTCTAGATGAGCAATAACAATAAGAATTACCAGCAGAGAAGGCTGATGTTAAAATCAAGGCATTAACAATATGAGGTAGCACTCTAATCTTAAGACGCGTCATTGCAATAACGTAGGGTGAAGCGGCAGCACCCGGATGCCCATTTGAAATAGCACTAATTAAGTTAGGATCATTAGCTGGACAAATAATTCCTACAGAAAGTGCTCCGATAATAAAAAAAGTTATCAATCTATAAAAGACAGCTTTGAAAGCTTTTGGCATAACTTTTCTGGGATTTTCTGCTTCACCCGCAGCCATTGATACATATTCTGGTCCCGCCATAGTAAAGGCGGCTTGTGTTAAGCATGCAAAAAACCCTAAGAATCTGCCCCATGATCCTGTTGAAATATACTCTTGAAAAGCACCTGGTTCTTTCCAATATCGAAAGCCATAAGCATCATGTTGGGGATTTCCACCAACCATTGTTATGAAAGTAAAAAATATCAAACCGATAGCCAACAAGACTTTTCCGATAGACATCCAATATTCGCTTTCACCATACCAGTGAACGGCAAAAACATTTATTGCTGCATAAAGCACAATTTGAATTACCATAGGAATCACTAAAGAATAATCTTTAAACCAAAAATGAAGAATGACATTGACTGCAGTTATTTCAAAGGGTATCATAATTGCTTCTAGCAAAAAAAAGTTCCATCCAGTCATTACTTCAAATGCTTCATCAACACATCTTCCGGCTAATCGAATAAAGGGAGAGGGTATTGGAAGATAAGATACCATTTCTGCAGTGGAGCTTGTTACGCAAAGAATGGGTATGCACCAAGCAATAAAGGCTAACAAAAGTGAGCCTGGCCCACCTTTCACTAAAGATTGACCGATTTGGACAAATAATGTTGTTCCTATTGTTCCTCCTATACCTATTAACTGAATGTGACGTGATTTTAATTTTCGTTGAGTGTATTCTTCTTTTGATATTTTGCCATTCTTAGTTTTGTTACTAATTGAACCTTCAATTTGAATGTTTTCTCCATCTATATTTCTATCGCATTCTAAAACCAAACAACTATTGACGTGAAAATCTGATTTATTTTTGCAGTCATTCACCGGGTACTGGTTTAATTGATTAATCGTACCATTTTCAACTATTTCAGGTGAATTTTTGATTCGGTTTAAAAGTTTCATTATTCTATAAAACAAGAAATCACAAAATAAAGAATATGGAATATGGCACAATATACAATTTTTTTATATTGTTAACAAGTTCAACGACAAAAATGCCAATATATAAAGCTTTATCACTACACTGATATTGCATACATTAGGTTTAAAAACTCAGTTCAATAATTTATGCAAGTATAAAATTTATATTTAAATTTTTTTTTCTTAATTGCAATGTCCAAGTCAAATCATTTCTTTATGGGACATTAAGTTTAAAACTAGCCAATATATTTTTAATAACCAGCATGAAACTTGAAAAAAGATTAGTAGTTAAAAGGAATGCAACTTTGGAGAAATCCATCACTTTTGGGTTACTATAGTTTTCAGGATTTTGTCAAAAGCTCTGTTTCTTTTCCAAAAAAACTTTGACGATTTAATTTTTTTTTGAAGTGTCTCTTGATTTTGTCTCTGGAGATGATGAGATGGATTTAAATTTGCCTAAATATAAACCCTTATTTTTTTTTAACAGTACAAGCAGCGGAAACAAAAATTCTAAACAAAATTTAAGATAGCGATAATCAAATAAACTTCTTTAAGTGAGTTGGTCAACTCACAGTATAGTAAAAAATAAACAAAACTTTCTAAAAGTACATAAAAACATACACAATTAATATATAATACAAGAAAAAAAAATCAATCACCTTTAATGAATGCTCCAAGTTTGCCGTACCAAGTGATTGGTTTTGTGTCTGGTGGTAAAGAATCAACGTGATCCTGAATTTCCTTTAACCCAGTGAACAAATCCACCTCAGAAGCCTTTTTGAATTTAGTTTTCTTAACAATTTTCCAAAATAAAAACACAAAAACACAAATGGGTATCATAATATACGAAAAAATAAAAGTTGGGACATCCCAATCAACAAAAACAGGGTATCCAGCCAGAAACATCATTGCAAAAGTACAAACCATTCCAATATAGGCAGCATAAGGTTGGAAATATCCACGGTAAGGTAGTGTTCTTCTATCAATTCCCTGAGCCTTCAAAGCATAGTAGAACCGAACATATGTAACACACAAGGTGCAAAAGTTAATAACTTGGGAAACTGTAACAAGGTTTACAATCCAATTTAAAACTGTTGAAGCCGTCTTCCCAAGCTGAAGAAAACCTAGAAATCCAAAAGCGAGAGAAAAAACAACTGCGACAATAGGAACACCCTTTTTAGTGCAAAAGGTAAATATTTTTGGAGCGTGCCCTTGAAGTGCAAGACCGTAAAGAGTTCTTGACGAGCAGTAGACATATGAATTACCGGCAGAAAATGCCGAAGATAGAATGAGTACGTTGACAATGTGAGGCAAAACGTTAATTTTCATCCTAGTCATACCAACTATATATGGCGAAGCTGCAGAACCGGAGTTACCGTTAGTAATAGCATCAATCAAGTTAGGGTCTCTGGAAGAAACAACAATTCCAACAGATAGGGCACCAAGAATGAAAAAGGTGATGAGACGATAAAAGACACTTTTGAAAGCCTTAGGCATAACTTTTTGTGGGTTCACGCATTCACCCGCAGCCATGGAAATGTATTCTGGTCCAGCAATTGTAAAAGCAGCTTGTGTCAGGCAGGCAAAAAATCCAAGAAATCTACCCCAAGAACCTGTTGATAGATACTCCAGAAAAGAACCAGGGTCCTTCCAAAATTGAAAGCCATAAGCATGGTGTTGTGGATTACCACCAACCATAGTAACGAACGTAAAAATGATCATACCGACTGCAAGAATTACTTTGCCCATGGCCATCCAGTACTCACTTTCACCATATAAGTCAACAGCAAAGACATTAATAAGAAAGTAGATGACCAACTGAAGAACCATAGGGATAGCTGGTGAGTAGTCTTCTCTCCAATAGTGAATAAGAACATTGACGGCTGTAAGCTCAAATGGAATCATGATGGCTTCAAAAAGAAAGAAGTTCCAGCCACACATGACTTCAAAAGCTTCATCTACACATCTTCCTGCCAGTTGAATGAACGGTGACGACAATGGAAGATATGAAACCATTTCGGCTGTTGAGCTTGTTACACACAGAATTGGAATACACCATGCAATGAATGCTAGTAATAAACTTCCTGGTCCACCCTTAACTAGTCCGTTTCCTATTTGAATAAACAAACCGGTACCGATTGTTCCACCAATACCGATCAGCTGAATATGTCTTGACTTTAATTTTCTATGAGTTTGTTCATATTTTGTAGATGCATTGTCCGAATCCTCGCTGGTATACTCTTGTATTTCATTTGTCGAGTAATTGTTTTTTTCCATGTCTCTTTGTGAAAAAGCTTTTGAAAATATTTTATAGTAGTTTTTTGACTCATTATCTAGGGAACCGTTAACCGTTTCCGCATCGGTCGTGTCAACCTCGCCTTGATTGCGATTACTTGATAACCTATTAAAGATTCCCATGCTTTGAGTTTTTGTTTTTCCTAAAATAAACGTTAGAATTTGTTATTTACAATTTAAGACCTAATAGTTTCAATATAGGTAACTTACACTAAAGTATGGTATATAACTAATAATTTAATAAGAAATGAGGAATAAAAATAAAAATAAGAAAGAAAAGAAAAAAAGGAAAAGGAAAAGAAAAAGAAAAAGAGAAAACTTAGTTTATTTATAAAAAAAAAATAGTTTTTTGGACAAATAAATCAACTAAAAATAAAATAAAATAAATGTTAATTTTTATTGAAAGTGTTTCGGTCCATCTAGGGTCCTGTACCTATTCTACATATTAACTTTAAAAATACACCTAAAAAACCTTTTTACTTTTAAATAAACAGCCATTTTATTTAAAATCAAATCCAATTATTTTTTATTCATAAAGCTAAGACATCTTTATTACGGATCTCGTTAATTGACTATACTTGTTTATAATAGCTATGTAATTTTTTTTTCTAATATATAATGACGATGTCATAATGGCTTAATTGTTTATTTAGTTTAAAAGGTGAAAAATTTTAACAAATAAAATTCTCAAGAAGTATATAAAAGCAAGATGGTGAGTGCGCAAGGACGAAGCATTTTAGAAAAAAAAAAAAAAAAAAAAAAAAATAATGACGTCACGAATACAGACGCGCACAAAACCGGTTTAACCTTACATATTTCAACAAAAAAGGTCATTATTATGGTATTAAAGACATCCAAAATAGAAACATCAACCCCCACCACGACTTGAAATTATTTTATGATTATTTATTTATTTATTATTTTTTTTTAAAGTTTTCGGATGCGGAAATCTGTAGATGAATAGGTTTTTTTTAAATCAATATGAATGAATATGTATAAAAGAAGCTATGAATATTTTCCTAGTCTGGGTGCAATATGTAACCACCGGGTATTTATCTCATTGCGCTCTTCAGCATTGAATGAATAATAAGATTGACTATTAGACTTAAACTATTTGCCTAAGCAGGTTAAATAAAATCTTTGCAGAGAAATCTTTTCAGGATTTGAATGAATTTCTTTGCTTTTAAAAATTTTAAAAATTGTTTAAGGTTAACAAAAAAAAATTAATGAAAATTTAATCATAAGAACAATAAAAAATTCTTAATATCCATTAATTAAATCAATAAGCAGACCATATAATTCTGTAAATATTAACAGATAAAAAATATAAAAAAAAATGAAATGGTTTGGTTCTCACGTCAAATAATGATGATATCGCACTGCTGTCAAGTGTATTGGTTACGTAATGCCTAGTTTCAATTAGGCATGCTTATATAAGTTGAATATTTCATGGTACATAACGTAATAACTTTGAATCGCGATCGAACAAGAAAGTTTTCAAACATATTACATAATACTAGTTTTATTTTTTTTTTTGTTACAACTACCTGTAACATCATATTTAAATCTACTTTTTGATATTCTCCACATCTATCGTCTTCCTTCTTTCTTTTAGTTCTCGCAACTTTGCACTTTTTTTTTATTCTTCGTTCAAGCTCTGATTAAACCTTTTAAGTATCCTACTTTTTTTTTTTTCACTTTTAATAAAAGAAACAAAATGAAATTCTTTGAGGATAAATTTTATCGAAAAGTCGCTATTGGCATAGGTGGAATAGTGGCATTTCAACTAATAGTGATGACAAGCGTCCTTCCTGGAATCTTGTTATTATCTGCATGTGGTTTTGTTGATTTGAAATCAATGGTTTCTAACAGTCTATATTTCCAGAATTTAACGAAACCCCTTTTTCTTAAATCAATTCTTTCCACTGCAGTCCCATTTCCATCGGTACCTATTTCAGATGCCTCTTTATCTTCTACTTCATTCGATTCCTCTCTTTCCCAAACTTCTGATCATTTGACTGAGAAATCTCTTCTTGAACTTAATCTTTTACTTGATCGACTTGAGTTAGATTCTACTACAAAATTTAATTTTCTCAGTGAAATCTTGAAACATTCACCGCCTAAGCGTAAGGGCAACGATAATCATGTTGTGGCTTTTAAAATGTCAGCTGAACAGAGTAACAACGACTCTATTAACAAAAAAAGTACCCTTAAAACTGAGTCAATCAAGATTTCAAAAAACAATGGAAAATCATATGCTTCAGTACTTTTTTCAATATTCTTCTCTTCAATATCATATGTGGGTCTGGCAACATTTTTTTACTCATGGTTATTAGGTCAAAAGAAGGAACTTGGGGCATTGCGGCTAATTGTAAGCAAAAATCTAATTTTGGACGTTAACCGTTTATCTTCCGAAGTTGCTACAATTTCTAAAAGCTTTTCTCCTGAAGGATTGGATGTTCTTCGAACTGACTTGTCTTCTTTACAGGATGACATGACTAAAATTACCGAGATTCAAAACAAACAGGAAGAGAATTATAAGAAACTTCAGAAAGACACTACCGATTTTCCTTTTATTGTTAGAAAATACTTGGATTTACGCCAAAATTTTGATCGAGTTACTCGAGGGCTGACTCCTCAATCCTCTTCTCCATCTATTTCTTCTCTTTCTTCAGCTTCTCCTCCTTGCTCTGATAATAATTCTGTCACAGAAAGCCCTATCTCTGTTTTGGATGATACCAACAAATCCAAAGGTGCAGTCGCATTTGATGGTCTTGAAGATAGTACAAATAATAATGATTTTGTTTTAAAAGAAGCTAAATCAGATTTTGAAACCAAGAAACCAAAGGATAGTACCCAAAACTATTTGGAGAAAGAGTCTGTGATTGAACAGATTCGACCATTAAATCAAACCAGAATGGTCAACTTAAAATTGCATTCTTTGCCAAATCATCCACAGGTAAACACTATAAATTCTTTCGGAACTCGTCAACACCATAATACCCCTCTTAATAACAATCAAAGAACTGGAAGATATAATGGCCACTCTAGTCTTGATCACGTTTTGAGCTCTTCTAATTTTCAAGAGTTAAATTCTTCTAAATATGGGAGTAATGCTTATCGATTATCACATAGCCGTTCTGGTATGCTATTTTTTTATATAGAAAATATTGCCGTGATGCTCTATACTAACTTTTATATAGACAGGTTAACTAATACCCAACGCAACAACTTCCATAACAATTATGGTTTAAGTAATAGCTCTTTACCAAAAGTCACTCGCCTTTCACCTAATATAGCATCTGTTATCAAAACTTTGGGATCTTCGTCTAGTTCTAGTTCTTCATCTCCTTCTTTTGAATCAACATTGCATCAACAATCTCCAAAGTTACCCTTGATTCCCGAAAAGATTGATACCCCTGATTTAATTTTTGGAGCTGAAGATGAAAAGGAGTTGTCTGCATCATTATCAACTAATCAATTGGAAAATAAGTCTTATCAGCTCTCTGATAATAGTACCACCACCATTATTATTATTATTATTCTGTTTTTAACTTAACTAACACTTTTTTTTTTATAGACACCAAGAAAAAGCTGCTCAAGACAGAGTTTGGGACATTTGATATTTCTACTGAATTGGGTAGAAAAGAATGGCTTCGTGCTATGAATACTTTCAATAATCAGCGGTCTTCTCTTAAATCTTCTGTTGAGGAAATTAGCAGTGCTCCCTTGGTATTGGGTGGAAATTCCTCTCCTGACCCAATTCAAGGATCTGTTGATGATTCATCATCACCTTTGGCTTTCAGCTCTTCTGACTCTGGGTGTGAAAGTGCACGAATTGAGTTTTTGATTCCCAAAAACACTAACATGAATGCTATGACTATTGCTGCCAATGCTCTTGTATCATCTTTGCCATCGCCATCTGCAGATCCAACAACTGCAATTGATTCTGCTAGCTGTGATTCTAAAAATGTTAATAGTTGCTCTGCTGAAGAACTTTTTGGATCTACCGCTGTAGAAGAATTGTCGAATGGTGAGGCGAAGATTGTTTTGGAACATAGGGATAAAGAATCCTTTGAAGAAACTGAACGCGTTGCAGTTGTTTTTACTCTTGATGAAATTAAGGCCAAGCTTGAAGAGTCTGAAAAGAAGAATTACCGTCGTTTGTTTTTACCCGGTAGAGGCTGGGTTTCTGTAAAGAAGCTACAAGAGGAGGCTATTGCAATGGAACAAAATAAGACTGAGACCTCTCAAATAATTCCTGGACTGATTGTAAATGCTGACAGCCGAAATGATGCATTGCCTATCCTAGTATCTGTTTCTTGAGATGACTTGTTATTTTATACATGGTTTACTAATTCTATGTATTTATATAAATTTATAAGGTTCTTGTAGTAGGTAGTTAATAGTAAATGGTGAAGTGTTGAGATTTTTTTTCTTGAGTTTTAATGATAAATTATTTAGTTTAAAATGAATTAAATTGATAGCTTAGCTTGGTAATCATTTTATTTAATTTTTTTTTTTTTTGCCACCATTTTTTAGCCTTTTAAATATATCTTCTTCTTATAAAACACACACAAAAATTACACTTTTTAAAAAATAAAAAATAAAACAAGAATAGTTATATTTTCCCTTTAGAAAAGCACATGGTTACTTCACAGAATACCAGGGGTTAACCTGAAATGGTGTACAGCTACTCTATTGTTTTTGAGACCGCAACGCAGCTTGAAGCGATTGAGTTAGAGCATCTACAGAAACAAGCCAAGGAAGAAAAGTTACGAGCCACAGCAACAAGAGATTCAGATATAACTGGGGAAGATACCAAGACTGAAGAAATTTCAACTCGTGCTATTCTTTCAGTTCCAGTTGACAATTGGTGTAAAATAGCCATTTCTAACAAGAACATCTTTTCCAATTTTGATTCTGTAAACACAACATTAAAAAAGAATCAACCAGTAAAAATAACTAGTAACAACCAACAGCATCATATCCACGACCCAGAACTTCAACAACACTTATCACTTGACTGGAGATTTGGGAAAATTGAAATCAGCGGCATTGACATGGATAAAATTCAAGCATCTTCTCCTCCATTAACCACATCAGGGAATGGAACTCCTGTTCCTGAAACAACACTTTTAGATACCCAGCCATTGGCTTTTGCATCTCTTCCACCATCTTCGCCACCTGCAGGGAGTAATAATGCACAAACAACACCACGACCTCGTTCAAAAAGTGTTATTATGAATGCACGACCTGATCTTTTAAAGGCCCGCTTTTTGGGATACGGAGTAGTTAGGTTATATAGAGGAGATGTTGACAGTGATGAACAAGAGTATCAGTATTCTTCTTGCACCCGACAACCTAAAAACAAAACTCAGGCCAAGTCAGTTAAATCAGAAGAAAAGGGGGAAGAGAATATTAGCACTATTCTTGCGATTCTTGCAGTCCCTTCGTACATGACTCCCTGTGATTTTATTGGGTTTATTGGGCCTAATGCTCGTGAGAATGTATCACATTTGCGAATGGTAAGAACCGCACAGCCTAATCGATACCTTGTTCTTATGAAGTTTCGGAATACAGAGTTTGCGGCTCAGTTTTATCGTGATTACAATGGGAAGTTATTTAACTCCATGGAAGCGGAGACGTGCCAGATTGTGAGCGTGAATCGGATCGAATTCCGCAACTATAATGGAGACGAAACACTTTTACGAGAACAGCGGAAACTTTCCAAGTCATTTTCTCGGGAATCAAGCGAATTTCCTTATTTGATGGAGGATCCCTTCACACAAGCAGCCAGAAATGAGAGTGCTATCGACGAAGAAGATGAGGAAGATATTTACAGTGACCCCAAAAAGGAAGAAAAGTCTCGAGATGGTCCAGGAGGAAGACGAAGTTTAACACAACCTCCAGCAAACAAACCGGCGCCACCTCCAACACCAATATTAACAGAGTTACCTACTTGTCCTGTATGCTTGGAGCGTATGGATGCAGCGACAACTGGATTACTTACTATTCCATGCCAACACACGTTCCATTGTCAGTGCTTGTCGAAGTGGAAGGATGGAAGCTGTCCTGTGTGCCGGTATTCACAGCGAGGGTCTGCAAAATCACGAGGCAGATGTGCAGTTTGCCAGGCACGAGAAAATTTATGGATATGTTTAATTTGCGGGCATATTGGGTGTGGTCGGTATGATAACGCTCATGCATTTGATCATTATGAGGCTACAGGGCACTGTTATGCCATGGATATTGAGACGCAACGAGTGTGGGATTATCTTAGTGATGGATATGTGCATAGGCTATTACAAAACCAGAATGATGGCAAGCTTGTGGAGCTTCCTGGGTTTTATCCTGGAAGTTCTGGTAGTAGTAGTGGCGAGGGAGGAAGTGGGCCACCTGGGGTCTCACCAGGAGAAGCTTGGGGTCATTCAGATACTGGAGCAGCATATGACGTTGCGAACGCAGCAATGAAGGCAGCAGATAATTCAGATAAAAAGGTGAGCGATATGAGCATTCATTTCACACAATTACTGTCGTCACAACTGGAATCTCAGCGTGACTATTATGAGTCGTTGATGGCCGCTTCAGCAGACAAGGCAGCGGCTGCGGTATCGCGTGCAACGAAGCTTGAGCAAGAGAATTCAAAGCTAGTTGAGGAAGCTGAAAAGTACGGCAAGAAGCGGGTTCCGGAACTTGAGCGAGAGCTTGAGAAGATGCGACAGAGAGCAGAGAAGCTTCATAAGTTGTGCACAAAGCTGGAGGGATCGTACCGGGAGGAGAAGTTGATTGGGGAAGAAACAATTAAGAAACTGAAACGACTAGAGGAGGAATCAGCAGCGCGGGACGCGGAAGTTGACGAGCTAAGGGAAACGGTACGAGACCTAATGTTTTTCCATGAAGCGCAAGCTAAGTTACAGAATGCTGGAGAAGATATTCAGGAAGGGACCATTATTATTCCAGAAAACCCACCGATGATTCGGAAAAAAGGAAAGAAGAGCCGATAATAAGATGATCCGGGTACCGGGCGGGTCTTTGTAAGTTTTTTTTTTTGCGTTACAATGCATAGATGCAGTTGTAACAAAGATGTTTAAATAGGAAATTTTTAAGAGATGAGCCGACGAAAAAAAAAAAAAAAAGCGGTTGGAGAGAGAGAAGAATGGCTGTCGACAAAAAAAAAAAAAAAAAAAAGAAAATAAAAAATTAAAAAAATTTTTTTTTTCTCTTTTGAATTTTTTTTTTTTAATTTCCTTCCTTTTTACTCTTTATAAAACCAAAAATACCAAAAAAAAAAAAACAGAGATTATTTTTTTGTTATAAAATATAATCTTTTTTAAGTACTTTTGATTTCCAGGAATCTATTTGAAATATAAATAAATATGTCTACCAACTCGATAAAGCTCATTGCCGGTGACGTTCACCGGGGCCTTGCGGAATTAGTCGCTGACCGGTAAGTCATTTGCAAATTAATGTGGAGAAAAATGGTTCAAAATGGTGATGACAAAAAAAAATAAATAAATAAATAAAACGGTTCTTTCATTTTTTTATTTCATTTGATTTGATTTGATTTGAAAATAATTATTACCCTTTGATATGATACCCAAAGCTTTCTAGGATTATGGGAGTTGGTATCCTGGGGATTTACTACAAGCTAGTTATTTAGTTATCATTTGTTGCATCACCACCATCACCACCACCAACCGTTTTTATTTTTATTTTTATTTATTTTTTCTGTTCTTAAAAACTGACTGTGGGTAGATTGGGTCTTAAGCTCTGCAAAGTTGATGTTTTCCGAGACTCTAACCGAGAAACCTCTATTACCATTGGCGAGTCTGTTCGTGATGAAGATGGTAAGTTTTATAATATAAGGGAAGAGAGACCCAATGAACGCTTGGGGAAATAATCCGAAAGAAAAAAAAAAAAAAAATTAAAAAAAAATTTAAAATAAGATGGTATGCTAACCACACACATCAGTCTACATCATTACCCAGATTGGCTCTGGCGACGTAAATGACCGAATTCTGGAACTGCTGATTATGATCAATGCATGCAAGACAGCCTCTGCACGAAGGATCACAGCAGTTCTGCCCAACTTCCCCTATGCGCGCCAGGACCGTAAGGACAAGAGCCGTGCACCCATTACAGCCAAGCTGATGGCCAACATGCTGGAGACAGCCGGATGCAATCACGTCATCACGATGGATCTACATGCGTCTCAAATCCAAGGTTTTTTCGACGTGCCTGTGGACAACTTGTACGCTGAACCCAGTGTTGTGAACTACATTAAGCAAACCATTGATTACAACAATGCCATCATTGTTTCCCCTGATGCCGGCGGTGCGAAGCGAGCTGCTGCTCTTGCCGACCGGTTGGACCTGAACTTTGCGCTAATCCACAAGGAGCGTGCACGTGCCAATGAAGTCTCACGAATGGTTCTTGTTGGAGATGTGTCTGACAAGATTTGCATTCTGGTGGACGATATGGCAGATACCTGCGGTACACTTGCTAAGGCAGCTGAAACTCTTTTGAGTCACAATGCACAGTCGGTTATTGCGATTGTGACACACGGTATTCTGTCAGGAAAGGCCACGGACATTATCAACAAGTCGAGGTTGGCTAGCGTTGTGTGCACCAATACAGTTCCTCTGGAGGGTAAGGACCAGCTGAGTAGCAAGATTGCTACTATTGATGTCAGTCTTGTTCTTGCTGAGTCGATTCGTCGTTTACACAATGGTGAAAGTGTGTCATATTTGTTTAGAAACGCTCCTTTGTAAATGGGGACGGACACTTTAATTAATTTTTTTTTACTATTTTTATAAGGCTAAAAAGAAAAAAAAAAAAAAAAAAACTTTTGATATATATATAGTAGTACCTATGATGGTTATGTTAAAGGTTGTATTTTTCCGGATCAAAATCTGATAAACTTTCAAGGACTTGTCCACTCAGAAGGGCGTTTTCTTCATGAAGCAGTTGTGCCTCTATTGTTTCGGACCCAAGAGCCTTGCGAACTTCGTCCTGGGGGACCCACACAAAGTTCATTCCAGCAGATTTGGCTGCAGTAACACCAATGAGTCCGTCTTCAAAAACAAGACACTCTTCTGGACGAATAGGGTCCTGGCGACCGGCATTGAGAGAGTCAAGGGCGACAAGCCAAATATCCGGAGCGGGTTTGCCGCGGCCTGGAGGGATACGAGGGTCATCACCAGTGATGACAAGATGATTGGGGAAAAGGTCGAATTGTTTTGAAGATTCGGTGGTTCGGAGGTGGCCTGTTTTAAGTTTAAAGTTGGGTTTAGAGGTAGATGTTGCAAGGGCTATTGGGGTTCCGTTTGAACTTAAACGTTCAAGCAGAGGTAATGCTCCAGGTAAAAACTGGGTACGTCCTGGCCATTTAGCACGTTGTCTTCGAGTAGTTTCAGCAAAAAAAGATTCAGGGGATTCCATGTAAGGGAACTCTGTAGTCAACTGAAGGAGGAATTGGTCTAGGTCTTGCTGGTCAGCTGATGTAGCATGGCGCTGGGAAATAAGCCATGGTAAGATCACAGCAGCAGCAGCAGGACCTGGGCGGCCCTGCATTTTAATTCTTAAGGCCCAAGGGACTGGAGGGAGACCATGTTCTGCGGCGATCTCGTTGATTGTTTCTGTATAGATGTGCTCGGAATCGATGAGCAAGCCGTCCATGTCTGAGATTGTGAGTGGGGACGGAAAGTGGAGCTCAGAAGCCTATAGAGGTTCACAAAAGACTTACCAAAAAGACAAGCTTTAATTGAGCTGAGGAAATGGAAGTCATTAGAAAAGGATATGAAGAAGTATTTGAGAATTGTTCATACGGATTGGAGGTCATTGTGGTTGTTGGATGTTGAATTTTAGATGTTGAATTTTTATGTGTTGTTGAAAGATTTTAATTTTTTAATATTTTAATTTTTAATTTTTAATTTTTTAATTTTTAATTTTTAATTTTTTAATTTTTAATTTTTAATTTATTTTTTATTATTTTTTATTATTTTTTATTTTCACTACCACCACCACCATTACCACCACTAAATATCACCTGAACAGCCCAGCCTTCTGTCAGATCACCATGGTGCATAATAATAATAATATAATTAATTATAATATATTATATATATAATATTATTTATTTATATATAATATGCAATATGGTAAGACGACGACGACGACGACGACGACGACGACGAAAGTTTCTGTGCGCGAGAAAAGAAAATTTTTTTTAATATTATTTCCATTATTTCTATTATTTTATTATTTTATTATTTAAAAAAAAAGATTATTTTCTTTTTCAAGACACATGGCGCATGAGGAGTGCGGCCACTGAGACATTGAGAAAACGGGAGGGTCTTTTTTTTTTTTATTAATTTTTATTAATTTTTTATTAATTTTGATAATTATTGAACAAGAGTGAGATTACAATATTGAAAAAAAAAAAAGATTTTATTTTTTAATTTATAAATATATCCAAATCATTAATAAATAAATACCAAAGAGATATATATATATATATATATATCAAGGAAAGATAAAATTTACAAGTTCTAATTTTTGATAATAATAATAATAAAAAAAAAGGACTGTTTAATTCAAAGTCAATTTCTCTCGGGATGCTTTCACCCTGAAAACTTTCTTGTCTCACCGCTATAAGCGCATGTCGTTTCAGATTCTCCCTTTAAAAAAAATAAATAAATAAAAAGCTTAGAAAAAAAATAAATAATAATCATAATAATCATAATAATATGGGATTTTAAGAACTTTAATCATGATGATGAAATTATCTTCATCCAAAAATAACACTCAGGGCGGAAGAGACTTTTATTTAGTTATTTAAATACCTGAGATCCCCCTCTTTCTTTTATATCTTTTAGAATATCTAAACATTTCCCTCAAAATCTTAAATATATATATATACATATATACCCTTTAATGCTCCTTGAAGCCATGTCGAGCGGCAGATACTACGATGCTTACACAAACTTCCATCCAAACCCATATGGTTCTCCAGTCTCCCAGGTCAAAAACATGTCTAATATAGGACAATATATAAATAGTAAGCTCTATATATCCTTACATATACACACACCCTTAAGATCCTTCTAACTCATCCAGAACGATCAATCAGATCGTTTATTCTGTGCTTACTACTATTTTGCACAATCTTTTTACTCTTCTATCAACAAGACCCAGACACCCCAGTTTTCCCAGCTTTTTACAGAACACCCATGGATGTTGAGGAAGCTACTACTTTGGCAGGCCAGCCTCTATATGACCAAGCTCAGCCCGGTGGTGCAGACTGGCGCAGCATTTTGCGCGACATTCAAGAGAAACGTCGGCTACTGCGAGAAAAAGAAAACATGCGTGACAAGAAGACACTTTATGAGCAACCGCTTGAAAATACCAATCCCACAATAAAAGATGAAACATCTAAAGATACGGAAAATATACAAGGCCCCACTGTGGCAAAACGTGCCAGTGCAGCGCTTTTAAACAAAATTAAAACCCGGCGGCGTAGTATAACCTCAGCACAACAAGCAGCCCAAAAGTTTGGCCAGTTCAAGCGTCAGTTCCTCACCTCGCGCTCCTTTTTCCACGAGTACCCAGAAAATAATAGATTTGAGAGTGATGAGTCCTGGCGCCCTACAGAAGTGTTCCCAGATTCTCCGGTAGTTCTGAGGCAAACTTATGATTCATCAGTAGTTCTAGGGGCTGCAGCAGCTGCTGTTGCAGAAGCAGGTGCCGATGTAGCTGCCATTCCAGCTTACTTCCCAGGCCAACTTAGCAGTGCTCAACTGCGGCGCAAGCGTGATGAGGCCGAGTCAAAAGCACTTCATCCGGAAACTTCCAAGTCTGCATTTTTCGCCAAACCATTCAAGTCATGGGACCATGAGCTTCAGCAGGAGGCGCGTGGGGAGAAATTCCAGCCACGGCCAGCTGGAGCAGGGCAACAAATTCTCAAATCCCAAGATGAAGAAGAGCAATTGGCTGTTGAAACACAAAAGGACCAATACCGTCATTATGGAACTCCAGAAAAGGGATTTTCACCAGAAAATAATAATAATAATAATAATAATAATAATCAGAAGAAGAAGAAGGTTGGACTATCGCATGAAAAACAACGGGAAATGCAACAACAAATTCTCAATTCTAAAGTATCGCGATCCCAGCATATGCAACAGTACCTTGCCAATGACTTTGGCGAAGGCACTGAGCGCATATTTTTATTGATGAAAACTGGGCGTTCGGTTCAATGGGAACGATTGCCTACACATTTCTTTACGACTTTTACGCGGTTCCCCAACTTTGCCATTTACTCTGATGCCGCCAGCTCCATGGCAGGGTATGAGATTATTGACATTTTACAGGACTTGCCTATGGAGGTACTAAAGGATCGACAGCTTGGGTTGTATGTGGAACAGCAAAAAATGCGACGAGATCATACATATGCTGATGGGATTCGTAAGGATGAGAGGCCTTGGATAATGGACAAGTTTAAAAATATTCCAATGTTGCAGCACGCGTGGCGACATGCTCCGGATAACGATTGGTATGTGCTTGTTGACGATGACACTTACATTTTAAGTGACAATCTGGGACAATGGCTTGCGACATTAGATCCCAACAAGCCATATTATCTGGGGTCTGCAGTTGCAGGGTTGCAACACATTTTTGCACATGGCGGGTCCGGGATCATTTTATCGCGAGGGGTAATGGAAATGGCGTTTGGTCATGATAAAACAGATGAGTGGGTGGACGAGTATAGCTCTCGTGCATTACGTGAATGCTGTGGTGACTACATGCTTGCTGCGTTTCTTAAGGAAAAGTTAGATGTTGGACTCAATTTGTCTGTGAGTGGGAAACGGTTTCAAGGTGAAGATTTTACCCTGGCAGCTTTTAATAAGCAAAACTGGTGTTCGGACATTGTATCATTTCATCATGTAACACCACGGTCCATTGAGCTTCTATGGGAGTATGAACGAATCCGAGGGTACGCAGCACATGCTCGTGCAGGCCACGTTTTCTCACCACAAGATGGGCTTCAGGCGCACCAAGCTCGAACCATATCTTATGGTGATTTGTATACAGATTTTGTCAAGCCATATCTGTTACCGATGCGTGATATGTGGGATAATGGAGCAAAGGAAGTTGAATTTTCTTGGGCGCGAGATGTTTTATCTGGTCATGCAAATGTGGATGATTATTTAAGAAATGATGGCAATAGTGATAAGGCTTATACATCTGTGGATAAATGTAGACAGGCATGTTTGGCACGAGCAGATTGTTTAATGTTTAGATATGACCCATACCAAAAGTATTGTGGGTTTGCTGCATCAGTGTCATTTGGTCATCCACGTACATCATACCAGGATAACGAGGTGAGACGTCTACTTAAACAACATGGTATTGTACAACCTCCACGAACAAAAGACGATGCCATGCACTCAGAGTGGCGTTTGGATCGCATTGAAGCGATGCGCACTAAAATTGCATGCGATCCACCACCTGAAAACCAAGATTATGATGATGGTCGGGAGGGTTGGTACTGGCGAGCTCGTGAACAATCATCTGATTCCTTGTTAGATCAATTCAAATAGTAATGAATAAAAAAGCACATATTATAAAAATATAAAAAAAAATTGTAAAAAATATGTAAAAAAAAAACAGTTTCTTTCTCTTCATTATTTATTTATTACTATTATCATATATTGCACAAAACATCATCAACAACAAAAGCCAGTTTTATTCATTTATTCCTTTCCCATTTCCACATTTCCTTCAATGTTTTAAAAAAAAAAAAAATAATAATAAATTTCATTTTTTTTATTTTTTTTTTAATACTCATTGGGCTCGTCATAAGGCGAGTCAGCAGCAACCTCCTCATAGTCTCTCTCCAGAGCAGCCAAGTCTTCACGGGCCTCGGAAAACTCACCTTCTTCCATACCCTCACCAACGTACCAATGGACAAAGGCACGCTTTGAGTACATGAGATCGAACTTTTGGTCGAGACGGCTCCAAGCCTCGGCAATGGCGGTTGTGTTTGAGAGCATGCAGACGGAACGCTTGACCTGGGCAAGATCTCCACCAGGGACGCATCGTGGGGGTTCGTAGCAAATACCAATCTTGAAACCTGTGGGGCACCAGTCCACCAGCTGGATAGACTTCTTTGCCTTGATGACTGCGACAGCTTGGCCAACATCCTTGGGGACAACATCACCACGGTACAACAAGCAGGTAGCCATGTATTTTCCGTTGCGGAGGTCGCACTTGACCATTTGGTTGGAGGACTCGAAGCAGGAGAAGGTAATATCAGCGACTGAGTTGACTTCGTGGTTTGCTCTAGCGACAGAAAGGACTGGGGCAAAAGTGGTAAGGGGGAAATGGATACGGGGGAAGGGGACCAAGTTAGTTTGGAACTCATTCAAGTCGACATTCAATGAGCCATCGAAACGGAGGGAGGCTGTGACGGAAGAAACGACCTGAGCAATGAGGCGGTTAAGGTTTTCGTAAGAGGGTCTAGGGATATCGAGACTTCTGCGGCACATGTCATAAATGGCCTCATTGTCGACCATAAAGGTACAGTCTGAGTGTTCAAGGGTTGAGTGTGTAGTGAGGACCGAGTTGTAAGGCTCAACGACGGAGGTAGAGTTTTGAGGGGCAGGGTAGACTGCAAATTCGAGTTTAGATTTTTTGCCATAGTCGACCGAGAGGCGTTCGAGAAGCAGGGCACCAAAGCCAGAACCGGTACCACCACCAAAGGAGTGAGAGAAGAGGAAACCCTGGAGGCCGTCGCAATTGTCGACAACTTTGCGGACACGGTCCATGACTTGGTCAATGAGTTCTTTACCGACAGTGTAGTGGCCACGGGCATAGTTGTTTGCGGCATCTTCCTTACCGGTGATGAGTTGTTCTGGGTGGAAGAGATCACGGTACTTGCCTGTTCTGATTTCGTCAACGACATTGGGTTCCAAGTCGACATAGATGGTTCTTGGGACAAACTTTCCGGTACCTGTATTGAATTGAAATTGAAATTGAATTGAAATTGTAAGTTAGTTAGGGGTAAGGGTAGGGGGGTGGGGAGGGGAGGGTAAAGGTTTGTTAACAAATAGATGGATAGAGGTGAATAGAAATGAATAGAGATGAATGGGTAGATTAATAAGATTCAAAAGTACTAACCAGTTTCAGAAAAGAATGTGCTAAAGCCTTCATCACGGTAGCCAGCGTTTCTCACTTCACCCGAGGGGAAACCATCAGGTTGAATTCCGTGTTCGAGACAGTAGAGCTATGATTTGTAAGTTAGAAAGAGGTTTCAACAAAAGAATGGAAGAATGAAAGAGAAGAATGGCATACCTCCCAGCAAGAGTTACCAATCTGGCAACCAGCTGTTATAATTATTAAATGTTAGTGAAAAAAAAAAAAATAAATAAGGAATCAAAAATTATATATATATATATATATATATATATATATATATATATATAGGAGATAAAAATTGAATCATAAAGATTAGCAACAACACGTACCTTGGCCAACTAGATAAAAAAAAAAACAAGTAGATCGTTAGTATATATATATATAATTAAATTGATAATATATATTATTATTTTTGATTAATTGCATACCGTTAATACTGATGACTTCTCTCATGGCAGATTATATATAAATAAAAAATGGTGATAATTGATGATGATGATGGATTGGATAGAAAGATGAGAGAGGATAAGAAAAAGGTGTATATAATAAAAGGGAGGTTTTGTGGTGGTGGTGGTGATGAAAAAAGGGGGTTTATTTTTTTTTTTTTTTTTTTTATAAATATAAATATAAATATATATATATGTGTGTGTGTGTATATATTTCTGAGCAAGGGGGGTGGAAGACAGAGGTGGTTGTGGTGGAAAGTTAATTTTTTATTTATTTTTATTTATTTTTATTTATTTTTATTTATTTATTTTTATTATTTAAAAAAATTTTTGGTGGTTGTGGTGGAAATATTTCAAAGGGGATGTTGTTGTTTATTAAAAAAAAAAAAAATAAAAATTTAAAAAATAAAAAATTAAAAAAAAAAAGTAAACAAACGGCTTTAACATATTTGTAATGGTTATGTTATGATTATATAATATTAAAATTTTTTAATTTAACCAAAGTTGTGTTATTTAAACTTAAATGTAGTTATTGTTATTGTTATTATTATCAACCCATTTTGAATTGCCTACGTAAGCATAACTTTCTTTTCTTTTTTTCTTGTTATAGCTGATTTCTTCTTCTTCTCCCCCTTTGCCCTTTGCCCCCCCCCCACTTTTGTCGACGTCACAGGGCTTTTAAAAAGTGGTGGCAATTTTTTTTTTTTTTTTGGTTTTAAAAAAAAAAAAAAGAAGAAGAAGAAAAAGAAAAAAACCCGTTTTTGATCTTTAAAAAAATGAAAATAAAAAAAATAAAAAGACAAGTCAATAAATATTTAAATTATATATAATTAATTAATATTATTATTATTATTATTTTAACTATATTAAAAATAAAAATAAAAATAAAAATAAAAAGTTATTTTTTTTATTAAACTTCAATAAATTTCAATAAACTATTTATCAATTCACCACAACCAAACATAACTTGCGGGGAAAGCTGCCTTATTAGGCCAAAATTTTTTTTTTTCCCTGTTGCTGCTGCTTCTGCTGCTTCTGCTGCTTCTGCTGCTTCTGTTGCTTCTGTTGATGCTGCTGCTTCTGTTGATTTTACTGATGCTGATACTCAATCTTTCATACGGGCGCGTGACTTCCGTATATTTTAAAAAAAAAAAAAAAAAAAAAAAAAATTTTTTTTATTTAATTTTTTTATTTATTTCTTCGAGGATGGTTTTCAACAAAAAAAAAAAAAAAAAAAAAAAAAACGGCATCAAATTGTTAATTAAAATAATTTTAACTGGCAATAACAACAGGCAAAACAGTAGTATTAACAATAGAAGTGGCAGTGGCAGCAGCATAATTTTTTTTATGAAAACCACCACCCCGCGCCTGCGCGCGCGTGGCCCATTTTTTTTTTTTTTTTTACATAAAACAAAAAAAACTTTTCAAAAAAAATTTAAAAAAATTTAAAAAAATTTAAAAAAAAAAAGTTTGTATGAATTTTTCATTCTTCTATATATATTTATGCAATTAAATCAAAAAGAAATCATATATAAAGAGCTCAAAAAATCATTTTTTAAAATAGTTTTTTTTTTTTTTTTTTTTTTTTTTTTTTTTTTATTTATTTATTTATTTATATATCATCATCATCATCATTATTATTATTATTCACTAAAGATAACAAACAATAAGCTTATCAGTAATAACAACAACAACCACAATCAAAAAAAAAATAAAAATAAAAATAAAAAAAAATGACCCAACAAGACCAAAATCAACTCATGGAAACTGCAAAAACTATTGCAGACCAGTTTAAACTTCCAGAAAATGGATACCTTCAAAAAACTGTTGAAGAATACGTTAAACAATCCCTTCATGGTCTTGCCCATCAAGACCCAGTAGGCATCCCAATGTTACCCTCATTTGTCTCTTCCATGCCCACGGGAAAGGAAAAGGGTACCTTTTTAGCCCTTGACTTGGGAGGAACTAACTTTCGTGTATGTCTTGTTAAACTTTTAGGTAACTCAAAGCATACGATTGATCAAATTAAAGAAGCTGTAAATCCAGAGATTATGGCTTCTGATATGAAGACTTTTATCTCACACTTGGGTGATCGTATTGTCAGTTTTTTGGAAATTTATTATCAATCTTTCCTTGAGCAATGTGCACACGACCCAGAATCAACTCCAGAACTTAAAGCTGGATTTACCTTTTCATTCCCCCTTCATCAAACAGCAGTCAACCGTGGAACTCTTATCAGATGGACAAAGGGTTATAGTATTAATGATGCAGTTGGTAAAGACATTTTGCAAGCCTTGCAACAAGAACTTGATTCAAGAGGCTTACGACTCCACCTAACTGCTGTAATTAATGATACAGTTGGTACATTACTAACACGCTCATACTCTAAACCAGTTGGGTGCGGCCCAACCATTATTGGGTGTATTTTTGGAACAGGCACTAATGGTGCTTATAGTGAACCCTTGGCTAACATTACCAAGTTGGGAGCTGAAGAGCTTGCTCACGTGGCTCCTGGTAAGGATAGTATGGTAATTAATACTGAATGGGGTGCCTTTGATAATGCCCTCAAGGTAATTCCCAATTGTAAGTATGATAAACTTTTGGATGCAAATACTCCTAACCCTGGGTTCCATATGTTTGAAAAACGTGTCAGTGGAATGTTTTTGGGTGAATTGTTGCGTATTATTATGGTGGAGTTGCATGATGCTGGACTTTTGTTTACCACAAATGAAGCCCTTGAAGCTCTTAAATACCCGTCGCCTGCTCATGCCAAGGATGGCAAAACACAGAATGCTTTGCGAGTTCCTTGGTCAATGAATACTGCAGTTCCTGCAACACTTGATGGTGAAAGCAACAACAATAATAATAATAATAATAACAATAATGACGACTTTACCCATTCACGTAAAATTATGTATGAGCATTTGGGCTTTGAACCTAATCAAGATGAGTTGGCTGCTCTGAGTGTCATTGCTTGTGCCATTGGTAAGCGTGCTGCGTATCTTTCGGCCGTGCCTTTGGCTGGTGCTGTATTACATTCAAGAGCTCTTGAACGGTTTGATACTATTGATGTGGGTGCAGATGGTAGTGTTATTGAACATTATCCTCGGTTTCAAGAAATGATTTTTGAGGCTTTGGAACAGACTGAATTAGGTTCTAAGGGAGTTGCTCGCATTACAATGGGAATTGCAAAAGATGGTAGTGGAGTTGGTGCTGCCTTGTGTGCATTGGAGGCTGAAGGATGTTTGTGAAAAGAAAAAAAAAAAAATTAATAATAATAATTATGTCGTTTCTTTTTTTTTTTTTTGTTAAAATATTTTTGTTTATTTAAGTTTATATTTAAGTTAATTTAATTTAATTTTTTATTTTAATTTTTTATTTTAATTTTTTATTTTAATTTTTTATTATAATTTTTTATTTTAATTTTTTATTATAATTTTTGATTTGTAGTTAATGGAAACTTTATAATGATTTTTGAATGGCCATAATTAACGACAAAAAATAATATTATTATTATTAATAATAATAAAAAAATAATATTTCTGTGTGTGTATAAAAAAAAACAAAAAGGTTTTTTTTTATTTATTTTTTTTATAATTTTTTAAACCAATGATATTCAAACATTATTCAAAATATTAAATAAAAAAGTAAAAAAAAAGAAAAAAAAAAATTAAAAACAATTTTTTTTAGATTTTTTAGATTTTTTAGATATTTTAGAAATTTCTTCTTTAATTTAATTTAATTTTTTTTTTAAAAGGTATTTTTTTATTTTTTTTTTGTTAATTTTATTTTAAAAAAAATAATTGTAAATATATACCCATCATTTTTTTTTTATTATATTATAAATAATTATTTATATATATTATTAATTTTATTATTAATTTTAATATTAAAAAAAAAAAAAACTTTGCATCTTTATATAATTTAATATAAGAAAAAAAAAACAATACAGAAATAAAAGAAGACGAAGACCCTGAAATTTAATGTGATATTTAATGTGATAATTTTTTTTTTTTTTGTAAATTCAAACGTTTATATATATATATATAAATAAATAATTCTTCTAATTTTTTCAATTTTAATTGAATTTTATTATTATATTTAAATTTAAAATAAATTAAAAATTAAAAATTGAATTCAAAAAAAAAAAAAAAAAAAAAATCTTTCCTTTCTTTTCTTTTCTTTCTATTATCAAAAAAAAATAATAATAATTTCTCTTCTATTCATATTTAAATGCACAGCTGAATCAGAAACCAACTTTACTTCTTCTTTTTCTATTTCTATTTTTCTCTTCTTTTAGATTTTTTTTTGTTTTTATTTTTTTTATTTTTTTTATTTTTTTTATTTTTTTTTTTTTTTTTTTTTTTTTTTTTTTTTTTCAAATGGACCCTGTTTCAAAATTGTTAAAAAAGAAAAAAGAAAAAAGAAAAAAAGAAAAAAAAAAAAACTTTGTTTCTTCCATACATTTTCAACGTTCTTTTTTTCTTTCCTTTTTTTTTTTTTCTTTGGCTTAACCTTCTTTAATCTAAAACTTCATTCTCAACCAACTATTAATTGTTATTATTATATTTATTATTATATATTTATTCTTCTTCTTCTTTTTTAAAAAAAAAAAATAAAAAATAAAAAAAATGCCATCTACCCCTTTTATCTTTTTTTTTTTTTTTTTTTTCTAATCACCGCCTTTAGAATCTTAACTTTTTTAATCTTTTCAATTATATATATATATATATATAGTATCCCAACCCCTGATTCACTTCATGGTTATTAAATAAAATTTTATTTTATTTTTTTTTTTCATTCTTTAACAAATAAATAAAATATAATAATAATAATCATCATACTCCTCCACCCCCTATATTCGCCTGTACCTGAGAAATACCATCCGCTAGTTCCTACAGCCGCTTTTTCTGATTGCCTGTCTTTATTATTTATTATTATTTACTATAATATCTTATTTGCGCGGTTTTTCCAACAATATTTTTTAGTGTAATAACTAATATTTTTTTTTATCAATCCCAAAACAAAATAAAACTTATAATCATTTTCACATTCACATAAAAATTTATAAACACTCATTATATATAAAAAAAAATAAAAAAATAAAAGAAAGTTAAAAGTAAAAATTAAAAATAAAAAATAAAAAATAAAAAAAACCTTAAACAAATATTTCACTGCATCGACCGATTGAAATCAGGAGGGCCCATGTATGGATACTGCTGATGTTGTTGTTGCTGCTGCTGCTGCTGCTGCTGTTGATGCTGATGTTGTTGTTGTTGGCCAGCTGGTTGATGTTGGAATTGCTGGGGCTGTTGCTGCCCAAATTGAGGCTGCTGCTGTGGCTGTGGCTGTTGCTGTTGCTGCCCAAATTGAGGCTGTTGCTGCAACGAAAGTTGAGGCAGCGGAATCTGCCCGTAAATTCTGTGAGAATGGCCCGACCCGCTTGCTTGCCCATACATTGTTGAAGTAGACGAAGATGAAGACGATGAAGACGATGAAGACGAAGACGATCCAGCAATTGGAGCATGTGTATATGATGAAGGACCAACACCCCCATAATTCGGCTGCGAAGACTGAGGTCCATGTCCAATATATCCTGGAAAGTACCCACCACCCCATGGGTTATAGTGAGGATGGATATTTTGATAAGCATACGACCCATTGCTTGAACTTGGACCAGCACCAGAACTAGAACTAGAACCAGAACCATAATTGCTATTCCCAGCGCTGCTAGTACTAGAACCTACACTACCAGAGCTGCCAACACTATGATTAGTTACTGTTCTAGTCATGACACCTGCAGTGGCTACACCACCACTGCCACTGCCGCTAGTGCTACCTCCAAATCCTCTGGTAACAGTAGCAGTCGCAGTGCTACCACCAGCACCATAATTTGCAACATACTGCTGCTTTTCCTGAGAAGCACGTCGATCATAGTCACCATGTCCTGGGGGACCATCCCGAGGAACAGGACGACGGTTTTCGGAACGCCAACCTTGGCGTTTATTCTGAAACCAAATCTGTACTGTTCGGGGCGACATTCCCAACTCTAAGGCCAAATCCATACGTTGAGTACTGGTTGGGAAAAATGTCTCTGTAAAAATCTCATTGAGTCTACCTGTTTGCTCAGGAGTAGCTCGTTTGCGCTTAGGCTTGACTGGTCTATTTGCAAGCATGGCCAAGTGTGCCTCGCGATTGTTGGGATCATTGTCATTGTTGTTATTGTTATTATTGTCATTATTATTGTCATTGTTATTATTGTTGTTATTATTGTTGTTATTGTTATTGTTATTGGGATGATAGTTAAAATTGTTTTGACCATTGCTAGGACCAGCACCTGAATTGTTACCAACAGCGGGAACGGCCCCAAAAGAACCAAAAGATGATGTGGCGTTTGTAGCTGCAACACCAGTATTGCCCATGCTACTTCCACCAATCCCACCTCTCATTTCTCTAGTAACCGAAGGGACTACACCCATTTGACCTATTTGACAATTAGTTTATAATTTTGGTTTAAAGGGAAAAAAAAAATTTTCACATACCATTAAAATATGATTGAGTCCCATAAACACTTGCGGAACCAGTTGAAGCTGGAGGAGCTGTTGCATTAGAATAGAATCCAACTGGAGGAGTGGGTGGGAATGCAGTGTTGTATGCTACAGTGTTACTTTGGTTGTATGAATATTGAGGAGCGTTACCATTGTAGAGATAGGTTTGTTGTTGTTGTTGTTGTTGTTGTTGTTGTTGTTGTTGTTGTTGTTGTTGTTGTTGTTGTTGTTGTTGTTGTTGTTGTTGTTGTTGTTGTTGTTGTTGTTGATAATAAACGGGTTGTTGTTGAGGTGGGGGCAATTGATGTTGATTATTATGATACTGCTGCTGCTGCTGTTGCTGTTGCTGTTGCGGCTGTTGCGGCTGTTGCGGCTGTTGCGGCTGCTGCGGCTGCTGCTGCTGCTCATGATTAACATTTCCTGCATAAAGATTGGGTTGTGAATGTGTTTGGTAAAGTGGGTACGAAGGTTGTTGGTTAAAAGTTTGTTCCGGGGTAATAAACTTTGATTGAGATGAGTTGGATGGAGGAGAGGTGTTTGAAAAGTACGAGCTTGCAGAACTAACAGAGTACTGATCAGGGCTTCTATTAGAAGAAGAAGAGGAAGAAGAAAGAGATGGTGAAGTGTTTGCAGAGTAAGCATTTGTATAAGATGGGAAAGAAGAAGAAGAAGAAGGTGCATTGTTCATAGAGTAGTATGACTGTGGAGGAGACCCAGAGGTTGGAGGCATGTTATGAGCAGAACCTGAGGAAGAGGAGTCAGAGACAGCAGGAGAAGCCATTTCAAGTTGGCTGGAGATAGACAAAGATCTTCTATTGCTAGTAGATGCGGCAGAAGAAGAAGAAGAAGAAGAAGAAGATGCTTGTTGGGTGGAAAGCAGAGTATTAATTGAAGGAAGTTTAAACGTTGAATCGCAGTTAGGGTCAACCGATGGAGGCAAAAAGGGAGCCGGAGGAATAGCCTGAGCAGACATGTATGAAGAAGAGGAAGAAGAGGAAGAATTGGGAAGGGTTTGATATAAATGGGCAGATGAAGTATATGCGGATGTCTGAGAGTAGTAGTTGGAGCTTGCAGGGTAGGTTGGATAAGTTGGATAAGTTTGATGGGCTTGTTGGGCTTGATGGGTTGAGTATGCAGAGGAAGAGTAAGAAGATGAAGCCGAAGAAGATGAGGAAGAAGATGAAGGACCAGAGTTTTGTTGATAGCGAGGGGGATATTCCTCTTGATTTTGGTTATTTTGGTTATTTTGGTTATTTTGGTTATTTTGGTTATTTTGGTTATTTTGGTTATTTTGGGGAGGTTGTTTGTTAAACATTCTGGAGAACGCGCAAAAAAGCGGGATACCCAAGGCTATTTATAAAAAAAAAAAAAATTAAAAATAGGAAATGTCTCTAATTGAGTAATTGAGAAAATGACGAAAGACCAAATGAACCGATAAAGATATATATATATATCAAAGTGTGTTAAGTTTTATACAAAGATATATATAGACGAAACGGAAACTGAAAAGCCAGAAAGGTAAAATTGATGTATAATTTTTTTATTATTATTATTTTTTTTTTTTTTTTTTTTTTTTTTTTTGCAACAATGTCTGAGGACTTGTTTCACAGAGTGTGATGGGGCTGTATGAATGTTTGGAGAAAAATAGAAAAAGCTTAAAAAAAGGGGGAAATAGAAATTCAAGGAAAGAAATGTGGATCAAGCTTATTTCGTTATATTAGGGTTTTGTCAGGGAATTAAAAACAATAATCAAAATATGTAAAATATATATATATATATATATATATATATTGGAGTGCAGATAAAAATGTTTTTATTTTATATTTTATATTTTTTTGTGTGTGTATATAAATAAAAGTCTTTAAGGTGTTTAGTTATAAAAAAAAAAGTTCTGAATATTGTAAATAAGAAAAGGAAAAAAAAATTGGATTATTATTATTATTATTATTATTGTTATTAATTTTTTTTTTTTTTAGGAAAACCTCAGGGCTAAAGCTGGGCTATATATATAGATGTACGTTTTGGATGGATGGATAGATGAGCCATGTGCCTATTATTAAGATTTATTTATATTATTATTATTTAATTATTTAATTATTTAATTATTTAATTATTTAATATAAGGATATATATGGAATATTTCTTGGAATATTTCTTGGAATATTTCTTGGAAAAAAAAAAAAAAAAATTAGAACAAGGGAGGAGGAGGAGGAAAATGTGATTGAATGAGCAAATCCACACAGACAAACTCCTTCATTATCAACATCATCATCATCATCATCCTCAAACAAGCCCTGGTCACACTAATTAGTGTAAATAATATCTACAAAAGGAGTTTATATAGCTAAGGTTTATAGGAAGAATTTCTCTTAAAAGTATAATACACATTGAGCCTTTTTTTTAAAAAAAAAAAAACTAACAAAATCGCTGTTGACTAGGGTGTACATATCTAGTCGACTTGAGGCTGGAACTGGGGTATGTAAAAAAGATAGTGAGAGTATGAGTGTGTGAGTGTGTGAGAGAGAGAGCATGGGGTAGGGACATGGGTGTGTTTATATATATATATATATATATATATAACTGACTATATAGTGTAATAGTAACATCAACTTATTAAGCTTTTTTAATTAGTTTGAGCTGGTCATAAGAACTTGCTATTTCTTGCAATGCAGTTGGTGGTGGTTGTGGGTGTTTTAAGCAGCAACCAACCGCTTTGGATGCAATGCGTACTATACAAACAAATTTGTTTTTGGTTCCGGGGGGTGGAAATTGGGTTTATGCGTTTTTTGTGTGAATAAATTTGAGCTTTTGAGGCTCGAGGCTTTTACAATTGCGTGCCTATATATGCCTTTTAGCTTCCAAAAAAAAAAAAAAAAAGCCACGACGACGACGACAACCAATTCAACAAGAAATGGTCGCACAATTTTTTTTTTTTTTATGATTTCACGGCATCAAAATGTAGGAGCAGCACCATATTTATTATAGTAGCAGTTTGAGAAAAAAAAATTAATAACAATAATAATATAGAAATAAATAGTGTTAAAAAGATAAAAAGAGGAGGAGAAAAGTTTTTTTATTTTTTTATTTTTTTATTTTTCAAAAGTTGTTTTTTTTTTTTTTTTAAAAAAAAAATTTATTTATTTATTGTTGCTTTTCTTTTCTTTGCTTTGTTTTGTTTTTTAACTTGTTTGATTGAATGTTGATGGTAATTCCAGTGGAATGTATTTACGCTTTGGTTCTATAGTGTTTAGCAATCATTGCAACATTTAGTCAAGGATCATCCATGTTTCTCGAGTTTGAAAATTGCAAGATTTCAAAATCAAAAGACTAGTAGACAGTACTATTTAAAAAAAAAATAAAATAAAATAAAATAAAATAAACGAAACAGTAATGTATTGATTTTTTTTTTCTTTTTTTTTTTTTTGACGACCATTGAAAAAGAGGTTACGGGTTCTATTAAAATACGAGCGACCGTTTGTTGGTTTTTTTTATTTTCTTTTTTTTCTTCTTTTATTTTTCTTTTTTTTTTAAAAAATGTTGATGTTAGCATTCAATTATTATTATTATTTTCATTATTTTGATTAATTGATTAATTGATTAATTGATTGATTTTGATTTTATAAATACTTCATTATTATTATTATTATATATATTAACAATATTATGAAACGAGCCGCTGTTAATTATTAGACAAGGGTCTCGCCTGGAAAATGAAAGAAAGCTTTTGACTGTAAGTATATGTTTCTCAAACAATCGTCAAAGGGAAACAGGGCGCACACCGAGACTTGTCATTAAACCTGAACAATTGATTTTGAAAAGAAAGCGAGAAAAAATAAAAAAAATAAAATATAAAGAATAAAAATTAGAACAAAGTGAATGATTTCATTTAAATGTCTATATATATATATATATATATATATATATGTTGTTATTACTTGTGTGTCATTACTAGGCGAGCTAACAACAATTAAAAAGGAAAATACAGATACTAGGAAAGATTAAAATCCTACCAATATATCTCTCTTGTAAGCGGTAGTGGAGCCTCTGTCTATCCTATGTAAATATTTTGTCAAAATATATGTGGGAATGAGAAAAAAAAAATTTTTTTGGATGAAAAGAGATTTGGATTCTGGTTACTCATATTTGTTATATACAACCTGATATGCCCTGCTCAGCCATATGATATATCAACTTTATTTTGTGATTTCATTTCTTGAACCAGAAACAACTTTTTATACTTTTTTTGGTTTTTTTTTAAAAAACCTGTCTGTTTCTAAAACAAGATTTGGTCGTCATCATTTGGAGGTAGAGGGATGAAAAGGATGGGATGAACTATATATGCTTAAGCTTAATATTGAACCCAAAAAATGATCGAAACTCAAAATAAAATAAAAAGATAAAAGGGGATTCTGATGAAGAGCTTTTTTTTCATTTCAATTTTCGATTCTGAAAAGAATTGTGGAATAACTTTTTATATGTAAATACTTACTTTTTTTTGGATATTCTCTCTTAAGCAAGGTCAAGGCACCACACGTCAATTTAAATAAGTGTGTATATATCAAAATCTTGTATCGTTTGCCTTCCTAGTATTGATGTATGTCTGTGGTACCATTGTCTTTGCTTCTTTTTTTTTTTCTCATTTCCAACTTCAACCTAAAAAAAAAAAAATAAAAACTGCTGTTTTTTGTTTCTTTTTTTTATTAATAAAAAAGTCTTGGTTTTGATTTCTCAAGTTATTATAAGATATTAAATACATTTTTATTTAATGATAAGTTAACTATATTTTTTATATTTATATGTTTTTTTTTATATTATCAAATTAATTTAATATTATCTTTCCTTAACTTTCAGATCATACATCTAAAAATTAGAATAACTTTAACTGTAAATATATATAACCTCAGTAATTAGATATAAACAAACTCACTCTGGTGCCTGATTGTCCCCATACTTACCAGAATTAACTGATTTCTTTTCTTTTCTTTTCTTTTCTTTTTGTCACAAATTAATATGTAAATTAAATATGGTATAGTTGAATAAACTTATTCAAAATGTATTTCTTTGCAAAAAAATAAAATGAAATGAAATAATACTTCAACATTGACCAGTTTCTGTCTGTGGCTAAACATCATTTAGTACCATTAAAGCATTTAACTAACTATGTTTAGAATAATAGTCGTTTTTTTTTTATTTTATTTTAAAAATAATGGAAACATTATTCTAATTTTTATAAAGCTCTAATATATTTTAATAACCTATATCTAAATATTCCTGGGTTTTTTATTTATTTATTTATTTTTTTTTTTTCAATTGTTGTTTAGTTCATTGATTAATTTCATAAGTGTATATGAAAAGCCTGTCAAGTCGGGTATTCTATCTTACGTTATTAATTCTGAAACTTTGAATCATGGAGACTTTTATGATTCAGTCATTAATACTTGACTATATACCTAGTATAGACTATTCCGACATTTTGGAACACCAAACACATATATAGTCGGTTATTTTATATATATATATATATATATATAAATTTAATAAAAGGACAACCATCAATATATATTCATACATTAATCAATGGGGTTAATAAATAGAAAATGAATGGGCCACGTTTTTGTTTTCCTTTTTTTTTTTTTTTTTTTGATATTACAATATATATATAGTTAGTTTTAAGGAATATAAATATTTTCAAACATTATTTCTATTCAACAAGCCGCTTTAGGCAGTAGTAGTAACAATACACATAAATATATATATTTGGCCATATTGAGATCGCTTTAAAATGTTAGAAAATTAAAAAAAAATAAATAAATAACTTGTTATTGTAACAGTAGTTCAATTTAATCTTTTGTGGCCATTACAATCAACATCAAAACTTTCATGACCATCTGAGCTTTAATATTTTAATATTTTAATATTTTAATGCTTTTTTTTGCTTTTCTTTGTTTTTATTTTTTTGCTTTTGTTTTTGCTTTTGCTTTTGCTTTTCTTTGCTTCGTTTTTCTTTTCTTTTCTTTTGCTTATTTTAAAATATCAAAGTCATGATTTTATATATACAGTTTTTGGCTTTTGGTTACTGCTCTTTGTTGACTCTAATCTTGTCCAAACGAGTTGCTATATTACGATCATATATTGTTATACTATGTTTATAACTGCTGCATTATATATATTTTCAAATAGATATTATTTGGAGAGCTTCATTCCATCATTATTTTATTTCTTTTTTTTTTTTTTGTGTCTTCATTTCAAATATTTTCATATTTTTTTTTTCTTTTTGTTTCTTTTTTTTCATCATCAAAACAATTTTAACGTATACTACTAATAATGTATAGAAAAAAAAAATGTAGAAAGATGGGCGCGTAGACAAAAGTAATGAAAGAAGTAAGGGAAAAAAAAAATTTATTTATTTTGTTTTTTTTAATCAAAATAGATTTTGTTAATCGGTGATTCTCTAATGACCATCTTGACTGTTTGTAGTAAAATAATAGCGGTAATCCACGATTTTTTTTTTTTTTTTTCAAAACTTTCTTTTTTTTTTTAATTTTTCTTTATGCTGTTTAAATTTTTATATAAGTTTGCTTTCCGAATCACCGGTATCTACAAATTGTATGTACATGATTATGATCTGAGGCCAGTAACATATTGAAACTATCCAAAAATTTATAATAAAGTAATGAGGTTACATCATGATGTAATCATAGAAACCACACACGGAACATATACATGCTTAACATATCCACTCCGGGCCTTATTTTCCTTAATATTCTTAGAATGAGCATTTTTTTTTTATAAAAAATAAAATAAAAGAAAAGAAAAAAGAAAAAAGAAAAAAGAAAAAAGAAAAAAAAAAGTTGAATTCAAATATTTATATAATTCAGCAAATGAAGAAATAAAGAAATAAAGAGCAAAAGAAAAAAAAAATTTAAATTTTGTAGATTACACAAAAAAAATTGAAATTCTCAGTTTATTTTCGTTTTATTCGATGTATCCACCATTATTTATTATCATTAATTAGTTTTACCCGCTTTTTAATAATAATAATAATAATTATCAAGATATAATGAAATATTAACATCTTACAAAATTAATTGATATATTGAATGAGGATAATCGATATGCTTAGATAAACAAATAAATACGGAAAAAAAAACTTTTTTTATTAGTCAATATTCAATAGTTGTATGCCTCTAAATATATATATTTCAATCTAATCAAATAATAATAACAATAATCTAATTAATTAATCATTTGGAGAGCAGCAGGGGTGTGTGTGAGGTTTCGCTATCTAAATTAATGAATAGCTAAGCCTTAATATGGAAATAAATGACAGGGATCTGTTTTATATTTATCTTTGGGGCTTTTTATTTTTCATCACCTAATGAATTGATTTAATTTAATTGTTTTTTTTTTTTTTGTTTCTCATGTGATATCTCAAGAGTTAATGATTTTATATATTTTAATAATAATAATAATAATAATAATATTCTTCACCAACAGAAAATTATAGATTACAAATTTTTTTATCTTTTATTTTTTATCTTTCATCTTTCATATTTCATTCTATTTTTCTTTCTAAATATAATGCATTGGCTTTGGTTAATTGAAAAAAGTCCATGTATTGATATTATTATTTATGATGTTTTAAACAATTAGATACCATAAGCCAACTGTAATTTTTTTTTTTTTTTTTTTTTTTTCACTGTTCAAACATTTGTGTGCAGGTTACGTGTTTCTCATTGGTACAAAATATTAAATTATACTTTACTTTTATACCTTAAATTTTATTTTTATTTTTTTTTTTCTTTTAAAATGGGGCTTATCATATGATCTCAACGATATATTTATATAAATTTTTCATATCATTCAGTTAGCCAGAAACCTTCTTTTTTTTCTACATTGCACTGAAAACTCTTGAAAAAAAAAAAAAATTTTTTTTTTTTTTTGCGCTTTTAAAATTTTTTTAGTTATAAAATTTTTTTTTTTTTTTTTAGCTATCTTATATTGTGTTTGTTGATTTTAGTAAAGAGATAAAAAAAAAAAAAAAAAAAAAAATTGGACAATACGATTTGTGTGATGTGAATTAACGTAGTACATGTACTTGATCTAAGTGCATTCTCTCCCCCCCTAATAAAAAAGAAAAGTATCACTTACATAATACTGTGCTATTATGATTACAAAAGAAATTTAGAATTCTTCATGGAGAGCAATAATAATATTATTTTAATAATAATAATTAAATTTTTTTTTGTTTTTCCCGCTCTCTTGTTTCTCTCCCTAAATCATGGAGATAAAGACAACTATCTTGAGTATCTCGAGTAATAACGAAAAACAAAATAAAACACACATGCAAGAACAAATACACGCGTTAAAATAGAAAGGGAGGAAAAAAAGAAAGACAAAGGGGGAATTTGCAAGCTGGCTTATTCACAATATCGCAACACACTTCTCACAGTTCAATATATTTAAAAAAAGAAAAAAAAATATCAACTGAATTACTGAAAAAAAAAAATCTCCTCACATACAGTTAAATCCCTCTTGCACCATCATTAAAGGAATGGACAAGGGTCTTGTATATAGATTCACAAAATATTTCAATTAGTAAGTGCACTGTTATTATATATCAGTGACAGTTTTGGTTATCTAGGAAATTTCAAAATTTTTATTTTATTTAATTTAATTTTATTTAATTTAAAAAAATTTTTTTTTTTTTTCATGAATGGATGAATGAATGAAATTTATTAAAGAGGCACATTTGTTGAAAAAAGAAGTCCTCATTTCCATCCGTTAATTTTACTAGTAAATAATAATAATATTAAAAATATGATTTCTTCCTTTAAAAAGGTATTACACTGTATCGTAGTACTATATTACATAAAGCCTTTGATATGGTGAACCATTTAAAAAAAAAAAAAAACAGGTGTGTTTTGTTGTTCTTTCTTTATATTATTAACCATAAACTATTCATTTCAATTTAAAAAAAAAAAAAAAATTTTTTTTAATTATGCAGAAACATAATGAGGCAAGCCAGGGTCTTTTCTAGACGCACTGAAAAAAAAAAATAATTTTTTTTTATATATTTTTCTCTAAATAGCTATTTAACATACCCCAGTCGATCCACCAATGTTTCCTAATAATTGAGCGAAAAATTTCCACAATCGCATATATATTTGAGCTAATAAACCTTTGAAACAAAGCAAAATATATTTAAAATTTTTTTTTTCTTTTTTTTCCTTAAAACAAAATCTCATTGATTATTTAACTTCGTATTTCACTTAAACTTGTAAAATAAAATAAAGAGAAAAAAAAAAAAAAAAAAAAAAAAACCATTTTATTTTCCGTTTGGCACTTGGCATCCTCAAAAGCGTTGGTCCATTTCTAGATTAGCAACTTCATATCGTTTTATATTATTTTTATATTTTTTTTAGTTGAAACTCAATTCTTTCCCAGCAACATTAAAAAAAAAAAAAAAAAAACTTTTTTTCTTTCTAACTAATTTACTAACTATCAAAACTAACTAACAAAATACAAAACATGACCTTGCCAATTCAAGCTTCAAGCGCCACTCCCAACATCACTTGCTGCTCCTAATCTAGCCTGCACCATAGAAACAAGCCCTAACAATCCTCGCAAGCATTTCCCAGATGGGTCCCAAACGTCTTCGGACCGAATCGTCACTACAGCCAGTCGACGACGTTTGCAAACTGCCGCCTGAGCATTCTCGTCGTTATCTTCAAAAACTGTCGCAGTCACTTCTACACGTGCATCTCCACCATCATTTGCAACAAACACCCGCTCCTGTAAAACAGCATACAACCCGGCTCGCGCAAGTAACCCTAAAATTGCTCGAGCCCGTGCCCACCTTAAGCACACCTGCCCAAGTTTCTCCTCCAATGACTTAGCAGTGTTCTCATCCTTCTCCGCGGGTAAATCGCCGTACGGTTTCCCACCGCTATGGTCATCAATCAATATTCCTTCTTCCACCAAAAATAGCCGATTGGCCAAAAACTTTGCAACAACTGTTTTTCTGCTGCTGCTACTGCTGCTGTTATTTTTGCCGCCGCTACCATTCCACTCACTAACGTCTTGTGGATCAATGCGCAGCACTCGAGACACACCATCACCATCAATCGTAACTAGCAACCCGCCCTCAAGTTCTACCCGCAAACATGAACCGCTTTCTCCAACAACAAAAACATCTCCATCAACATACCGCACTCCTGAAACAACACTAAGACCTTGGTGTTTTCCAATAACTGACCGCAGCTCGTGCACTCGATCCTGCCGCGCTTGCCGCACTTCCAACGATGTTTTTGAAACTCGTGTAGCCAAACTATCCCGCTCTGCTCGCAACGTCTCTGCCCGCTCGTCCTGGGCTGCCAGCTCACCCAACACTTTGCGAACCCGTTCCTCAATCATAAGAACTTGTTTGCGTGCCCGCTCATGTCTCAAACGCACTCGAGCAAGCTCCTCAGCACTGTGCTCCTGCTTTTGTTTCTCTAACAAAGTAGCCTGGCGTGCTTTGAGCTGCTGTAATCTCTCTGCTGTTTTTTTGTGTAATTCACTCACTTCATTATGCGTCTGAGCAAGTTTCTGGGTCCCGCCCACGTTTTCGACCCTAGACTCAAGCAATTTGCGGTCGTTGACCAAGGCTTGTTTGTTCTTCTCCAAGCTATCCACTAGCCCGCCCATCAAATCTAGTCTCCACTTGTACCACCGTCCTTTAGAACGTGTTCGCATGTAGTTTTTGGCCATCATTAACTTGGCTTCAATTGCTGCTTGGTCCACTGCAGTTCCTCGCGTGTAATACTCAACAACTCGAGGCCCCCCTGGTACTGCTGCCATATCTTGTTCCACCTCAGCAATAATATTTTGGATTGACTTGATGTCCTTGCGCATCTCGCGAAACCCAAACTTGAACATTTCCCACTGTGGAATCCGCTGTTTCTCCACAGCATATTCAGCAAGCCCAGGATCTCCACCTTCATCACCACTTTTTTTCATCATTTGTTCATGTAGTCTTAAAAGTCTCTGGGCCTTGGCTGCTGTAGAATATGGTTTATCTAGACTCTGTACAAGAAGCTTGTCCATAAACTCAATGTTGATCTGCCTCAAAAATTCTTTAAGTCCTGTCCATAAAGACTCTCCAGAAGAACTTTCCTGTTTCTCAGGCTCCTTTCCAACTTCCTGCTCTTTTTCTCCTTCTCTAAACTTTAATAACTTAGAGAACCCAAGCTGCGTCTCCTCAAATCTATAAACGGCCTCAAGTTCTGGTACATTCTTGCCTATAGGCCCGCGAGCACCAGAAAGCAAAGGAGGAGGCCCAAAACTCCCCCCTGATTTTCTTGGACTAATCTGTGCAATCTTCTCCGCAAGAATTTTAGCCTTGGACGGTGTCAACACTGGTGCAACCCCAAATACATCTCTGTTGCTACTGCTTTTACCACTCTTGTCTCCTGAACTCGGCGTTGTTTCCACCGTGCTTGCATGTTGCGGCTGCTTTCTTGGAGGCGTCCGCGTCACGGGGCCATTCAAACTAGCTAAACCTACCCCTGAAGATGCAGGAAGAGTTTGTCGTCGTTTGGGTCCTCGTTGATCCCCATTATCAAACGATTGCCGTCGTCGACGTTTCCGAGAAATGGGAGATGCAGATCGTCCTTTACTAGGTGTAATATCTCTGGGATGTCCACCCACCTTATTTGCGTGGGAAGTTGCATGTCGTGGAGTCCTTGGGGTCCCCTGTTCTTGCACTGCATTTGTTGTTTGTTTTTCAGGCGTCGTCGACACTTTGGTTTCTCTTGTACTATCCTTGACCGAAAGCCGACGTCCAAACAATCCTGTAGGTTTAATAGGGACTTCCGTAAAGTCCATGTCCATAGATCCATCATCAGTTGTCATGCTTGCTGTTGCTGCCACAGACGGAAGTTTCTTTTTCGGTACACTAGTCAAATCCATAGACTCATTGTCTTTACTCAAAAGGTTAACCACTTCTTTGTTTCTCTTGGGAACGTTGGTAAAATCCATTTCATCCTCGCTCTCATCACTCTTTTTTGGGCCATCCGATTTATGCGGAACGTTGGTTAACTCCATTTCATCATCATCACTTGGTTTTGGGAGGGTTCCCGGAATGTTTGTGTATTCCATGCTCATGTCCTCATCTTCAGTTACTTTTTCGTTTGACTTGCGAATCTCAGTCAATTCCATTTCTTCGTCCTTGTCTTTATCCTTGGGTTTGCTTGGAACATTTGTGAAATCCATCTCATCGTCATCTTTGTTAGGCACATTGATACTATTTGAAAGCAGATCAGATTTTTGAAAATCATTTGCGGAATCCATATTGTTTTCCGGTTTATTTGTGTTAACAGACTTGGATTTCTTCAAACTGGCTTCCTTGTCTGAATTTTTTTTAGGAATTTCTGTTAGATCCATGTCTTCATCTCTTGGTTTCGACACTCCAGTAAGATCCATATCTTCGTCGTTTGAAGGTTTCGATAGGCCTGTAATGTTTGTACTACTTTCTGGCGTTTTGGAAATACCAGCGAGATACATATTCTCTTTAGTTGTTTTTCTTGGAACACCAGTTAGATCCATATCATCATCTGTTGATTTTTTTGCAACACCAGTAAGATCCATGTCTTCGTCAGTTGATTTACTTGCAACACCAGTAAGGTCCATATCTTCATCTGTAGATTTTCTTGCAATACCGGTAATATCCATGTCATCTTCCTTATTCTCCAAATCATTCTTTTTACTAGTCTCGGAGTCTTTGTCAACCTTTTCAATGATACTTGCACGTTTGCTAGAAAACGGACCAAACATCTCAGCCAAAGACTTGCGCCGAGTCGCCTGGTTGTGGTTCATCTTGGTGACATTGGCGAATAGCATATCAATTGCCGATTTCCCATCCTTGATAGACACTTCCTTAACTACAGATGTAAATTTAGCCGTAGTGATCTCGACCTCTGGAGTTTGTCGCTTTTCCGCCATGAAAAATTGTGAGCTACTACTATCTCCGAGTTTCATTGGCGTCGATGATGTAGAAGTTTGTAAAACTTTTTCTTTGATAGTTCCAAACATTTGCGTCATGTCCATATCGTCTTCTTCTTCTTCTGCTGGAGAAATCTTCGGTTCTGGAAGTTGTGGAATTAGCGAAACTGGCGGCTTTTTAGGTCTCTCACCGGGACTACTTTGTTGTCGCCGAGCAATCACTTGGTCGAGTTGTTGTGAAAACTTCTTCATGGGCGATGCGTAGCTGTATGCCTTAGTTGCTTTGGGTAAGTCATCTTTTAAAACATTACTAGGTTTTTCTGGACTAGTTGATTCTGTAGCAGATTCTGTAGAGGGTTCTGATGGCACTATTAGCGGGTCTTTTGCTTTTGCTTTTGCTTTTGGCGGGCTTGAGGGTTTGTCACCTTCTTGTGCTGCAACTTGCTGCCGCGCGGCTTCAAAAATCTCTGCTGTATCTGTTTCTTCCATTGCCATGCCGCTTTCATCCTGTGGTGTCTCTGTACTTTCTTTTGGCGGATTCTGGACGGGCTCTACCACTTGTGGTTTCTCATTATCTGCGTTTTCAGAATTCAGCGAAAAGATTGATGCAAGTTGTTCGCGCTCGGTTTCTGCTTCTTTCTCGCGCTCGCTGTCACTGCTACTTGATGAGACAGAATTTATCTTGAACAGAGGTCCTAACTGGTTCTGCTGCAACCCGTCGGTCGGGAATGTACTGAATATGATTGAGTTAAAAAATAATTCAATCGGGGTTTACAAAAAAAAAAAAAACAATTAAACATACTGTAAAGTGGCTTCGGGCGCAAAACTGACTCGTCGCTTGTCTGTCTTTTTGAGACCGGGTTTGTTTTCATCTCTGACTGAAACTTGAATCACACCTGTCACGGTGTAATTGTCCTCGGTTGTGGACTTCAATATGCTACGCGAGGGGACCTAGAAAGAGAAACTGTTAGTCAACTGAAACCTGAAAAGAACATCATGCAAAAGGGATACATACGAGTGACGCCCGAGCTCGTCTGGGCTTTTTGACGGCAAGACTGTCTTGGTCTGAAGCACTCGGAAAAAACGATAGTGTCTTACGCCGCTGTACAGGCACGGGCTTCGGTTCTTGTTCTAGTGATTTCAGGAATCGCTCGGAAGGCTTTTCGGTCATGATGATTCTTGATGTTGATTTTGAAAGAAAGAAAAAGGGTGTTGTGGTTGTTTTGTTTATTGTTTATTTTCTATACGGCTGAATTACACGTGACTGATTTATAAATTTTTTTTTTTTTTTTTTCAGCCCTCAAAAAAATAAAATCCAATCTCCCCCAGACTAACACTATGGAGCTCAAAGTATGCAAACCTATCAATCAAGTCTACTATGTTCATCAACCACTAACTCTTTTCTTCTTCTTTTTCTTCAGTCTCGCTTTCATTATGGTCCGGTTATATCTGTGGCTTTCAATACAGAATTTCTTTTAGTGGGTCAGGGTCCACTTCTCAAAGTGTACCGGTTTGCTACTGGTGAGCTGATTGACACCCGGCAAGTATTTCGACGAAACAAAATTCACGGATTTTCCATAGGTAAGGATGTCTAATTAATGAAACTCACTTCAATCATGTCTAACAACTGTTTTTTTTATTATGGTTATTATTAGTTGATGACCTTGTTTTAATTTGGGGTGGCCGATCGTTAATAGTTGTTGGCATTAATGATGGGCAAATCAATGCATTTCAACCCGAGCGGTTTCACAATGATTGGATTGTCTACGGACATTTAAGCAAAGAAAAGTTATATTTTCTTATTTTAACTGCACACAACACCGTTTTCAAAGTTTCAGCAGACCCATCAGCAAAGATTTTGAACATTTACGAAAATCCCGAGGAAAATAGTATTCTATACTCTGGCTCCATCAATGTCGGGAGCAATGATGAGCGAGTTTTGGTAGCTGCTGGAACTGTACTTAATGGTGTTATTGTGTGGGATTTGGAGACAGGTAAGACCTTGCATAACTTGACGGCACATGAAGGTTCCATTTTTGGCGTCCGTTTTTCTCCAGATAATAAGTACCTGTTAAGCTGCTCCGATGACAGATGCATCATACTTTGGGACCTTGAAACCAGTCTCCAGGTGGCAGCAGGGTGGGGCCATCTGGCTCGCATTTGGGATATCAAGTTTTACAGATACCAATCTAGCAACCAACTGACAGTTGTCAGTGCCTCGGAAGACTGCACCGCGCGTGTATGGACGCTGCAGGGCGACAAGTTAGTAACTGCACGTGTGATGGAAGGTCATTTAGGCCGTAATACATGGTGCTGTGCGCTTGACGATGTACGGGGGGTTTTAGCAACAAGTGGGTCTGACGGGCGTGTTAGATTGTGGGACCTAGACGAGCCTCAAGACATTGATCAAAACCGAAGATTACTCTCAGTTCCAGGCCAAGGAAAAGAGGTATTTAAAAGTTTTAAAATCTTGGGTGAGACTATTGTTTTGACCACGTCTGCGGGGAATGTTTATTCGTTTACAGGAGACAAGTACAAGCGAATTGCAGATGCAGTGTCGAATGATTCATACCTTATTGTCAAAGGCTGGGCCAGCGCACAGGCAGCAGTTGTTGCGTACCGGGATGGATCTTGTTTAATTATTTCTTCGGAAAAGACAATTAAGATGGAAAACCCATTGAAGGCCAAGCTGACTGATATTCATACTTGGGAGTTTGGTGACAAGTACTACCTTTTGGCACAGTCTCAAAATCCTAAGGATCCTTTTGTGGTAACGATTTTTGACAAGTTTTTGGAATTGGAGTCACAGATTGGGCTTACCCCTGCACAAACATTCTTGCCAATTTCTTTGGAAATGGTGAGCAGCACCAGTCTTTTTTTGGGGTCTCGACATGGTGCGGTAGCTTACTACGACTTTGCAAAATCTATCGAACCGCAAGGGTGCTGGCGACAAGTTTTTTCATCAGACGGCATCACATCGCTGAAATTCGATGAGACTACTAGCACACTGCACATGACCTCTCGCGGGGGCTTTTTCGGTGCTGCGCAAATTGAATTTTCACCTCTGGAGTTTAACCTTGTGAGTTCCAACAAGCTGCAGAGAGGGAGTATTGAGGGTCAGCACCGGACGCCAGACAGGACAGTGTTTTGGGGGTTCCGAAACGATTTATTTTTTGTCTGGAACGAGACTGAGCAATATGAGATTATGAATGAGAAGTGTGGTGGTCCACATCGGAATTGGGATTTCGACATGAACACAAGAACAGTATTTGCATACTCCAAAACGTCCCAGGTGATGGTTATGCAAAGTCCGCGGGAATTTAAATTTGGCAAGACGTTGTTACAAGACGGAACACATGGTCGCGAGATCCGTGCAATTGCATTTTGGCCTGGAGAAGGGCTTGGGGATCATACAAAGGTGGTTGCAACGGCGTCAGAGGATACGTGCATTCATGTTTCAGTGTTAGATACATTAACAGGAGCTTTGAGTCCTCGGTGTGTGCTGCCGAAGCACGTTTCAGGGATTCAAGCGTTAAAATGGTCGCGTGACGGAGAATATCTATACTCGAGTGGTGGTCGTGAGGAGTTTTTCATTTGGCGTGTGAGAGTTATTCCTCGGTTGGATGAGCTTCCTGACGTGTATGCGACACCTGTTGCCATTGTTCCACCAAGTACTGACGTTGCAGACCTGCGTATTATGGATTTTGCCGTTGTGCGAATTAAGGGGACCAACAAGGATGTTATTGTTGCTGCGTATTCTGATTCTGCGCTGCGTGTGTTTGTATATGACGGAGCAGAAGAAAGTTTCAAGCTTGTTGGCCAGGGACGATACCGGACATGCTGTTTGTTGAATTGTAACCTTATTGTGGATGCATATACGTCATCTGCTATGCTTATAATTAGCTCGACAGATGGCCATGTTGTTGGTTGGAATTTGACTTTTGCCCTTCAAAGTCACTGCGGAATTGTAGTTAAAGATGGCGAGCTTGTTGAACAAGAGGGAAATCCTAATGATAAACGAGCAGAGTTTGAGTTGGGGCCATGGGATTTCCGGCTACAGATCCACCAATCAAGTGTTAAGGATTCTATTTTAATTTCGCGTGGAGCTGGACTTTATCATCACATTGGCGGCGGTGACGACAATGCACTAAGTTTGAGCACGATTCAAATTGAAGGCAGTGATGGCAGTGTTTCAGCGGATAAGCTTGATTGCGTTGAGTCTGCACATGCGTCTACAGTTACAGGATTGGCCAGGACGATAACTGTTGCTGACGGGGCGTGTAGTGAGACCACCACGTTTGTTTCAGTGGGCGTGGACCAAAACGTGCGGAGTTGGCGGGTTGGCGATGGAGAGAAGCTGGAGATGGAGAAGAGCGTTTACACTACAGTTGCAGATACCGGGTGTGTTGCAAGTACTTGTGGGCAGGGCTCGGCTGATGAGAAAGAAGGGAACATTGTTCTTCTTGGTGGTCTTGGCCTTTCGTATTGGAGTTGTTGCAACTAGCCTATATTTCAACGTATATTGATAGACTTTTTTTGTAGGTGCTTTTTATTTAATTTATAAATAAAATAATATCAATACCAACTTGAATTAGAGTTGTAGATCTTCTTTAGAGTTCTGAGGAAATACGTTTTGAGTAGATTTGGATTGTAGATTTGCTGTTTTAAGTCAAGTATTTGGCATTTTTTGTTAACAGGCAGGATTAAAATAGGAGCACCGATTAGCCAGCATCGCAACATCATCTGGGCTATTATATTTACTATACAATGTTAGTATATTTGAGCATGTCATAAATCGGATCCATTATTTTGCATAAATGATTATTATTCTCTGGACCCAAGGAGGGTGTTGCGCATATTTAGGACTATTGTTGTTACTTGTTGCTATGCTGTAATTGTCCATATATATATAGTAACCAAAAGAAGAGAACAAACGACGCAACAAGCCATAGACAACTTTAGCTTTCATCTTTTACATAAACACGCATTAATTAACCAGGATGACAGCTGTTTAAAAAAAAAAAAAAAAAAAAGGTGGTAGGCAAAGTGATTATTGACAAGAACTCAGGAAAGAAGTGGAGCAACAGGAATCAGTGACAGACGGGGTCCACCGTATTTTCTTTTAATCCGAGCAGAAAAGGTCTCAGGCTTGACCTAACCCTGGCGGAGACTTTGGTTTTATGCACGAGGGAGGTTGGGCTTGCGGCAACGTCTGTGCTTTTTATAATTTCTGGGCGGGGCGCTGGGCGGCACCCGAGATTAAAAAAAATAAGCTTGTATAGCATTTATTTTATTTTTTTTTTTTGGCGAGACAACCAAGAAAAGAGGGTACAAGAAAGAAAGGTGGGTGGATATATGTTGTTCAAAACTTAAGGATAATATATATGTAGAAATAGATATGAAACTATAATTTGCAATTTTTTTTTTGAAAAAAAAAGGGTTGAATAATTGAGGGTGAAAACTTTTGGAAATTTTATAGTTTTTTTTTTGTAAGTGTTAGGCAAAGTGGTGATAGTTGGAGCACTGGGAATGGAGGTTTGAGCCATTGTCCCCAAGTATCCAAATCTATTCAAGTTGAAATTTGAATTTGTATACAACTTCAATTTATGATTTTATTTATTTATTTATTTATATATATAATCAAGAATATCTTTTCATAGATATAGTAAAGTTAAGAGCTTGTTGCATGAATTTTATATTGGTATAACGATATATATTTCAATGTCCCATCTGTTTCTTTTCTTTTTTTTTTTAGTAAACTATGAGCGGTTGCACAGAAACATTTCCACACAGGGAACCCAACAGATGGGTAAAAGAAGAAAAGACCCAGAGTACTATGATTTTATTATATATACAAATTTTAAATTTCACTTGGATTAAAAAGTAGAAAATATCATGATATTTTCAAAATTAAATGATGATGAAAACATGATATTTTTTTCTTGATTATCTGCCACTTTATCAATTACGTCTTTACATGAAAAAAAAAAAAGAAAAAAAAAGTTTGAGGTGAATGATTGTGTCTATTCTTTTTGTGTGTGTGTGTATTTTTTTTAACCCTCTCTCTCTTTTTCTTTTTTCCATGTTTCAAAACCTTAGTATATTAGATAAAAGTTATTGGTTTTTTTTGGTGTTATTTTTTGCCAGCTCACAATTGTCTCAGTCACTTGAAAGTTTTTTTTTTATCTGAGCAATCATTTGGAGTGTTTGTTTTCAACTTTTGATCAAGTCAGTACACAGAGCTATCATCAAAATTAACTCAAAATATCATTCAATTTTTTTAATATTTAAAACAAAAAATGAGCTACAGTAAAAAATAAAAAAAAAACTACTTGTTAACCGAAATACTTTATTTAATATTCTATTGTCAATATTAACTGGAAATAACCGGATAACTTGAGAAGAAAGAGCCTTTTAAGAAAATGACATTTTAAATTGTAACAATCAATAATGCCTTATAATAATTATATAGCTGCTACAAGGAGCTGACTAACGATGCAATATAGTTATAACATAATAATATATGTTACACACCCAACATCCAATATTGGTTAATTGAGCTTACGAGTGTATACTGGTGCATACATACAAGTGAATACAAGCGTATACATGTTTAAATGAGTCCCACTCAGCTGGTGCAATCGGTGCCAACAGTATTATTGGAAACAAAAGACGGACGGAATTTTTATTTTTATTTTTATTTTTATTGATTCAAGACAAATCAATCAGTTAATCAATGAATAAAAGTGGCATTTATCAGCCTCAACATGTGAAAACAATAATGCACATGGATTTTGATGACTTGCAGCAAAGACCTGAAAACCAGTTCTTATCATGGTGATGGGGGAAAAAAATATCAATGATACCCAATCAACTTAAATATTTGAAATGAGCAAACTGTTTAACTAGAAAAAAAACAAAACTACAAGAAAAAAATTTGTCATGATACGGGCAAAGATTCAAAAAAAAAGAATAAAATAAATAAAAATGTTTGTAGGATAGGTGTTTTTTTTTGAATCATTTAAGTAATTATTTATTTTTAAATTTAAAATATTTTTTTAATTTTCAGATTAGTATTTGATATTGAATTCAAAATTTTTTAAAAAAAAAAAAAAAAAATTAAAAGCGTCAAAAAAAAAAAGTTCCCCAGATTATTTGATTTCAGGGCCAAAAAGGACTCAGCTTACAAGCCTTAAAATATGGGCATTGTAAGAAAAAAAAGCTTGGTTTTAATATTTTTGACATTTCAAATAAGAAAGAAGGCAAAAAAAAAAAACAAAGAGCTTTTCTCTATTATTTGAAATGCCACCAAAATAAAATAAAAATAAAATGAAAAAAACCCCTCACAATCATTTATGAATTTCTTTAAAAAAATGTGACACAAAGTTTTGCACTTTGATGAGTTACATCGATTCATCATCCCCCTTTTATTTATTTTTTTTTTTTTCAAATAAATAAAGGTGCTGAAAAAGCCCAGCTGCTAGATGTATACTAAAATGAAAATTACTACTATAGTCCTTTTACATTATCTTAATGACCTCTTTCTTTCTTTATTTTTTATTATATTTCTACTTCTCAAATACACCTTTTCTTCTATTTAATTATCGTTTAGATCACACTTGAATGTGCGTGCGATCATCGGAGATTTTTTTTTTTTCTTTCAAAAAGCACATGGTATTGGGTCGGCGATTTGTGTCCTATCAGAAAAAATTGTGGCAAGTCATATATATAGTTTTGTCTAAGAAAAATTGCCATATATGACAATATATATATATATAAATCAAATATAAAAATAAAGATATATATAAAAAAAAATGTCGGTTCCCAGACCGGATTTTTTTTTTACGGAAATTATTTACTTAAAAAAGAGAGGTTTTTTTTTTTTTTAGTTCTTTCAGATCACTGGCTGTTGTGTCGTCATGCCTGGTTTCTGTGTGTGGGAAAGTAAACTTGAGGTATTGATTTTCCGGTGTGTGTGCATGTGTACTATATTTATATATTTATATACTTAGTATAAATTTACCTTGTCCACCATAATGGTGGACAAGGTAAATTTGCTGACATACACACACACACACACATCCAGGTCTGACAAAAATTTTATATTTAAATTTTAAAATTTCCCTCATCATTTTAAGTTTTTTTTTTTTTTTTTTTTTTTTTTTCCCTTTCTCTTACACAACAAACCTCCAGTCCAAGGACTTTTTGACGACGATCCACTACCATCACATATGTTCTTTCGTCTGACTAACCCCCACTCTTCCCTACTCTTTTCTCAGTATTTTCACACTGCAGTCTCGCGCGCGAATCGCTTCACTGCTGCTGGCGCATAAACTCTCATTCTCCTCCTCCTTCACCTCTCTTTAAAAACATATTCATACTTTTCCAAATTTTTTTTTTTCCTATGAAGCTGCTTCGCAAAATCAAATCGCTTTTACTATCCCTTACTCCTTACTCCTCTGTCCCCTCTCAAATTGATGAGTATGTCTTTGACTCACCCATTGTCTTTGTCGATCCATCTAAGCCCCCAGAAGTTCGCGGCCTTTGGCGCGCTCACAATCCATTTTCTGGTGCTAAAGTTTCTGTCAAAGTAGTGCGCAAAAACAAAAAGGCTGGCCGTCGTCGTATGTTAGAGTTGCTTTGCCGGTTGAAGGATGAACGCACCGATCCTCATTTGCTTGGTTGTTACTATGCCGGAGGTTATGGTTCCGATTATGATTATAATGAAGAAGAAGAGGAAGAGGAAGAAAAGGATGGTGTTGATGTTGATGTTGATGTTGATGACGATGAAGATGACGATGAAAATGACGATGAAAATGATATTGACGTTGAAGTTGATGAAAACATGACTGTTCAAACAATTAACTATAATGTCAATCATAATGTCTGTGACAATGATGAATGTGATGAAGAATGTGATGAAGAATGTGACTGCAACGAATATGATGATGACGAACACGACGATGAAGAAGAAGAAGAAGAAGAAGAAGAACATGAGGTTGAAGATAACGATGACAATGAAGGTGAAAATTTATCTATCCATACTGATACCCCTCAGGAATCACTTCCTTCAGTTGCATTTGCTCGAAACGGAGTTCAACACTACAAAAAGCATATTTTGGATACTACCAACATTTCTTCATCTCCCAAGGTTTCATCTCATCGGTTTATTCGCAGACACCATCACCGAAGACATGGAAAACATGAACTAAATGGAAGAAAAAATAGCAGCAGCAGTAGCAATAGTAGCAGTAGAAGAAGAAGAAGTTTGTCAACCTCACCCTCCGAGTCATCTTTTCGTACATTGCGACAGATTACTGGTGGAGGACGATCCAGCATTTCTTCTTCAGCAGATACTTTGATGAGACGCTCTTCTTCCTTTTCACCCACAACAACAACATGTTCAACTGCAACAACGTGTGTTGCTGATACTTTTTTCTTGAGCCACGCACGTGCTGCGGAAGCGGCCGCGGCTGCTGTACCTCCGGCTTCGTGTTTTTCTCGCGGCCATAACCACCATTACTGTCAGATTAAAACGGAGGTGGAAATTCTCAAGGCTTTGAGGCATCCAAACATTGTTGCTTTGGACTGCGTGTTGGAAACTCGCAAAAAGTTTTTCCTTGTCACTGAGCAGCTCACAGGACAAGATTTGCATGACTTTTTGGTGTTTCGTAGCGGGCGTGTGACCACCAGTGAGGCAGTTTGGATCATGCGTGAGCTTGCTGCTGGGCTCAACTATTTGCACGACAAGAACATTGTGTATCGGGCGCTAAGTGCACAAAATATTCAGTTTTTAAAACGTCCTCCCTCACCACAGCAGCAGGGCATTACTAGATGTTCCTGGAACCTGGTTTTGACTAATTTCTGTCGCGCAGAAAAGCTCAGTTACTCACGGCAGTTGTTACAAACCACGGCAGGTTCTTTTGAGCCTTTTTGTTATACAGCTCCAGAAGCCTTGATGGTATGCGATGCGTGTGTGGCGCTTTATGCACTGCGGCGCGCCACTTGGGGAGGTCACCGAAACCAAAACCAAAACCCACCGGCATGCAACCATATCCATATCCATAGCCATGGTCACAGTCGCCCGCACCGACACCAACATCAACATCAACATCAACATCAACATCAACATCAACATCACCACCAGCATCCGGCTCTTTTGAAGCTTCACGGGAATGGAAAGGCTGCAGATGTATGGTCTCTTGGAGTTGTTTTATTTGCATTACTATGTAGGGGCGTACCGTCACGTTCAGAGACGTTTGGCGGGTTTTTGCAGGAGGTGTGTCGGCCAGACTTTGGATACTTTGATGCGCCGGAAGGCCAGGCTATTTGGCGTGGAGTTTCCCCAGAGGCGCGGAGCCTTGTGCGTCAGATGCTGGACATTGACGCATCTGCTCGGCCCTCTATTGGTGGTGTTTTGGCGCACGAGTGGTTACGGGATGCGGCCGAACAGTGTCCGAATGATTTGTAAGGCTAGACCATTAAGACTTGGTACTTAGAACATAAGACATGATGATTAGACAGACAGACTAGGGTTTTTTTTTAATGAATGTTGATGAAAATAAAAATAAAAAAAAAAGGTTTTAAAAGATCATGAAGAAAAAAAAAAGTAGAAAGGTTTAGGGTGTTTGTAAACAATTAAGTTACAATAAATGAGGTTTTTGCAACAAATCACATGAATAATTAAATAGTACAGTAATGAAAGTACATTTTGATGACGATTCTTTGGAGAAGTTGAGCTTTTGACGATTTTTAAAACAAAACTTTACCATTTGATTTATTTTATTTTATTTTTTTAAATAGTTTGAAAGAACCCTATTTATTTAAAATAAAATTTAACAAAAGAAATATATATATATATATTTTAGCATTGTTCCAAATGGCTTTGTTAAGATTCAAAATCAAAAACCCTCTTTTCTTCTTCCTACCCACTCCACCCCATGATTTTCTTCAAACTATCTCAACTAGTATATTAGCCTAAGGCTTTTTCATCCTTCACCCTCCCCCCTTCCTACAATGGCTGATTGTGACATAAGCTTTAGTATAATGATGACTCATCGCAGCCGCTTGGAAAGTCAGTGAGACACCACGACCTTTCAGCGCCTTCTTTTTTTTTTTTTTTTTTTTTTCCCTTTTATTAATAGCTGCCTGGCATACTTATTGTATTTTATTTATTTATTTTTTTTTTATCTTTACGTTTATAACACTGCCACCACTGCTCTTTTTTTATTTTTTTTTTTATCTTACAATAACCAATCTTCTGACAAACCAATTTATCATTATCTACTAGCAAATCAAGTATATATTTATATAATACCAACAAAAGAAATAACCAATCATTACTTTATTATGGCATTTGGAAGCAGCTTACTGAGCCGTGTCTCACAGCCGGCGAGTTACAAACTCAAGAGCGAGTACAAATTTGAACAAACACTTGGTGCAGGAACCTTTGGTGAAGTCAAAAAGGCTCTTCATATCCCCACAGGCGAGTATGTTGCCGTTAAGATCATTCTCAAAAAGGGTTTACAGGGAAATGACCAGATGGTCCAGGATGAACTGAAGATGTTACAAATGATGAACCACCCACACATTGTGCACTTTAAGGCATGGTTTGAAAGCCGCGAAAAGTATTACATTGTTACAGAACTTGCCACAGGTGGTGAACTGTTTGACAGAATTTGCGAGCTAGGCAAATTTACAGAGCGTGATGCAGTGGCCACCATGCGCCAGATTCTGGAGGCAATTGAGTACCTACACTTCCGTGACGTTGTGCACCGTGACTTGAAACCTGAGAACCTGCTGTATTTGACGCGAGACAAGAACTCGCCTCTTGTTTTAGCAGACTTTGGAATTGCCAAGAAGCTAGAGAGCCCCAATGAACAACTGACATCGCGAGCCGGGTCTTTTGGGTATGCTGCACCGGAGGTTCTTAAGTGCACTGGACACGGCAAGCCATGCGATATTTGGTCGCTTGGTGTTATTACGTATACAATTCTTTCTGGGTACTCGCCATTCCGGTCGGAAACCATTGAGGATTTCATTGATGAAGTGGATGACGCTCACTTTTTGGTATTTCATGAGCGTTACTGGAAGTGTATTTCAGACCAAGCAAAGGACTTTATTTCTAAAATGCTTAACACAAATCCGTCCAAGAGACCAACCATCCAAGAACTACGTCTCCACCCTTGGATTTCCGATTCAGCTGTTTCCAATGCTACCCACGATTTGCTGCCCAACATTCGTCCTGGGTTCAATGCGCGCCAGAAGCTGCGCAAGGGTATCGAGGCCATTCGCTTGCGCAACAAGCTTGCTGCAGTTGTTGATTCAGTAGACAGTGATGATGAGGATGATAGCGTTGAGGGTCATGGTAGCTCGTCTTTGTCGAAATCTAGTAGCAGGTCATCAGAAGCTTCTGTGGCCAGTGTATCTGCAGGTCTTGGAGGGGTGAGCTTGGGTCCAAAAATCACGTTGTCGTCAACTGTGACTAGCACAGGGTCTGGGTCATCCACAACGTCGAGTTCTGCTGGGTTGTCATCATTCCAGGCAATTGTGAGTGCTGCGATTCGCAGCAAGGACATTATTGAGGCGGATGATAAGGCTCGAGAGACTGAAGGGCAAAAATGAAAACAAAAAAAAAAAAAATAACAAAATAACAAAATAACAAAATAACAAAATAACAAAATAACAAAATAACAAAAAAATAAAATTGGAGGACGAGTATGAAGTATTGTGTCAAGAATGAATTATTTTGAATGAGCAAAAAAAGAAAAAAAAAATAAGAAAGAATTTGAAAAATTATATGTAATTTTTTTTTTGTATAACGTGAACATGTGTTTTTATGAGTTGAATGGTTAATGTATTTTTTTTAAATACACGATAGAAAAGAAAAAAAAAAAAAAACAGGTTGAGATAATTTAGCAAACGATGTAGCAAAAAAAAAAAAAAAAAAAAAAAAAAAAAGAATTAGCAATTAGCAATTAGCAATTGAGCCGCACAGGTTACTTTAAATTGCTCTCCAAGGTCGCTTGAATGAAAAAGAAGAAGAAGAAGAAGAAGAAGAAGAAGAAGAAGAAGAAAGGAAGATTAAGGTTGTATTGAATGAATACCATCCATCAAGGTGACTAGGAACTAGTCAAAAGGATCATTTTAGCAATAAAACGAGGCTTTTTTTTTTTTTTTTCCAGAGGTAGAAGAACTACATTACAATAAAAATGATGGGCCATGGAAACATGGAATTGTTATTAAAATTATTAAAATTGGTCCATAATGTTCTGAGTCATTATTATATATTTGTTTCAACTAATTAATTTTCTTTTATTATTTATTTTTTTTCTTTATATTTTTAGTAAAATAAAAAAAAAAAAAAGAAAAGAAAATCATTCTTTATGAAACTTATATATATATAAATATATAAATATAAACTGATATTGTTGATGACTTTCGTTATTGTTTCTTGCACGAGTCTATGTGGTTGGCTGGCCGAGGCTTTGCACTGCCTTTACAAGGGCTTTTTTATTTTATTTATTTTATTTATTTTAATTTTAATTTTAATTTTAATATATTTGCCATGGTAGTTACAATTGGTAATCACATGTGCAGAAGAAGAAGAAGACGATCATGATGATGAGCTAAATTCTTCAGCCGTATTTAGACACACGTGATTCATAATTGCTTTCAAAAAAAAAAAAAAAAAAAATAAATAAAAATCTCAGCCGTTTTTACATAACATTTTAACTATTAGCTTAGTAATATACGCGTTTATTTTGCTTGCTTTTCTTTTTTTTTTTTTTTTTTTTTTCTTCTGCCTCCTTCCGAACCCCCCCGCATGTTATTTATCTTATCAATGACGTTTTGACTGTCACCACACAAAACCCTTGTGGTGATGGTGGTGGTGGTGGTGGTAGTGGTTGTGGTGGTACTAATTAATATATAATTAATATATACTAATAAATAACAAAAAAATAAAAAATACTACCATGACGGCCGTTATTATTATTATTAGACAGGGTGGGAATGAATGAGAGGGGGGGGGGAGTAAAGAAATATATATAGGAGGGGAGATTTTATTAAGAAGAAGAAGAAGAAGAAGAAGAAGAAGAAGAAGAAGAAAAAAAAAAGTTATAAAACAACCCACATTCCATCTTTTTTTTTTTTTTTTTTAATTTCCTTTTCTTTCCTTTTTTTTTTTATTTTTTATTTTACACATTCTTTTATTCATATATATATACAAAATCTCTTAATACAAACAATCAAATAATCTCAAAACATCACTTTCTTTTTCCATTCCCCTTAATTATAATAATACTAATAACAACTATACATTAACAATCCTTTTTCAACAGCTTTCCTATCAATCTTTATCAAACACATACACCACATACACAAATAATCCAACACTTTTTAGACATAAATATAAACAATAATAAATAAAGAAAAAAAAAACATTTACAAATGCCTTTCCTTTTCTCTACAAATACTCCCAAGTCTGATGATCAACTAAAACAACAACAACACCCCGTCGTGAACTTGGCTCAAAATCCTATTGCCGAATCTACCACCCAAACTCCAAGGTCAGTATGGAGTTCTCTTTTCGGTTCTAAAAAGTCTGCTTCATGTTCAGAACCCCAGGACTTGGCAACCGTGCGACCCAACCAAAAGGTGGTTGTTGTTGCCGAAGACAGTACTGGGTTTGTTGATGTTCAAGTGCGCACGTTGTCATATGCTGAAATGGCAAACATGTCGCATGTAAGAGACCCTACTCACTTTGCAGCTCCTAAACCAGCCATTGCCATGTCGCTGGATGCAGTTTATGGAGCTGTAAGTGATGACTATCTTTCAGATGACCAGCAGCAACAGCAGCAGCAGCAATTATTCGATTCTCAGCATCTTGATGATTCTTCGGTACTTTTAGAATCAATAACCCCTACAGTAGTGGTAGAAACTAGAGAAACCAAACCAACAGTCTCTGAAGCAGTGGTAGGGGCATTGAAGCAAGAGTCGTTAAAAAAACAAAGCCTTAAGGGAGAAGATGTTGTTAAGCCAATGCGTAAAGGCCCTTACATGTCCAAACACTGGAAGACACTTATTCACAAGAATGAACGCGTTGGATTGAAGCGCGTAATTGCTCATGATCACCAACAGTATGAGTCTAACAGAGACGATGGTGATGATGATGAGGTGTGAGTCATGAAATTCTAGTGGCTGAATCTTGACACTTTAGAATCATATGAATGTTGTTTCATCACTATTAATAATTTCATTAATCTTATCATATTACTATTACTACTACTATCATTATCATTATCATTATCATTACTATAACATTATCATAATTATGGTTATCATATATATATTATAAACATGCACCGCCTTCAAAACGGTGTAATAGAGTTTTTTTTTTTTTATAAAAATAAGGTCATAAACTATGAAACAAAGATTGATAAGTCCAAATGTTTACCTTTTTTTTTGTTTGTTGTCTTTTTTATTTTTATTTTTAACCGCGATTGTAAAAGTTCTAACTGCGATGGCCTCTCATTTCTTCGTTCTTCCTCGGTCGGTGGTGCGGCCGGCAAATGCCACCGCGTTTTTAATTTTTTGATAAATTTTATATTATTTTTTTTTTGTGCTTATCTTGCACTGTTTATTTATTTATTTATTTATTTTTTGTCTGACTGATAAGCAACGCCGCACACCACTTTAATTGGAAAGTTTCTGCGTTTCAATCTCTCAAACCCATGCTTATGTAATACACAGCGAGCCCGCATATCATTTCCCTCTTACACTGAAGCAACCAAACCAAACCAAACTAAATTAAATTAAACTAAACCACACCAACTATAGCCATAGCCATAGCCATAACCATAGCCATAACCATAGCCATAATCATAAATGGGTAGCCATAAATGGATAGCTATAAATGGATAGCCATAAATGGATAACCATCATTAATGGTCACATTCACTCACATAAGATCGTCAACGGCTCGCGGTTTGAACTTCCTGCCAGCACGCTCTGCTGTTCGGTATACAAACCTGGACCCCACGATTTCAAATTCTAGTGACGATGACTTAGATGACGACGTCGAAGACGACGACGACGACAAAGCGTCACTATTAGTTGTACCATTCTGTTCCTCCACATAGTCAACTTGTACTGAAAAAATGGTCCCCCGTTTCTCCACAATCCGCAAACCACCAATACGGTCCTTAAGCGAGTACCGCAGGGCCACCGCTAATCCACCTTTTGCGGCTCTACCAGGGTTCTCAGCACTCACAATGGTATCATTTTCGTTTTCATTTTCATTTTCATTTTCATTTTCATTATTATTTTCATTTTCATTTCCATTTCCATTTCCATTTCCATTTCCATCCTGCTTTTTTCTTTTCTCTCCAGCTACAGCCGTCTTCAAATTAATACAACTGTTTAAACCCCCCCGCGGAGCAACAGCTAACACAAAATTCGTCTTTGCTTCCCATATAATAATCCCAGTAATACCTACCAGACTCGGGTTATGAGCAGAAACAACACGCACACGGGCTCCATGCATATCTGCAGCTGCCAATTTGCCAGCATATCCAAGCATTTGCACCAATTCCACTCCTGGTGTCGATTTCTCCACGTGTCTTTGTGTGGCACCACTGTTGCTCCCATTCTGAGAACCAAAAAGTAACTCCCGAGCATAGCCCTGCCACAACTCTGCAAGCCCACTAAACTGCGACGCACAGGGTACCCCGTGTTTCCGTGCAATCGCTTGAGCTTTAACAACAACAACAACTGACTCTTCTCCTCCTCCCACTGCTTGCCCGCGCATCACCCGGTGAAGCTCGTTTTCCGCGCGCTTTTGAGCCCTTTGTGCGTTTCCAATGTACTCTCGCAATCCTGTACGTGCATGTGCCAGCCGCGATGGTCGCACGCTACGCACACGTTTACCAGTCCCCGACGGGTGTCCTCCTGGCCCGCCTGCTGGACGAATCGTTTTGGCTGCATGCTCTGATTTTTGCCGCGATTGTGACGCGAGTTCCTGGCGCTTTGTGGCTGCCGCGGCTTGCTCATCTTCTCGACGCTCAGTCGCAGAGAGCATAAGAAACGGTTTCTGGGATCCAGACAGAGCATAACGGTCTGCCAAAAGACGGGCCATGGACTCTTGTGCTTCAGAATCAGTACCATGGCTCTTTGAGAGAATGTCGAGCTCCAAGTCGCGAGAGGATGTTGAATCTGCCATGGTCTTTATTTCTCAATTGGTTCTTGGAGATTGGATGTAATGATGATGGACAATACAGAGCTTGAAATTTTTTTTTCTTCAAATGAAAAACCCTAACCCTTTATCAACACAATATTTTTTTTTTTTTTTTTTTTTTTTTTTTTTTTTTTTGAGGGGCTTATTGTATATCTCTTCAGTCTTAGGGAAAACCCAGTCTAAATCGATCAAAATCTGCTTTGACATACTAAAAAAAAAAAAAAAACTCAAAAACCATGATTTGCTTAGCGAGACTGCTAAGGAACTCACAAAGCCTCTTTGTGGCTAGAGCATCCTTTCATACATCTTCAACTGCATTTCAACTTGAGACTACAAACAAACCCCTCACGGTGCTCATACAACCGAGCTCTACTGAAGATTTCGAGCGCTTTGTACGTGCTTCAGGTCCCCGAGCATTTGTGTCTGGCTTTGAGGATCCATATCTTAATTTAGCACTGGAGTCTTATATTTTCAAGCATATGCCCGTGGTTGATTCCAAATCTTCACCATTATCATCATCACCGTCGTCTTTTCCTTCTACTTCTTCTTCTCCTTCAGTTGACGATATTATTGGTTTTGACATTGATGGAACTTACGACCTCGATACTCCCAAAACACATAACCGGTTGCTGCTCTATGTCAACAAGGCCTGCATAGTTATAGGTCGCAACCAAAATCCATGGCGCGAGTGTAATTTACCGTTAGTAAAGTCACTAGGTGTGCCACTGTTACGGCGTAGATCTGGAGGTGGTGCCGTAGTACACGATTCAGGGAACGTCAATTTTTCAGTCATGACACCCCGCGAGGAATTCACCCGTGACAAGCATGCTCAAATGATTGTGAAGGCAGTTAACAAACTTCCTCCCGAGGTACAAAAACGGATTCAAGGTCAGCAAGATATTTTGGAAGATGATGCAGATGAGTTGCTGGGGGGAAACAGCCAAATGGATATACCCATGGATGGAATTGCAACGCCGTTTGATGGTGCTGGTGGTTTAGGAAGTGATATCCCAACCGAAGGCCTTGCAGTGCCAGTCCCCGGCCCACAAATTAAACTTGCTGTTAACACACGTTATGATATCATCCAAGATATTACGGAAGATCCGTCTTTTCCCCAAGATACTCAACCACCAAAGATTTCTGGGTCTGCATACAAAATTGAACGCAATAGGGCATACCATCACGGAACTATGTTACTGAATGCACGCTTAGATATCCTTAAAGCTTTGCTGCACCGAGACGAGGCCCGTCTGGGCAAGGTTGTGGGTCGTGGCGTTGAGAGTGTAAAGTCACCTGTGGCCAACTTAGGCATGGACAAGGATGTGTTTATATCTACGGTGATTGATGCGTTTGCAGCCAAATACTGTGATGTGAGTTTATTAGAACCATCACCGTCATCTACGACAGTTTCCATTGACAATGTTACTACTAAGGATGAGTTTGTGAACCCCTTGACTGTTGGAATTGATGATTACGAAGAGCTTGGAAGGGAGTCTTTGCCAGTACCTGAATCTGTGGTTTTGAACGGTGATCCTTTACCTGTTATGCTTGTGCGGCCTGAACACTTACCAAGGGAAATTTACGACGCAGCACGCGAGTCCATGGGCTGGGAATGGCAGTTTGGCCAAACACCTGAGTTTACTCACCGGTTAGAGTTCCCAGGCGGGTGGCCTTTAAGTGTAGTTTTACCCCCAGCGTCTTTATCTGGCAACAATGATTTGGCCATTACGTTTAGTGTCAATCGTGGTAGGCTGTTAGACTTTAAGGTGGAGCCTGAGGAATGTTCGATTGCTGAGGAGGAGTTTCAGTTTTTGCGGCGCATGATTGAGTTGGAGGAAGAAAAACGGGCTGCCGGTGATAAGAGTGCCGGTGTTAAGTATGTGGGTAAGGAAGTTGCCGGGTATGTTCCGAATGACGAGCTGGCCCGGTGGATTTCAGAGAGCATTGACGGAACGCTTCTTATGTAAGCACACTTAAATCATGTGATTTGTTACAATTACATGGGTTAGGGCGTGACGCGTGATGTGGCAAAATGTTAATTTTTTTTTAACGCGAAGCTTTTTTTTTTTTGTCAACAACAACAACAACAACAACAAAACGCGTCGTGTCACATCTTCATAGAACACGCGTTTGCCACTTTTTTTTTTGTAAATAGTTTTATATATCTATATATATATATTTTTTAATTTCATTGTGTATAATTGAAACTTTAGATGTAGCAATTATTCAGGTTTTTTTTTTTTTCATATTCAAACTAACTGCGTTTTGTGTTAACTTTTTATATATATATATATATATAAATTTGTTTTTGTCTGCCATACGTTTATTATTTGTTTTGTTAAAAAAAAAAATTTTTTTCAGCACTACCACCAAAAACTTTACTTTTTTTTTAACTTTTTTTTTTTTTTTTCTTGTCACATCACCAAACATTCCACAAGCACCACCTAACCCTCTCTCACTCTCTCCCACACACCTAACATACCCACATCTACACACCCACATCTACACACCCACAATACACTTAAGTGCTTCTCATCATCGACAATGGCAGCCCGATCTCCTGCATCTTCGTCAGTCGCGCCCGTAAAGCGAAAGCCCGCAGATATTTCAGCCTCTTCAGCCTCTGCCGCATCTGTACAAATCGTCCCGGCATCTTCCTCTAGCCCCGCGGCCGCCCCTCCTTCTGGTTCCAGCTCTTCTTCCCGTGCTCCAGTCACCGCAGCCACCACCACCGGCACCACCCTGACAACAGCCAACAGCACCATGAACAACAATCACAACAACCACAATCACAACCACAACCACAGCAACAGCTTTTCCAGTTCAGTGCCTCTCGGACCCTCTTCTGGTGCTTCACAACTACCGCTTGGATCCTCGGGTTCCGCTAAGTCCCTCGGACCACCGCACTTTTCAGTTGCCGGTGGAAGCGGTAATGGTGGGCCATCAACATCCTACAAGACCTACTCCTCCGTGGCCTCTTCTCAACCCCCAGTACGCGCGCAAAACACTGGCACCACCACTCCTGCGGGTTCAGGGGCACACCACCCAACTGCTTCGGCCGCAGGAGTTGCAGGTGTAGGTACTAATCCCACTTTTGAAAATGTAGCCCAAAGACACTCGGCTACTGGTGCTGGTGCTGCTCCTCAGCAAACATCTCAGGCTCATTTGCAACAGCCCATAGCCCCGGTCGAAGTCAAGATCTTTAGTGCGCATGGCAAACGCATTCTCTGCGTGGCTGAAATCCGTGGTAAGCTCTCAAAGCTTAATGCCATGGCAAAGAAGTACAATGCTTCCTGCATCATCCATTCAGGGAACTTTGGGTTCTTTGATTCAAATTCCATCAGCAGAATATCTTTAAAGTATGTCTTTCTTGATTTATGATCAATAATTTTTTTTTCTTTTTTTTTTTAAAACTAACATTTCATAGAATTATAAAACAACTCTGTGTCTTTTCTCCTCTCTTAGATACCAAGACTCTCCCCCAGGATCCAGAGGAAATCAAAAAGACCATCGCCCCAGATTCCCTTTCAGAACTCCCCAGCTTCCTCTCTGGTGCCCAGCGTCTTAACGTCCCCGTTTATACCATCTATGGCGCCGCAGAAGATCTTACTGTTCTGGAAAAGTTCAAGGAAGGCACTTACAAAGTCCCCAACCTTTACATTATAGATGAGGCCACCACCCATGCCATACAAACTCCTTCTGGCTTGACTCTTCGACTCTTTGGTCTCGGAGGGTCTTTTGTCAATCACCGTCTGTTTGACCATGGTGACGGTACACTCTCCATCGCCGGTTCTCCTGGTGTCATGTGGACCACAGTTCTGCAAATGGGCCAGCTCATTTCAACAGTCAAAAGATCCTTTGATCCCACAGAAGTACGCATCTTTGTGTCCCATCCATCTCCATCTCGTGAAGGTCTTTTGGCTCAGCTCGCTCTTTCTCTTCGTTCAGACTTTACAATCTCTTCAGGGCTCCATTTCCTTTATGGATCTTCTTTCAATGAAACTTCCGCGCTTCCATCCATCGACCACTTTAAGGGTCTCTTGGCTTCCTCCCGCGCTCAATTTATGGAGCTCTGGAACGCTGTCAAGACTCCACTTTTCAGTCTTGTTGACGAAGCACAGAAGCAACAGCTCATGTTGGCCTACGAAACTTTTGAAGCAATGCCTGTTTCTCCAGCAGATTCTAAATCTACCACCACTAACCCTTCAGCCAACCCATCCACAGCAAACCTTTCTCACCATCAACCATTAGACTACATTGAGGTGGCTTTCAGAAACATGTGGCATTTCAATCTCTGCGACGCAGAATATGGTGCCCTTGTTCTTAATGTTGCTGGTGGACGCGTCTCTAGCGAATCCTACTCCGAAGGCTTTAATTTCCAGTATAGATTCCCCCGTGCTCAAACTGCCGGAATAACCGCTACCACTGCTATTGTGTCAGTACCAAACTCAAACAGCAATAATCAACAAGCTACAGCAGCCACTCAAGCAGCACAACAGATAACTACACCCACAACCACAGCTGCAACTCTCAATACTTCTCTGGATAAATCTTCGCGGTACCCTGCAAAGTCTATCTTGAAAAACAACTCATCAGCCACATCCACATCTCCATCTTCAAAGCTGGAATCAAAAAGACCCGTCCAAACTGTACCTGCTGTTGCCGAAACCACCCTCCCCAATGGCGAAATTGTAGAGCTCCCCGGTGTTTGGGTCCCCAACGGTCTCCCCGGCCGCGAAGAGGTTCAAAACTACTTCCATCCAGATGACCAAAAGAACATTCGCGCCATTGTTCTTAAAGACAACTACATGAACCGCGACAAGATGTTTGCGCTTGTTTACTTTTCTACCGAAGAGCAAGCCATTCGCTCACTGGAACGTATCAACAGGGAAAAGGCAGGCAAGGCATCCATTATTAAAAGTGGTGGCGGCAGCAGCACTTCCGGAGGATCTCGAAGCGAGGGCAGATCAGCACCTCTTTCTTCCACTTCATCGTCTTTAGGTATCACCAACGGACGCGGCAGTCATCGTAGTGGCCCTAGTACTAGCAGTTCGACTGCTGGTAACAGTAGTAGTAATAGCAGCTGGGGTCCTTCATTGTCGTTATCATCATCCTCGTCACGCGGTAGAGGCGGATTACACCGTGGCCGCAGTGAAAGAGGCGAACCGCGACACTCCACACGTGGAAGCGGCCGCTCGGCGCCGAGCGGTAGCGTGGGATCTTCGACAACCTCATCATCTCCTGCTGCTTCTGCGTCAACCCAGTCAGCGTCTGAATCTGCGTCCGCGTCTTCGACTGCAACCAGCCCTAGCTCTGCCCCCACCAAAAGTGAGCCTGCAGCTGTTGCCAATAAGGCGTAAAGAAGAAATTTAGGAGAGAAAGAGAAAGAGAAAGAGAAGAAGAAGGAAAAGGAGATGGAGAAGAAGAAGAAAAAGGAAAAGGAAAATGGAAATAGTTGAAGTGAAAAAAAAAGGATGAAAAATAGGAGCTTTTGTATGTAAAGTAAAAAAAAAGATGAAAGAAAAATAATTAAAAACTTAATTTACTTCGAGTAACGTAAAAGTAACAAACGTGGTAACTTAATTTCAGTAACGAGATAAAGCCAGCCGTCCTTAAAAAAAAAAATGTCCCCACCTGTCTCCATTTTTGGTCCACCATTGAAGCATCTTCGACTAGAAGGAATTTTTTTTTTTTCCCCGTCGAACACAACTCCCTATGATTTGCATTGAGTGCATGGAGCCCGTGCGGTCGCTGTATACGCGATACTCTAGATCTAATGTGTCTAACATCCGGCTGACCGCTTGTCCGCGGTGCAACAAATTTGCCGACAAATATATTGAGTACGACTCTGTGCTAGTTTTTGTGGACGTGATTCTGCTTAAACCTCAAGCCTACCGACACCTTGTGTTTAACGTCTTCACACGCGAAAAACAGGTCTGGGGGTCTGCGCCGGTTTCTAGTACATCAACGCCTTCCTCTACTGCCATACAAACCCACCAACATCACCAATCAAACCAACAACATCTACCACATCAACAACAACAACAACAACAACAACAACAACAATCCACGTCGCTGCCGGAATCACCCAATACACCGACCTCCCATCTCCACGAACCTGCATCTCCGACCCACTCTCTCCACACCACGCGCCGCCGGTCGTCGTCGTTCTTGTGGCCCCTCAGAGTGCCACTTATTTCCGGCCTCCATGTCCAAGCTCAGCGCCTATGGCTGCTAGTGACTCTGTTTGATGTATACTTGACTTGGGCACGCGCCGAGCAACGCCGAGCTGAGGATGCACGGTATGTCCCAGTGCTTGCACTGCCCGTGCTGGCCCAATACTCATCGTTTCTCGTACTGTGTTTGGCTGAAAGTCTGGCCACACATTGCGTGCTACGCGCTCTGGCCATCCATGTGCTGCGCTGGCGCGGCGCCGCACGAATTGGTCTGCATCAGCCAAAGCCAAAGCCAAAGCCAAAGCTAAAGCCAAATCCAAAGTCAAACATTGAGACTGAAACTGAGGCTGAAACTGAGACTGAGACTGATGGTCAGGTATTAGAAGAAGAAGATAATTCTGAAAAAACAGTGGCTGCGGCAAAGGCTGCCCTCTCAACTGCTCTTCTTATCTCATCTTCTTCAAAACTTTTCCCGATCCTCATGGTAATCTGGTCCTACGATGTCCCATTTGCTGCAACTGTGCTCGGCTGGGCAGTCTCGTTCAATACTATAGAAGCCCTTACCATTATTCTTCAATGCGGGTACTTGCGCGCAGGTCTTATGACCGCCGCGGCGGCTGCAGTCCGCAACATTTTGTGCGACCACGTCGTGCTTCCTCTTCTCAAAATATTTTGGCAATACGTATTGTAAAAAAAAAAGTACAAACATGTATATAAAATGTAGACTACTAATATATATTAATTAATTAATTTTTTTTACTTCTAAATTTACAAACTATTTTTAAAAAAAAACAACAAAATCACAAAAAACAAACCTAACTTTATTCCCATTCTTCCAGCTGAACCTTGCGCTTCACTGTGCCCTCACTGTTAGCTATAATCACATCATCACTTCCCTCAATGCCAATCCATGGGCCATCCAGTGGCCGTACCAAATGCGGGTTCACATATTTTTGGTTTCGCTCCCGCTCTTCGTCCAGAGTCTTGGACACTGAAAACGGCCGTACTTGGAAATTGGGAATTTGTGTATCCACCAATCGCCGTGTAACGTTGCGTTGTAGACCGCGAATTTTATTTCGAAGAGGAGTAGATGTTCCAGAGGGAGGCGGGAGTGAGAGTGTGGATGATGGCGTTGGATGTGGCGATAGTGGTTCTACCTCAGATTCGGATTCCTGGCGCTCCGCGGTCCCATTTTCTTGGTCTGAAATGCTAGAGTTGCTGGTTCCACCGCCACTACCATATGTTTCAATTGCAGTTAGAGCAATAAAGTTAGATAGTGGCACATAATATTCTTCAAAATTGTACCAAAAGAAAAAGGTGGCCAGTGGTAGTGGTGCCAAACTTGTAGATAAAAAGTAAGCCTTTTGCAAGGCTAAAATGCCAGTCATTGTCAAGTGAAAAATGACAACTCCAAGGCACACTCTGCGGAAAATTAAAACCCATGACTGACCTGTGGAGTGCTGCGGATGAACCATTGTAAACATAAGCTGGTACTTGTATGTCATATAACCAAACAGAAAATAAATGGTACCGAAAAAGACGATTTTTGTGGAAATGACGGAATAAAGAATGACAATGATAAAGATAAGAATGGGCTGTGGAAGATTAATGCCGTAGTTGAAAATAGGAGGTCGGTAGCGGTTGCGGTACTCTCGGGGGGATTGGCACCGCCATAAAACAAACGGAAGCTGGAAGATGCTACCTAACTGAAGCAAGCGTAGTGGAAACATGGCAATACCTTGTAGAATAACAAGATCAATGTAGAAAAGTGAAAACTTCATAAGTGACTCAGCTAGCTTATAAGCCAATTGCGTTGTATCCTTGAGAAATGTCCAGTAGTTACCAGCAACTGTAAAGACGAGGAACATATTGAAGAATACATAGAAAAAGTTTTTAGAAATAACAGACAACTCAACCTCACCATAAGATACAAAACCTTGGAGCCCAGCCAGGTACCAGTACAGGTAAGGAAGCAAAAAGTTGAACAATGTAAAGATAAGAGGAGGCAAGATACCAGTGACAAAAGTTGTCAGCCATTCAGAGCGTTCAATGAGTTTCCCAAGAGCTGGTTGCAGACGCTTGATAGTCTTAAGTTCCAAAAACGTGGCCAAATATGAAATAGGGAAAATCAGGGCAACCGTTAAAATAGCAATGATAATGGTAATCGTATATGTGCGCACAAAGCGTTCATTGCGTGGCATGTACAAGTTCTTCCAGATAATATCATGCGGGGCTGGAGCAGGCTTTGCAAGAAGTCGATTGGGTCTTGGGTCAAGAACAGCCTGTGCAGCCATTTGTGCGCTGGCAACAGAGTCCATGGTCAAAAATGCAGTGTCAGTAGGGGTATAGTAGCGTTGTCTTGCTGCTTCGATTTGAGCGTCAAGCATTTCCAACTCATTGGTGTAGTAGTCAATAATGTCGATTTCTTCACCATAAAGTCCCATCCACCCAAGCTTTTCTTTGGGTCGGCGATAAGAGCCTGTAGCTGTACCGAGTTGTAAAGTAGCATTGCTAGTCACCAAATGTTCCAGCTCGTCATCTGTTTGAGGGCTATGGTCATTGTCACGGTATGACTGAGACACAGAGTCATTACGCAAGGGAATTGAACGCGAGGAAACGCCATTTTCTTCAGAAAATGGAAGAACCATGTTTTTGTTAATTGCATTACTTTCTTTCCATGTTGGACCAAGATATTTAGACCAAGCATGTTCAAGCTTTGTTATAATGTATTTGCGTTTTTCAAACATCTTATCCAGTTGATCCCAATGACGGCACAAATGCAATGAACGTACATTACCAATACCAAGTGACTCAATATGGTCTTTCAAAGCAGATTCCGTGCGAAGCTCCGGTGGAATGCCGGATAACCGAATTGTTCTGTCAGTAATGGAGTTTTGTTGGCCTAGGTATCGCTGACGTACTCGCACAACTTTAATGGTCTGGCGCATCATGAAATATGCAGTTAAAAACGTGAAAATATAAGTGAAAACTACATAAGTCCACAGGTATTTCTTGTAGGTATTAGAGGGGTCATCATCATTATCACCTCCACCACCGCCACTGCCATCTTTAGTGCCGGTGAAAATTGAAGTTTTAGAGGGATTATCACCGTCCTCACCTTGGTCATAGTTGCCAGTGTAATGTAGTCTAATAGGACTGATAATTGTCACAGCAAAAACTGTGAGCAATGTAAAGAGTTGTGCAGAGACTTTAAAAAATCCCAGATACTAATAAAAATGTTTTGGTCAGAGAGAAGACAAAAAAAAAGTTAAAAAAGAAACTTAAAACTTACGACAAACGCATCTAAACCAGCGTGCTCAAGGATTTGCTCCTCCGTTATATTGTATAAACTAACTACCCAGCCAAAGAACTTTTTTGGGAGTTCAGGAAGTTCCTCTTAAATAAACAGACAAACTGGTTAGAAAGCTGATAAAATTAAATGTCTAAAATACTCACTTCTTCGTGCACGACGGGCATCAAAAAGATTTGGCCATTTAAGTCTTAAAATACAGAAAGATAAAAATGCAGAGGCACCGATTGCAGTGGCGACTGCCAGCTGAGCCCCTAACAGCCGGAGTGGATACTTTCTAGGGTCGTAGGGAATATCTTCGTCGTCGTTCCCATTCATGACAAAAAAAAAAGGAAGGTTGCGGTAAATATATTATTTAGAACGCAGTTCTTTTAGTAGTATGCTGGCTCCGGTTTTAATCCAGGAGGTTTTGAAAACAGAGTTCGAAGCCGAAAATGGTAATTAGCAAAGATAGTATTAAGACTCGGAAGGGAGAAAAAGCCTTGAAGCGTGTTGTGGTGAGTGGGTCCTTTACTTTCAGGTGGTGGTTTGGGCAAAATACAAAACATGGAATGGCGGTCTCCCAAAAGAAGCCGCCCGAAAATAAAAACACAACTACAGAATGCTTACATAAACACTGACACGGTTTCACGTGAAAACGTCGCCCAACTGTCACGCGAGCACTTTGATTTTATTTTTGTCAGTTAATTCTTTAAACAATTGTGGTAGACATTTTCATGCCTTAATGATTAAATATTAAAACAACTATATATAACAATTTCAATTAGGTAAATGCAAATATGTGCATTGATCACCGTTGTCACAGTGGTCTTTAAAGAAATGACAAGGGAATTTCCATTTGTCCATTGTCGTTTGGTCGCTGCGAACGAAGGGTCGCACATCTTTAGACCGAAGTTCTAGGTGCTTTTGCGTCAGCGTCGAGTTATTATTGACCCACCGCGACTGCTTTTTTTCGGGTGACGGGGTTCCATTATCTGTCGAATTTTTGGGGCCATTGTTTAAGAAAGGTGTTAAATGTGTTAAAAGAGCTTCTGCTGGGATAGGGGGAGCCTGGTTACCAGACCAGGTGTTATTATTGCCCACGTTTTTGTTACCACCACCACCATTACTTGTGCCCACCGTCTTTTTAAGCCCATCCAAAAGAGATTTAATTGCATCCATGTCTGGATTAGGTGTTGATGATGCTTGCCGTAATGAGAACGCACTAGGGTCGTAATCATCGTCGTCATCATTTACAGGGCTGCCGCCATTGAGAAGTGGGTGGCTTGCAAGTTCATCAGCAAGGGGAATGATTTTAGTTTCTGAAGTATCATCGCTGGGCTGGGTTCGGTCCACTAGAGACTCGTTGGGGGTTTCTGGAATTTGAGAATCATTAAGATAAATAGCAATTAGCCTTTCTTCTTCGGCACGTCGCTGAATTTCAGCTTCATAGCTTTCAACTGGTCGTCTGCCACCACGCGGGATTGAAACATCTTCACATCCGGGGTAATCCTCAAAAGGAACTGGCGTATACCATTCTATCATTTCCACATTTTCAGGAGTCTCACGGAACATTGCAAATGCATTCTTGGCTTCATTAAAATCTAAAGGCTTCATGCCAAGTGCAGACCGCTTAGCAGCAGCCTCTTCGGGATCAAGATAAAATTCCTTGACCTGAACCAAATTATCATCTTCTTTCCAGTGAACACGCTTTCGCTTTTTGCGCAACGTGGTACTACTGGTGCCATTACTACTCGAGTTATTGCTATTGCTATTGCTAGAACTATTACGATCCTCTTTTTCCTCTTCTTTAACATCAGGTTTTTTGGCCGCCCCCCGAATAATTTTCAAGTGATTTTGCAAAGAAAATGTTGAGGTAGGAGCTGGCTTAGAAGAAAGGGGTGCTGATGCCTTATGGGGCTTAAGTGCTTTAAAAAAGGAAGATGCTAGACTGGTTGGAGCGGGTGCAGATGAAGATGATAACGATGAAGCTGAAGCTGAAGATGTTGCAGTAACAGTTGTAGCAGGTTTTGATTCGGCAGTTGTTTGTGATCGTCTTGGGATTGTAAAAGTGCGAGACGAAGATGTGGGAGAAGACGCTGCAGTACTTGTCGAGGATTTTGTCTTGAGCGTCATTGCAGAATTTAAAGGAGCTTTCTTATTAATCTCTTTAGTAGGAAGTCTTTTTCTAGATGCAGATGTAGCTGTAGATGTAGTACTTGGAGCTGCTGGGACTGTGTTGCTAGTGACTGTAGATTCAGCTTTGGCTCGTTTGCGAGAGCTACTGGTTATGGGTTCAATTGGTTGAAGCGGCTTGGTGGAATTAACTTTGGTTGCAGTGGGACCTGGTGAAGGAGATAATCTTTTACTACGAGATGAAGCAGCTTTAAGTATATCTGAAGCAGAAGCTAGTGGACTTCCAGAAATACCATTTTGGGAAGGTCTTGAATTGAGCTCAGTTAGTTGCTCAGCACGTTGTAATAACATTTCTGCAGCCTTCCGAGCTGCTGGATTCTCGTTTTTCTTGCAAATGATCAGTAGTAATCTAGAAAGTTTAAACGTCTCCAAATGAGACTGTGTCAATGACATTTTCAATAATGCGTTTAGAATTGTTGTAGCTTGGTCCCAGTGGCGTGCTTTGAACAGCTTAGCAATCCAAACACGACACCGTGTAATAACAAGGCTTTGAGACCGCATACCGGTCCAAAACAATTCAAGGTTGTTTTCTAGCGCAACCTCAAATGCAATCGAAAATGGGTCTGGGTCTGGAATCTGGTCACCTGACGTGTCGATTTCTAGTAGAAGCTTAGAAAACCGATCAACAAGTTCAGCTACTGAACCCATTTTAATGTAAGTCATAAACACTGCTTGAAATCGAAGTTTGATTTGATCGGCCAAAGGCTTGGACTCAAAAATTACACGCGACGATTCCGAAAGATCTGTAGACATGGACTTGAGCTTTTTGGAAGGGTATGGGTCTCTCTCAGGTTCAGGGAGGGTTCGTTTTTTAGCTATCGGTTGAAGTTTAAGTGCCTGTTCTAATGACTGGGGAGAAAAAGTAGAACCATTTTCCGTGTCAATTGATGGATCCATATCATCGCTTATTATTATTGGCATTGACGGACTATTTTCCATGAGATTTATTGTGGAATCATACATCTGTTGTTGATACAAATCAAAAGCATGACTTATAGATGACTGTTGTTTTTGCAGCTGTTGATTTTGATTTTGATTTTGATTTTGCTGCTGCTGCTGCTTTTGTTGAGACTGAAGATCGGGATATTGATTAGCCAAAGAGATATTAAAGTAGTTTGAGTTAGGCATAATCGAGAACTGGTTTGAGCTAGCTAGAGTAGATTCAGCTGTAGACTGGGATGATGTAGAGTCAATTGATGGAGGGATTTCATCTGAATGAGAAAATGTTGATGAACCCATTAGGGATCCCAGTAACGCTCTGTTTTCAAGGTCAATCTGTTGCTGACGAAGTTGCGTAGCAGTAAGCCCGGACTCCGAAGCCGGTGCTTGTGACGATGCAGAAGAAGAAATCAACGGGTGGTTGTTGAGAGATTGTGTGACGCGGGACGCGTAGCCCAGGGCTAGAGCATTTGCAGCTGCGGCTGCAGCGGCCGTTGCGAGATTGACATTTGTAGTGGGGGTCGTTGTGGCGGAGGCAGTAGTGGCGGGAGATAGCTGGTGGTGGTGCGGCGTTTCTAAAGAAAAAACGGTTATCGGGTTAGGGTCTGCACGGGATCTCATTACATAAGACTTACGCTGATGGTGCTGGTCTTGTTGTTGCTCTTGCGAGTGGTGGCTATTATTATTTTGGTGAGACGCCAGCGCGTTTTCATTGTGGTGTTGCCATGACAACAAGCCAGAAGCATACGAATAGCCAGCATCTCCAGCTACGGGCTGCGCAGACTCAAGCGGCAGCGTCAAAGTGTTTCCATAAGAACTTGAAAGCTGAGAAGAAAATTGATTATTATTTGAAGTCTCTGTATATCCTCCATTAACCATCAATGATTGCGATACTGCTTGCGCAGGTGTCGTGACTGAAAGAAATGGGTTGCCTGCCGAGCCGGTGTTGGGGTTGGAGCTGTTGCTGAGAATGCTAGAGTTTGAGTTGATTGTGTTACTACCGCTACCTGAGCTGCTATTACTACTGCTACTGCTACCTGAGTCTCTGCCACCATTGGCAATGATATTGCTTTGATAATTCTGTGGTATAGTCGTGGCTACTGCAGAAAGACCGTTAAGATTGAAGGGATTTTGAAGATCGGCCACATTTGAAGAAACAGAAACGGTTGTGGTAGTGGGTCCCGCTGCCGTCATGCTTAACTGGTTCGCGTGTTGGTGGTGAAAATCAGCAGAGTTGTGAGTTTGGCCAAACCCAGTGACATCTTCTAGCGTGACTTTAGAAGTCAGCGGTTGGAGATGGTGATGCTGTTGTTGGAGGTGGTGAGCACTCGGGGCAGCTAAACCCTGGGGCTCGGTTGCACCGCTTCCAAACATGTAGTTGAAAGTTTCATAAGGATTTGTTGAATCCATTTCTTTATGGAGACAAATAATTATTTAAAATTTAAAACGTTTACACCAAAAATAAAATAAGTTTCTCAAACAGTGATCAATACGAATCTTCCTGTGACCAGACTAGGTCTAGTTAGTCGACTGTGATATAGTAAGAGAAATATATAAAAGGGAAAAAAAAATTGGGGGTAGAAAAAGAGAGAGAGCGTCAAAAAGGTGGAGATTGAGAATAAACTAACCTGTTGAAAGTACTACGGTGTTTGTATAGTGTACCAGTCCCAAATAATGAGGTAAAAGTATCTTTTTTTTTCTATCGCGTTAACAACGACAAGTACTCAACATAAAGAGCTAGTTCATAATAAAAGGTCTTTTACAAGGATATTTTGAAAGGTTGGTGATTTGCGTGACGTTTCTATTTGAAGTGTAAGTGGGGAGAAAGAGAACAAAAGGAGGAAAAAGCAGGCTTATAAGGGAGGAAAAAAAAAAAAAAAAAAAAAAAAACTGCGCGCCAGTGATGGTGGTAGCAGCTTGGTGACAGAGGTTTATTACTTCGTAATAAATTACATTATGTAATCAAAAGTCATCCTTACATAATATACTGAAATGTACATAAGTCCGTTAATTTCATACTGGGCATGAAACCAACTTGCCACACCATGATGACGATACTTACCTTTATTATTCATTTAATTTTAACAAATACGGAAATTATTTTAAAATACAAGTAACGGAAATTTTTAAATTTAAATGAAAGGGATAGATGAGTTTAATGGCATGAGAAAGTTTCATCTATACATATAATGTAACCAAGAAATTTTCAAACTTTGGCAGACTGTGGGGTATCATTATTACTACAAAACACTAAAGCTTTAAGCCTCCAAACGTAATAAAAAGATCAAGCCACAAGGGAACACTTTCATTCAAATACGACCGATTTTTTAAAAAATAATGTTGCAGTTTGGCTATTGATACTTAGATCTAGTGCAATGTTTCTAAGCTTCCGATTCCGTGTTTGTCGGACTTCCGTCCTGTGGCGCTGAACTATTGCGCCATATGGCACATTTCGGGGCCAAATTTCCAAATGGATTTATACCATTATTGCAATATAAAGAGCTTACTATTTCCGTAATTCTAAAGAAACATCAATTATCATTTTATCAACTTTTTTGATTATTTATTTTCTTTCTTATTTTTTTTTCTATTAATTAATTATGACTAAAAAACCAAACTTTGTTGTAATTGTTGCCGATGATCTTGGGTTTTCCGACTTGGGCACTTTTGGCGGGGAAATCCACACTCCTAACCTTGACAAACTTGCAGGGACTGGTTTAAGACTTAATCAGTTTTATGCGGCTGCCGCGTGTTCCCCTACTCGCTCAATGCTTCTTTCAGGAACCGACAACCATATTGCTGGTGTTGGAGCTATGTTTGAGTTTGTCCGAAGTATTCCAGGATTCAGAGAAAAACCTGGATATGAAGGATACCTTAATGATAAAGTGGCTCCACTCCCTGAAATTTTAGCTGAACGCGGAGGCTACCATACTTTCCTCGCGGGTAAGTGGCATTTGGGTCTTATCCCAGAAGCTTTCCCTGCTAAAAGAGGGTTCCAAAAGAGTTTTGCTCTGCTTCCTGGTGCTGCTAATCATTATGGTTGGGAGCCACAACTGGCTCCAGAAAACCTGGACCCCGATGAGATTGTTCCTGAATTGTTTCAATCAGCTGCACCAGTGCTACATGCCGAAGATGAAAAATACTCCACTGATCCATTGCCTAAAGACTTTTATTCTTCCGACTTTTATGCAGACAAGTTTGTGGAGTTTTTGGGAAACCATCTTGACAAAAATGAGGAGCAACCATTTTTTGGATTGCTGACATTTACTGCTCCTCATTGGCCATTGCAGGCACCTCAAGAAATTATTGCAAAGTACAAGGGTGTTTATGATGATGGTCCAGCAGCTTTACGCCAGAAGCGTCTTGCTCGACAAAAGGAGCTTGGTTTGATTCCCAATGATGTTGAGCCGCACCCCGTGGTTCCCCTCGGTTCACCTGAATGGGAAACTTTAAATGATGATCAGAAGGCCAAGTCAGTCCGTGCTATGGAAACATTTGCAGCTATGGTTGAACGTCTTGACTGGAATGTTGGTAAAGTTGTTTCTTCATTGGAGGCTCGTGGAGAACTTGAGAATACTTATATTTTGTTCTTGTCAGACAATGGTGCTGAGGGTGCTTCGTTGGAGGCCAAGCCTATTTTAGGAAGTAATATCGAACAACACCTCAAGAAGTACTACAACAACTCTTTGGACAATATTGGCAATTATGATTCTTATGTATGGTACGGACCACGATGGGCACAGGCTGCTACTGCACCTTCTAAACTGTTTAAGACATTTTCTTCTGAGGGTGGTATTCACGTACCTATCATTGTCAATGGTCCTGGTATTGACGAAAAACATAAGGGAACTATCAACAGTATTTTTTCCACAGTCATGGACATTACTCCGACATTATTGGAGCTTGCTGGTGTTGAACAGCCTGAAACCTCGAACTATAAGGGCCGCGAAATCGCCCCAATTCGAGGTAAATCCTGGGTCAAGTTTTTAAAATCAGCGGGGGAGACAGTTCCTATTTACGACAAAGACGAGACTGTGGGATGGGAGTTGTTTGGACAAGCTGCTGTACGAAAGGGTGACTGGAAAATTACCTTTATTGGAAACCCGGTTGAAGAAAATATTTGGCAACTTTACAACGTCCGAGAAGATCCAGGTGAGGTCCATGATTTGTCCAAAAAGCATCCTGAAAAGTTTGATGAACTTTTGGCTGGATGGGAAGACTACAAAAAGAATTACAATGTTCTTGGTATTAAAACTGATTGGCTAAACATCCCTGTTAATGAAATTGATGATGAGACGTTGTGGATGAAGTACGAACGACTGTCTGCCTACCAGGTCAAGCTAGAGGTTGAAAAGGCCCATTAATTTATTAAAAATATTTATCTAAAAAATAATACTAAATATAATTTGTGCTTTAAGATGAACTTTGAGTATCAGTGACTACAATCGTACGACGGCTAGCACTTGTGGATTTGGTAACCTCAGGCGTTTGGGTGACGCTTTCCGTAACAGTACGAGTAACGGAGTTGACAGAACTGCTTGGAGTTGCCGTCACACTCTCGGTAACAGTCACACGAGCTGAACTGCTTATTGGAGATGTGACACTTTCAGTAACTGTACGTGTGACTCCTGATGCTGTGGCAGAAAGGCTAGAGGGAATTGCAGAGGGGGTTGCAGAGATAGAAGAATAAGAAGAAGAGCCTGAAGCTGTAACGGAGGAAGTGACAGTTCTTGTACTACCAGATGTAGAAGTAGAGACAGAAGACCCAGTAACGACGAGAAGCGATTGTGAGGCTGCTGAGGAGTTGGACGCCGTTTGTCTTTGTGCGGCTGTGCTGGTTGAATTAGACGAAACAGTGGTATTTGTGGACACCGTTGTATTGGAGGATGAGGCCAAAGTGGAATTGGTAGCCAGTGAGGCATTGGAATATTTTCCAGTACATCCGGCACCAGGAACGGCAATGTCGTATGCCCAGGCGTGAAGTGCAAAATACTGGAGAGATGCGGTGTTGTGTAAGGCTACAGAAGAGTTACTTTTAGCAAGGGCAATTACAGAAGCGTATGATTCAGCTTTATGAGAAATTGAGCCTTGACCAATACGTTGAGAATTCAAAAGTTGACCCAAAAAGGTGCCAGCCCAGGTATCTGTTGCATTGTTTCCTGCAACTGTGTAACCATGAGCGCAAATGTCAGAGTTATAAATTTTGTTGCTGAAAGCATTGGGGCAAATAACACTTTCATTATCGCGGTAGGTATAGATTCCTGTTGTAGTATCGTTGCAGCGGTCATCAACGTCGTCGCAGCGCAAAACAAGACCACTTTTATCACCATTAGCCAAGAAATCATACCAACCTAAAGGCTCAGCAGCAGCAGATGCATTTCCAAAGTAGCGTGGGAAAATGTCTGAGGAATTGCCATAACGCAAGAGATGGAGTCTTGCATGTTGGGCAACATCAATTGTATCAGAGAGTGCACGGGAAAGAATGTTGGAGTTAGTAGCATTACATGATGAGCGAATAGAAATGGTAGGAGTAAAGCCGTCATTCCAATTGTAAGATGAAACGGCTGTAGAAGCAACAGCTGAGGATGCAGATGATGTAGATGCCGATGCAGATGCCGATGCTGACGATGACGATGACACTGATGAAAAAGTTGGGGTAGAGTTTTGAGGAACTGGTAAACCATTGGCAACTGCGAAAAAGAAAGCAATGGCCGCAAAAGAATTAGCAAACATTATTTATTAAAAGTAACAATATATAAAAAAAATAAACAAAAAAGAGTAATTATAATAAAGAGTAAATTTAAAGATATATATATTTTTTTGTTATTTTTTTCATCATTTTATCAGCAAGGCAAGTAGTATTTATATTTCTTTCCATTAATATCGCTTAAAAGCCCCTCACCCCACTTGAAAAAGCAACAAAAAAGTCGCGCACCATCATGATGACAAGGTATTTTTACCCAGAATGATCAAAAACAAAAACCAAAAACAAAAAAAAATACAAAACAAAAAACCTAGTATATATTAATTTTTCAGTGAGTCCAATAAGAATACTAGGACTTTCCCCGTTTGGGCGTCATTCTAGCAATTTGGGGAATGCGCGTGATTGAAGGTTAATTGGTTAAGCGCGATATCACAGAAATAAATACAATTGCGCCAGAAAACTTTAAACTGAGAGGGTATCAAGCAAGCAATCTTCTAGAAATACTTGCAAAAGACAAAAAAAAAAAAGAAAATTAGCAAACAAAAACCATTGTATTCAGTCAAACAATGAAAGAATGAAAGAATGAAAGTAATAAGTACTAAGTTCTTTTAAATCTAAAAATGTAAGAACTTTTATCTGGGGTATATAAATATAAAATATTTCAAAAGTCTTGTTTAAAATTCAAGAACTGCCAGTGTTTTGATACAATTAAGACCGGGTATATTGAATCCGATAATGGAAGCTTTTAATACGTATTAACAGTATACTGTTTATTATTATTTTTTTTTTTTCTTTTGAAAAGTGAGGCAATTGCGAGATATTTATATGATATTTTTTTTTGTCACTGTGAGTATATTTGTGTTTGATTAAATTTGGTGAAGTTTTTTAAATTAAATTAAATTTTTTTAAATTATATTAATGCGATTTGGGGCAGAAAGTTAGGCATTCAAGTTAAAACAAAATTAATTATAATTAATTAAGTATTCAACTTTATTTTATTTTTTTTTATTTTTTTGGCAACGGTGAAGTTACCATGGGTATTGCAAATAAAGGTATGTATATTACATAAGTACCATGGTCCATTTAATAAAAACGGTCTCTTAAAAAACCGAGGAGGTATTTTTCTTTTTATCAAAATTTAGAGTTAAAATTAAAGTCTTTAAAAAAAAAAATCGTTAGTCTATCAATTTCTTTTAGACACAACACAAACCATGGCCCTTAATATTTAATAGAGATTGTATGGACAAGATCACTTTTATTTATGGAAATCAATTAGCACCGGGGTTTCAGCAATCCCGTTCAATTCCCGGTCAACTTATTGATAGAATATATGTATTTTTTTTAATTTAATTTTTTAAATTTTTTAAATTTTTTAAATTTTTTAAATTTTTTAGTTTTCTTATTTTTTTTTAATTTTTTAATTTTTTTTATTGTATTCCTTTATTTACTTGATATTTATATCAGCTGAGAAATTTTCATAAACTATTTTGGAAATCGGGTAAAGGGCTTTGGAGAGTTCCGTTTGAGACTCAGGTGCCTTATAAATACTGCAATCATTTTCCACAATCGACAAGAGGCCAGACCTTTTTTTTTATTTCTTTTTTTTCTTATTTTTTTTAATATTTATTATATATTTATTAAAGTATTATTTGAATAATTTATTTATTTTTTTTTTTTTTTTTGATTTGATTTCAATTATGATTTTTTTATTACATTTTTTATTCATTCATATTCAAATTGGAAAAAATTCTAACTAATAACAACAATAACAACAATAATAATAACACAAGTCAATATTCCGGATTTGATTGATTTTGCTTCAGGGTAACACGCGGGGTATGGCTGTGCGGGTTTTGCGGGGATGGCTAAGAAGCGGCAGACCCCGGGGAAAGCTAGAAAAAAAAAAAAAGTGACGTAGCAAATAGAAAAAGAAAAGAAAATAATAAAAAAAAAACATGGAGAATTTTTAAATTTTTAAATTTTTATTTTTTTATTTTTTTATTTTTTTTTTTTTGTATAGCGCTGGAAAATTTTGTATGGAAAAGTTGAATAAAAAAGGGTAACTTAAGTATGTGATTTTCAGTAAGATTAAAAGGAAGCTTTAAACGATGTTTTGGGTAGAGGGGTTTTTCTTTTTCTATTTTTTTTTTTTTTTTTTGTAAACTTTTAGAAGAAATTGCCGTTGAAAAATCCCGTAAAAACAAATATGAAATTCTCTTATTAAATAAGTTATTTTTGATTATATTAAAAAAAAAAAAAAGAGTCTTTTAAATTCATATATAAAAAGAGAAAATTCCTTGAAAAAAAAAAAAAAAATCAAAAAGTTGCCATTATTTTTTAAACAAACAAACAAACAAACAATTTCCATTATTCTTCATTGTTACCCCATATGTTACCATAAGTAACCATGTCAGTAGTTACCGAAAAACCCACAACTGCCGCTTCCACACAAAGCGCTTCTTTTCCTTCCACTTCTACCTCTTCTTCCTCCTCCTCCTCCTCCTCCTCCTCCTCTAATAAAATCCACCACCCAAAACAAACTCCTCCACCTACCAAACCAACTTCATCAAAACCTCCCATCACTACCACTTCTACAACCACTACAACCACTTCAACAACAACTACAACAACTAACATATCAAATAAATCTTCTACTCTATCAACCACAAAGAAAGCTTCATCAAAACATTCCTCTAAAATGGACCCTGAAAATTCCGCTCTACTTTCTGCCTTATGGGAGGAACAAACAAGAGGTCAAACAGTAGACCAGACTGCTTCTCAGCTTTCAGCACAGGTCGCCGTGCCAGACCCAGACCCTGCTCTTTTCCTCGACATGTTTGGCACAACAGCACCTTTTGCTAACACCCCAGGCCTTTCCCCAGGATTAAGCTCTCTTTCTCCAGATGTTTTGTCATCTCAACCACAACTACCAAACAGTGAAGCTCTCTATATTCAAACAGCTCCTCTGCTGCCATCATCTGCTTCATCTTCAGTCCCACTGTTACCTCAAATAACACCCATTATGTCCCAACAATTACAACAACAACAACAGCAACAGCAACAGCAACAGCAACAAATACCGCAACAAATGCAGCAACCGCTTCAACTCACGCAAAATGCCCAAATGCAGCTTGCCAAGTCAAAATCTCGCAAGCTCACATCAGAAGAAATGGATAATAGTAATCCTTCGATAACTTCTGACGGCAAACCGCGCAAGCATATTCGGCGCGCATGTCTAGAATGCCGAAAGCGTCATATTCGTTGCGACGGTGTTATGCCCATTTGCAAAAAATGCCAAGAAAATAATCGTGAGTGCTCCTATGTGCCCTCTAACCGTGGTGGTTTGCGCATACCAAAAAACAAACAACTCAAGTTACAAGAACAACTCCAGGATAAGGATAAGCCTCAGTGGGCTTTTGCATCCCCTTGCATGATGGACTCAGTTTTAGCCAAGTCTATGACGGCTCGTGGTGCTTCTAGCAACAAGTCTCAAGAAGTTCCAGTACCCATTGAGTCGGAAAATTATCAAAATGAGTCAGAAGTAGTGGATACTCTTTTTTACTCTCCACCCTCAAATTCATCTTCTCCAAACTCAACAACTCTCTCTGTATCTTCATCCCAATCTCCTCCTCAGCCTTTAGTTCTTAGATTCTCTCCTGAACCTGAATGCTCTCCGGCGAAAAAGAAGGATAATTCCGAGGAAAATAAAATTAATGAAGTCATTAATGGTGTTTTCGCTCTTAGTCCTTATGCAGAGCGGTCAGATAACATTTGCAACCGTATGGGGTCACTCGACCATTCACCAGAACTTTCTTCTTCCACTCCTTCAACTTCACCCCAAAAAGATATTTCCTCAGGAACTTCCCCAAGTTTCCCCACACCCTTGGGGTCAGAATCTTCAGAACAGTCTTTGGATGATACCCTTGACCTCTACTATGCCCTTTTCCATCAAAAGAATCCCATTCTTCCTCCACGCGAAAAGATTAAATCCTACCTTGCTTCTATTGACAAGCCTACTGAGCTTGTTATGACAATCAAGCTTATAGTCTACATTAGTACTAACCCGGCCTCTCCTCGGCTCTCAGACCTTGAACCCCGAATTAAATCAGCTTATTCTACTTTGGAAGAAGCCCCTGATGATGTTGTTAAACTTCAAGCTTCAATCTTACTATTACTTGCAGCTCATCTCAATACAGATAATACCACCTCGCTTTCGCTGCGCAACTGGCTCTTTTACTTTCTGTTTCATAAACTCTCCTCCTATAATCTCATGGCTCCTGTCTCCGACTTTAACAATTCTGGCGCTTCTGTTCCAGTAGATATATTCCTCAGTCCTCGGCTGGCTCAGGTTGATAAAAAAATTCTTCAAGAATCAGTTGCACGTTTAGTTCACGAAGCCTTTTTCTTGGAAATTCTCTTTTCGTTAATTGGCCGCACCCCACTAACCCGTTTTGCCCTTTCTGGAGTTACTGAAACTATTCCAGTATCCAACATTCCTGGATTTGCATACAACTCACGTTACAAAACTGCAAAAATTGTACGAACTATATTGTGCTCCTTGACAACAGTAGGCTCTGGAATTTGCTTCTCTACTGAGTTTGGTCGCATCCAATCTTTAATTTCTACTTTTAGAGTCTTTTTATCTGGAGGAGGCCAAAATAAACATTCACAGTTCCCCCCATTAGTTGACCCTGCATGTGGACTTGTGGACGATGGTATTCATCAAGCTTCTATGATTCTCAACTTTGCAGCAATAATTCTTAATTTCCCCTTTTCCAACCTTATGCAAAGCAATAAACTCCCGAGTTATGTCGATTGCACGGAGTCTTCAGGTCCTATCATGGGCCCTGGTGCATTAAAGCGCTCAAAGCATGAGGCTCAAACTAGTACAGATCGTTGCATTGAGGCTGCAAACTCTATTGTTAATGTTATTCCGCTCATTGGTGTAAACCACATTATGGACCGTTCACCAACCTTTTCCTGTTCACTTTCTATGGCTATGCTAGTCCACATGAAGGCATATCATTGGTGTACCAAAGGTGCAGGTTCTGGTGAACGAGGAACTTGTGGAGAAGAAAATGTTCAAAAACTTATGGAAGCTGTTAAACTTGAGAGCAGCACACTAAAACGCTTTTCGCGTAACTGGATTCTTCCTGGAAAGCTCAATACAAGTTTGTGCAATGTTATGTTTAATGTCTTGCCCGAGCTTTATGAGTACACTGTGGAGACTACAATTCACCCCAAACGCAAAGCTGAAGAAGACCAGGCTAAGCGGATGATTGAGCGTAACTGCTGGATGAATAAGCTCAATATCCCTGATTTTGAAAACTTGAACGAGATGGAAAACAAGCCAAACATTGAACTAGGACTTGATATTTTTGATCAACTCTTTGATTTTGAGGCAACGGCCAATAATAACAGTACCTCGGTATCTTCTGAGAATCCTAGGCCTGTTGTCACGACTACAGTTGGTAGTAAAATTGAAGCGTAGCATTTTACCTTTTGGTAACTTTTTTTTTTTTTTTTTACTTTTAATAATTTATTCTATTCTTTTTTTTGTAACTGTATTTAATTTGATAACAATATATAACATGCACATAATATTATTGTTTAGTTAACCAAATAATTATTTTAATTTTAAATAATTATTTTAATTTTAAATAATTATTTTATCCACAAAACGACGTTTTCTACACATTTTCCTCCTCCTTCTCGTTATTACTGATTATTATTATTATACAAAACAAATATTATCTTTCCATCATGTCTGAAACCCAAGAAGAGTTTAACCAATGGGTTTTAGAAAATGAACCAATTTTCGCTCTAACTGCAAACCATACAGGTGGCGATTTTGTGGCAGATTCTTCTGTCTTACCTGGTGGTGCTCCAACTACATCAAACTGGCTCCAACCCGCGCCAGTCCCCTTTGGCTCGTTATCATCAGCCCCGAGCTCAGCTTCCACTTTTTCATCAGCAGATTCCGCCCCAACTTCCGCTCCAACTTCAGCTCCTACTACATTGACACCTCCGGATAAAGTTTCTCTTGTTGAACAATATATTACTTCAGAGGTATACTCTGGGAATGAGGAATTTTCTCTTACATCTGCTATTCGATACGATCCTGCGCTTTATGTGCATCACTATGCGGCCAACCACACAGTATCTTCGTCAGACTCTGTAACTACACTTGTTGATCCTTCAACTTTATCTTCATCTCCACCACTTCCTACTACAGCTGAACTTTATGAACGCGCATTAAAGGAACTTTACACTTTGATTGAAGAGCAAAAAAAGGTACCCGATGAGTGCTTCTTTTTACTTGAACTCCACCAGCAACGACTCCAGTTTGGTGCTGATTTCTTTAACTGGGACGTGGAAATTCCTCTTGATCTTTTACGTTCTGAACTTAATCGTGCGATCACTGCAGAAGCTGTAGATTGGCGACGGCCCTATAAGATTCGTGCCTTGGTTGATAAAACTGGAACCTTGACACTCCAAGTTGCCCCAGCGCCTGTTCGTCCAAACATATTTTCTGGTCTCAAATCCACTCAAGTTTCAGGCATGGATCCAGTTTATGAAGTTTACCTGGACTCCCGAAGCATTATGGTTTCGCCCTTTACCTCGTTGAAAACTACTAAACGTGATATTTACGACGCCGCCCGAGCCCGCTCACTTAGACCCGGCTCCTCAAACCCACTTCAAGAAGTAATTTTATATAACACGCGTGATGAAGTCACCGAAGGCTCCATTTTCAATCTGGCACTTTATCGCGATGGTGCTTGGCGTACTCCTCCACTTGGAACCGGGTGTCTTTGCGGAGTTGTACGCCACCACTTGCTGTCGAAGCAAATGGTGGTTGAAGATGATATTTCCATCAAGTCTTTAAGCCACGGCGAACCTGTATTGTTGTTTAACGGAGTCCAAGGCGTGGTCCGGGGCATTTTGAATTTAGAAAGTTGACTTTTGTTTTAGAGATTTTAAAGATTTTAGAGTTTTTTTTTTTTTTTTGTTTTTTTTTGCCAATCAATCTGTTTATTTATTTTCGTGTGTTTTCTTTTCTTTTTTACTTGTTTGGGTTGCCACAGCAACACTAAAGGTTTTGTTTATTTAGAGTCTCAAAACATTCTTTTTTTTTTTTTAAAGACCCCTCAGATCATCACCACCATTAATAACAACAACAACAACAACTACAACTACACTTAAAATCTCGCAAGAATGCCCCCAAACAGGCGCGCGTCATATATCTCCGCGCAGTTGGATAATATCAACCAGCATCTTCAGGGCTTGTTCGATGCCATTGGGCTGACTTCCTCTGAGCGAGACGAGCGGGAGCGTCAGCTTTACTCGGTGATATCCGGTGCTCTCGAATCCTACGTTTCTCAAGTTACTGCCGAGCGCGATGCAGTCCGCCAACAATGTTCCCGTGCTCTTGCAGACGTTCGTTCGATGCTTGCTGCACTTTCCGATGTTGATTCTAATTCTCTTCTTGGACCCGATGCTGCTGTTGTAGCTGCTGAAGTTGAACCTCCATATAAGGAAGCTCTGAGTGGCATATTGCGGGCACGGACCCGGGTAGAAGAAGTATATGAGGAACGGTCAGCAGTGGCCAATACTATGTTTTCTGAACTTGAGGAACTGGTTGGGAAAATAGGAATTGATGAAGATGAAGCAGATGATACCACGCAAGAACCACCCGAATGGAAAATTAAGCGCACACCCATGCGTATTGCTGCAGAACTTACAAGGCCTGGTGGTACTGATGAAGTTGATCTTTCGGCTGCATATCTTGCAAAATTTGAGCATGAAGTACGACGTTGGCGTGCTGAGCTTCAGTCACGCATTGCATCTGTGTCTATTGCTTCAGCACGTATTGTTAATTTATGGGCCGAGTTAGGAACACCGCAAAATGAAATTGATCCAACAATCATGTCTAATTATAAATCTTCACCAGAAAAAATAGGCACCACAATACCCGACTTGATGAATCTTGAAACCCGGTTAGCAGATCTTTTTACGGAAAAAAAACGCCGGCAAGAACGATTAGAATTTCTCCATATAGAAATTGAGAAGCTTTGGTCCAAGTTAAGCGAAGATGAAGAGTACACAGAAAGCTTTGCAAGACAGAACCGCGGACTCTCTGAGCAAACATTAAAGGCACATGAAAATGAATATGCTCGATTATTAGAAAAAAAGAGAGCACATGTTGGTATTTTTATTCAAGATGCTCGCGAGCAATTAGAACAACTATGGGCCCGTCTTTACATGTCTGAAGCAGAGACATATGAATTTTCTCCAGCTTGGGCAGATGTTTATACTGATGCTGCTCTTGAAGCCCACGAGACAGAGATTGCACGTTTGCAGGATGTTTTGAGCGAGCGTGAACCCATAATCAAGCTAATTGATCAATATAAAGAGCTCCAAAATGAAGAACGTGAGTTGGCTGCGGCGTCGCAGGACGCGTCGCGGTTACTTCAGCGTGGCGGTGGTGGTAATGGGTCTTCACAAGCTCCTAAAAGGGACCCAACGAGATTACTTCGTGAAGAGCAAATGCGGAAGCGTATTGCAAAGCGTAAGCCTAAGGTTGTTCAAGAACTTAAGGTAGCGTTGGACTCTTGGCGAGAAAAATCGGGTCGGCCACTAACAATTAATGGCGAAGATTTGACCAAAACTATAGACGAGGAAATGGCCAAGTTGGTACCGGGATCTCGGTTAGGACTGACACGAAATAGAGCAAATACAGCGTCTTCATCTTCTGGAACCACTGCACCTCGAACCAATTCTGGAGGGTCAGGAACCACACGAGCAGGTGCCATGACTTCTTCAGGAAGATCATCACCTATTAAAAATACCCCTCTTACACGCTCACGACCACAGCAAGGCACAGCTGAAGCAGGCCCGACACGACCGAGATCTCGTGCGGGTGCAACTTCTCCGACGCGGCCCTATGCTGCCGCGCCACGACACATATCCTCCGCAGCACCAAAATCAACGACTTCACGTAGTGTTTCACCTTCAAGAAGAGCTATTCCTCCTCGCCCACGCAGTGTTCTTTCACGCGCACCAGTACCGCCAGTATCTAACAATATTATGGTTCCAGTTCCTACAGTCCCAAACTTGGCTCCACGATCACAAAGCTCGTTAGGATCTTATCGTGTAGGGTCTCCTCCGTCACCAATACGAATGCCGAAAACTAGGCCTGTTTCCGTTATTATTGATAGTGGAAGCAAACCAGCAAACTTTTTACGAAGTCAGTATCAGCATTTAGACCATCAACCTGAACGAAGTCGAAGTGAATTGGGATTTTACAATAATTTACATGCTGGTAATGGTAATGGGAATATTAATATTAATGGAAACAATAACAATAACAATAACAATAATAATAATAACAACAACAATGGTAACGAACAAGAAGAGTATAAGGCTGGGTCTAGGCTGAGTGAGATGTCTCTTGGATCACCTTCGCATCACTCGACTATGCTCATGGTTAATAAAGAAAATCAAGATAATTCACCTGATCGGTTACAATTGCCCTCACGAATGGACAAATTATTTGGGCAGCGAGATCATGATGAAATTTTGGGGGGAGATGAAGATACCACTATAAACACATTACACACAGTAGTGTATGGTTCCTCACGGCATTACCCAGATACAGATTTTCAACAGCGACAGTTACATCAACTACAACAACAACAGCAAGATTTGCAAGAGTTACACCATTTACAACAACAACAGCGGGCTCTTTTGCGACAATATGACTTGAGCCCCGGTGGCTCTGGTGATGTTGTGATGGCTTCGCCAAGTCCTGTTGCACAAAGACAAAACAGTTCACCAGAAAGTTATAGCTCTCCGTTGAGTCATAAGTCTGGTAATGGAGCCAATCCATTTGCGGGTCCACCACAAGGTAGCAGTGCACGGTATGGCAATCAACAGCAACAGCAGCAGCAGCAACAGCAACAGCAGCAGCAGCAACAGCAACAGCAGCAGCAGCAACAGCAACAGCAGCAGCAGCAGTCAATGAATTTCCACAGGGACCCATCGCCTCCTTCTCTGCCTTCCTCGGATGGATTTGGAGACCCGTTATACCAAGAATGGCGAGAACGTGCGCTAAAGAAACTGATGGTTTCCCAAGCAGAACTTACACGAAATAGCCCGAACAATGGTAGTTCCCCCACTGGCAATAGCAATAGCAATGGCAATGGCAATGGCAATGGTGGCGGGCCTCCACCGCTGCATAAGCGCAGTGAGCGTCTTTCTGAGTTTAGCTGGGAAAAGGATACATTTTAATAATATAGAGAGTAAAATAAAGAGATAATTTTTATTTTAATTTATTTACTAATAATAATGATAATAACTATTAATGTTGATGGTTTGATTGTCTTGGTCAAGTTTGAATAGCCTTGAAAATGTGGGCAGTCACGTGAATATTTTGTTTGTTTCTCCACACAATTTTTTTTGCCATCCACAGTCCCCTCTAAACGTGACGACAACAAGTTTTTTCTTTGTTCCATGTAATTTTAAATTTTTTTCATATTTGAGAGAAAAGTCTCGAAGACTTGTTTTTTTTTTTTTTTTTTTAAAAACAACAATGAATTGAGTTCTTTTTCTATTTCTCTCTATGTATTTTTTTTTTTTTTTTTTTTTTTTTTTTTTGCCAACATCCTCTTCTTCCTCCACCATCAAACTTTTCAAACTTTTCAAACTTTTCTTGAAAATCTTCATTTTACACTGCCATTCTGCCTATTTTTTTTTTCTTTTTTCCTCTTATATAAAAAGTATTTACGTGTTTACTACGTGTTTACGTGTGTCTGAGGTTAGCCGGTAGACCGCAGTGCGCTAGCCGTGTGGGGCGCTAAAAAGCCGTTGTTGGTGTTACTGTTGGCACCTGCGCCTTTTCCTCAAATAAATAAATAAAAAAAAAAAAAAAGACCGCGGCCCCTTTAACTTTTGAATTCTCCTTCATTCCATTAACACCACCACTACCACCAACATTATTTATCATCATTACCACCATTATCACCACTTTTACCAATTCCATAACTCTTTTAATATTTTTTTTCCTTATTATATATATATAAGCCTACCTCTTATTCAAACTATAAATTTCATATCAAGCCAATTAACTATAGTATTTCCAATTCTTAATTGAAATGTCCCAACAGCAACCTGCTCCAACACAACAACCTACATCCAAATATGCGCAGACTTCAACCTCAGCAAAGCCTAGAAGAAAAGTAGTACCTGCACCAGCTGCAAAACCACCTCCATCTCCACGCCAACACCGATCCTCATCTTCTGCTTCTACTGCTCCTCGTCCTCAAGGCCTTCAGCCTACTGGTGCTTATGGATCAGGCCAACCAAGCACTACATCCTCAACATCATCTTTAGTCGTGACCTCTCCTTCTGCAGTTTCCCCAGCCTTGGTTCCTTCTTCTTCTTCTTCTTCTTCTTCTACTACCTCTGGTATCATTGGAACTCCTACTGCTACTTTACCATTCCCTGCAGTACCTCGCCACCACCGTAACAATTCATCTGGGTCCATTCGATCCATGCGCTCCTTTACAGAACCTTCCACAGATACTATAAATCAGCCCACCCGATTCCCAACAACACCAACCCCTGGAGAAATTTACGACACATTAGAGCGTGAACAAGAAGCCATTGTCAACAAACTTCAAAAGGAAATTGCTCATTTACGTAATGAACGCAGTCGCTCACGATCTCGCTCTACCTCTTCGTCAACATCTATCTCACGCCACCCTTCCACACGCTCTGTCTATTCCCTCAGCGATACAGAAGACCATCATTTCAGTGGCCACAAAAATATTGCAAGCGGTGCTGGTCATGCTGTTCCACCTGTAGCTTCTGCAGGTACCGCTAATATAGCAACCCCGTCTTCTTCTTCTTCTTCCTCATCTTCCTCAATTACTATTGGATTGACCCCTGGATCTTCTGGAACCCCAGTCTATCAACAATTACAGCAATCTGCACAACAGCTTCAGCCATCACAACAGCCAGCAGGATCTGGCAGTACCGCTGCAAGTTCAATCACCACTCCACGCCCGGCGCGCAAGAGCTTTGGATCTGTGTCAGAAGATAGCCCAATTTTGCTGAACCTTCGCAAGGAAAATGACAATCTCAAAAAACGGCTTGCCGATCTTACCCTGAAACGTAAGTGTTTTAACTCCTTTTTTTTTTTTTTTTTTTTTTTTCTTTCAAAATTTGTATTTTATTCTAACAATTGGTTAAATTAGTTGCTGAAAAAGATAAAGAGATTGAAAGACTTAAAAATGCCAAATGATTTTTTTTTTTTTCATTTTTATAAATAGTGGAAAGAATGAAAAAAAAAAAAAAAGTCTCTTGTGTCAATATTGCTTTTCGGGCCTCCGACTTTATTTATTTATTTTTTTTTAAATTGCATCATTGTTATACCCGGCCATGTCATACCCTCGAAGAAACCTCTTAATTAGGTTTCTTTTTTTTTATTTATTTAAACCTTTTCAATGATTTTTTTTTCTTTTATAAATATATATATAAATATATATAAACAAGATTATCTATTTTATAACGTCTAAATTTCAGGATGCTCAATTCCCGATGGCCAGGTGGCATTGAGCTGACCGTGCTGCTTCAAAATGGCCTGCACACCAGCCACCAGCTTTTCGTCCAAATCTGTTTCCGAACCATTCTTAACCTGCCAGTAGTCCTTGACAGCATTCTCAACTTCTTGCAAAGATGAAAGCCCGTATACGTAAGAACGCGCGGTACGTGCATCAGGCCCATCTACAGCTTCAATGGCCTTGGCCCAATTGCGCAAAGCAAACCGGACGGCCAAATCAGCTAAATCCACACCACCCTCGGACTCCGTATACTTTGCGCTCTCGCTAATGGCAGCCTTGAGCTCATCAGATGCCGGGTGGAATCCAGGTGCGGGCTGTGCACGAATCAAACCCATTGAAAGTGGTGATGCCGATAAAATATGGCGAATACCAGCACCATCAGAGCCTGTGCTCTTTAATCGAGGAAGATACTCTTTAAGTAACGTGTTTTGAAGACAAAAGTTGCTGTAGCTTAACAACAAGTCCAATGGCTGTCCCAGATCTTTACGCACCTTGATGGCAAGTTTAAGTAAGTAGTCCAGTGGGTATCCCGACATGCCAACGTGATGGATGCGGCCCTCCTTCTTCAGTTCAAAGAGTTCACGAATAGCACCAACGGCCAAGTCTGCGTCCACAAACTCAACGTCGTGCAGGTAAAGCACATCAATGTAGTCTGTGTGGAAACGTTCCAAACTACGTTCAACACTGGAACGGATATGAGCAGGAGAATAATCAAACTCGTTTTCTTTGACACGGCCTGCCTTGGTGCAAATCACATATGAGTTGCGTGGGTACTTGTCACGGATGCGGTCCAGTGCGGAACCAACAATGATTTCCGAAGGGCCATAATAAGCAGAAGAGTCTATGAAAAAAAAAAAAAAAAAATTAGACAAGATTCAAAAATTATAAGGATTCATTTTTACATACCCAATGCACGAATTCCCAAGTCAAAAGCACGCGCAAGAATCTTATCCGCGGGCAACTCGTCCGGGTGGTCATTGTATTGATAGTTGAACACTCCAGCACCCAGAATAATTTCAGGCAAGTCTGCCAGATCTTTCTTTTCCGGAGATTGGTTGTTAATTTTTGTAGGAAGAGGCTGGAGAGTAGGAATAGACATTTTGGTTTAGTTATGTGAAAAGTGAATTGTATATAGATTAATAGAATGGTAGTGAAAAAAAAAAAAAAAAAGAAGAAGGAATATTTTAATTTTTTGGTCTGGCGTAAGAATTCCTCTAAACTTTAGCTTGCTGACATAAAAAACGTGGGGCTGTATGCTTTCCCCTTTTTGGATCACTTTTGACGAGGCTCATTTTGATAGTGAGAACCCTCGATCACAACATGTTTACTGAAATAAAAAAAAAACAAAAAAAACTTCTACTCATATAAATGTCTTGTTCCTCATTAATTTCTACATTATTCTCTTGAACTAACACTTCTTTTGATTTTTGTTTTCTTTTTTTTTTTTTTTTTCAACATCTATAGATCTCTTCCTTTTATCTTACAATGGTTGTGCTTACACCTCTTAACAAGGCTAGCGCAACACTTGTTGCCTTTCTAGCTCTTTCAATTGCAAACGCTTCCGCTCCTGCTGGTTCTGGAACTCAAGCTTATATTGCAGCCGCTAACGCTGAAGTTTCTCCATTAGTTTATCAAAACCCCTCTCTTGATTTAAAAAAACGAGGGTTTACTTTTACCGATTCTGAGCCAGAGTCATATGAAGATGAAGATGAAGAAAATGATGAAGATCGACCAAGAGGCCGCTTGGTTAGGGCAGAATCCATTTTACGTCGCCTCATGAGTTTTCCTTCAGATTTGAAAAAAAACTTTATGAGTCAATCATATCGTACTGAAGCTACATCTGAGGACACTGAAGAGGTTGAAGATAAGAGGTGGGTAGATGAACTTGTTGACGAAGAAGATTATTATGGTGATGAATTTGAAAATGACGCTTTTGAAGAAGATGATGATTACGATGACTGTGACAATGGTAATGACGATGATGACGGTTCTCAATGGCATACCAAAAAGGCTTCCGCTCACCTTGATCGCTCTTCAGGATTTAATCGGCCAGTACGCACACGCTTTTCTAGAGAAACTTCACAAGGTCTTGCTCCTTTCCCCAAATGGCTAGCTGATATTACACACTTGACACAATGGCCCGGTCGTGATGCACCATTTATCCCCATGGCTGGAATTAACCTTACTGGAATCCCTGATGTTCCACGTCGTGAACTTGGTGATTGTACCAAAGTCACCCTTGAGCATTGCTCCTTTGACTGCTACAGATGCATGGCTGTGGATGAAATGATGACATGCTCTGTCATGTCACAAACTTTTGATGATGGCCCCAGTCCAGGAACTCCCAAACTTTTGGACCATCTTCCAACAAAGACTACTTTTTTCACTCAAGGTATTAACGTTGTGAGGTTCCCTGATACATTTCGAGAGCAACATGCTAAAGGTCACTTGCTGGCTTCACATACTTGGAGCCATTCAAACTTGGCTGGAGTTAGCAATGAAGAAATCACTGCCCAGATTCAATGGTCCATTTGGGCCATGAATGCAACAGCTGGAATAATTCCTAAGTTTTTCCGCCCTCCTTATGGTGCCAGTGACAACCGTGTCAGAGCTATTATCCGCCAATTTGGTCTCATGTCAGTTTTTTGGGACCACGATACCTTTGACTGGCAAGTTAATGACAAGAAGAAGACTCCTGAGCAAGTTATTTTAGATGTAAAAGGCTGGAAACAAGATCTTTCAAAGGGCGGTATTATCCTCGAGCATGACTCGACCATTGATACTGTTAATTTGGGTGTAGATGTGGCCAAGGTCTTGGGATCTAACCAGTTTACGGTAGCAGACTGTATCAACAGCAAGTGGTATCAAACAAATGTTACTTGGCAGTAGAATATTTTTTTATAAATGTGGTAGTAAGTAATGTAGTTTGTTTGTAAAGTACGTTATATTACTGTATGTATTTTTTTTTATTTCATTAAAAAAAAAAAAGAAAAGGAAAGGAAAAAAAGAATGGCACATTTTTATCGTCTAATTGAGAGCAGCCCAGAAGCGCTTCTCGTCATCGCTTTTAAAGTCAAGTAGAGCCGACACAACAGGCAACAGTTGATGGCGCTGTTCCTTATGCTCTAAGTAGCCCAGCAAAATGTTTTTCAGATATTGAGTATTAAGCGCAGAGGAACCCACATTAGGAATGGATTTGACACCATTAAGCGATGATAGTGAAGGGGATCGGCTGTGGCGACCAATTGGTGATGCCAAAGATACCATTGACACGTTTGTTGGTGAACTAAGTCCTGCACTGGCACCTCCATTTGCCTGCAGTACATCGCACTGTTCCTTGAGCCGCTGCTTCTCCGCCTGCAGAGCGCGAATGTCTGTGTTGAGGGTATGCTGGTTTTGTGTCAATTTATCAATGCGCGACTGTGCCTCCTCAAACATGTTTTTGAGATTAGTGCACGTATGAGTCGACGACCGCAGAGCCTGTTCTGATTTCGCCAAATTCTCTCTTAGTTGCGAAATCACTCCACGAGACTCAGAAACTTCCTTCTCCACATCCAGAAGTTTATCGTCCGCATGGGATCGCGATGTCCGTAACTCAATGATATCCTTATGGTATCGTGTTTTTTCCTCCTGAACAAGAGTAAGGTTTTGTTCCAGATCACGAATACGCTCCTTGAGGGTTTCAATCTCTCTTGTTCGTCGCTTAGACAACTGCACTGCCTCAGCCTCCAGTTGGTCACGCTCCTCTTGCATTGAAGCAAGTTTCTCAGTAACCTCCTTCAGCTTGGATCCCTGAGAACCCTCGCTCTCAGAAAGTAATCTTCGCATTGTAGCTGCCTCTGTAATGCGATCCTGCAGATGCTTATGTGTCTGCGAAATCTCTTCCTCCATAGCCTCAAGACGTGTAGTGGATTCGGCAAGCTGCACAGAAAGCTCCTCATTTTGCTTACGAAGTGACTCCAGCAAGTTGTTGCTACTGTTTCTCTGAGCTTCTTGAGAATCAAGCTGTGCACGCAGCTTACCAGCTTCTGAAACAAGTTTATTACGCTCTGTCTCCCAGGCATTTTGCAGAGACGATTGCCGCTCAACATCTTGTTGCATGCGGTCGACATCCTGCTTCAGTAGAGCCTCACGATCAGCAAACTTGCGACGCTCTGTCTCCAAACGCTGAATATTTTGACGAAGAGTGCTGATGCGGCCTTCGCTCTTCTTTTGTTGTGCCTCAGCAGTAGTAAGTTCCTCAGTGAGCTTGTTAAGAGAATCCTCCTTGTCAGAAATAATAGAAGTAAGTGCATTGATTTCATTGCGCAGAGCCTTTTCAGATGTAGTCAACCGTTTAACTTCGTCATTTGCACGGTTGAGATTCTCTTTAGTAGTTTCCAAACCTTCGGCCTTTTCAGCAACAGTCTTGAGAGAACCTTGAAGACGGGAAATTGTTTCGTTGAGTTGGGAAATTTCCTTATAGCGCTCTTGTGATAAATTGAGGTTGGCACGAGCCTCCTTTTCAGTGCTCTTAATAGAATTTTCCAACTCGTTAATCTTCTTGTAAAGGTCCTTTTCCTTTTTCTTGAGTGCATCCTGGAAGGCATTCTTGGCTTCGTTTGCTTCAGCAAGCTGCTTCTTAAGTTTCTCCTCAGATTCTTTGAGAGCAGTAACGTCCTTGTTGAGAACCTCATGCTTCTCTTCAAGTCCACGCTTCTCAGATTGATGTTCATCCCTAACCTTGGAAATTTCCTCCTGAGAAGTTTTGGTAGCCTCTTCAAGATTCTTGGTTGCAGTTTCAAGGTCAGTTTGAAGTTTGGTTCTTTCATCTTCAAGAGATTTGAGCTGCTCATTAAGCTTAGAGAGTTCAGCCTTATGCGCCTCTTCAGCCTCCTTATTATCAACAGTCTCGGCAACCTGTTTTTCCAAATTAGTCTTTTCATCCTCAAGGTTCTTGACAGTCTGTTGGATTTCATTCTCTTTTTTCTTAAGCTCCACAATCTCCTCGCGTGCAACAACAAGACTTTGACCAACTTCCTTAAGCATTTCTCTCAAGTTTCCAACTTCTTCCTTTTCTGCATTAAGCTTGGCCTTGCTATCCACAAGTGTTTCATCAAGCTTAGATTGGAGTTCCGAAAGCTCGGACTTGAGATTTTCAACTTCCTTGGAAGATTCACCAGCAGCAGAAAGCTTAGATTCGAGTTCAGAATTTTTATCCTTTAAATTAGCAAGATCCTTTTCAAGACCAGAAATATTATCAGTGTACTTGGATTCAGTCTCAGTGCTCTTCGACTTGAGTTCGGAAACTTGTTTCTCAAGTTCAGGAACGGATTCAGCTGTGGCAGTAGCGGTGGAGAGCTTCGAAGAAAGCTCATCATTTCTAGTATTGAGATCAGAAATTTCCTTTTCAAGAATAGCAACAGTTGCAGCAGCAGCAACAGCAGCAGCAAGTTTAGTTTCAAGGTCTGTGACTTTGTTCTTAAGTTCAGTAGACTCTTTTTCAAGAGAAGATGAAGCTTCAGCGACAGCAGCAGCAGTTTCAAGGTCAGTCTTAAGTTCATTGATCTTATCTTTAAGATCAGCAGATTCTTTCTCAAGGGTAGGAACGGTTTCAGCAGTAGCAGAGGCTTCTTTAAGTTTGGTCTCAAGATCCTTGACTTGATCCTTAAGCTTGTTGGACTCCTTTTCAAGAGTTGGGATAGTTTCTGCAGTCGCAGAAGCTTCCTTAAGTTTAGTTTCAAGATCTTTAACTTGGCTCTTTAGCTCAGACGATTCCTTTTCAAGAATGGGTACAGATTCAGCAGTTGTAGTAGCTTCTTTCAGTTTAGTCTCCAGATCACTGACCTGGCTCTTAAGATCGGCTGACTCCTTTTCAAGAGTAGGAACAGAATCTGCAGTGGTCGATGCCTTTTTCAGTTTAGTTTCAAGATCCTGAATCTGGCTCTTGAGTTCAAGAGATTCCTTTTCAAGAGTGGGAACTGATTCGGCAGTAATGGAAGCCTCCTCAAACTTAGACTCTAGTTCAGCAATTTGATCCTTAAGACCGGTGACTTCCTTTTCAAGACTAGATGTAGACTCAATATGGCTATTGTTGGCCTCTGAAAGCTTAGTATGCAAAGCGGAAATTTCAGATTCGAGCTTTGCATTTTGCGTTTTAAGTTCAGAAACTTCTTCATCAGAAGCAGAAGAATCTTTGACGGGGATTTGCTCAGTGACTTTTTCAGGAGTCTCAGACTCTTCTTCATCATCGATACTTCGCTTGGTGGAAGTTACCCGAAGCTCATTAATTTGTTTTTCCAAAGACTCGCGTAGCTGAGTCCACTCAGATTCTTTCTTTGAAAGAGCATCCCGAGCATCTCTGACTTTTTCAAGTTCTTCATTCTTAGTCGTCAGTTGGTTGCGAATGACATTTGCTGAGTTAGTAAGAACCTCAGCTTTTCGCTCGAGTTTAGTGATGGCGACATTCTTTTCCTCTAGCTGGGTGTTGAGAGATTTGATTTCTTGTTGGTTCTTATCATCAATATCGGCAACTGATTTGGCAAGGGTATTTTTGTGTTCTGCAGCAGATTCTTTAAGTTTTTTGTTAAGTTCAGCAGCTTCCTTAGAAAGCTTCTCGGCCTTCTTCTTGGCTTCTTCAAAGCCAGCAGCAGTCTTAGACTTTTGTTCATGAAGGTCATCAAGTTCCTTCTTTGATTCTTCAAGCGACTTGGAAAGGGTAGCAGCTTCCTCCTTAGCAGCCTTAAGTTCTTCTGCAGACTTGGATTCAGAATCCTTAAGCTGAGTTTCCAGTTTCGCAACCAACTCGGATGATGCCTTGAGATCTTCTTCATCCTTAGACTTAGACTCGATAAGAGATTTAAACTTGGATTCAAGGGTAGACTTGGATTCTGTAATTGCTTGAAGTTCTGATTCGAGAGAAGATTTGGATTCGTTGACAGATTTCAACTCTGATTCAAGAGTGGACTTACTTTTGTTAGCAGACTCAAACTCTGATTCAAGAGTAGACTTTGCTTCAGCAACAGACTTGAGTTCTGATTCGAGAGTTGATTTGGCTTCAGTAGCAAACTTGAGCTCAGTTTCAAGAGTAGACTTCGACTCGGTAGCAGATTTCAATTCATTTTCAAGCGTAGACTTAGATTCAGTAACAGACTTGAGCTCAGTTTCAAGAACAGTCTTGGACTCGGAAACACTCTTGAGCTCGGTATCCAGAGTAGCCTTAGCTTCAGTCGCAGACTTGAGCTCAGCTTCGAGATCAGCCTTGGCCTTGGTAGCTTCTGCAAGCTCCTTTTCAAGAGCAGCCTTTGATTCGGCAGCATCTTTGCTCTCGGTCTCTGCAAGAGCACGAGACGCAACAGCAGCAGAAGCAATCTCAGCCTCAGCTTTGGTCTTGGCCTCAATAGCAGCTTTAAGTTTTTCTTCTAATTCAGACTTTGCCTCGGATTCACTCTTAAGCTGAGCTTCAATCTTGGTTTTGGCTTCAGTCACCTCTATACGGTCAGATTCAGCCTTAGATTTGGCGTCAGTTACTTCCTTAAGCTCAGATTCAACCTTAGACTTGGATTCAATTGCTTCCTCCAGTTTGGTCTTAGTGTCATGGGCTTCCTTGAGCTCGGCCTCGGTCTTGGAATGGGCCTCCTTGGACTCTGAAAGCGAAGTTTCGAGTTTGGCCAACGCTTCTTTAGAAGTGGTAAGAGCAGTCTCAAGAACAACAAATCCCTTTTTAGATTCATCGAGTTGTGTTTTGAGATCTTCAAGGTCTTTTTCCAGTTTTTCTCGGGCCTCCTTTTCTTTAGTTTTGACTTCTTCTAGCTCCTTTGAAATTTCCTCAACATTGACATTACTACTATGGCTGCTTTCAATCTCCTTGTTAGCTTCTGAAAGCTCCTTGATTTTTTCCAAAAGACTTTCCTTTTCGACTTGTAAGATTTGAACGTCCTCCGTCTTGGTGCGGATTTCTTTAGCATCAGCATCGCGAGACTTTTTCAGTGAATCAATTTCAGTAGCCATGCGCCGCAGCTCTTCGTTTTGCATGGAAGATTGAAGAGTAAGATTTTGAAGGTACTCGACAAGTGTTTCTGATTCTGAGATGGAGTGTGCAGGGGTATATTCTTGGAGAACGCGCTCAAAAACACCAATGAGCTCGGTCTTTTTCTTTTCTAGTCGGTAAGCCTTGACAAGCTCTACAAAAAAATAAAAATAAGAAAAGTCAATTGATTGTTTAAAAATTCAAAGGAAATAAAAATAAAACATACCTGGGTACTTTGCTTCGTACTTTTTAAATTTCCGGAGTTTCGGAACAATTTCTCTAGGAACGATGAATCCGTCATATTCAACAGTGTTAACGGGATTAGGAGGTGCAGCCTGTGCATCTTTATTAGGTTCGCTATCAGGATGATTAGAATCAGAAGTATCTCCATGCTCTTGTGTTGATGAATTTGTTGTTGATTGGTTAGAATCTGTGGTTTCTGTAGGATGAGATGATGGTTGTGGTGATAGTTCTTTGCTTGGGGTTTCAGGTCTTGGAGAGGAATGAATATCGAGCGAGTCCGGGTCCGGGGTTTGTGTGCTCAAAATCCCTGCATTAGCTTTAAGGGTATCAAAGGCCTTGGAGACACCCTTGGAAGGTTGTCCAGACGAGGTTGAGTCGGCAGCGTTGGTGGGTTGACGCTGTTGACGCTGGTTAGCCGAAGACGTATCGCCGACGTTTTTGATGGCATGCTCAAACTCGTCTGCAAGACCCTTGGTTAACTTTTGAATACTGTTAAACATGAAGGGAATAAAGATGAAGAGGGTGCAATAGAGGGCCTGGCAAAGGTCTTCTAAAAGTTGCAAGAGCGCAAGAACAAGGGTTGTTAGTTGCAGAATGGTGGAAAAGAAGGGTGGGTGGTAGTGAAAGAGAAAGAAGGTGTAGTGTTATTAGTAGTAGTAATAGTAGTACTAGTAGTACGTGATTAGGTAAGGTGGTTTTAGAGATATTTCATTTAACATCACAGGGATTGCAGTATTGTATCCACAGTGGCCGAAGAACAAAAGAAGGGATTTTTTTTTTGAAGTTTTTGAAAAAAAAAAAAAAAAAAAATTTATATGAAAGTTATCAAAATTAATATAAAATATTTTCAAAAGTTTCCTTTTTTTTGTTCTAAGTAGAAATAATTATAAATACGAAAGAATTTTACGCTTATTGTAAAATTTTCTATTCGGACTGCCTCGCTGCCCATTAATGTTGCGATTTTTGGCTGGCCAGTCGCTCTGCCAGCACAGCACAACCGCTAATCATTATTATTATTATTATTATTATTATTATTATTATGTAATATATTACTCATTCTGACTAATGTAAATGTGGGGCTGAACTCTTGTTGCAAATATCAGCAAACGTGTTCCGAGTCCCGAGTCCCGTGTTTTTTTAACTTGAAATAAATAAGTGTGGCTGCCCTTTTTTTTTAAAAAAAAAAAAAAAAAAAAAAAAAAACCTCCAAAACAGTTGTCTCTTACAACCCATCATGACAAATCAAGTCAAATGGCCCCATCATTTTTTTTTTTTTTGTGATTGACTGAGCAAATAAAATAAATACTTTTTTTAAATATCCACCCCTTTTTTTTTTCCTCTTTCTTTTATCTTTTATTCTATACTTTAATATAAACACTTTTCATCATTCGTTTTATTTATCACTGATATTCAAATCTGTTGAGATCTTATATTGATCTATACATACACCCTTTAGATTACTAGAAAAAACACACACACACACACAAAAATGACCCAAGAACAATCAAACATTGACGATGCTTTTACGGTAAGCTAGCTAATCAATCTTTTTCTATCCATTTAATCATTTCTTCCTCTTTGCTAATCTGTTTTTTTTTTCTTTTTTTTCTCACTCACAGGCCACCTATGCCGTCCCAATGCACTGCATGGGTTGCTTCAACTCTGTCAAGGACGCTGTTTCCGTACTTCCTGGCTTTGCCTCCATTTCCCCAGATCTCCAAAACCAGATCGTCACGATCACAGGTTCCACTGCACCCTCAGCTGTCGTCCGTTCCATCCAGGCGATTGGCAAGGACGCCATTGTCCGCGGTACTGGCGCACCTAACTCTGCCGCCGTCGCTATTCTTGAAGTTTTCCGTAAAAACGTTGCCTTTTCTTCTGCTCACTCTGTCAAGGGCTTGGCTCGTATTATCTCAGTCAGCCCTACAAAGTCTCTTTTTGACATCACCCTGAGCGGAGTCCCCGCAGGCACTTATTACACATCTATTCGCACTGGCGGCTGCCTTGTCGATGGCGCTCAGTCGGCAGGTGGTGAGTACCAGGAACTCGGTTCCATTGTTGTTGAAGACAATTGTGCCCAGCCTGGAGCCCCTCCAGCCCCATTAGACGGTGAGATCCCAAATACTTTTGGCCAATCTTATGTCACTAGAAACATTAAGATTTCTGACATCATCGGCCGCTCCATTGCTGTCAGTAAAACCCCGGTCCCTGATGAGGACTCCGTCATTGGCGTCATTGCTCGCAGCGCTGGTGTCTGGCAAAACGACAAGACTGTCTGCAGCTGCTCCGGAAAGACTGTCTGGGAAGAACGCAAGGATGCTGTTGTTAAGGGTGTCCTGTAGATGAAAAAAAAATGAAAAAATTCCCCCCCACCCAACACTTTGCGAACGGCTGGATCGAGTTCAAATAAAGCCTGTTGAAATAAATCATGTACCTGTTTTGTAGATTTTGATTTTTTTAAAAAAATATTAATTTTTTCTTTTTTTTCAAGTATATAAATATATATATATTTCGTAAATTCATAAAGTCTTTTTTTTTCATTATTATTTTGTTATCTTGATAGAAACCTGTCATTTATTACAAAAACCCAGTTTCTTCCAGCAACTTGGTTACGCGCTCGTCAGTATTCACACGAGGCTCCAGCGTAAGTGACAAATCGTACTGCGAGTCAATGGGCTCTGCCTGCGAGTATCCCGCCGTCAACAAGCTTTGGATTTCTGCCACCTCCTGAAATGGGTAGTGTACAACCTGGTACCGCATGATTCTGCTAATAATGTCTGCAGACTTCATCCGTTTGCTGAAATTAATCATGTTGGAATCTTCGTGCAAGTAATCCGAGTTAGCATCCTCCAAAAATGTAAGATCTGTCAAGCACACGCCAAAAAACGGAATCACAGGCGGAATAACCAACCGGATAATATCACGATACTCGTTAAAGTTGCGCGAAGAATTCATAATGCGCTTCATATTTTCAAGCACAAACATGGTTTTCTCAGAAACAAGCACCCATGTCTTCTTTAATCGATGAATTGTGGCCGAAGAAAGAGCTGAAATGATTGCCATCATAGACGAAAAATTATTGTGTTGTCGGCAATATTCCGCCACATTGGTAAAGTACTTGATGGCTTGTGCGCGCTTCTTTGGCTCAGTGTATGTCAAAATCATGGCAGATACCCAATTGGTCAAGTTGTTTGAGTTTTGGATAAAGTCATCAATATGGGGTGTACCCTCTAGCGTATTGTTTCGGGTCTTGTTTTTGCTTTGCCGGCGTGTAAGACACTCAAAGGGAGTGATTTGCTCAAATAACTTAAACTCCCGAAGAGTAAGCTGACGGGCAAGCTCGAGCGGATCGAGATCCGAAAGCTTGATTTTCTTGAGATTGCGAGGCAAGATGGGCACAGGAGGTGTGGTAGGGGTATTTTGGATTATACGTCTATGCGTGGCCTTATCCATCTTCATTTTGATTTCAATCTGATTGCGAATCTGCTCATACACGGGGGAATTTTGGTGCTTGAGCTCGACTGTAAAGTTCATCATAGACTGCAACAAAATCTGGATTGGTTTACTATTGGGATCCTCGTACCAAAACTCATCCAGCCATCGTTTCAAAATGTTAATCACTCGAAACCGAATCAGCTTTTGCTTTCGCTCTGTCCACAAATTAAACTCATCAGACGTAAGCCCTGCAGGTGGCTGAATGGTATAACGGTTCAATAGCATTTGAAACAACTGCTGCGGCGACATCATACTCCGAAATGTAAGTAAGAAGGCGTCAATGAATGCTGCATCGCGCGAATCATGCTGAGTTAATCGCTCAACAAGTGCAATAAGCGTTCCTCCTTTGACATGATTCTTGCCATCAAAAATAAGCTCATCCGCATGATCAACCTTTAAAAACCATGGGGTTTCAGTTTTGCTGCTTACCTTGGAAGCAGAGCTATTAGACGACACCATACTGTATCCTCCACTACTTTCCAGGCCAGCAACACTGCTCGACCGGGAACGGATATTGTTTGGCCCAGAAACTTGGGTTTGTGAATGAGATGAATCTCTTGGATAGTAGCCCAATGGGTCTTGAGTGTCTTCAGACAATGGTGGCGCAGAAACTGCAGACCCAGATGTCGCGGGACCAGATTGTGGGCCTTCAGAGTCTCCAAATGGAGCTTGAGGCCGCTCTTCTGCAAGGAGGGCAGCAGTCTGAACAACTGCATCCACAGCAATACCCATTTCCATGACGCGCATCTTGATAATGCGTTCATGGTCATTGGCGCAAGACTTGGCACCCTCCGAAATTTCATGGTTAGTAGAGGTAAACTTTTTTGTACAGCAAGATGCAGGGTTTGAAGATGATGCAGAGTTTGCAGCTACCCTGTTCAAATCCGTAGATGAAGCCATGCTAACAAGAGTTGAAGAAACCTTGGTAGCCTCAAGGGTATTGGCGAAATGCTCAATAAAGTCTTTTTCCAAAATGTCATTGCTTTGAACTGCAGCCAGAAATCCCAGCAACTCATCATATATGGTCTGCTTAACATTCAAAAAGTCGTAAAGCAAAATAAGAGACTGCACGTTAGAAGGAGAAGCGACTTGGGAGTAAAAGTTGCTACAGTCGCCTGTATGCTTGTGCAGTGAGTGCATGCAAGATTGGTAGACTGAAAGGTCCAACGACTCAAGTAAGTTGGAAATGTTTGTAACAATAGCCACTAAAGCGTTAAGTGAAGAAACAAACAAAACCCTGCGGTCTTCCTTCATATCAAGATATGACTTTTCAGAATTTGAACGAATAGCTGCGGCTGCCTTCAAATCGGAAAAGGAGGCAGACGTGCCTGCAGGGGCTACTTGGTATGGGGGATTGTTAGGTAATGCAGGTGTAGACATGTGGGAAGGTGTCTTTGTAGTAGAATCATAAGGTCTTTTGTTATTGATGAGACTGAAGATTTGACGCAAAATATTTAACACCATGGACCGCTGGTGCTCAAGAACAGTGACAACCACATAATCTAGTGGAATTATAGAGTCGTAAGCTTCGAGAGGAACGATGGAGGCACGGCGTGGCGGGCGTGGTGCTCCTGGCACTCCACTAGGTGATGTGGGGCTAATGTTAGTGTTAGACCAAGTACCAGCTCGGAACCTCTTGACAGGGTAAGAGATAGATGCTTGAGAATCAATACTGCCACGCGAGGTGATGGATGCAGAGTCATCATTGCTAAATTCAGAGTTTGCATATTCTGAAGAAGAAGAGACTGGGAGAGCTCCAGAACTAGAGTTGGTGCCACTTCCTGTAGACACACTTCCTGTACGAAGAGTTTGCTTAAACTGCTTGATAAAAGCCTTTGTGCATTTTAGAAGCATTTTTGTGTCGCGTGCACAAAGCTTGTAAGGGTCGGCATCTTCGCCGGATTCGGATAGCTCGGAAATGATGGAAAACTTGCGGTCTCCACTGAGGGTTGAGTTGCTTGATTGTGATAGGGATCCGAGACTGTGAGTTGAAATCACGGAGCTAGAGCGGGGTTTTTTCAAAAACTCGGTAAAAGCTTCAGACTTGTCTTTAGCAATGTCGGCAGACAAGCCTAGTTTGGAAAGACAAGTCACCATTCGACGATAAGTGCGGGAGATTTCGCGGTTGGAAGGAATAGAAGCTGGAACTGTGCTAGGAGGAATGCCAGACATGTAACTGATGTGGGCGATAATGTTGGAGAAGGAGTCGTAAGAGTTGGAAATGCCATTAAAGTCTCTGCTGCTAAGACTAGACAACATATTGGAGGCAATTAGCTCCAAACGGCCCACGATGCTGGACCATGTTTTGAGATGTTCGATATTATCTGTATACTTAAAGGGGATGGAAAGAGAGCTGGACAAACTGGTGATGGAGTATTCCGAATCTGAGCGAGTACGGTTCTTGTTGTACTCATAATTTTTTTGAGAGTACTTGTAGAGCTAAAAAAAAAAATAAATAAAAATTTTAAGTTAGGGAGGTCTCCCCCGCAAAAAAAAAAATTTTTTAAGACATACCAATTCTTTGTAAGGATCGCCCGATGATTTAATAATCGGGGGCGACACTTGGTTCCCGCCATCAAGAGATGTCAGAGAAATAGTTGGATGTTCGCTGACTGAAGACAAATCTTTAGGTCCTGGACAAGTTGTAGGGAGAGGCATTGAAGCGAGAGTGGCCGCCTGGGCCCTTGAAACGCTTTCAAATGGAATATTATTTGTAATGAGTTTAAGCTGGGGGTTGTAAAAAAAAAGCTTTGTCTGGCTATTAGAGTAAGGGTTCCAAAAAGTTCGGTGTTCGGAAAGCAACGGATTCGAGTCACCTTGGGAGAGCTTTAAAAGAGTATCAGCCTCGACGAAGCGGTAATCGGAAAGATTGAGAGTTTCCGAAAATGAAATTTCAGAGTCATCGTTTCTGGAATTTGACGACATGAAGGACACAATAGATCCTTTACGAGAGTTATCATTGCTTCCCCCAACGCCACTAAGGCTGCGGGAGCTAACCGAAGACATGTCCGGCTGTATGGGAGTAGATTCGAAAACGTTGTTGAACACTGGGTTGTGTCTTCTGCCAGGGAAAGTTGAAGGAGTAAGGTTGGATGGATTTGATGTAAGTGTAGCAGCAGCAGCAGCAGCAGCAGTAGCAGCGGAGTTAAGAGTAACGTGGTTAGATGATGGTGGTTGTGGTAAAGGTGGTGGCGCATACTGAGAAAGTAGCGGATGTTGGGGTTGTGACTGCTGTTGCTGAGCCAGGTGAAATTGTTTAGAAGCCGCCGCACCTGAGACTGCCAAAGGATCAAGCTGGTCCATTGTGGCTTGGTAAGTTGTAGTGACCTTTGGGTCAAGCGAAGATGGAAAATAAGCCCCGGGTGAAGTATTTGCAGCACCTGGGTTAACAGTAGTGCCAGAGTTTGAGGTGGTGGTAGCCGTGGTGGTGGTGGTGGCGGCGGCGGCTGCTGCTGCTGCTGCTGCAGTAGCAGCAACAGCAGTGGGTGTAATATTATTGTGAATGCTGTGGCTAGAAGAGGATGGTGAAGGTGACGAACATACTGTAGAAGATGGCAACGCTTGGTTTGGAGAAAAGTTTAAAAACGAATTGAAATTATCAATCGAGTCAGGAGCCCCTGCAACTGGTTGCTGGATTGGCAACGGAGCAGAGACTTCAGATAGTGCAGGCGGCTGCTGATGTGGGCGCTGATGTGTAAACGCACCTGGAGCTTGTGAAAGATCAAAATCTTTTCGGGCACTTGCCGTGCTATGGAGGCTGCTGGAGCTGCTTACAGTACGTAGTTGTGACTGCGAGAGGTTGCTATGAGACCCCATAGAGGGACTACGCGAATCTTGTTTATCTGAAACAGCAACAACATCGGGTTGGGCGCCATTGCTGAGAAACTGAAGTTGGTTTTCAGAGAGTGGCAACGTGAGGTTTGAGGGGAACCAGCCCCGTTGGCCTTGGGAGTTGACGCCATCCCACCAGCCATCAAGCTTCAGAAGTACCTTGATCACGTCACCTGGTTTAAGTTCCAATGAGTATGCATTTGGAGGAGTAAATGGGAAACGTGCAATGACTGTATCGATGAATTCAGAGGAAGGTGGTGGTGGAAGAGTTGATGAGTCTGGAATGGAGAATGAAGTTGTAGATGATGGTGTTGGAACATGTACCGCTTGAGAGGGTGGTGGATGAAATGGATGCTGTTGTTGCTGTTGTTGCTGTTCATTCAAATGCTGTTGTGCACGCAAAAGCTGTATCAGTTGTTGCTGTAGCGGGTCATCTAGGGTGACAGAATCATCTGGAGAATGGAAAGGTGGAGAAGGCAGTTGATTAGAAGCAATATGGGAAGTGGGGTAACTTGATGCAGATGCTGCTGCAGGTGCTGCCGCTGCTGCCGCTGCTGCCGCTGTTCCTGTAGTATTTGCATTCAACTGGGTGTATTGTTCCATATGAGTTTTAAAGATTGGTGGTGGAATTACTGAATGTTGCTGTGGAAGAGGAGGGACAATAGAGTTGGAGACTGTTACTGGAGTTGATGTTGGAGTAGTTGCTGCTACTGCTGCTGCTGCTAATACTCGTGGTTCAAAGGCTTTTGAAAAAGATTGATGAGAAGTAACAGGAGAGATGGAAAGAGTGGATGAAACAGATGGGTGTCTAGATCTGTGTTGCTGAGTGATAAAGGCTGGAGGAGTGTCTGAGATCGTGGAGACGTTTGCAGGAACAATAAATGGACTATGAGTAGCTGATGAAGGGTATTGGATTGGAGAGGAGGATGTAGAAAGAGGTGGTAGTTGTTGATGAAGAGGAGAAATATTTGCATTTTGCGGAGAAGTAAGTGGCGAACCCTGTTGAAGTTGCTGTTGCTGTTGCTGTTGCTGTTGCTGTTGCTGTTGCTGTTGCTGTTGCTGTTGTTGCTGCGTTTTTTGTTGGAAAGAGATATTTACTGGGACTGCAGGTGAGCCAGGTGATGACCGGAAAGTATCTTGTTTATGTGAAGTACTCATTTTAGATTTCAAAAGCTTTGAGGAAGATCCTGTGCTATTTGATCTTTGAAAAAATCCGTCCTTTTCTAGAGATGAGTTTTGTTGTTTTTTAGAACAAGTGCTGTTGTTGTTGTTATTATTATTATTATTGCTATTACTGCTACTGTTATTATTGCAATTAGATCCACCAAAGAGCTGAGTTTTAAAGAGTGATGATGTGGCAGAAGAAGCGACAGAAGAGATGCGTTGAAGTGCACGAGCACCTTTAAAAGATGAGTTGACAGAATAGATTGAAGCACCTGAAGAGCGAGAAGCTGATTTTTTGCTGGAATGATTGGAGAGATGCTCAGTGTAAGGGACGTTTGAATGGGGGTCATCCAAAGAGATTGGAAGTTTGTCCGAAGTGACAGCTGGAGGAGAAGTAGCAGATGAAGAAGAGGAAGAAAATAAAGAAGGAGAGTTTGGGGTGGATTTAAAATTGGCTATTGACCTTGGTCTAGGAGAACTTGGATAAGAGGTTGTGGTGGCAGGCGCAAAGGCAAAAGCAGCTGTGTTGGATGTAGTAGTATTAGTTAAAGATGTAGTTGGCAGAAGGTTATTAGAATTAGAATTTGAATTTGAATTTGAATTAGAATTAGAATTTGGATTCGAATTCGAATTTGAATTTGAATTAGAATTAGAATTAGAATTGGCAGAGTTATTATTATTATCGTTGGCAGCATGAAGAGCGGCGCGTGAAGCTAATTTCTGGTCTGCCCTACTTGTGGTAGAGGCACCTCCTGGACTAGAGCTTCTAAAGAAACTCATTATATCTTGGAGATTATTGTTAATGTGCAGATTCTTGTGATGATTATTATGACAAGTATTTTTTTTATATAGAATAATTTAAATAGATAGATTGTGTTAATAAAATAGGGAGGTTTTTTGAAAAAAAAAAAATTTCTAAACAGAAAAAAAAAATTTTTTTTTTTTTTGGGAGGTTTGCTAAATGAGTCAATAGAAATGAAGATGTTGTTGTTTTTTTTTTTTTTTTTTAAAATGTGTGGGATATTTTCCTGGCTCTTTACTAGTGGTAAAAAAAAAATAAAATAAAATAAAATAAAATAAAATAAAATAAAAAATAGAATAATAATGGCTACAGTAAAAGGTAACAGTAGTAGTTATAAGTAGCATTAAAAGTTCAGTGGTACTACTACTACTACAACAAGAAATATATATATGGATATATCATATCATATATATCAAATATATATATATATTTAGTATATATGCTGGTAAATAATAGGTACGTATGAGGAAATTTTTGATATTTAGGGATGGGGTAGTCTTTTTTTTTTTTTTTTTTTGTAAGAGGTGGGGGGGGGGGAAAAATGCTTTTTGTTTTATTTTTAAAATAAAATAAAAAAAAAAAATTTTCTTGTTAAATCCAAAAGCCTTTTGACCAACAATAGCAACAACAATAACAACTACTACGATTTGCTTCCAGGACGAAGGGAGGCCTACCAAAACATTCATAAAACAAGGGGGGGAAGGGAGGACAGGATAGGATAGGCGAGAATGGCTCGATGGTTATTAAAAGTCTAACTGTTTGAAGTATCGACATGGGAGACTTTGGACTTAACTTTACTATATGGTTTATTCACTCTACAGTGCAATTGCCACAGAAAAGAAAAAAAAAAAAAAAAAAAAAAAAAAAAAAAAAAAACTTGTTTAAAGAGAGACTTTTTTTTCTCCCGATAAGCGATAAGAAAAGCGACCCCAGTGGCAGCAACAACAGCATCAACAGCATCAACAGCATCAACAGCATCAACAGCATCAACAGCATCAACATTAACATTAACATCAGAAGCAGCCAGCCAGCCAGCCAGCCAGCCTTCAAATTGTTTTAACCCGTCGTAAACTGCTATATTAATAGAATTATTATAATTATAATAATTATTAAAAAAAAAACAAAAAAGGCAGTTCCCATTCTCGTTCTTGTCCAGTCGACCCACTTAAACTTGATACACATCCCTCGCTCGTCTTTGTTGTATATATTTTCTAAAAGTGAAAACAAAAGTTTATCGCCAGCTCCAAAATTTAAAATAAAAAAAAAAATTTCTCTCCATATATTTTCACCAATGTGGAATTAGTATTTTTATTTTTATGTTCGACATGCGTGTGTGTGTGTGTGTGTGTGCGGTACTATTACTAACTATGGTAAAATTATCAAACTATCACCATCAAATGTATCTGGGTATTGTATCTTGTTGTTCATGAAAGATTTTTTTTATTATTATTTTTATTTATTCAATGTCTTTCTTTCTCCCATTGAAAAAAAAAAAAAAATCATCATCATAATTATCATCATTTTTTTTTCTATTTAATATTAAGGGAAACTTAGCTTTAATTATTTCCCTTTTTTTTTCATATTCATTTTGGGATGAGATAAGTAATTTATGCGAAAGTTTATCGCACATAATAAAGGAAACAAGGCGCAAAAAAGCCCACGCACACACGTTACAAATTTCCATCACACCAGCTGGCATCTGTTTGTTGGTATATCTAAGGTATATGTAACTAAAAATATACTTTTAAACAATCAAGCTTTGATTAGTTGTTATTATCATCATCATCATCACTATTAATATAATAATATTATTATTATTGTTATTTAAGTTTATTTTTTTTTATTATTATTATATTCCGAATAAAGTATTTGATTATGATTATGATATCCATAAAAGGTGAGTTTAAATACAAAGAAGAAGATACTTTTTTTGGTACTTTTTATATTTTTTTTTTTGATTTCTTTATGACGGGATGCTTAAAAAAATAAATGTTAAAAGTTGGTATTAAGATGTCCATTGTTTTTATTCCTATATACATAAATTTTTTCAAATCAATTGTTTTCTTTTTTTTTTTTTTTTTCCTTTCTCTCTCTCTCTCCCTTTCATTTCTTGATCGGAATTGTAAGTTCTATTTTGAAGATAGAGATCTAAAATAGCTAAAAGAGGTTAAAAAAAAAAAAGGAACATGTATTAAAGTAATGTAGATCATAACAATCGATTGATTATTCTTATATATATATAAAAACCAACGTTGGTTTTTGAATAGAATTGGGAAACCTCATATTACTATAAAATAAATAAAAACAAAAAAACAACATATACTGATTAACAATAAAGCTTTCAATTTTAACATCTCTACCTGAAAGATGTATGTGGATTGATATTGGATATTTCAAATAAAAAAATAATTTTTTTTAAAAAAAAAAAAAAAGCAATTGAAAAATCATTGAAAAATCATTGAAAAATTCCAAAGTAATGAGATTTTTCATTATCTCATTGTTGAAAATCTAATCAATCAAGAAATTCATAAACAAGAGCTAGTAATAATGATTACTAATTATTTCTAATCTTTAACTACTTTAAAATGTATTATATTACTAATGATTACCTAATTTATGAAAATTTTTAACACTACCACCGCAATTTAACAAAATTATTCTTTTCTTCATCCCATCAACTTCTTCTCCTCTTCCCTCCTTTTTTTTTTTTTTTTCTCTCTCCCCTCCCCCCAGCCCCTTCATCGATTACAAACAATCCAACCTCCTCTTAATAAGCCTTTTTTTTTTTTTTTTAATTTTGTTTTCTGTCCAAATTTATATTTATTTATTTATATTTTTTGTTTTTTTCTGTTCTGCCCCAGGTTTTATTTCACGTAATAACCGACTAATCAATGACCCTCCCATCAACCACCTACTGGAATAGCGACGAACTAACATCGCCAGATTCCAAAGCTGCAGTTGCAGCCATCTTGGAGTCCGGATCACAAATTGATCCCGCGTTTAACCAGCAAGGCCAACAACGAGGACAATCATCCCAACAATCAACATCCCAACAACAATCATCACGAGCATCTCAATCTCGGGCTCAAAGATCTCAACAAGACCAACAACAGCAATCGCAACAGCAATCGCAACAGCAATCGCAACAGCAGCAGCAGCAACAACAACAAGACGTAAACGACCAGGATCAGCAAGATAATGGCGACGCTCGAGGGTCTGGCCAATCATCCGGAACTTCTTTGAGTGGGGGTAATGGATCTCAACAATCATATGGGCAAATTCCAAATGATGACCAACAACATCACCATCACCAACAACAACAATTACACGGGATGGGAATTGATGTTAATGGACAAGGAGGGCACCCGGCAGCCCATGGGCAACATAACCTGATTGAAACTTCTGAGCCTTTAACATCACATATTAATGGTGGGACTTCCAGTGGTGTTAATAATTCTATTGGAGCTGGACGGCCGTTAAGTAGCTCCAAACGAGCACAACAAAACCGACAAGCCCAGCGGGCGTTTCGGCAACGCAAAGAAATGTACATTAAAGATCTTGAAGCTAAAGTGAATGAGCTTAAGACGACTAAGGAAACTATTGAGGCGTTGCGCCAGGAAAATATCCAACTACGAGATTACATTCTGGCGCTCCAGTCGCGGCTTATTGAGCATCCTGGAGGAGTTCCTACGCCGCCCGCAGTTTATGCTCGTCAAGGTGGAGGTAATGGGAACAATAATAGTGGAGGAGTAGGAGGAGGAGGAAGTAACGGTAGTGGATCTGGTGGTGGTGGTGGTGTGCCTGGTAGCAATGTCAGAGATGGCAGTGGTAGTGGTGGCAATGCTGGGGGAAGTGGTGGAAATGGTGGTGGTAGTGGAGTGGGATCTCATCATCAACATCATCATCATTCACAGCATCACCATGAACTTGGTCGTGGAGGAATTCCTGAAGAAGAGGATGATGATGAAGATGCTGGACATGGAGACGAGTCGCAGCATCATCATGCCAACGTAGCTGCAGCGGCGGCGGCGGCAGCGGCGGCGGCAGAGGCAGCAGCAGCTGCTGCTGCTGCTGAGCAGAGTGGGCTTTATGACCAGCACTATGGGCAACACTCGTTTCATCCACAGCCTCTTGATCCAAGCAAAATGAAGCGGGATCTTTAGAGATTGTGTAGATGTCTTTTTTTTTTTTTTTTATTTTTGACTATTTTGAGAATTTCTTTCCTTTATTTATTTATTTTTTTTTTTTTTTGTGATAATATATATATATATAATTTATTTATATATATAAGATATAATATATGATAATAACCAATAATAATAATAATAATAATAATTAATTTATACTTAGATGAAGATGAAAATAGTTTATCATTTTATTTTAACTTGTTTTTAGAAACGCGTTAAATTTTGAAAAAAAAACTTGAAAATTTTGACGCGTTTTTATTTTTATTTTTTTATATTGACAAGTTTTGTTGTGAATACTAAACTAAAAGTACATGGTAAAAAAAAAAAAATAAATAAAAAAATAAATAAATAAAAAAATAAATAAAAAAATAAAAAAAAGTAATAGTAGTGGCTGGCACAATATGCGTCAGCCCATTTAAAAAAAAAAAAACTTTTTGAAGACCCGCCTTGGTACCGACACTACCTGAATCTTCAAAGTCAGTACAATCAATCAAAAGGGTATTAAGGAGTGGTGTTTTTTATTTTTTATTTTTTATTTTTACCAAATAAATATTTATCTTTTACTTTTACTTTTATTTATATTATATATCAATTTTTGAAAAGATATTTTGATAATTTTTTTAAGTCAAAGGAAGAAGAGGAGTTTTTTTTTTATATATTTCTTTTTTATTCTTATTCTTATTCGGGTTTAAATCTTTAATATCATTGCTCTTAAGAAAACCAACCGACTATATATTTTATTATTTTATTTTATTTTATTTTTTTTTTTGATTGCTTGTATATATATATATTTACAAACACAGAAATAAACCTTCTTTCTTTTGTTTCTCCACATATCACAGGTGAGCAAGCTTATTTATTTGTCTTTAAATTTGAGTTTTTTTTTTTATATATAAAAGGACTCTGAAAGACGGTCCTTTTTTTTTTTTTAAATATAACCCCCCCCCCCAAACCAAATTTTTTTTATTCATTTTATTTAGTACTAATAATATCTTCTTCTTCTTTTTTTTTTTTCATTCTAGTATATACAATAACCTTATACTTTTAAATAATGTCATTTTTGGTTAAGAAAATTGGCCAGAAGGTAAGCAAAAATCTTGATTGTTTTAAAACAAGTTGCATCTATGCACATCTACTGATATTTTATTATACACATTAATTAATACAATAATGACCTTTGATTTTTTTTTTATTTTTTTTTTATTTTTTGTAGTACGTCAACACGGCAGTGCAGAAGACTTTTGGTGACGAAGACCCGTTCTATGATACTGTAAGTTATTATTTACTTTTATACTTTTATTATTTCCTCCCCTAATTATTTTTCATCCTCTCCCCGCAAATATTTTAATATAATTCTAATGTTGTTCCTAGATTCAAGTCACAAAGCCCAATGGCAAAGTCAAGACCAAACGTGTTTGGAAAGAACCTCCTGAGCTTGGTCTTTGTGAAAAGGATCAAGAAATCATGCGCCAATTTAGTAAACGTGCTTGGAACTTAGACATGTTTTTCAGTTTCTGTGGAATGCGATTGGGCTGGTCAGCAATCATTGGGATTATTCCAGTTGTTGGCGATTGTATCAACATTTATCTCTCATTACGTCTTGTTTACATGGCCCAAGGCCTTGAAGGAGGACTACCTGTGGGTGTACAATCCAAAATGATGGCCAATATTACAATGGATTTTTTACTAGGTATTACACCTGTTTTGGGTATTATTGCAGGAGCATTATACAAGAGTAACTCACGAAACAATTTGATTTTGATGCACCATTTGCAACATACTGCCGAAGATAACATTCGTCATGGGAAATATTCGACTCTTGGAATTGGTAAGAAGAAAAAGTCTGGATGGTTTACATTTGGAAGTGGAAGTAATAACGAAGGATATAAGGATATTCCTGAACCAAGCACGGGTAGTTTGCTTACTAGTAAGGATCAAGGACATGATTTGCATACTACCACGAATTTTGCTTCAGGCAAAAGTCATCCTGAGTTGATTGAGTTATCTGGGGTATCTAGTTCTCAAGATTCAGGTGTATTTCAAGGTAGTAACGACAATAGTCACAGTTCACAATTGAATTCACATCAACATCAACATCAACATCAATATCAACAACAACAACCACAACCAAATCCGGCCACTTCTTCTTCTTCTTCTTCTAATGGTCGTAACAGAGCAGGGTATCCTGCACATGAAACGGTAAGTATAGCATATCCACCGCCACCTCCACCATTACCTGATCGGGCTCGTCATACATGAGAAGATTTTTTTTAAAAAAAAAAAAGAACAATGAATGAAATAAAATATAAGACAAGAAAAAAAAAGAATTAAATGAAAGAATGAATGAATAGATCAGGAATGTTAGAGGGGGAGGTTGTTATGTCTGAAATATTTTGATGTTGATTTTTTTTTTTTTTCATTTTTTTTTTTGACTAATTTGAGACGCTGCGGCGTATTTTTTTTTTTTTAATAGCAAATTTAGGTATATATAATACATGTGTGTGTGTGTGTTTGTGTGGGGGTACATTGTTACATTACATTACAATAAAATTTTACATTACATTAATGTAATTAACTGAGATATTGTAACAAATATTAAATTAATTTTGTAATACATTTGAATATAAATATTATTAATAATAGTAATAATAGTAATAATAGTAATAATAGTAATAATAATAATAATAATAATAATTGTAATAAGATTTTATAAAATGTAATATCTTTGTAACAATTATGTCACAGCTTTTATTTTTTTTATTTTTTTTATTTATTTTTTTTTTTTGTTGTTGATTGTTGTTGATACTTCTCACCCCATACGGCCCGTCGCTATGGCTGCACCCACTTAATAAATATATAAAAATTTAAAACAGACAGGCGAGGCAGCAGCAACAGCAGCAGCAGCAGTTGAAACGCAGACACGCAGACTTTTTTTTTTTTTTTTTTAATTTTTTTTTTTTTTTCCTTTTCCTTTTTTTTTTTTTTTTTCCTTTTCCCTTTTTTTTTTTTTTCCTTTTCATTTTCATTTTCAATAACAACCTTGAATTTACAAAATTTCTCGAAATTCATCTATACACGCTCGTTTTTATTTACTCCAAGTTTAAAACCCGCCACCACTTATTTTTAGATCTTCTTTATTAGAGAGATTTTTTTTTTTTTCTTTCTCAGTCTTTCGTTAAATTCTCTTTTTATCACCAGTTTCTTATTATTATTATTTCGTTAATTTTTCATCAATCATAATAAAAAAAATACTGTTTTATATATATATATATATATTTATTTATATTTATAAATACATTCCAACAACCAACCAACTAAACCAACCTACATTTTTCAATCTAAATAACCAAATAAATATTTAAAAAAAAAAAAAATGAAGTTCTCAGCTGTCGTCTCTGTCGCCTCTCTCACTGCCGCTGTCGTGGCCACCCCTCCCGCCTGTCTTCTCGCTTGTGTCTCCCAAGTCTCCAAGGCTCAGTCCTGCTCCGACCTTAACGACTTTGACTGTATCTGCACTTCTAATGGCGATTCTGTCATTAGCTGCCTCAACTCTATCTGCCCCAACGATAATGCAGACACCGCTATTTCGGCTTTTAAGAGCTCTTGTTCCGCTCAGGGCAAGGACGTCTCGGCTTCTTCTTCTTCTTCCTCTTCATCTTCTTCATCTACAGTTTCATCCTCATCTTCTTCTGTCGCTTCTTCGACCATCTCTTCTTCCTCTGCTGCTGCAACTACCACTTCTTCTTCTTCTTCTTCTGCAGCTGCTTCTTCCATCGCCTCTTCTTCTGCCGCTGCTACTTCCTCCGCTGCCGCTACTTCTTCTGCCGTTGCTACTTCCTCCGCTGCCGCTACTTCTTCTGCAGCTGCTTCTTCCATCGCCTCTTCCTCCGCCGCTGCTACTTCTTCTGCCGCTGCCTCTACTTCTTCTGCAGCTGCTACCTCTTCCAAGGCTTCTTCTTCTTCAGCTGCTCCTACCACCACATCTTCTTCCGTCGTCAAGCCTTCCTCTACTGCTGAGGTTGAGGTCTCCACTGTTTTCACCACTGTGTGCTCCACTTCTCCTTGCCACGCCCACTCTTCAGCCTCCGCTTCTTCTTCTTCTTCTTCTTCTTCCACTTCTCCTGCAGTTGTTCTTCCCACCTCTTCTAGCAACACTACCGGTAACACTACTTCTCCTACCACCTTGCCTGTTGTCAATGACAATGCTGCCTCTTCGGCCTTTGTCCAGGCTTCTGCTTTTGCCGCCATTGTTGCTGGTGCCGTTGCCGTCTTTGCTTTTTAAGTAAAAATGGAAACTCCCAAATCCAAATCCAAATCCAAAAAAAAAAAAAAAAAAAAATCTTTATTTATATATTTCATCAAGGCATTTTGTACACGACTTTTAAAAGCTTTTCAAACATCTCATCCAACTTTCTCCTGTTTTCTTGCATCCAAGTTTATGACGACCTCTCCCAAATAAAAAAAAAAATTAAAAAAAATAAAATAAACCATATAAGTATAATAGACCCCCTGGTGCGGTCTTCTTACTTTTATTATTATTTATATATATAAAATTTTTTTTTTTTTTTCCAATTATTTCTCAAATTTTTTTTTAATTTCTTTTCTTATTTTTATTTAGAATAATAAAAAATTATATCATATATTTTTATATATCTATATATACACATAAATATTTATTTCATTCATTCATATATATATATATATGCTGTTTTTTCTTTATCAATTATAATAATTAATCAATTTATATTTATATAAATTTTTTTTTCTATAAAAGTCCATTTTGGCGATGATTTCAGTGGTACCCAAAAAAAAAAAAAAAAAATTCCACCAACACACGTTTCCCATCTTCTTGTTTTTTTACACACAAAAAAACCTTTGCCAGTGAAAAATCTCGCGGCAAGGCGCGCCACTTTAAAAAAAAAATAAAAAAAAATAAAAAAAAAAGCGCCGTGGTGAGTGGCAACAACATATAAAATTTATATAAACAAACAATCAAACAATCAAAACAAATAAACAAATAAACAAACAATCAAACAAATAAACAAAGAAAGAAAGAAAGAAAGAAAGAAAGAAAGAAATATTTCATTCACTTATATTTATATATATTTGATCTGTTTAATTCATCAAGGTATATCTTTTTTTTTTTTTTTTTTTGTTTTAAAACAAAATCATATTGAAATTATAGTAGTCGATATAATAATGCTGGTTGAAAAATAAAAAAAAAAAAAAAAAAAAAAAAAAGTTTTTTCATTCGCTTAAAAGAAAACTTTTTTTTTTTTTTTTTTTTTTTTTTTCGTTTCTTTATTAACAAGGAAAGTCCCGTTTTGGCAGACCTTTAAAATATCACGTGAACATTAATAAACATATAATAAAAATTTACGTAATCATTAACATTTATTTATTTATTAATTTATTTATTTATTTATTTATTTTTTCAACCACCATTTTTTTTTTTTTGAAACTATTTCAAGCCCACATTATTCAATTCTCCAATTCATACAGTATATATTCTTCAAACCTCATAAATAACCATTCAAATTGTTTATATATATATATATATATATATATATATATAAATATATATCTTTCACATAATAATAATACTAATAATAATAAAAAAAAAACAACTTGAACCCCTTTAAAAGATGTCTCTTCATCACTCATAAAAATAAGAAATTCACTCCCATTCCAATTATTCCAAATACAACTCCAAGCCCCGTCGTTCGTAGCGCACGTAACCAGCGCACGTCAGCATTTCGTTTCAACCCACGTATGCTCCAAGCTCCAGAAGAAAACTCAAAAGGTGGACTCTGCTTTGGCTTTGATTCTCCTCTTCCCTCATCTATCTTCTCCTGAATTGCTAGCCGCTCTCCTAAATAATCACCCCCTCCCTCAGGAGCCCCTGTACATACACACCGAGGTATCCGTACAGCCCCAGGCATAGGACCCTGATATATTTCGGGATAAACAACACCCTTTGCAAGTGCTCCTAAAACTCCTGAAATTCCTGAAATTCCTGAAACTCCTGTAGGCCTTAATCCTCCATCTCCATCTCCATCTCCATCTCCATCTCCAACACCACCAGACACTTTAACTTGTACTAATGATGTAGCAGAAGCAATGACTTGTGCTGGAATCCCCAGCGCCATCACTGGATCATCACCTCCAGCAATGTTAAACACCATGACCCCCACAGTTTCATTCTTCTTCTTCTTATTCTTCATTTTGCGCAACTTCTTCTTCATATTCTTCCTTTTTTCAGCTTTCTTTTCGGCCTTGCGTTTCTTCTTCTCTGCCTTGCGTTCCTTCTTGGCTGCCTTCTTCTTCTTTATCCCATCAATCTTTTCTTTTTTGTGCCTTTTTTTGGCCGCCTTTTTCTTCCGAAGCCTTTCCTTCTTGCTCATCTTTTCCCTTGGTCCTTTAATATCCGTCCCGTTTTTCCCATCTTCAGGAATACTTAAACTTGCACTAGTACTAACAAGGTTCGTCGTACTATTGTCACCCATGGTAATGCTTAAACTTCTCTGAGTGCTAATTGTGCTACTAATTTCACTCACACTTTTGGTATCACTAATACTAGACCCTGAAGAAATAGATGTCACTGTCACAACTTTGGGAATCTTGGTTTTAGTTTTGGTCTTGGTTTTTGGCCGTTTGATTTCTCTCAAAAGCTCAGTTTCAGTCTTGGTCCGGAATCTGGTCTTGGTAATCTTTTTGGGTGGCCGATAGTAGTCATCGTCATCATCATCATCATCATCATCATCATCATCATCATCATCATCATCATCATCTTCATCATCATCATCATCATCATCATCATCATCATCATCTTCATCATCATCATCTTCATCTTCATCATCATCATCATCTTCATCATCTTCATCTTCATCATCTTCATCTTCATCTTCATCATCATCTTCATCTTCATCATCATCTTCATCTTCATCATCGTCTTCATCATCGTCTTCATCATCGTCTTCATCATCGTCATCATCGTCTTCATCGTCATAATCATCTTCGTCGTCATTTTCTCCATCTTCATTATCCTCATCATCATCTTCTTCAATGACATTAGGGATATCATAATAGTCATAGGTTCCATCACTACCCACAAATCTCAGCCTTGATGGAATCATAGTCTTGGTATAATACTCTGTCTCGGTTTCCGTTTTTGTAGATATAATCACGTTAAAGTGCTCATCCGACTCTATTCCTTCATCCTCATCCTCTTCATCCTCTTCATCTTCTTCGTAATCATCACCATACTTCTTTTTAAAGGGGAAATGTGGAAGACACTTTCGAGGTCGCCTATAAATTAACGTGGTAGTCTCAGTCACTGTATCAGTATACTCAAAATAAACTGTAGAGTACGATGTCTTGGTAGTCTCCTCAGTAATGGTAACCCAATAAATTTTGCGAGCTCCTTCTCTGACATGTGGAAATTTGGGGTTTATAATCATGGCTTTCTTTTTCTTGGGCCTGGTAATCTTTTTATATCTCTTATAATTGTCATCGTCATCGTCATCATCGTCATCGTCATCATCGTCATCGTCATCATCGTCATCATCGTCATCGTCATCATCGTCATTTTCAAACCACCATTTCTTCTTGGTTGGTTTTGCAGACTTTGTTGGGCTCGGTGTAACAGTCACAGTAATAACTGCTGGATCGGTTTTACTCAAGATCGTGCTATTAAAGCTGGTAGTCAAGTTGGTAGTCAATGTAGAATTGGAAACATTTTTAGGTGGCTCTCCAAGAGTAACTGTAACTGTGACTGGTCCTGATATAGTAATACTACTAGGTGTTGTTGAAAATGATGTTGTCAATGATTGGTTTCCACTACTAGTTGCAATTGTTGAATAAGAAGTGATACTAGCTGTTGCAGACTCTGTTTTGGGTGGTACTTGTGTCATTGTGGAAAAGTGCTTTCTGAATTGATCATTGATAATTCTTTCAATCTCCTTCTCCAAATCTTTTTCGGTATCTTCATCCATCTCTTCATCTCCATCAAACTCTTTGCCAATCTCCTTCTCCAATTCCCTTTCAAGATTTTCCTGAAATCTATCATCAACATTATCAATATCATCAACATCATCAGCATCATCAGCACCATCCTCTTCTTCTTCTTTTTTTTCATTGGTATCCTTCGGTGGTTTAACAGTGACTGGTGGCTTAACAACGGGAGGCTTAACAACGGGAGGCTTAACAACGGGAGGCTTAACAACGGGAGGCTTAACAACGGGAGGCTTAACAACGGGAGGCTTAACAACGGGAGGCTTGACAGCTGGAGGTTTGACAGCTGGTCGCCTGATAGGTTTCCTTTTAGGAGCCTGAGTTTCTTGTGGTAGCTCAGTAAATCTAGTTCCAAAAGTTTCCGATTCTTCTGGATCATCCACATCCATATCTTCGGAGTCATCATACTGAGGATCTCTAGACTTAATGTCTTCGTACTCAGGCTCTTCAGGCTCTTCAGGCTCTTCAGGCTCTTCAGGCTCTTCAGGCTCGATATCATCAAACTCATCCTCATATTCGGGCTCCTCAGACTCAAGCTCTTCATAATCGGGGGTTTCTAGTTCTTCATTTCCCGAATCAGATTCATCAATATCCATTTCTCCATTCCCCTTTTCACCCCAGTTGTCACCCTCAGAATTTTCATATTCCTTATTTCCTTCTTCTCCAGAGTCACCTTTATTCCACTCATCTCCTAGCTCATCATTGTCTAACTCTTCTTCTTTATCCCAATAGTCATCATCAGAATAGTCATTTTCTTCTTCAGTTTCATCACTCCATTCTTCTTCAGGCTGTTCAATCCACTCCTCTTCCTTCTCCTCCTCTGGAGTTTCCGGCTCTTCATTCTCTTCTTCAAAATATTCTTCAGAATCAGGCCATTCAATTTCATATTCAGGTTCTGTAACTTCTTCATATTCTTCTTCACTTTCCTCCGGTATCTCTTCCAAATCACTAGGCTCTTCTTCCCTTCCCTTTTCTTCATCAATATCATTTTTTTGTTCTTCCTTTTTTTCTTTAGGAATATTGGCTTCAGCATCTTTCTTCTTTCCTCTCTTTTGAATATCATCGCCCATTTTCTTCTTTTCTTCTGGAACTTGAATTTTCCCCACATCACTGCCCTTATTATCAAACGGTATTCGAGGTGGTAGTCGAGTAGATGATGGAGGTTCTATGATTTTCCCCGCTGGCATTGTGGTTCCTGATGAAACTGATTTACTATAGCTTGGGGGTGGACTATTTGTGGTAGTCACACTGGTCTTGGGTTGTGAAGAAGATAAAATATTTGAGAATTTTGAACTGAAAGTAGAGCTGGAAATATGACTGGTAGTGGTAGTTAATATGACAATGGAAGCAGAAGGCGTTGTTTTGGAAAGAATAGAAGTAGAACTAGAGCCAGACTGTGATGTAGATGGTCTAGTTACTGGGTATCTTAGTGACGAGCTGCTTTTTGATGTACTGGATGCCAAATTGGTTGTGGAAGCTGGGACTTCAGACTTAACTGCTTTGGAATTAGATGCAGTGGTAGAAATAATGGTAGGTGGTAAATCAGTAGAACTGGAACTTGTACTTGAGGATGGTTTTGTTAGAGTTATATCTGTTTTAATACTAGAGTATCTCAGTGATAGACCAGATGTGGAAGATGAACTTGTAGTATAGTTAACTATTGAGGTACCATTAGAGGAAAAAGAAGAAGAAGACGTTCCGATAGTGGTAGTTGCAGAGGTGAGGGTGTTTAGGCCACTCGATATTGCTGAGTTTGTTGGCGTCACAGTTACTGGTACACTAGTTGAATTAACTTTTGTAGAAGTTGCCAAACTTGTACTATTAGAAGAAGAACTTTTTAACAAACTGGTTGCTGTTGTAACATTACTCAAGGTAGTTGTGAGCACAGATCTAGTAGAAGTCATAGAAGATATCCCTGGGGTATTTTTTTCATTGCTTGTAGTACCAGACAAGGCAATCGTTGAAGTTGGCATGGCACTTGGTGGTAAGAAAGTTGTAGTAGTAAAATTTGCTCTACTAACAGTAGTGCTCGTAGTACCGGTAGCAACAGGTAACAAAATACCCGGAACAGCAATTGAAGTACTGCTTAACTGGCTTAAAGAAGAAAAAGACGTGTCGGGTATAGAAGTACTGATTATAGCTACAGAACTTGAACCAGACACACTGATAGAGCCGGAACCAGAGGTTAAGTTGAAACTTAGAGTGTTAACAGGAATTGATTTTGAAAAAGTGGTTACTGGTGTATATGGTAGTGGAACAGGGGTGGCAGATGAGACTGGAGTAGGTGAGGGTGGAAACGGAAGTGGTTGTATAGGAGCAGATGGAGGTGATGGAAGTGGAGCAGCAACAGGAGGAAGTGGAGCAGCGACAGGAGGAACAGGAGGAGCAGGGGGTGGAAGTGGAGTGGAAGTAGGAGATGGCTGCAGAGCAGGTGGAACAGATGAAACAGATGGAGCAGGAGGAGCAGGAGGAGCAGGAGGAGCAGGAGGATTTAGCAAAGCTGGGGGAGAAGGTGGGGCCTGAGTAATCATTACAATTGATGTCGAATTTGTCGGCACGCTACTTGTCGTGACTATAGGTAAAGTAACATCAAACGATGTCGAAGTAACAACACTGAGTCCCCCGTTAAATGGCAAAGTCACAGTTCCTGAGACAGTCCATGTTGGTGTTGCAATTGAAAAAATGCCAGTGTTAGTGGGTAAGCTTGAAGTCACAGTTACTGGAGACTGGTCACTAGTTGCTGGTGGAGCTGGCACAGGCGATTTGTTTTGAGGCGGTGGAGGAGAAGGTGGTAGTACAGTGACTTGTCCAGGAAGACTTTCAATTGCATAATCGGCCCGTTTTTCCTTTTCAGAAGTTTTGTCAAGATCTTTATCTTCCCAGGAAATCGTGCTAGATTCATCAAAAAACAGGTCTTCAGTGCGGAATGGCTTTTGAGAAAAGGGCGAGGAAATGGGTGGCACCAAGGACTCTGTAATTTCTGTAGATGAATATGATTCTGATGTAAAATCACTTAAAACTGGAGTGTCTGGAAAGGGATCTTCTGCAATCGAAGAGTCAGAAAAAGGGACTTCAAAAGATGTAGTGCTGGTGTGATCTGTGGGGACTGTAGATGACGCTACATTTTCTTCTTTTGAGGATTCAATCAATTCAACTGGCTCAAAAGTTTCAACTTGATCAGGAGAACTCAAAGGTACAGAAGATTCTGGAGACTCTGAAACGTAATCAGTCGAGTGATAATAATTGGGGGAAGAGTCAGCAGGTTCTGTAATCTCTGTTGGTTCAGTAACTTCAGACTTAGGCTCAGGCTCAGGCTCAGGCTCAGGCTCAGGCTCAGGCTCAGGCTCAGGCTCAACAGAAAAAGATTCATTGGGAGACTCGACAGGAGGATCCAAAATGCTCTCAGAAGGAAAAACCGGCTCGGAAAAAGATTTAGAAAAATTTGACTCAGATTCAACAGATGACTTTGAATCTGATTCTGGCTGATAATGATAAATTTCACTTTCATTCAAGGATTCCAAAATTTGTGATTCCGTCGAACCATCTAACGTTGTTGGGCTCTCAAAAAACTCAGGTTGATCAGAAGTAACTGGCCCTTCAAAAAACTCTGTAGAAGATGTAGTACCTGGCGTCTTCCATGAATCAGTTTCTAAAGGCTCTTTTGGTTCTTCAACATCGTCAATAGGAATAGGAAAAGAATATTTAGAAGATGAAGAATTTTCTTCACTTTCAAATTGTGTATCATCCAAAGTTTCAGAAAATGGAAGCTCAGAAGAACTTAAGGTTGTGACATAGTCATCTTCAAAGTTTTCAGAAGATTCAAACAATGTAGTTTCCTCAAAGTCGTTATAAGCTGATTTAGTACTTTCAGAAACTCTTCTTTCACTATAAGACTCAGATAAATCTGCTTCTGTTTTTGTTTGTTCTTCTGAGCTCAAACTTGATTCCAACAAACTTGATTCATAATCTTCTTCAGACTCAAAAACGTTTGATTCCGAGGGAAAATAAGGCTCAGGTTTTGGAACAGATTTAGACAAAAGCGTGGTTGAATTTTCAGTACTTGGTTCCGCAATGGTTTCAAATATTGGCTCCAATGAGATGCCAGATTCGCTAAACTCTGATTCTGAGTCAAAAGATGAAACCGGCCTCGACTCAACAAAAGTTTCAGAAGGTTCAATTGAGAAATCAAATGAAGACTCCTGAGATGAGTTTGAACTGGGTATTTCTGTTGACTCGGTATCATATGAGGGCTCGGAAGTCATTTTTGGTGAAGGGTTATAAGTTGAGTCGAATTCAAAATCAGGTTCGGAATCTGGCTCTTGCCCTGGATCTGGATTTGGTTCGGGTAGCGGTTTTAGTTTTGGTTTCGGTTCAAGGGTAGGTTCCGAAAATGATTCAAAAAAACTAGTTTCTGTTTCAGGATCAATAACAGTATCAGAAGATGACTCAAATTCAACGGGTTCTGTTTCTGGATTAGGATGGGACTGGAGCTCAGATGTAAATTTCTGTTCAGGCTGAGGTTGAGGAGTCTGAGAAGGGGCAGGCTTGACAAGGGACTCATCCGGTGACAATGTAGGTTTAAGTTCTGGTTCTGGTTCTGGTTCTGGTTCTGGTTCTGGTTCTGGTTCTGGATCTAGATCTGGCTCATAAGGCTCAGGAGAAGATGAAGGAACTAGCTCAGGTTCCAGTTCAGGTTCCGGTTCAGGTTCAGGTTCCGGTACTGGTTCGTATGGCTCTGGATGAGGTACGGGGGCAAGCGGTGGTAGTAATGGTACTGGCTCAGAAATCTCTGGCACTTGTTCTTGTTCAGTTTCTGGCAATGGTTCGACACCAGGTTGATTTGAAGGTTTCGGGACATATTCCGTATTTTCATCACCATTGTTGTTGTCAGAAGTTTCAACTTCAGATAAGAAATCATCCCCGGTTTCTTCACCACCACTGGGATCTTGAGTGCTACCTTCAAAAGATGTGGAATCTCCACTCTGTTTCTTCTTCTTGCCTCCACCACCAATCTTTTTGAAAAATTTGCCAATCTTCTTCATGGATTTCTGAAAATTAAAAGCGTCTGCAACTACCATATCTGGATCGTTGTATTCGGCACCGTATACACCAATCTGATCATCTTCGTTGTCGTTGTCTTCGCCATAATAGCCATAATCATTGAAGTCATCTGGATACTCGTAACCTGAAACATCATTGTCTAGATCTCCAAACATAAGATACTCTTCTGAAGTCTCATCGCCTGTATTTCTATTTTCTTCTTTTTCTTCTTTTTCTTCAAAATCTCGTTTTCCTAACCACAAAGAGTCGTCATAAATACCATCTTTACCAAAATCTACAAATAGGAAAATAAACAAAAAAAATAAAGTTAGAAATCATTTTGATATTTTTATTTCATCTATAAAAAAGAAGGGGAAATTAAATCATACCATCAATTCTGTTCCCAAGAGCGTTAGCATCTTGAAATACCAAATTGTCGCTGCCAGTGATTGTCATCTTGTTGTCATCATTGTCCTTTTCTTCTACTTGCACTTTTTCCATATCTATTTTCTTATTTCTGTCACTGTCACTATCTTTATGAGAAACAAACTTAAGTTGTTTTTGGTTGCCTAAGTCTTTAATTTCAAAAACACCTCGGTTAGCTTCGTCAGGGATCACCACAAACATTCCAAAGTTCTGAGCTGAGCCAAGGCCTGGATCAGTTTTGACAGTTTCAAAAGGTGGTCTTTGAGGGATAATATCTAGGGAGGTAGTTTTAATCAATGTCTTAGAAGACTTTGAGGTGGTAGTGGTAGTAGAGAAAAAATCAGGGGGGAAGTCTTCAGTGGGGAGAGGAGGAGGATTATAAGTGAAAAATGGTGGAAGTGTGGAGGGTGGTGGATTTGGATTTCCAGAAAGTGTGATAACAATGGGACCTCTGGTGCGTGTTGTGGATGTAGAAGTGGAAGAGGTTGTTGGCATGGAAGAAGTTATAGGTGTAGAAGAAAGGTGCGAAGTGGACGGTGCAACAGATTCAAGTTGAGAAGTATTTGGCAAGAAAGAGGTATAATGAATGGTAGATGAAAGTGATGGGGTATGTGGCAATGAGGAGGTAGTAATTAGACTGTGTAGGGAAGTCAAATGAAGTGTTGACGTTGATTCAAATGAAGTCAAATCAATGGGGAATGGTAAAGTAGGGGAATAATCAGAATCCGGAATATAATGAGTTGGAATACGAGGTGAACCGGAAAGAGTGATTACAATTGGTCCTCTGGTAATCTTGTGACTGGTAAAAGTAGTAGTTGTGGCGGTCGTCGCAACATTCATTGTAGTCGTTGGCAGTCCAACAGAGATTGGGTGAAGCGTAGTAGCAAGCTGAGTGGCAATTGTCTTTATGGAACCATTAGGGTAATCAATTGCAAATTCTTGATCTTCTTTGAGTTTTTCTTCTATATTTTCATTTTTCCAGGTGGCTTCATCGCTTCTGTCAAATTCATTGGGACCTGCTTGGGCACTAGAAAACGGAGCATAATTAAGAATATTGGCAATATAATTGTAAAAAAGATAATGAGACCCTACACATGTTTCAGTGATGGCTCTATTGAGGACATTAACTTGAGACTAAATCAAAAAAAAAAAAGTTAGTGAAATGGATACTTGCTTAGAGGCATCACTTTAATCTTGTAATTTTTTTACGTTAATAGGTGAACAAGAACTGTAGCAAGATGTGCGAGTTTCCAAGAGAACTTGACAAAGACAGGTACTATCACCAAATCCACATTCGGTTGCTTTGCTGCGTTTAGATTCCAAACAATTTTCTGGGGTACACTTGTTTTCTGGAGTTGCGAAGAGATTTGCAATAGAATCGTCGAGACGCCAAAATGACTGGGCCTTTTGCTCTGGGTCTTGAGCAGTGAGGTCAAGAATTTGAGCAAAAGCTGATACTGAGAGCAGCAGTAGAAAGATGCTCAAAGATGGCGATGCTATTTTCATATTTGGATTAATAATAAGGGTGATATTGATAGTAAAAGAAAGAAAGGAAGAAAGAAAGAAAACAGGCAGTTTGTTATTTTTTAATTCATCAGATTGTACCCCTGTCTTTGGACAACAGTGTGGCTGTTATTAGATGATCTGGATGTTACAACGTTTAGTAGATGCAACATAGGTACGGCTGATATTTATGTCCGATGGAAGCAGAAAACAATGAAAAACTCCGAGGGGTTTAAAGCTTTTTGCATGAATTGCGTGCCTTGAAACTAAAGCGATTTAAGAAGCTTTCCATGAAAAGAATTCTTTTATTTATTCCCCCCTCCCCTCATGATATAAGTTTGTTGCGGATAATAAAATTTATTTTTCTTTTATTTTTTTTTCTTCTCCTTTCTTTGAAGCCCTTCTTTAGGGTTACTTTTTTCCTTCAAACAGAAGAAACACAGAACCGATCTTCATTGTTTCGAAGGTAAGACATGCTGTAGAAGGTGGAGGATAAAAAGTAAATGCTGAGTATATACTTAAAGTTTTATTTTTTTTTTATTAAGACCACCGTAAAAGACGCCTGCTATTTTTGAAAAAAAAAAAATAAAAAAAAAATATTTATTATTTGGAACGAAAGGAAGCAAAAGGCTATTCAGATGACTTTATTTTAAGTACTTCTTTGCTTTAAGTGATTATTATAATATAACAATAATTATAAAGGACGGTTATATAAGAAATAATAAACTATAGTATAATAATACACTATTATAATTGTTTTTTTTGAAATTTCCATTTTGAGAACTTGCTTGTCTGCTGGTCTGCTTGTCTACTGGTCTACTGGCTTCTTTCTATCTCTCATGCTCTTCCCTACAATCGCCTCATCTTCTTCACCTCCTTTTGTCTTCACACACAAATGTCTTGTGTGCCGGGCGGGCTCAGAGACACGGAGACACAGGCGTGTTTGTGAATATTTTTTTTTTCGCTGTTATTGTTGTTGTGAATTCCAGTGCTTTCTGTCAATCTTCTACATTACCCCCACAATTCATTGTACTGGCCAGTCTGCCAGCCGGTAAATCTGCCAGCCATTATCAAAATATGAGGAAAAAATAAAACCCTGCAAAGATGATTTGGTTGAAACTCTGACTGGTCAGTTTAAGCACGGTGTGACTGCCATATGAACATTTTAGAGTTGGCGCGCAGGTGTGTGTGAGAGTACTATATTTAAAACTGGCGACTTTCTCGTTTTTTAGTTTTTTTTTTATTTTTTTATCAAAAATAATAATAATAATAATAATAAAAATAAACCTTCCATTCCTTTTCCCTTGTTCTTCCTTTTCATCTTTTTCTTCCTTTTTTTTCCCCTTTCTTTCTTCTCTTTTTTTTTCTTCTTTTTTAATTATTTACAAATAAATTGCTACTTTTAATATCTCTTCTTCCTTTACCATATAACCATGGCTGACACACTTTCCGCAGATACTACAGTGGTAGTGGTCCTAACCTCCACTTCCACAATTATCCCCAGCCTGGCTCTGCCAACTCCAGAAACAACACCTGGAGGACCATCCACAGATGCAACAGCACCACCCATAACATCCGATGCCTCACAAGCGTTTTCTAGCGCCGTCACAACTCTGCTCATCACCACCCACCGAACCTTGATCAACTCAGACTCGGCAATTCCTTTTAGCTCTGCTACTGGTTTAGACAATTCTCCAGCAGTTACGGCTTCTTCACAGGCAGCGGCATCATCATCATCATCCTCACCAGCAGCTAGCCATGGGTCTTCAGGACTATCATCCGGCGGCATCATTGCATTGGCCGTAGCTGTGCCATGTGGAGTGATTACTATTTTTGCACTTGTGGGTATTTTCTTTTGGAGGCGGCACCGGCGCACCAAAGCTATTAGGTCCCAGCGTCTTGCCGAGATTCGTGACTATGGATTTAATCCGAATATTCGTCACGACGACGATTCAGATGACGAAAATAACAGAGAAAGATCTCGCGGAACTGATGACGACATGCTGGGCCCCACTTTTGGAGGCAATGGCCGCCGGCTGGGCGCAAACGGTAAGGAACGACCAGACAGTTTGGCTACTCTACATGGGTCCGGGAATGTTTTTGGAGAAAAGGCTTCAAGCGATGACCCAGCATCGGGCAATTACCGTGGATGGGGGCCTGCTCCTCCAACGACACCAGCTGTAACGGCTATTCCTTCAGGTCTCGGGGTCGGTGCTATTAGCGGTGCAATGACGGGTCAGCAGCAGCAGCAGCAGCAACAACAACAACAACAACAACCACAGATGACACAAGTTTATGGAGACTCTCCTCCACTGCCACAGTCAGTTATGCCTCTGCAATCCGGACCTGCAGCTGCACCCACCACCACCCCTGCGCCAGGTGCAATTTCTGTAGCAGCTGCTGCCTTCTTACCCCACGATGGTAGTAGCCCATACAATGCAACTTATACCACTGGGCCTTCGACCCCCGGCAGTATCAATGCGACCGCTGTTTCGTACACATCTTCCGACCCGTATGAGCGGTCAGCCGAGGGCCTTGTTCCCCATTGTGGTTCCGTGTCCCCTGATGCACGCACCCTTGGTGCCTCGTCTCCTCCTGGGGCTTATCCATTAGGTTCCGGCCAAGTACAGGGTCTTGATAATAATAATGGCTCCTATTATTATAACTCGTCTGTCACTTCACCTTCTGCACAGTATAATAATACCCTTACAACCTACGAGTCTTCTGGGTACCCTACATACGCTGTGGGACAACCGGTGGGATCCATGAGCAATGGGAATGCACCATTAATCTCTCCAATTTCATCGACTACAGATGCAGCGACTGAAGCAGTGGCTACAGCCATCACTACAGACCATGCAGTGCCATCTGCATCAACAGCCAGTGTGCCTCGGACTTATGGCAGCAATAGTAATATTGACACGGCATTGACAGGCCCTACTAGTGCAGGAAGTGGAGCCACTAATTTTGTGCCTCCCTATTCCTTGCAAAACCATCAATATCCTTCACGTGAAGATATCAGGAAGGTGGCCTCAAACTTTTAGAGTCCTTTGGGTGTATTATTATTTTCATATATACATAGGTTTTTTATTTATTTCTTTCGTTTTTTTTTTTTTTTTTTTGAGTTTATTTTTCTTTCGTTATTCTTTTGTTTTCACAATGTTATGATTCTTTTTGTTAATAAATACAAAGCTTTAATATATATTACATATAACAAACCAAGTTTTTCTTTGAATAAGCAATATATAAATGAAAATAAAAAATTTTCACTTATATATTTAAAATGAATTTTAAAACATTCCAGAAAATCTCTTTTGGTTTTTGCAACTAGGCAAGGATAAAATAAAGAAAGTTGAAGAGGGAGAAGGGAGGGTCAATGAATTGGTTTGTGTGAAAACGGTACCAGTAGTTCCAGACCTTGTGTACTCGAGTGGGACCCGTGTGTGCACTGTTGGAAAAAGGAGGGCATATTATTTTAGATAAAGACTTGGTTTTCAATAGAAACCCTAAAATATAAGCTTATAAAAATCTTGATTTAACTCATTTCTTAACGACACGGTGTAATCTGACAAAATAAAAATGTCGTTATTGTTAATTGAAATAAAGAATGACTATTTGGTTTCAATTGACTTTTAAATCTTTTGTCTTGGATTTTTTATTTTTTTTTTCTTTTGTTAGTTCGTTAGACTTAATTAGTTTCTAACTGACTAAGTCTATTAAAAGCTAGTTTTATAAAAATCTTTTTCAAGTTCAAGGCAAACTAGGAATTCGCTTTTCCTTGTTTCTCATGAATTCCCAACAATTAATTGAACAGTTTAAACAAATAAAAGAGAGAAAAAAAAAAGCAATCCAAATTACCATTTTAAAAAAAAAAAAAAAATGTTGTTCATCGTTTTTCCCCCTTGTTTTCTTTTCTTCAACGTTATGAAGTCATAATCCATAAAGTCCACAAAAGCTCGTATTATTCGGATCCTTCATATTCATTTTATATTTTTTTTCATATAAAGTTTTTGTCTTTTCTTTTAATAACTTATTTAGAAAAACCAAAACTGAGGCTTGTTAAGAGATGTTAATATAATTAGATTATATTAGCATAATTATATAAAAAATTATAATTTTTTTATACGAAACAGGTGCAATCTGTCAACAAAAAAAATTTCATAAAAAAACAAAGTCACGTGATAATGTTTTAGTCAGTAAGTTTTTTTAGAAACCATTTTTAGTAAACTATCACGTGATGACTCCGTGGCCAAGCTGGCTAAGGCGCACGACTGTTAATCGTGAGATCGTGAGTTCAATCCTCACCGGGGTCGATTTTTTTTCTGGGCCTTGAAAAAATTTTAAGCAGTAAAGTAATGCTTGTGTAACAAAAAAAAAAAAAAAAAAGGTGATTCTCTCGTTAATTCTTGTTGCTATTGTTCTCTTCTTTAGATACTTATCATAATTATGAGTGGTGGTGGTGCAGGTCTTTGGAAAAAAAAAACTAATAGCACCTAGTTACAAAACCTCGGAGATAAGTGTGACAGGTTTTGAAGTGTTGTAGTAATGGTAATTTATATCATATCATAATGAGTCATGACATAATAACTTGGAACATATTTTTATTTTAGCTGCTAAGTTTTAATATTGCAGCTAAGTTTAATGAAAGGCTTAAATATATAAATAATCCTTTTAATCATTCATTATTTCATCAACTTGCCATTAATTTCAGTCAGATGGATTTTATCAATAATACAGATTTTTCAAAAAAAGACAAAAAAATAACAATAGACCTAACACCACAGTTAGGCGATATTGATATTCAGTTTAAATGCGAAAGTAATTTTGCTCGGGGCCATGTCCCCATTTCAGGGTATAGCACATGGTGTTTTTCCCAGTATAAAGAAATGGAAGATATGGCAATAATACCTCGAAATCTTAAAAGCATTAAGATTGTGAGTGGTGACTATATTGGAGGAATTAAATTTGTTTCTCATGACGATGTTACACTACTTGATGAAGATGAATCTTTTGTAATTGGAGAGGATGCAGACTGTAGCGATGATAACTATAGTGATGATGATTCAGAATGTTGTGTCTATTCTCATGAAATATGTGAGTTTAATTTCAAAGAAGGAGAACGATTGATTGGGCTTTGGTTTCGTGCAGGTCATGATTTAAGACAAATACAATTTATTACCAATATGAGGAAAAGTCCGATATACGGGACATCTTTAGATGGAGATGAGTATTGTGTGATGGAAAATGAAGATTTGGAAATAGTGGGTGTTTGCTCATATGTTACATGCTGGCTTGTTTCCTTTAGTGTGGTATTAGTTCCCAAGTTAATGTTAATACCAAAAGAGATTGGAGAAGAAAAAAAACGATTGTTAGAAATTGAATCCATGGAAACAATAGTTTCTCATAACTTTGGTCGTGAAGAGAAAACTTTACAAGCCAGACCTTTGTTTAATCGTACGAAACGTGGGAAATTTGATGCAGCAATTGTTCCTCATAGCATTGATTCAATTCACATTCGAAGTGACAAAACTGCGGTTTATTCTCTTGATTTTATTAATTCACATTTAAATAATTATGAAAATTTACCTACCAGAATTGGTCTTATTGAAGGTAATTGTGAAGTTTTTAAATTTGGAAAAGATGAAAAGTTACTTGGTTTTAAAATATATCAAAAAAAGGATATTTTATTAGGACTAGTAATTGTGACTAATTTCCGCCAAAGTAAGGTTTTCGGATTGAAACTAGAAGATCAAGAAGAAACACAGATATCTCCAAAAGATGAAGAGATTGTAGCAGTGAAATGCTATTTAACAAAAAGGGTATCATGTTTTACAATTATAACAGCCACAACTGAGTAAATCTTCTTAGTGGTATCGCCGCGCTTTACACTTACGATCTAACTATTTCTATATTTAAAACTTATAACTTATAACTTATTATTTAATACATATTTATTTATACTTATTACATAACCAACCTACACTATACTTTTTTTTTCTTTTATAACGTTTAATCTTTCGCCTCTCTCAAAAAAAAAAAAAAGTCAAATCCACCCAAATTTCAATTTCATTAATAAAAAAAAAAAAAAAAAAAAAGAACCTTCCTGCGGCTTCTTTTTTTTTTTTCTTTCTTCTTTTTATAACACCTCTCTCTCTCTCTCTATTTTATTTTCTATCCCAAAACCAAACCTTTGAACCTCTTTACATTTTCACATAAATATAAATATAAACTTCCCACCCTTCCCCGCCTAAAATGTCCCGCCACCATCCTGACCTTGTTCTCTGCATGAAGCAGCCAGGCAAAACCGTCGGCCGCCTCTGTGATAAATGTGATGGTCGTTGTCCCATTTGCGACTCATATGTACGGCCTACAACTCTTGTCAAGATTTGCGAAGAGTGCGCATTCGGTAACTTTGCAGGCAAATGTATTCTGTGTGGAGGCCAGGGAACTTCTGACGCGTATTACTGTTACGAGTGTACAATGCTTGAACATGACCGTGACGGGTGCCCAAAAGTCGTCAACTTGGGATCCAGTAGAAGTGATCTCTGGTATGAAAAGAAAAAGGCAAAAATGCAGCAGCAGCCTTGGTAAGAAAATCTATACCAATACCATACTTATTTTGTTGTTAAATGTTTCATTTTTTTTTACTGTACAATATTTCTTAGATTTTATATATCTGTTTTTTATTTCATTCTTCTATAGTAATACAAATTTTTTTCTTGTTTTTTTTTTTTTTTTCTTTGTCAAATGATTTTTTTTAACTTATTCCTTCTTTTCAGCTTCTACTCGAGTCCCATTAGATGTAACTGGGGATGCAGATGGAGATGCAGAAGTACTTAAAGATGCTGCTGAAAAGTTTTGTGAAACAGCCCGGCGGTGCTGATTGAACGGTCCACCAAACTCTGGGTTCACCTCCACAACGTGAAACTGTTTACCCAATAGCGTAATGTTCTCACCTTGTTTGCGCACAAGCGAGGGTGACCGTCCAGGGCCGTTGCCATTGTTGTTAGCATTTCCAGGGCCGTTATCGCCTCCTTCGCCAGTATGGTTAGCATGACCACCATCGTGGCGCCGGCGAGGATCACGATCCCCGTTGGGTCCATAATCAAAAGACCCCCGGGTCTCGCCAGCCTGCCCATCGCGACTACTAGAAAGCACAGCTGCCAGTGCAGACGCAGATGGTGATGCCACCATGTTTGGCGTACTTGATGCAGCGCCAGACATTGTACTCACCGGTGATGATGAGCTCTTGTCAAGTGAATGCTTGCGCAAACTTCTTGTACTCATAGTCTTTCCAAAACCATCAGCAGGAAGTGACACAGGGGACGATCCAGAACCTCCAGCCGTGTCTCCGCGTAAAGTCTTAAGCATACGTTTTGATGAAGCTGTAGGACTTACAGAAGCTGCTGAAGCTGCTGAAGGTGCAGCAGTTCCGGCATTTGACGACGACGACGATGGTGATGACGATGCAGCCATTGACATGTTGACACTATTGCGACGGCTAGATCCACGTAATGACAAAGAAATAGACCGGCGAATAGACCGCTTAGATGGCGATCCGTGGCTTGTTTCTGAACCATTGGGTACTGTTTCTGTTGGAGATGATGACGATGCAAAGGACCAAAAATGGTCACGAATCGATTTTGATGGTAAATTTTCAAATGATGAAGAGGATGACGACGAAGACCGCGTCTTGCTCGGTGTCTTTTTCGAAGAAGATGAAATCAAAGAGGCTACAGAGTTCACAGATGACGCACGGCGGTTGTGCCCGGCTCCAGGTGGTACCGAAACACCCCCTGCGGTTCGAGGATGCACTGTTGTAGACACACTGCTAGCCACAGTGCTTGTTGTGTGCAAGCTTGAAGTATCCAGCGCTGCAAGTGAGGGTTGTTCTGCGGTTGTATGTCGGCTTACTGGACCCTCTGTGGCAGAAGCCGTTGATGTGGTGGTTGTGACAAGCAGCCCAGGTGCAGCTTCTGTATACAGTTTAGGTTCTTCTTCCTCGACAATGCGTGTTTGTCCACTATCATCACTTGTTTGTGGAGTTGCACTTGATGCCATAGCCGCAATTTGCGGGACGGTCCCAACAACAGTACTTGCTGAATTGAGGTCCGGAGATAATACCCTAGGGCCTTCCTTAAGAGTGTTTGTCGATAATTCATCAATTGAACGTGTTGGCGATTCAGGCACGTGTCTGTGGCACGCAGACTCTTCAGTCTTTTCCTCTTCATTGTTTGTTTCTGATTCCTGTGGCACGCTAGGTGTGGTATTACCAGCTCGTTTAGGCTCATCGCTGACATCTGTGACGGAGCTTTGAAAACTTGCAGATTCCTCGCTTGTCATGCCTTCAGAGTTGCTTGTGGTTTCATTTGCTTCGCCACTGGAGCCTTCTTCCTCAAGCTTCTTGTCTTCACGTGTTTCGCTTAATGGCGCGACTGACGATGAGACAGGTAAGCTGGCATTGCGACGTTGTGGCGACGGCATGCGGCTCGATGCTGGGCTTGAGTTGGACCGATTCACATTGCTAGTGTATGACATAGAAGCAGTGGGAGAAAGTGCAGCAGGAGACATGACATTTGTAGGCACATGGTCTCCAGAAGAAACCAAATTAGCCGGGAATGGCGGGGAAGAAGACGATGATGCGTGTTGAGACTTTGATTGTATAGACCCAGACATGCCAGAGGCAGTAGGAGTCAATAGCACACCGAGCTGTCTGCACAAGTCTGTTTCAACTTCCAAATCGATTGTGAAAAAGTTTTGGTAACACAGTAATTTTTTGCGTTCCATAAAATTCCAGTCCAGTTTAGCCGCCAACGACCCGGCGTATTGCAAAATAGAGTCGCGAGTTTTAGCAAGAATTGGTGCCAAAATCTGAATATGTCGCGCAGTACGAATCTGCTCTTGTACTTGCTTTTCCTTATTATCAAGTTGCCGTGTAATATCTTCAAGGCGACGCTCCACAGCAGATTTGCGCTCAAGGTGCCGGACCTTGTTGGCCTCAATGGTAGCTGCAGCATCCGCCTCAGCAGCAGCAGCAGCCTTGGCTTCTTCAGCGCTTTTATTTTCTTTTTCCTTTTCTTCCACAGAAGTTTCCTGGTCGCTAGTTTCATTAGAGCTATTTGCCATAGATGCGTCTAGGGAAATTGCATTTTCCACATCATCAGAGGTATTAGCTCCAGTTGTTGAAAAAGTTTGTCCAGGAACCACAATAGATGGAACGTTATTTGAGGTGCTTGTGGAAACAGAAGACTCGCTGTTGCGACGAAGTGATTGCATTCTATTGACAGGCCGTTTAGGAACAGGAATCATATTAAGACCAAGCATTCCAGCCACGAAAAACGTACTGAATGATGCTGCAAAGTTTATCTTTTTCATCCAGTCATTGGCATCAGCCTCGTCAATTCCAGCATACCACTCACGCGAGCCACCACGCCCAATTAGCAAAAAACTATGGCTGCGCTTGACTTCTTCGTTTGAGTAAAAGAGTGCAGCCATGTCACTGGTGACAATAACATTTGTTGGACTAAAGCCATCAACCAAGGGACGAATCACAGGAGCAGGGTGGAACTCAATTGGAGGAATAATGGTAGTATTAGCACGCTCAGAAGATGAAGATCCAGCAGAAGAGGGTGTTTGTTGCGATGAGTCAGTTGCTTCTGACACATCGGTTTGTGCCCTTCTTGGGCGCCGCAAAAACTTGGACTCTGTTGGTACATTCCCCGAAATGGAATCAGCAGCTGACTCCATGTCCTTCATAATATTGCTATGAAACCAATTAACATCCTTGAAAATGTAAAGTTTGGAAGCAGTGAGCATGACGCCCCATTTACGCCAATTCTTGCGCTTGGCGTCGCACTTGTAGAGATATCCAGCCTTTACAATTTTGATGCCGACCACGCCTGGCCCGCTGACATTTGGGTCATCAGCTCCCGAGTTGATTGATCTGAATGCGTCAGGTCGTGAACGCTGGGAAATAAACTGTAGCGATGGACCATTTTCAAAGTCCTGGCGTAGCTTCATCATTTCAGCCTTGTCCTTTACAGACAAGAAATCATAAGGATCATCATCAGGTTTAAGAGAAATACGTGGACGAATGGAATCCAAGCGGCCTTCGAGTAAAAGAGAATAAGGGTCTAAAGGTTCGCGAGAGCCTCTGCCAAAAGTGGTAGTACGGCGAGGCCAAGTTACACGAGGCACTTGGCCAGGGTCAAGTATATCTTCATCTGTGTGAATGAAGGGGGTATAAGTGATGTTATCGTAAAAATACTATAAAGGTTAGTTAAAGATGAATAGAAGTAAATGTTATACTTACCCCAAGAATCTCTTCTGGAAGGTTTTGATGGTCAGGCTCATTTTTAATTTTGAGGTAATCCGGTTTGGACATTTTGGACTTGTTGTGCGGGTTAAAATAATCCGTTTGAAGCAGTACTAGAGAGAAGACGAAAAAGTAAACATCTTCTGGGCGATCATAAATCTCCGGGTTGCACTCATGGTAACGGAACGCAAATGCTTCCAATACGCGGTCAATCTGCTGCGCCTCTCGAGGAAGTTTAACTGAAATGAGAAATTTGCGTAGAGCCATGTCAAGTGGGTCGTTTTCAAAGTGGAACCCATTGAGGTAGAGTTTAAGAACCTGGCGATGAAAGTCATCATCAACACAAGCCAAAAGACCAGTGATGTTACTTCCATATCCCAATACGCAAATCTTGCTCAAGTAAGTAGCTGGAGTGTCATCTGGTTCAGTGGGAGGAAGAGGCACGCTAAAAGGGTCATTGTTAGGAGCAGAGAGACCCACGACTGATTGTGAGTTGCGTAGGCTCTGGCCAGCAGCTATAGAATCAGGGACTATGGGCACAGGGAGAAGTGCAGGGGAAGACGTAGGCGAAGGAGAGCTTCTGTTAGTAACAGCGCCGTCGTTACTAGCTGTGACCATTGAGGACAAATTAGACTCGCTAAACTTGCTGGAGAAGATTCCTGAATGGGTTGAGTGCCTGTGTTGCTCGAGAGACGAGAGAGTTCTGCTGCGGGGCCGGGAAGAAAGGTTAAAAACAGAGCCGGTGGGTGAGTTGTCAGAACGCTGGGGGGAATTACGGGTAGGCGACTGGCTTGAGAGAGTACGCTGGAGCGGGAAAATTCCCTTTGAGTTTTGCAAACTTGGAGTCGAAGGCCTGCTATCGATATTTTTATCCGTTTTTATAGGAGAAGGTTGTGGCAGTGGAGAAGCAGGGAATTGCTGCACGTGCTGGAAATCACTGCCTACATCGCTTTGGGGAGTAGTGTGGGATAAGTCAATGGAAGGAGTGATTGGAGTGATTGGAGGAAGTTCGCGAGGTAGTTCCGGGGTATTGTGAACAGGGAAGCTGCTTTCACTAGAAAAAAGCATGGAAACTGTTTTTCTGCGGATTCTAGAGAGTGGTGCCTTTAACGTAGATGCAATTGAGTTTGGGGTAGAAGATGATGAAGAAGGAGGAAGAGGAGGTGGTGGTGGTAGTGGTGGTGGTGGTGGCGGCGTAGAAAGAGGCTGAAACAAAGAAGGGAAAGGCAAAGAAGTACTATTTCTTTCAGACTCTTTGTTTATGCTGCGGTCATTAATGTCCGTTGTTGTGTTTGGTGTATTTGAAGGGATAGGAGTTGTTGCAGCCGTGGAAGTCTCTTGGGTATGACTTGAAGTATGATCAGAAATAAAATTTGCTGCCAGCGCAAAGAGAGAATGTGAGGATTTGGCAATGCTTGCCGTTGGATGTTGCTGAAGAGTGGAAGAGTCCATATTTTCATGCAATGGAGACATGTTCTGATCATCAATGGGTTGATTATTGTTTTGCTGGTCCTCAGAGAGTGTAATTTCTGGAATAGACAAAGCAGGAGGAGTGGTAGCAACAGTGGCAAAAGCAGAGGAAGAAGGAGGAAGAATGGTCGATCCATTGTCTGCTGCTTGTTTTCTGGGACTCGATGAGGCTGATGAGTGATGATGGTCGTCCATGAATGGAGGTTTAAACTTGAATGAAGAGGGTGGAGTGGACGAGTTTCCATTGTCTTGTGTTGTTGGATGAGAAGACCGATGGAAGGGGTTTTTAAAGTCACCCTTGAAAATATTGTCAAATAGCTTTGCTGGGGTTGTTGACGAAGCTTGAGGAGCATTTTGTGAAGTATGAAGGTCATCTGCTTCATTGTCTGTTGAGACAATACTAGCACGGTCGGTACCAATGGAGCGCATGGATGGAGGTTTAGGAGAGCTTGAGAGAATGACGTTAAGAGAGCTGCGACGGGAACGTGGGACCGAAGAGTAGGAATGAAGATCTTCGACAGAAAGCCTGTGAGAAAAGGGTAAAGATGGGGGAGGTCGCATGTGGGTATTTAAAGAGACACTAGAGGCATTATGTAGTGGAAGCGCCGTAAAGTTATTTGCTGGAGTATTAGTGTTTATTATTGCAGCGGGAGTAGTAGAGGTATTAAAAGTGGCTGTAGCTGAAGACAAAGTAGCTGAAGTTGAAGCGGCACTTTGATGAAGATCCAAGATAGACTCTCTACGTTTTGGAATAAGTTTCCACTTGGAGGGTTTTGTGGAGAAGGAAGAGGTGGTGGTGGAAGTGGTGTTGGTGTTGGTGGTGGCAGTAGAAGTGGTGGCAACAGATGTTGGAACAGCACTTGATCGGCGACCAAAAACAGATGGGAAACGGGAGGTTGGTGTTGTAGAAGCCGATGTTGGAGCAGCAGTAGCGGCGGCTTGACTATCAATGGTTAAATCGCCTCTTGAGTCAATGGATGCGCGGACACTTGATGGGTTAGTGTTAAGTTCATCAGTTGAATTAGCATTGTTATTATCATGACTTGAGCCAAAAGTAAAAGTGTTTACTATTGACTCGCCAATGGAGGCAAAAGCACTGACACCTGATGAAGGGTTTGTATTTGATTTTTGAACTGCTGGCACGTTTGAGTCAAGAGTATTATTGACAGGTAAAATAAGGTTGGGGGGTGGAACAGTGGTAAGTTCTGGTTCAGGGGCATAGGCAGAGAAAGAAAAAGAGGATGCTGTAGTAGCAGAGGCAGCGGAAGCAGCAGAAGCAGCAGAAGACTTTCTTGATCCTGAAAAGATGCGAGGTTTTATTCTTCGTTTTGAAGAAGATTTAATTTTCAAGGGGTCCATTATGAAGGATGAATGTTGTTGAGTTTCATATGGTTGATGATTGGTACGTTCTTGAGGGGTTCCATTTTCATGATGATTGTCCAAGTCGTCTTCTTCTTCATTGAGTTCCATTATTGAAGGTGGGCGAGCAGCAGCAGCAGCAGCAGCAGCAGAAGCTTGGAAAGGAACATCATTATTTTCAACATTGACTTTAGAGGTGCCAGTTGTTAAAAAGTGTTCCGATATTGGAGAGATTACTTGTTCAGAAGAATCTGTAACTGTAGGAAATGGGAAACTGGAGGCTGTTTGAGTGTTGCCAGTAGCACCTTGAGAAGACAACAAAGGAGGGGTCTGGAACGCGCTGACTGGGGTATCTGGATGGTCATAAGCCAATAAAGAGATGGAGGGTCTTGATAAAGCATCTGCCGAGTCTTGAGGTGACGGGGTTTGAGAGTGAGAAGCAGTAGCAGAAGCATTAGCAGTAGCATTAGCAGTAGCAGCAGTAGCAGCAGTAGATCTTGTTGAAGAAGTTGCAGGGAACTTTTTGAAGCGGGATTTTTTGGGTGGAGAAGAAGATGGGAGGGTTGAAGATGAAGTTGCTGCTGAAGCGGCCGCGACGGTGGATGGAGCTTGACGGCCCTTTTTACGCCTTGGTAACAGCAGAGGCATTTTCTTGTGGGAAAAGGGGAGGGTTGAGATGTGCGTTAACGCAGAAGAGACATGTGATGGTTAAAACAAGAGGTAGTAAAGTAAGAGGTTTAAAGAATAGAAAGAGAATGGATTATTAATATTAGAAGTGGGTAGTTTGAAAAAGTGTGTATATGTAAAAGGTTTATAAAAAAAAAAAAAAAAAAAAGGACAGGGTGGTTGGATTTTGTTTATTTGTTGTTTGTTTGTTTGTTTGAAGATGAAATGTGTAAGAAGAAGAAGAAGAAGGAGGGTTTTTTGGTGGTTGGTGATGGGATTGATGGGATCTTTTTTTTTGGTGGTGGTGAAAAAGGAGGGCGAGAAGGAGGGGGGGGTAAAAAAAAAAAAAAACAAAATGAAGTTTCTGTATGTAGTACTATGTAAATACTAAAAAAACTATATATCTTTATATATATTTAATATATATATATATATAATTATAATAATACACTTAAACTGGGATATTTAGTTAATACTTACTCGATATATATAATATATCGTGTATATACACAAACCAAACAGAAACTACACTTGTAGATTGACTTTTTCTTTTTCTTTTTCTTTTTTTTTCTCTCTCTCCCTCTCTCTCTCTTTATGTAAAAGCTTGAACTAAAGCAGAGAATAGATACTTTTTTTTTTTTGAGTAAGAATAGCCCCAAAGTAAATAAGATGTAAATATATATATATAGCCATATTTGGATGGGAGCGGCGGTAATGACGGAATTCACTTTTTATACCAAATCAAATCATATCAAGGAGGTTTTTATATTTTTTTTTATCTAAGATTTTTTTTTTTTTATACGGGGATTACCAGTTGATAGAAAAGAAAAAAAAAAAAAGGACTTTTAATTTTTGAGCGTCTTTTTTTTTATTTATTTATATATCTATTCATATATTTATTCTTTTTTTTTTTTTTTCAAATCGTCATCATTATGTATTCGCGCAGAATTGAAATATGTCGGGGCACAAACAAAAGTCCCGATGGAAATTTCACGTGTCACGTGTCTTTTGCAGAACTTTTTTTTTTTTTTTTTTTTTTTTTAAATTATTAAAAATGCCATCATCAATCATTATTTTCATTTTCATTTTCATTAAAAAAAAAGAATGTTTTTGAAATGCTTTCAAGATGATATAAAAGTTTGAATCAAAATGAAATAAAAATTAAAGACCTTTTTTTTTTTTAATTAGCAATCATTATATTCTCAGCCATTGAATATTTGTTTATTGATCTTTTTTTTTTATCTTTTATCTTTTATCTTTTATTATCTTTCAACGTCTTCTCTTTCATTTTTTTTTTTCTTCTTTTCTTCAAGTAGCCAATATATATCCTCTTCACAATGGAAACTGCAACTGAAAACCCAGACATCAAGTAAGCATTTTCTTCTTTTTCTTTTTCTTTCTTTCTTTCTTAATAATAATAAAAATAAAAGCCCCTATATATGTTGTTAACCACTCCTACCAGATGTTACTACTGCATTTGCTCACAATTTATACTGGCAATAACACCAGGATTAGATGTTCTGCCTCGACGTAATGCACAGGTATCTGAGGACAAAAGTATTGTCATTTCTCGCAAGCGTGACCAGTGTGTTTTTAGTCTGGATGCATATCGTGACAAGTACCCCTTACTAGTTACCAAGTGAGTTTTATTATTATTATCTATATTGATTAATTAGTTAATTAGTTAATTAGTTAAAAATTTAACATTAAAATTAACATTAACATTAACATTAACATCTCTTTCCTGTTTAATAGTAAAAATAAAGAAGAAGTCTGGTGGGTTTATAAATGCCCAAGATGCAAATTGCCCATTGGCTACGATCTTGAAAATTCCAGTCAACAGTATACCTTCATTTTAAATGGAGCACTACACGAAGAACCTTCAGAAGATCAGGTAACTAATAAGGAATCATGAAGACTTTTCAACATGAAAAAAAATTAAAAATAAAAATTAAAATTAAAATTAAAAAAACAGTTTAATATGTTTTTTTTTTTTTTTTGTTGTCTTAAAGTCTCACAACTGAGGCAGGTTGGTAGAAAATGGCTTTTAATTTTCTTGTTCTATCTGCGTATATTTGAGACTGCAAGTGTGAACATATGGGGCTGTTTCTTTAAGTGAAAAATCACACACGAGTGAAAAAAAAAAAAAAAATTTTTGAAAACCCCCTTTATAAATATATGTATATATATATATATGACAGGACAAGTTTTTTTTTATTTTATTTTTTATAATTTTATCACTTATAATATATATATAGAAGTGTTAAAATAATTAATGGGTTAAAGATATGATATGTACAAAGAGTTTATAAAAATAAATTTAAAAAATAAAAATAAAAATAAAAAAAATAAAAATAAAAAAAAAGACCCTGTTTGACATTGTCAACATTTTTTTTTTTTTTTAAAATATATGAATGCTAAAACGATGAGCCGTGTTTTACCTCCTGTGTTTTTTAGTAAATAAATAACAACAACAACAACAACAACAACATTCCCAGCGTTTTAATTTTTTTTTTTTTTTTTTTTAAAAAGGCCGCCCTGTTAACAGCCAATATATATATATATAAACATAAAAAAAATACAAAATCACAACAGCTTTAACATCACCCCCTTTTTTTTTTTTTTTTTAATACACAAATTTTTTTTTTCCTCTTTTATATTCAATTTTTATATTTTAAATAAAAAAAAAAACTCTCATTTTAATTTTCATCATCATCATCATCATTATCTGTTTTTTTGTTTTCTCCATTGTTCTTTTCTAATATCCTTTTTCAAATCATTTCAAAGAAAAGTTAAACAAAAAAAAAAACAACTGTTTAGACCAAAATATCTGACTTAAACCATAAAGTCTCAAACATCATCTATACTTTCTCTCTCTCTCTCTCTCTCCCATTCTTTCTTGCCCATACCCATTCATTCATTCATTCATTCATTCATTCCTTTTTTTTTTTTTTATTCTTCCTTCCCTTCCACCCCCTTAGACAAAGAAAAACATCTTGTTCGACATTAATCACTACCACCATTTCTTTTCATATCCACACTTGTCCCAAAGTTCTATATAAACTACCCATACTCTCCATCTTTTCATAATGGCCACCGTCGATGGTAAGTTTTTTTTATCTTTTATCTTTTATATATATACATATATACATATATATATATTTCATCCTTGATTCAATTTTTCTTCCCCCCCCTTTGATCTATCTAACTTTATATTCTCTTTAAGTTAACATTGAGTCCTCCACAATGGCACCTATCCGCGTGGACTCTCCGTTGGACACAAGTCTCCCCATTAACCCCACACCCTACCAAGAGCCCAAAATCATCAAGCGTGAACTTAGAAGTCTTGTAGGCTTTGCAAATCTTCCTAATCAATGGCATCGCAAAAGTATAAAGAAGGGCTTCAACCTTAATGTTATGGTAGTTGGTATGTATCATGATTGTATATTCTCTCTCTCTTTTTTTTTTTTTTTTTTTTGACATATTTTTTTCCCTCTCTACGCACCAAAACTATATATATATATTTTTTTTAACTTGTTCTAACCTACTTATTTTTTTTTTCTTGCTTTCTTTCTAACTAGGTGAAAGTGGTCTTGGAAAATCAACTCTCATTTCTACCCTCTTTAACCGAACACTTTACCCTTCTAAAACTGCCCGTGACCCTGCTGCAGAACTTCCCAAAACTGTTGCCATCGAAGCTGTCACTGCTGACATTCTCGAAAACAATGTCCGTCTTCACCTGACTGTAATTGATACCCCTGGGTTTGGCGACTTTGTCAACAATACCGACTCGTGGAAGCCCATTGTCGACGATATTGACGAGCGCTTTGACTCATACCTTGAGGTGGAAAACAAGGTGAACCGTACATCAATTGTTGACAATCGTATCCATGCATGCCTGTATTTTATTCAGCCCACAGGTCACTCTCTCAAGGCGCTGGACGTGACTGTGATGAAGAAGCTGCATAAAAAGGTGAATTTGATCCCCGTTATTGCTAAGGCAGATACCCTTACTGAAGAAGAAGTGATTGCATTTAAACAGAGCATCATGACAGATATCCACAATCAAAAAATTGACATTTTCGAGCCGCCCAAGTATGAAAATGATGACGAGGAAACACGGGTTGAAAACGAAGAATTGATGAGCAATGTTCCATTTGCCATTGTTGGATCAATTGAAGATGTGACAACGGAAGATGGCAGAGTGACTAGAGGCCGCAGTTATCCTTGGGGTGTAATTGAGGTTGAGAATGAAGCACATTGCGACTTTGTTAAGCTGCGCCAGTTGTTGATTCGTACACACCTTGAAGAGCTTCGTGAGAAGACTGGAAATGTTTTGTATGAAAACTACCGCACAGAGAAGCTTGCAGAGATGGGAATTAAACAGGATACATCTGTGTTTAGAGAGGTGAATCCTGCGGTTCGTCAAGAGGAAGAGCGGGCTCTTCATGAGGCTCGTCTGGCTAAAATGGAATCTGACATGAAGGCAGTTTTCCAGAAGAAGGTTGCAGAAAAGGAGCAAAAGCTGAAGAAATCTGAGGCTGAGTTGTTTGCTCGTCACCGAGAAATGAAGGAGCAGCTGGAAAAGCAGCGCCAGGATTTGGAAGAAAAGAAGGTACGGTTGGAAGCAGGCCGGGTTGTTGAAGAAAAGAAGGGCCGCAAGGGATTTTCGCTACGTTGATGAAATTAGAAGAAGAAGAATGTTACAAAAAAAATAAAAACGAATTAGAAGTTACTGAAAAAGAAGGAAAAAAAGAAAAAGAAAAAAGAAAAATAAAGCAGAATTTGGAAATTATTGTATTGTATTGTGTTTTATTTTTTTTATTTTTTTTATTTTTTTTATTTTTATTTTAAATGAAGATAGTATTGCGGATTGTTTCTGTTTATTTTAAATTTTTTTTTTTAAAAACATGATTTACAAGTAATAATAATAATAATAATAATAATAATAATAATAATAATAATAATAATGATTTAAATGAAGATTAAAATGAAGATTAAAATAATTATTTTAATTGTAGTTAATTAAATTATCGAGAATTCTGGAAACAAAAAATTTCACTAGTAAGTAAAGTACTTTAGATTGTGGCAAGCAAAAAAAAAAAAGCAAAAAAAAAAAAAAAAAAGAAAAAGAGTTTTTCCTTGTAACGATGGATGACGCCTCCCCACCTAATATTTTTCAATACCAGCCAGCCAGCCAGATAGCCAGCCAGCTAGCCAGCCAAAAAAAAAAAAAAAAAAAAAAAAAAAAAAAACTCAGTTATATCACTTACACCACCCAAAACCACCACGACACTCGTCCAAAAATTATAAATACCTGCTTGGATCCCTTTTTTTTTTTTTTTTTTTTTTCTTTCTTACCACCAAATTAATTTTTTTTTTTATATTAGTAAAAACAAAAAATAAAAACTTAATCATCTTTTATCAGGTGTTTTTTAAAAATTTAAATATATATATACATATATATTCAATATTCATAAACAATGTCAAGTACATCACACACTGGAAACCAAGGCGAAGAACATAGAGAACATGCTCAATCTTCGTCAGGATCAGCAGCACCTCGTTCTCCTGTCTCACAGCTTCAACTTTTGACTAAGGTAAGCCATTACTTGTCCAATTGAATTTATTAAAACTTCATCCACTCCTCATCTCTCTCTTTTGCCCTTCCACTCCCCCCTCCCCTCCCCAGCTTATTTCTAACGCGTCTCTCTAGGACCCTCAATTCTACTGGTTCCTCGGCCATGTCTTTATTCTCCTCGGAACCTTTTTCTACGCTCTCAGCTCGCTAAATTTAGGAATTAGTATCCGTGCAGGATTATATTGGTACCGCCAAACATATTTCTTAATCATTTCGTCATTTGTGTTTATTCTTTACTCGGATTATATCAAGCTTCGCATTAAACACTTTACTACCCCTGTGGCGTTTCTCTACGATGCCAATGTACAGTACCTTATTGTTTCCATTCTCTGGTTCATCTTTGCTCCCTTTATCGGTACACTTCCTCCCTTTGCCATTTTTTCCTTTTCTCATGTTCTTTCATTTTTGCACTCCCACCTTCTTCCAGCCCTCGGCTATTCTTCTCAAAGCGGACTTTCCGTTTCCATTAGCAATTTCTTGACTACTAATACCCCAGCCTTTATGTCAACAGTCGCAAACATTGAGCTGTTTTTACTTGTTCGTTTGACTTTGGCTCTTTTCACTTTCCGCTTGGCTGCCTTTATCAAATTTGCAGTCTTTTTGGTCTTTTTCAGACTCCGCTACCAAACATCTGTCTACACTTATCGCGTCATTCAGAGCTGGGAAGTCTTTATTGATCGTACCTTGAGCAATCCCAATATCCCTATTGCTGTCAAGGAAGGCTGGATCACTTTCAAGGGCTATGTTCGTAATATTTTCGGCACTCTTCTTGGAGGTCCCACTGGATTCCATGCTGAGGAAAAGAATCGTTAAATAAAAATTAGTAGTAGTAAAGGAAAGGCGTTTAATGAATTTAATTAGTTAGTACTACAGTTTTTTTATTTTTATTTTTTTATTTTTTATTTTTTTATTTAAAACAAAACATGGATTGTGAATGATAGTGATAATAATAATAATAATAATAATGATGATAAAATAGTAATTATTGTTTATAAACAAAATAATGTTTGGAAATGCCTAATTATTATAATGGACTTTAAAGTTTCTTTGCTGGAGGAAGAAGCAAGCAATACTTGAGATGTGAAGGGCGTTGAAACTGTAGTTGTTTGTAACAAAAAAATGTAACAAAAGTCGTTTGTGCGCCTTTTTTTTTTTTCTAGTATAAAGAAAATTTCAAAAAAAAAAAAAAAAAAAAAAAATCTTTTACCCCCTCCTTACACTTTCACTGCTCAAAATCAAAATCAAAATCACATCATCAAATCCAGGTAAGTTTTGAATTAGGCAAAATAAAATAAATAAAATAAATAAAATAAATAAAATAAAATAAAATAAAAAACAAGAAATTTTATTTTTTTAATTTTATCTTTTAAAAGCAAGAAATACTCTTAGGATTGCGCTTCAAAGATGACGAATCACGTATCTCTTAAACTTGAGACCTTTTCATGAAAAACTTTAAACAATCTTCTCGCTGAGACGCGCAAGCAACCTTCAAAAGAGTTTTTATTTATTTATTTATTTATTTATTTATTTCGCAATATCTTCTAACTTAAAATAAATAAATTAATAAATAAATAGAACAATGGGCGCCGTAACATTTGCTAGAAGCTTGGTGCCCAAATCAAACTGGGCTCGTTTCAGTTACTCAATTGGAACTTCTTTTTCTAAACAATATTCTACAACTACAACTACAACTACACCTACTCATAAACACTCTTCCAAATCAAAACCCCGCACACTTACTCACGAAAACGAGGCTCTCGACTTTGCTAACCGCAAAGCAACCCTACTAGCATCGGGTGCTGACCTCTACCCACTCCTCAAACCACTCCCGGAAGCCCCGCGGTTACGTATCCCAGAGTTTCGGGCAAAATGGACAGCTCATGCACCACACATTGACAATCCCTACGGCGTGGACGCGTCGGCACCTCCACCTTTGTTTACTGTTCAAGGTCGCATCCGGACCATTCGTAAGTCTGGCAAGGGTTTAATTTTTATGGACTTGATCCAAGATCAGACCAAACTGCAAATTGTCATTAATAAAACAAAAGCCAATCTCTCACAGGAAACTTTTGATGACGCACACGCGTCACTACGTCGTGGAGATATTGTTTCATGCACTGGAACTCCCTGGAAAACGAAAAGTGGCGAACTATCATTACTTGCAGACCGCCCAGCTCAGCTCCTGGCCCCATGTTTCCATCCAATTCCAACTAACTTGACTAATGAAACAACTCGTAGACATAACCGCGTTGTAGATTTGGTTGCAAATAAACCTGCAAGGGATGTGCTAATTGTACGAGCAACTGTACTTGCATATGTACGTGAGTTTTTCGCCCACAAGGGGTTTCTGGAGGTACAAACGCCCATGCTTGCAGATCTGGCCAGCGGAGCCACAGCTACGCCATTTGTGACACACTCAAAGGCTCTTTCATCAGACGGTACCCCGCGCGAATTAGCACTAAGAATTGCACCAGAGCTCTGGCTCAAGCGACTGGTTGTATCTGGGTTTGATAAGGTGTTTGAGGTGGGACAAAATTTCCGTAACGAGGGCATTGATGCTACTCATAACCCTGAGTTTACAACGTGCGAGTTTTACGAGGCTTATGCGACGTTAGACGACTTGGTAGCGCTAACCCAGGACTTGCTGCGCGGGGTGGTAGAGCGGATTGGTGAGCTTCACCCAGATGTATTTACTGAACGAGTGAGGGAGCTTCGGGATGCATTTGCAGCAGACTTTCGTGCTGTGGATTTTGTTAAAGAGATTGAAGCCAAGTCAGGTCTCCAATTGCCTGCAGATTTGAGTAATGTTGATAGACTTGTTGAGTTTTACAAAAGTGCTGGGATTCCTAGGCCGGGTAACCTGGTTAGTGCAGCTAAGCTTCTTGACGGGTTGGCTGGACATTACTTGGAGCCACAGTCAGAGGGTACATTTGAGCCGTTATTAATTACGAACCATCCTGCTGCCATGTCGCCCTTGGCCAAGACAGATTTAGTGAGTGGGCTAAGTCGACGGTTTGAACTTTTTATTGATGGGAAAGAATTTGTGAATGCGTATGAAGAAGAGAATTCTCCATTGGCACAGCGGCACAAGTTTGCAGCTCAGCAGCGTGAACGGGCAGAATTTGAAGATGGCGAAGTACCATTGCCAGATGAAAGTTATGTGGAAGCATTAGAATGGGGGTTACCACCGACGGGAGGATGGGGGCTTGGAGTTGATCGGTTATGTATGCTTGTGACTGGAAGTAAACGGATCGAGGAGGTTCTTGCGTTTGGGGGGATAAAGGCTGTTAATTATCAGTGATTGGGAAGAAGTGGTGGTGAATAATTGTTTGTATGTGTTATTTTTAGGGGAGGGTTTTTTTTATGTAAATAGTTTTTTTTTTTTAAATGTGTACCAGAGAGAGTTTTTATTATATTTTATTTTTTTTTAATTTTGTGAAAGACTTTTCTACATTTGAGGTTTACCAGTTTTTTGTCTTTTTTTTTTTTTTTTTTTTTTTATTTTTTTTTATTTTTTTTCCATTAAAGATTTATTTGCCTATTTGGGAAATACGCAGGAGAAAAATAAAAAAATCAAAAAATTAAAAAAAAAAAGTGATGGGCACGTGAGAAGCTGATGATGCAGGGATGACAGAAGCGAAGGAATAAAAAAAATAAAAAAATAAAAAAAAATTTTCTCACGTGAATGACACGCGTTAATTACACGTGCGCGTCGCGAGGTACCAGGAACTTGGTAGAATTGATTGTTTGATTGATTGACACGCTGTGCACGGCTATTTTTATTTTAATTTTTTAAAGTTTCCAGCCTTACTTAAATATAGCTTTAAAAAAAAAATAAAAAAAAAAAAAAAATTGAAAAAAAATTTATATATATATATATTTATTTTTTTTTTTAACGCGTCTACGCGAATTACTTAAAAGGGTTGTTTAAACGTTTTAAAAATAAAATAAAATAAAAAAAAAATTTAAGTTAAACACTGGAGATTTTTTTTAGTTATTTAGAAAAAAAAAAAAAAAAAAAAAAAATTGAGTCCAAAGATTTAAAATTATTTTTTCAGAATCAAAACAAATGAACAAAGGAGATAATAAAAGTAAATAAATAAATAAAAGTAAATAAAAGTAAATAAAAGTAAATAAAAGTAAATAAAAGTAAATAAAAGTAAATAAAAGTAAATAAATAAACAATAATTGATTGTTTAATTGATTGCTTGATTGATTGCTTGATTGAAAATAAATAAATAAATAAAAAAAAACAAAGTCCATTTTGTTGATTTTATTTTTTTTATTTTTTATTTTTTTATTTTTTCGATCTGATATTTTAATATATTTTAGTATTTTAATATATTCTAAATTTATAATATATTTATATACTAAATACTAACTAAATCTATTTATCCACCTAAAATAAAATAAAATAAAATAAAATAAAATAAAATAAAAAAAAGAAAGAAAGACCCTTTTTTCATTTCTAATTTCTCCTTCGTTTTACTAAAATATTTTCATCTTTCTACCCAACAACCCAGTTTACAAATTACAAAAAAAAAAGAAGTCTTTTAAACCTCGCTAAAGAAAAAAAATAAAAAAAAAATAAAAAAAGAAAAAAGTTTCTCCTTTTGAATTCAAAAAATATCAAAAAACTTCTTTCCTTTTTTTTTTTTTTTTTTTTTAATACTCTGTCATCTTCCCTTCTTTTCTCTTAACATTTATAACCATCTTATTCAGTTCAGTTCAGTTCAATTCAGTTCAATTCAGTTCAATTTAATTCAAAACCATATAAATGCCTTCTGCCCATCCTTCAGCAATCCCAATGCTGGCACCATCACCAGCAAAACCCTCTACCAGACGTACATCCTCTGCTCTCCAAGGGTTTCCTTCATCTTCGTCCTCTGTTTCAATCTGTAAGTTTCCAACCTTTCAAGCGTTCAATCTTCCAATTCTAACAATCTTCAAGTCTCCTGTGTCCAAACAAACCCTCAGAAATACTCACTCCTAAACTCATCCACTTCTCTAATCTCTACAATCCTTCAAAACAACCTACAAACCCTTCCATCACCATCTCTCCCCATTCATAACCCTCCACACTCTCTAGACAAATCCCTAGCAGCTGCTGCTCAACGTCTCGTCCTTTCCCCAGGCCACAATCTCACTCTACTCCTGCGTCCAGGATCTCTCCCAGACCCATCATCATCACTAGCTTCTCATGTCCTTCACCTTGCTGCAAAACCTCTCTTTGCTCACCTCGAATCCGCCTCCTTACCTCAGCCATCCGCCATCCCAGTCTCCAAAACAAAACTCCGACCATCAACTCCACTAGGCAGACGCCAATCCCTCGACCAAACTGTCCAGTCACATACTCTCCACACTTCAGAAATCAAACTCGCATATTGCCAGCTTCCTGCTGACCCTGAAGTCCTAGGAGCAGCCCCCTGTGACCTGCTCCAATCATTACCTACAACAACAACTACTACCAATACATCAACTTCATCTTCTTCCATACAACACCCACCCTTAGCTGGCCCCCGTCCAGTCGCATCCTACACTGGCTTTAAAAACCTTCTTGCAACAGCTGCCCCACCGCTCCCGCTCGCAGGCCCTGCAGTTCTAACTCTTACAATCGGACTACGTGCAAACGGCCCGCCAGCATCTGTTTCCCTTGCACCATCCACTCTCACCATTGTTGACTTGACTTTGGCTTCTCCCGCTGATGCTCACGGTATGGCAGCCGTAGTTGCACACCTCGCTGAAACCGCTGCAGGAAGAGCCAACCCTAACACTGTGCCATACCATGCATCCCATCTCACACAAGTTCTACGTCCAGCGTTGGCTCCAAGAAACTCCACGGTCTTTGTCGTGGCCGATCTCTCCGCACTCACCTCCAATCCTCACCTCTCCCGTGCTCACCACTCGGCAATTCCTATCAGTAGAGTCTCGTCGATTTCATCATCACAAACAACAGCATGTAGTAGTGCATCCGAAACAGAAGACGATGACGACCATGATACAAGCATGCTTTTGTCGCCAGTTCCAGCCTCTTCTTCATCATTCACATCATCTACTAGCGTCAAGTCCCAGCAGCTGCTCAGCAGGGTTAAGCTGCTTCAAGAAGAACTTAGCATCTCCAAACAACAACCCCCTTTGTCGCCACCACATGCACAAAAAGATTACTCCTACGTCACACAGAAAATCCCAATGCTCTCACCACCTGCTGATAACCCACCCCCATACATGCGCCAGTCTCTCACAGAGTCCTCAGACGAAAACAATAGCAACAACAATGACAATGACGACGACGACGACGACGACGACGACGATGACGATCTGGTCGACGTGTCCATGGCCTCTGCCACTTCTACTTCCTCACACAACACTTCCACCAACTCGACCAACTGCCGCAGTTCCGGCAAATCCTCTTCTTCCTCAGCCAAGCCTCGTTCCCTTAACTCTTCCATCCTGATCCCTGCCACTTCTGCATACACCGCATGCTGCCATGCTGACCACAACCACGATGGCGACCGTGTTAAGCTATTAGAGTGCGTGGTAAATGACTATGAGGAAGCCATTGTGTCTGTGCAATCGCGCAATGCTGATCTTGTGTGCACCAACGTGAAATTGCAGAGCGAAATTGACGAACGGACTCACGAGCTACGCGAAATGCACGACATGAATGCGGACCTGTTGGTTCTGGTGGAAGAGTATGAGGCCCATGTAACTGCGTTGATTGAGATTGATGCCCATGACCAGCAAACTAAACAACAACAACAACAGGTGGCTCAGCACTCGCCAACATCTACGGAAAAGTTCTTGCTGGATCCCGAGGACACTTTCCAAATGGCGGCACGTATGGCTCGTCTGGAAGAAGAGCTTGAGCAGCAACGTAACGAAGTGAAATTGTTACGGTTAGCTCAGAAACAGCATGCATCTGAGGCCCAGTTTCTAACACAGCGCTACAATGCGTCGTGTGTTGAGAATGATGAGTTGCGTGCAGAAAATGAAAAACTGTTGCAGCAAACATCCCTGGCCACAGATCCCACTACTAGTACACACACGCAACACTCCCATGTAGTCCTCCAGGAATCTCAAACTGGCAACCTGCCACAAAACAACGAATCGCCGCGTAAAAAAGCAGAGCTCGCAAACACACTCTCCATGCTAACCGGTACCGGCACTGGAACTGGCTTGCCAACCTCTTGTAACAATGCCACTGCTACCACCAATACCAATACTAACACAACTCCAACCAAGCGCGCAAATGCACACAAACGCATCTCATCAATGTCATTTTTCCAGTACAGACCAATGACCCTGACCAAGCGTGCTATGCCTGAAAACGGCTCAACAATTTATCACTATCCATCGAAAAACTCGTCTCCAGTAAAGCGCTCACTTTCGTCTACTTCGTCTCAGGGTGCCACAAGCAGCGACGAAGACTCAATGAGAGAAAACTTGGCTCCTATAAACCAACCACATAAAACTTTGGCCCAGGAACTCGATGATACTAGCTTTTAAGAAATAATAACTTTTACATCAAACCACTTTATTTATTTACTTTTTTTTATATATATATATATATAAATTTATATAGGAACAACACAATTTTTTTTTTTTAAATCAAGGACGGAGACGCTTGGGGTCACGGGGGAAAATGGAAGCGCGACGAATGTTACCCAATCCAAGGTAAAACATAACAACACGCTCAAGACCAATACCACCGCCACCGTGGGGAGGAGCAGCGTAGGCAAATGCATCAACGTAATCCTTGAGACCCTCGCCCTCAGGATCAACGCCGTGAACCTTCATGCGCTCGCGGAGCAGTTCAGGGTCGTGTATTCTCTGTGCACCTGACAGAATCTCCTCTCCGCGCATGAAAAAGTCGTATGAGTTAGAGTACTGCGAGTCAGTGGCATCAGGCATAGTGTAGAAGGGACGAACAGCCAGAGGGAACTTGTCGAGAATGTAAAAGTCAGTGTCGTACTTGTCAAGAACAAGCTTACCAAGAAGCTTCTCGTGGGCAGTGCTCAGATCCTCAAAATCATTCACCTCCTCACCAGCATCACGAAGCATCTGGATACCCTCCTTAAAAGGAATGCGCACCATCTTGCCGTCCTTGGGAACCTTAAACTCCTCAACAGGGTACTGCTTACGGACAATTGCAATCTCCTCAGCAAAGCGTGTCTTAAGACCATTAAAGATGAATGAAAACAGCTCAGCAAGAACATCAATGACTTCGTCGTAGTGCTCCTCAATAGCCATTTCCAAATCAAGACCGGTAAACTCAGTCATATGTCTGGGACCCTGCGAGTTCTCAGCACGGAAAACAGGAGCAATCTCGAAAACGCGCTCAAAATCAGCAGCAATCAGCATTTGTTTGGCCAATTGAGGAGACTGAGCAAGGAAAGCATTACCCTTGAAGTAGTCAACGCGGAAAACACTGGCTCCACTCTCAGAAGCAGATCCCATCAACTTGGGGGTGTGGATCTCAACAAAGCCCTTGCTAGACAAGTACTCGCGGAACAAAGCGCACACACCAGATTGGATCTTGAAAATAGCCTGGTTTGTGACAGTTCTCAGATCAATCACACGATAGTCAAGTCTAGTGTCAAGGTTCACAACAGGCAATCCAGCCTTCTCGGCCTCCTGCTCAGAACGCGAAGCATCCTCAATAAGAATGGGGAGCTGGGCAGGAGCCTCAGAAATAGTGTAAAGCTTGGTGATCTGGATCTCAGCATCTTTAACAGTGCACGAAGTAATTTCCTCAGGAGAAGCACCAACAATACCATGAACAAGAACAATGCTTTCAAGGGAAATGGAAGCAGACCACTTGACCATCTTCTTGGAAATGGAGTCAGCATTAGCAGCAACAAGACCCTGGATTAAGGCGTTTTGCTGACGGAATGTAATGAAGTTCATCTTGTTGCCCTGCTGGCGCGAATTGTGCACGCGAGCACGGAAAACAACCTCTTGTCCGGCATTGGCCTTACTCAAAGTGCTGATCTGAACACGCTCAATTCCAGACTTGGTGGTGCTCTGGATCAATGGCAGCTTACCATAGTTCTCAGTACCGTAATCGGGCTCGGCAGCTTCACGAGCGGCCTTTTCAGCAGCAAGCTGGGCAGCCTTCTCAGCCTTCTTCTGCTCCTTCAAGCGGGCGGCCTCAAGCTTTTTAAGAGCCTTCTTGGAAAGAGGGTTGCCATCGGCGCTATATCCAATGTTAATTAATAAAATCTCATCTTAATCAATCCTTCGCCTACTCACTCCAAAATAACGCCCTCAGCGGGGGCTGCAGCAGCTGCAGCAGGAGCCTCGGAAATCTTGAGCTCCTCAGTCTTCTTGGTGATTTCTTCAGACATGATGGAATTGGAGGTGGGGGGTTTTGTTGAGTGGATTGTATAGAAATTGAAAGAAAGAAAAAAAAAAGAGGAAGGGGTGAAGAAAAAAATGATATAAAAGTTTTTTTAATGTGTCATACATTTCCGGCCGGGTAACTCTTTGACACCACTACTCTCTATCTACAAACATATTCTTCTCAATTTTTGCGTACAGCGTATCCCGCCGCCGGGCATTCTCTTGAAATCGTGCAAGTGACATCTCATCAAGTTCTCGAATGTAGTCGTCCGGCACAAGCAAATGGATCCGGCCGGTTGCTGTGTCCAAGTACCCGAGTGGCACGTCCAACCGGATTGAGATTCGAATCCCCACCAGGTCGTTTGACCCGATTCCTGTTTCTCGGAACCCGCATCCCATTGCAATTGTGTAGAGCTTTTGAGCTGTTGCCAAGTCGCGACATTTGACGTGCAGAATCTGTTTATCGATAACATGATTAGTTTTATTTTATTTTATTTTATTTTTTTTTTGAGGATATTCAACGTTTCAGCTTTTTGTGCCACGAAAAAAAAAAAAAAACTTACCATAGCTTCAAACTTATACTGCAAATACCGTTTCACCGTATTCTCTGCCAAAGGATTCTCCTCATGATACTCCTTGACCTGCTTGAGCCATGCGTCGGTGTCAAGCTCTGTTGGATCGTGTGTCACAAATATCCATTTCCCACCAGCCCCTTTGCCTCCAATCTTTGCTCGTGTGTCTGCATTTTCTGAACCCTCAGAAGCAGTGACTGCCACTGTAGCTGGAACCACTCGATCTCCTTCCAGAAATACACTCACACGACCTGAGCATGAGGAGGTCGTAACCATATCTGGATGCGAGTTGATGAGATGAATTAACGGAAGCAGCGGCACGTCCACAGTACCTTTCGGCGAGGCATCCGGATGCTCTACATCTGTTTGTTCCAGCTGTTGTAAAATGTGTTTTTTCTTTTGCCCAAAAGGGTCGTTTTGTTTTTTGGCCATCGCGTATATTTTCAAAAATGTAGGAATCAAAAAAAAAAAAATTGTATAAAAAAAAGAGTGAGAAGAGATGGTAAAAAAAAACTTTATTAACCATAAATGGAAATTTATTCAGTGCGGCTTTTATTATTACCCGGCAGTACTTGAAATAATCTACCAGCAAGCAAAACTCAGAGATTTGTTTGAAATTTTCATCAAAAAAAGTATTAGAAAACTTTTATAAAAAAAATTGACTTCTATATATACTTTAAAATTTATTAATATTGCTTATTGGACAATTTTAAATAAATCTCGTTTTAAAGCCCATTTTTTGCTGATTTAACTTATAATTTTTTTTATTAAATTATAAAATTATAAAATTATAAAATTTATAATTTTTTTCTTCTTCATGTCTACAAGAATCACAAAATATAGTTATAAAGTTTTTTTTTTGTAATTCAGTATTCTATTTGAAAAAGTTTATGAATATGAGTATTGATTTTGATTGGATTTGGTCAGCCAAAGCTGGGTCAATATTAGTTTTTTTAGGCATGAGGAAACTTCTGCGGTTACTCTGCATCTAAATAATTCTATTTTGATTGTCAACTCTCAAGAGAAGTCGGGAGATTAAACTTAAACCTTTTAAGGTTTATTACGTAAAATAATATTATCACGTTTTTAATTAAAATTAAATAGAAATGAAAGGCTACCCTTGACATTTCAGATCCAACATGGTCATAACTATAGGGTTAGGGTTTTATAGTTTTAATCTAAATAACTTAAAAATAAGACTTAGGTTATTTTAAAATCATTATTCGATGACTATTGTTTGCATTTGGAGCTATTTATTAAAATTCCTCAAGGGCTAGGGTAAAAAAAAACTATTGGAAAATTTAATAGTGAAGTGTTTTATGCAAAAAAAAAAAAAGTTGGAGTTGCCCAAATCATGAAACCTAAGCTTAGCCTATTATAAGTACATATTGGTTTTGAAATAAAATTTAAACCTTTTATCAAAAATATTTAAGACTTATTATATTTTGTAAAAATCTAATTTTTGGTTTGATGCTTTCATTCACTATAAATTTGTTCCCGAAGATAAATATTTAAATCTTTAGAAGTCTTTTTTTGTTTCAGTTAAAGTCTAAAAAAATATTGTAGTAGCCTTTTGAAATTATACAACTTCTTAAAAAAAATTAATATAATAGATTTTATTTGATACTGGCAAGTAGTTTAGAAGTTTAAACTATTTCTTATCAGGATTTCTAAGATTAGTCTAGATATTCAAATCACTTCATTAACATTTAAAACGTTCCAAAATTATTACAAACACACCAAATCTAGAGAACCTAATATCATACTCTAAATCAGAAATCAATTCTTGTGTGAACCACATTCATAAACACCTAATATTTTGAGCTGATTTTAAACAAAATTTCCATTTCTTTCTTAATATAAATAATAAATAATAAATAATAAATAAAGTTAAATATTTCAGTTCGTTCTTAAAGATTATAAAAGCATTTCTTTGTAAAAAAGCAAAAGACAAAAACAGAACCAGCTGTTTTTTTTTTTTTTTTTTTTTTTTTCAAACTCAATTGTAACAGCTTATTTATTTCTTGACACCAACAGTACCGTCAGAAGTGAAAGCAACAACCTTACCGTCAGCACAAGATGAGTTGCAGAAAAGAGTGTAACTGCCACTGCCGTCGGGGCATGCAACAATGGTTCCGGATCCAGGGGTAATGTATCCACCATCGGAAGTCCAAGAAGTGGTGGATGAGGTGCCACTCGGTACAACTTGGAGAGCACCCTCAGAGTTGATGATAACAGTGTAAGAGCTGAAACCAGGAGCAGCAGTAAGAAGAGAGCCACTGGAAATAATGAAACTGAAGGGAACACCACCGGAAGAAGATGAGAGTGAGAGAAGACCACTGGGAAGAATGTAAACAGTGACAACATTGAAGTTACCAGCAAAAGACACCTGATAGTTTATGTTTTGGTTACCGTTGGTATTGCTGCTGGTATTCTCGTTTGTGTTAGTACTGGCATTGTTGTTATTGTTGGTGTTACCGTTAGTGTTGCCATTGGTATTGTGGTTAGTGTTAGTGGCAGTGTTGGAAGCGTTATTGGTGGTGTTATTGACATTGTTGGTGGTGTTTGTGGTTGTGTTACTTTCATTGTTGGTAGAACCGCCAGTGGAACCGCCAGTAGTACCAGTTCCACCAGTAGAGCCAGAATCGCCAGTGGTAGTACCCGTTCTGCCAGTTGTAGTACCAGTTCCGCCAGTAGTGGTGCCAGTTCCTGTTCCAGTAGCTCCAGAAGAAGTGCCTCCAGTGATTCCTCCAGTAATACCACCAATAGTACCACCAGTAATGCCACCAATAGTGCTACTAGTCACAACAGTGGGGAAAACCTTTCTGCAAGTGACACAGCCAGATTTCCCATACTTAGCCCAACTTCCACCTGGCTCAGCAACGGCATTGGCCTCAGCTTCAGCAACAGGAGCAGCCAAAGTGTAGGCAACAAAAATGGAAATAGCGGCAGCAGAGAACTTCATTTTTTTTTGTTTAAAGGAACTAAATAATAAAAGTTGTAAAACTTGGAGGAAAAAAGTAAAAGTGTAATTAGAAGCTAAAAAAACTGATAGAATTGTTTGATGAAGATAAAAAGAGAAAAAAAAATATTGAAGAAGAAGAACTTGTTATTATTTTATAGTTGAAAATTTCGAATATATGAAAAAAAACATTGAATAACAATAATTTCAATTAATTTGTTTAAAATATATTTTTTTCTAAGAGTTTATTTTGGTCTTAAACCAATAGTTAATTTTTGTTCATCAATCTCTTCAATTTATTATGGAAAGATATGAGCACAAAGAACTGAAGTTTATTTTCTTTGTAATTTCTTTTCAATATTGAAATGATTCAATTTTCAATGTTGCTTATTGTAAACGATTTAATGAGCGAAACGAATTGAGACCATTTTTCTTTTAACAATGGACATATCGGGAAAGACAGATTGAGTCAATGTGAGTCTAGTAACTACTTTTTCAAACGCATTTCAGGTAGTTTCACAACATTTACAAAATAAATTTAAGTTACGGAATAGTCCCGGAATTAATTGAAGTAAAGAAAAAAAAACAGTCGCCAAGAAATTTCGGATTCATAAAAAAAAAGAATGGTAAAAAGAAGATAACACTTAGGAAGCGTTTAATATTACACAAGTTTTGGACTTGACGGATGCTCATGTCTTAATGATAAATAAATAAAGAGGGGTAACAATAAAAGCAGATAAAATGTTTATTTTTTATTTTTTGTTATTAGATATGATCACTAGTTTTATTTCTTATTTGAGATCCGATTTTCATGATTTTGATTCTAAAATAGTTTTGGAGTTAGTCAATGGAGACAGCAAAAAATAAAAAGAAACAACGGCAGTAGCCGTAATGTGTTTTCCAGCCGCATAAGCTACGATTTGCCCAAAAATGGGTGTCCCGTACTATCATGAGCTATAACCCTAACCCAGAGGAGACATTAAGCTGTCATCAGCCTTTCTTTTCCAAAAAAAAAAAAAAGTAAACCTCCCAACCTTGTTTGAACTAAAATATTATCAAGTTCAGTTTCATTTTCCTTTCAAACAGAATACAACCGGGATATTTTTTTTTCTAGTCCCTATATCCACTTGACACGTTATTTTTTGTTTGATAAATTACCCACGCTTTATATAGATATGACCATGGATGTCTTACGACCAGGCACAGGTTCTTCCATTTCTTCACCGGAGGAATGCCCCCAGATTTTGCTGATGGGCTTGCGCACGTAAGTTTTTTTTACCTTTTTCCCCAGAAATTTTTTATGAGACTCTTAGGCTAACATATTTTTCGAAATGTAGATCTGGCAAGTCATCCATTTGTGAGGTGGTGTTCAACAATATGAAACCACTTGAAGCGTTATACATTGAAAGCACGACACACCCAACTTCGCGAGAAATACTAAACGCCAGGTAAGTGTTGACTCTTAAAAGACCAAAAAAAAAAAAAAGGTTTTGAAAAATTTCCTCCTATTAACAAAGAAGTCACAGCTCGCTGTTTCGGTTTTACATTACGGAGATACCTGGGCAAATGTCCGTCACAGAGGAATCGGACCTTGACGTGATACGGTACTTGCAAAACACAGGTGCGCTTATTTACGTGATTGACTGTCAGTCAGAATACCTTGGCGCGCTTCAGAACCTTGTGGCCATCATTCACCAAGCGCTATCAGTCAACCCTCTGATCAACATAGAAGTACTGATTCACAAAGTCGATGGGCTCACCTATGAGTTCCGATATGAAACGCGACGTGACATTATACAACGTATCCAGGCAGAACTCGAAGAGCTTGGTCTCAAGAATGCTCAAATTACCTTTTATTTAACCTCTATTTATGACCGATCGATTCACGACGCTCTGTCACGCATTGTTCAGCGGCTTATTGCTGAAACTCCCACCCTTGAGTCTATTCTCAATAATCTTTGCTCAAGTTCAGGTGTTGAAAAGGCCTTTTTAATGGATGTTAAGACCAAAATCTATATTGCAACAGATTCATCACCTGTGGATCCACAGACTTATGAGCTATGCAGTGATTTTATTGATGTGACGCTGAGGATTGACGAACTATATAAAACTCGAGAGGATAGAAAGACAGTTGAGCGCCGAATGCGTGCTCTGCGGCGAGTCGCAGCCGGAAATAATGACTCAACAGCTCAAGACGATGACGAGCAGTCGGTACAACAGCAAGAGCAACCGGTGCCGCTTAAAACCATGTCTAAAATGCAAAACGGGATTGCACTATATCTCTCGCAAATGGTCAAGGGCCTGGCGCTCGTGGGCTTTATTCGCACAGAAACTGTTGAGAAAACGGCAGTACTGGATTATAATGCTGAAATTGTCAGCGAGGCTTTGAAAAAAATGTGGCCTCATAGTGAAGAGTAAAATCTGGTTTGTGTAAAAAAAAATTAAAAAAATTAAATTAAAAAAAAAACAAAATAAACCCAAAAAAAAACTACATAGATAAAAAAAAAGCAATTACTTTTGAGGACCACCCTTCTTGCTGACAGCCTTGGAGACACCACGAGCGTCAACTTCGACACGCTTGGTAGTCTGCATAGCGTCTTGGCCAACAAGGTAGGTAATGTCGTCCCATGGATGTCTGTAAAGACCAGTCTTGAGTCTCTTTTGGTCGAGATGATGGGCAATAAGACCAATAGAACGGCCCAACACAAATAGACCGTTGAGAACACCATTCTTCAAGTATTCCTCAACTTCTTCTGGTGTAAATGCACCAGACGAACGCATAAGGTCAACAAACGATACGGCAACACAGCCATCGACGTTAAGAATAAGGTTGTCCTTTTTAGATGTAGTGACTTCTTCAACGGCCAGCGCATAGTCCAAAAGGTTTGTAGCGGGGAAGTTCTTCTTGACAAATTCCTTGACAAGTTCGACACGGAAATCAGGGTTGTTACGCGACTTAACCTTATGGCCAATGCCAGGAATAAGCTTATTTTGCTTGCGCATCGAATCGACAAACTGGCGTGGTGAGAGACCCTTATCAAAGGCATTCTTAAACTCGTTGGCGGCACCGTCCAGCGCGCCACCAAAGCGCTCACCAATTGTCAGAAGACCAGAGACGAGGGAAGAAATAAGATCTTTTCCAGCACGTGTGGTAATAATAGTATTCATAGCACCAGAAACTGCCGGACCATGATCAGCCGTCAGCATTAAAACCATTTCCAAAAACTTGGAGGCATAAGGAGGCAGGCGTCGGCGGAACCACAGCAAAGACATGACACCACCGATACCAATATCCTCCTTAAAGACTTCGGAAATAGGAATACCAGCGTACAAAAGTTCTTGGCCACGGTCATCAGAAATAGTAGAGATAAAGGCAGCAGGCTTGCGAATGAGACCAAGTTCTTGGGCCCAAGAGTAATCAATGGGAATCTTGGGAACTTCAGGCTCAGGTTCAGGAACAATGACCTTCTTCTTAACAAGGGAATCATAAACTTGGGCCAAAGTTTCTGGGAGGTCTTCAAAGGTATCAGGGACGTAGAATCCAGCAGCTTTCATGGCAGCATTCTTAGAAACAGCTGTTTCAAGGTTAGAGTTGGCCATAGAACCAGCGTGACCGAATTGAACCTCGGTCTTAAGCTTGGAGGCAATGGTACCAATGGCCCAGGCAACAATAGGTTTCTTGACAATGCCATTCTTGACAGCTTCAATAACGCGGTACTCTTCGACACCGCCGACCTCACCAAGCAAGACAATAATCTTACAGTTGGGATCGGCTTCGTAACGCAAAATGTGGTCGATAAAGGTAGTACCAGGGTAACGATCACCACCAATGGCAATACCTTCGTAAACACCGTCGGTAGTATGAGCAATGATATTGTTAAGCTCATTGGACATACCGCCAGACTTGGAAACATAGGCAACAGAACCGGGACGGTAGAGCTTGGAGGCAACAATATTATCCATCATACCACCAGTGTTACCAATTTTGAAGCAGCCAGGCTTGATACCACCGACAGTGGCAGGGCCAATGATGGTGACACCCTTCTTCTTAGCCTTGTAGAGAATCTCACGAGCGCGACGCTCAGGGACACCCTCGGCAATGATAGCAATGGTCTTGATTTGAGGGTATTCAAGAAGCTCAAGAGTTGAAGAGTACACGGAACGAGATGAGGCAAAGTTAACAACCACATCAACATCGGGGTGCTTGGCAATTGCCTTCTCAACCTGCTGGTAGACAGGGAGAAGTGTTTCTTTGGTGCCCCAATACATCTTGGTGACGAACTGGCCGCCAAAGGGGTAAATAACACCAGCAACAGAGGGGATCTCGCGCTTGCAGATAAAGTCAAAGTCAAGCATGCCCTGGCAAGCGCGGGGCTGAAGACCATAAACAAAAGCTCGAGTTTTGTTTGTGAAGAGCTCGTAAGGCATTTTCTCCGACATGATGGGCGGTAAGATGAATGGAGGATTGAAGGATTTGGTTAAGATTTAGGTTAATTAAAGGGATTGTTATGATATAAAGAAAGTAAGAATAATAGAACCGAGGGATAGCGTGTAGTTTATATAGATTTTTTAGTATGATATACACGGTAATCAAAGTGTTTTTTTTTTTTTTTGGGTTGACTCTTTTGAGTTGTTGGGAAGGTTTTGTATGTTATGTGCCCATGTTAAAAACTCAATCAGTAGTAAACGCAGTTTTAAAGGAGGGGCTAACAGCCGGTGCCAGTTTAAGCCTGGGAGGGGCACGGAGTGTGGTGTACCAGGATATTTCAGCACGGGCTGTTTTGATAATTGTTTGTTGGCATGTTGGTGTTGGCAATCATGATTGTGAGGGGCGGCTGCTTGCTCGGGTCTTTGAGCCGCTGTGCTGGTCGGCTTGCAGCGCCTCATCAAACCCCTCACGGTGGCGGCCGCGGGGGAGGCAGCCGAGGAGTTTTTTTGGGGCAGAAAAAAAATAAAGAATGAGGGGCTAACAAAAGTGTACTACGTTTTGTAATGTAACTAAATATTAATTTGTAATAAAAATTGCAATAATAATTGCAATAATAATTGCAATAATAATTGTAACCAAAATTGTAATTAAAATGTAACAATACTTTGTAACATAACTTGTCATAACTATTGTAACAGATAACAGAAAATGTAACAAGATATGTAACATTGCACCCCCCACACAGAGCTCTCCTCGGCTCTTCTATAGATCCCCCGTAAGCTCTTTCAAGTTCTTAAAACCGTTTCACCCCGCCAGCCCACAAGAACAAAAAGCCCTTTCATATCTTGAGGCTTACATGCCAAATGATAAGCTCAATTTCATGTTTTTGCCGAAGTCTTTCCGAGTTCAAAGTCAATTGAGATGTCTTGCACTTCTCTTCGTACTAACAGCCTACCACAGTTAATGTTTGGCCAGCCATATACAAAAAATAAAAGCCCACTTCTACTTCTCCGCACCTCCATTAAAAACCCTAACCCAGATCATTCGCTCAAAATTTTCGCCTACGCCTACACTAGAAGAGACTCCGCAAGCCACCTTCACTACCACCACCTCCTAAACCTCCACTTAAACCTCCACTTAAACCTTCATCACCACACACCCAAAATCCTATAAATACCTGGGACTTCCCCCACTCACCTCCCCTCCCCAAATCCCACCATGCTCTCACGCTCAGCTCGTTCCGCTTTACGGCCTATAAAAATGACCCTTCGCGCCAAAATCAACCCAAACATGCTCCCGGCTCTTGCCCGCAATAACTCTTCTGCGTCTTCATCCAGTCCATCTGACGCGGACGACGTGCTCTTTGCGCCCAACCGCGCAATTAGAACCATCACCCTCAATAGACCAGCCAAGCTCAATTCTCTTAACCAGTCTATGGTCGACAAAATTATCCCCCGTATGGTTGAGTGGACCAAGTCCGACACTGCCCAATCCATCATCCTCAAAGGTGCCGGCAACAAGGCTCTCTGCGCCGGTGGTGACGTCGCTGCTCTTGCCAATGACATTGCCCAAAACGGCCCTGAGGGTTCTGCTCGCTCCACTGTTTTCTTCAAGGATGAGTATACCCTTAACCACCTCATTGCCTCTTACCCTAAGCCTTACATCGCTGTCATGAACGGTATCACCATGGGTGGTGGTGTTGGTCTTTCCGTTCACGCTCCTTTCCGCATCGCTACTGAAAAGACACTATTCGCTATGCCTGAAACTGACATTGGCTTTTTCCCTGATGTCGGTGGTTCTTTTTTCCTTTCTAGACTCGATGGCCAGATTGGTACCTACCTCGCCCTTACTTCTGCCCGTCTGAAAGGCTACGACGCTGTCGCTGCTGGAATTGCTACCCATTATATTCCCGAGTCTCTTCTTCCTGACGTTGAAAGCCGTCTCGCCGAAGTCTTTGTTGACTCTGTCGCTCCTATTGATGCTCACTCTCTTGTGAACTCGGTTCTTCTCGAGTTTGAGACCGCCGCTCCTGAGGGCTACGTTTTCTCGCTTTCTGGCAAGGCTCGTGAATCTATCGATGCTGCTTTCTCCAACAAGACTGTTGAAGATATTGTCGCTGCTCTCGAGGCTGACGGTTCTGACATCGCCAAGTCTGCTCTCAAGGCTATTCTTTCTCGCTCTCCTACTGCCGTCAAAGTTACCCTTGCTGCTCTTCGCCGTGGTGAGACTCTCGGTATCAAGGATGCTCTTGATGCTGAGTACAGACTTGCTGAGAACTTTATGTACGGTCATGAGTTTGTTGAGGGTGTTTCTGCCAAACTCATTTCTAAGCCTGCACGCACTCCTGAGTGGAAGCCCGCTACTCTCCAGGAAGTTACTCCTGACATTGTTAATGGCTACATTTCCAACCGCCCAGACTCTGTTGTCCAAGACATTGAGTTCATCCACCCTGAAAACAACTTCACCAAGTACCCCCACACTTTTGGTCTTCCCTCTGAGCAGCAGATTAAGGACTACGTTCTGGGCAACGATAACCCAGACCGTGAGTTTAAGGTCTCGGCCCAGGAGGTCCACGAACACTTTGACAACATCACCCGGGGAAAGCTTGGTGTCCACCAAAAGATTGATGATATTATTGTCAGAATGACCAAGCCTGATCCTACAGATGTCCAGCTTCTTGACTGGATTTACTAGTTTAGTAATAGTTTTTTTACAAAAATGGAAGAAAAAAGAAAAAAAGTAATATAAAAGTCGTCTGTATATAGTTGTTTTAAAAATGAAAAAAATTCACCATCCAAAATAAATTCTGGGAGACCATTTTGCCACTTTTAATCAGCAACCAACCCTTTTGCCAACTCTACACACATTTACCATGTCTGATAGATTCAATTCACTAATTCCACCTACTGCTGCCACCAACGTTTACAAAGACGAATGTGCATACTCATTTGATACTCCATTTTCTTCTGATGGCCTCGATGTGTGCCTTTCCTGTTTTCGTGGCTCGTCACCGCGCCCAGCTGCAAACTATACCAGAGCTCACGCCGATGCTTTTGGCCACCGGGCGTTTCTCAACATTCGTAAAGTCCTGAAGAAACGTGCGCGCGAACCGTCGCCTAAAAAAATCACCAAGCTTGTTGTACGCGAAGATCGCGAAGAAGACGTCTACGATACAATGACATCTGTCAAGTACTTGAATGAGACCGAGGAGGAAGAAGTTACTGACCCTAACTCAATACCTAATCTTAAGCGTGTTGTGGATGGAGTTCTAAATGCTATTTCTGCAAGTCAAAAACAAGATGCGCTTGAGTGGCGACCCGAAGTTTCAGTATGTCCTCATACAATGGATCTCGAGCAGGGACCTGCATCGACTGTGGCCATAGATACAAAACATTGCTCGCAGTGCGACCTTACAGAAAATCTTTGGCTGTGCTTGACTTGCGGCGCACTTAACTGTGGTCGCAACCAAGTCGGTGGCGCTCCGGGTAACGGCCACGGTCTTGTTCATACAGCCTCCTCGGGCCATCCTGTTGCTGTCAAGCTCGGCAGTATTACACCCGATGGATCTGCAGATGTTTATTGTTATTCATGCGATGATGAAGTCAAGGATCATCACTTGGCTGCTCATCTGGCCCATTTTGGCATCCGCCTTGCTGACACCGAAAAAACCGAAAAGAGTTTGACAGAACTCCAACTCGAGCAAAATGTCAAATGGGACTTTGGTCTGCAATCTGAGACGGGCGAAGAACTTGTCCCAGTATTTGGACCTGGGCTTACTGGTCTTAAGAACCTCGGCAACAGTTGCTATTTGTCATCTGTTGTTCAATGTCTGTTTGCACTTCCACGTTTTGCCAATGCATACTATCACCCCGGCACTATGCAGAAGATTGTGGACGCACCTGAACACAATCTTGAAATACAACTAATTAAGCTAGCGGATGGATTATTGTCTGGACGATATTCGGTTCCCGACCCAGCATTGAGTGACGATAAGCCCACTCAACATGGCCTTGCGCCGGCCATGTTTAAGCGGCTTGTTGGTGAAGGAAACTCTGAGTTTTCTTCAATGCGTCAACAAGATGCCTTTGAATTTTGGACATATCTTGTGGGTAAAATTCAAAAAATAAAGCAGGAGGAGGATCCCACAAAGGCTTTCCAGTTTAAGGCAGAACAACGTCTAGAGTGCACTTCGTGTCACAAAGTTCGCTATAATACTACGATCCAAGAAGCTCTTTCGCTTCATGTCCCCGTACGCCGAGTCAGCGACGAAGAGTTTGAACCTGTGATTGTGCAAGAGCTGTTTGACAATCTGACCCGGACTGAACATGTGGAATATCAGTGCAAGACATGTCAGGGCAAAACTTCTACCAAGAAGACTAGTTTTGCAACTTTCCCTGAGGTGCTTGTGCTCAATGCTCAGCGATTTGAAATTATCAATTGGGTTCCTACTAAGCTCGATATTGCTGTATCTGTTCCTGGTGACGAAATTTCTCTTGACAAATATAAAGCTCCCGAACATCCTGAAGGCGAAGATGTTGAAACCGAAGAGGACAACGCTAAGGAGCCTGCATTTACTGCAGATCCTGAAGGAATTGAATTTCTTACGTCTATGGGCTACCCCATAGTGCGTGCTGAAAAGGCTCTTTACCATACCAAGAATGATCTCGAAGCCTCTGTCAATTGGATTCTTGAGCATATGGACGATGCAGATATTGACGTCCCGTTATCACTAACCGGATCTAAACCCGCTGTTGACGAGGAACAAGTCGAGCAGCTTACGGCCATGGGGTTTACACCCAATGCTGCTCGTAAGGCTCTTCGTGTGAGTGCTGGCAATAATGAAGCTGCCGTGGAGTGGCTCTTTTCTAACCCTGATGACCCTGGTGAGTCTGTTGCTGAGCAAGCTTCAGAGGTTGAAGAACCCGCTGTCGACGAAAATGTTGGTTCTGGCGATCTTCCTGCTAAGTATGTTTTGCGCGCAGTGGTTTGCCATAAGGGCAAGAGTGTGCATGCTGGACACTATGTTGCATTTGTGCGTAAGCCTGTACCTGATCCCGCAACCGGTGCCACCACTGAACAATGGGTTTTGTTCAATGACGAAAAGGTTCTTGCAACAGCAGCAGATGCAGAGGAAATGAAGAAGTTTGCCTATGTTTATGTGTTTGAACGTGCTAATTGACAAGGTTTCGAGCTTTTGTTAAGACGTGGTGAGTTTTGAAAAAAAAAAAAAAATAATGACTGGTGTTTGTGATGAGATTTTTAACATATTGTCAAACAAGTCATCTTACACCTCTGACCGCTCTAAAACAAAAAGTATAAATAGTTAGCCAATTCCTCTTTTTTTTTCTTTTCCCTCTTTTTTTTTTCATAACTTTCACATATAAAAATAAAAAGAATATATTCATTATAATTACTTCAATTGAGCTTTATTAATGGACAGACTTGCCAACTATGTATGTTTTGGCTCTTAACGGTTTTCTCTAACTTGACGTGCATACAAACTAACATATGCTAGACACCTTCATTTACGGGATCCCTAGTCGCCCCTAGAACCCCACAAGCTGGCCATCAAAGTGCATTGTCATCGCCTATTGGAACCCCAACTCCCATTGGGACTCCAATTGGCCTTTCATCCTCTTCTACTTCTTCGGCGTCGTTGATCGATCCCCCAAGTTTGCGGGCCAATGCCTTTAGTCAAATTTCTGTGCAATCCCACCAAAATGGATCTGCGGCTGGCCTCCCTACCACAGGTTCTGCTACAGCAGCCGTTCCCACAACCCCATCTTCTGGCGCAGGAACCGTTCCAGGTTCTGGGGGGCCCTTTGGATACTCGTCAACAACCTCGCTGACATCTGCACGCTCTCCTACAGCTCCAATTGGATCCACCACTTCGTTGACATCTCTGCCTTCACTCAATTCCGTGTTTTCCTACTCAGCACCAAATACTGCAGGGCAGACATCTTTTTCTTTTAAGCCAACGTTTTCTCAAGGTAGCACTAGTGTTGTTTCTCCCTCCGCATCAGTGTCTGCTAGCTCGTCATCATCGACCTCTCCATCTATTTTGACACCTTCTGGGTCTCGCTCAGGATCTCTTTCTGGACCATCATCATCTTCTGCTTACTTTAACAATTCTACAAATTCGTTGGCATTGCAATCTGGGTTTCAGTACCAGGCTGGGTTTCAACAACAAAATACTGGGCAAACCCTACTGCAGTCGCCTATTTCATTGCCTACCCTGCAGAGTCAAGCATCACCCTCGCATATCAATTCCGTCTTTGGAACAAGCCGCAACGTCAATCTTACAAACACTCCGACATCAATGATCTACAGTGACCAGCCTGCTGCTGCAGCAGCTTCTCCGACCTCCTACCGCTCTTTTTCGTACCCCGCAACCACTGTCAGTGCCGCTACCGCTACACAGTCCTCATACCAATTTGATAACACCGGCACGGGGAACCTCAAGTATTACTCGGGAGGAACTCAAGCTCCAACGTGGAATTCTTATGCAAATACCCAACAGAATAATCTCTTACCCAAGTTTCAACAACAAACGCAACAACAAAAACAGTATTACATGCAGGATTCCCCGCCTCATGCATACCTTCATCGTCCAACCACTTCGGCGCCCGGTCGTGCATCCTCCGGCGGGTCAATGTCGACATCGAGCTCCATCTCCTCTTCATCGTTTGCTGGGGCTCCAGCCACCTCTTCGTCTACTATGACGATTCCTGAAGAGGATTATAACGAAGAACCTTCTGTGGCCTCTGCTGCAGCTGCAGCGGGTGCACAACTCATTCGCAAAACTCGCGAAATTGAATTATTACAGGCCGAGGTGAAACGACTTGGTGAGCTTTTAAGTCAAAAACGCATTACCGAACAGTCTTCCGTTAAATACAATACTGTTGCCGATATCACGCCTTCGTTTGTCCCGGCATCATTGTTCATCACGGGTGGACCTACCGTTCTGGATAATGGCCTGCCCTCTCCGGCCAATTCTGAAGACACAGAGGAAAATGAAAATAATAACGAGAATGGTAATACTGGGGCATATGTTGCCGAGTTAGAAGTACGCCGGTTGGCAGCAGAGGTTGATTCTTTAACTACGGAAAAGGCGAGGCTACAATTGTGCGTGGATACTGCCATGGTCGCGCTTGGAACTGCAGGTATTCCCCCACCAGCCCTTCTTAATGATGGAACCAAAACTTTAGACCCGACAGAATTTGCACATCGTATAGTGGTTCGCATTGGAACTTTAGAGCGCGAAAATGAAATGCTTGCTGTATGTATTGGGATAAAAATTTTTAAGGATTGCATTAACTGATTTTTTTTAGAAACTTATATGTCAAGGACGATATGCCCTCAAGGAGGTGGAGTTGCAAATGCGCAAAAAGGAAAACGATTTGCTTCGCAAGGAAAACGAAGCTCTTCGTGTATTAGTTGAGCAATTGGGCACTGAGACGGAGATTGGATCAGCAGAAAAACAGCAGCAAACAGAACGCAACTGGTCAACTAAGAGTATCGGTATTAACAAAACACAATCTGCCGGTGGTGAAAAAACTGAGGGAGGAAGCAAGTCAGGGTCCCCAAATAAGAACTTGCGCGGAGGGCGTGGATCATCTGCTAGTAGTGGAAGCTCTGGAAGCTCTTCTGCAAAAGGTTCTGGCTCTGGTTCTGGCTCCAGTGGTGGATCTGGGTCTGGATCGCAACGGCGCAAAAAGTGATGAAAAAAATACTTAGGGGAATCAAAAAAAAAAAAAAAAAAAAAAAAAAAAAAAAATCCCAAACCATTTGTATAATACCGTATTTTTAGAAATAAATAGAAGGAAATAGCCGTTATGAATCTAATTCTGTGCGTCGGTATTAGTTCGAATTGGAGACTTGTTGCGCCGACGCGAATTGACAAAAACAAAGGTATCATCTGTCAAAACATCCTCAGGATCATCAGCCCCAGCATGGGCAATATGTGCCGCTAATCCCCATTCTCGTTCTTTGACTTCAGCCTCAAGCTTGCGGGCATGCGCATCTTCGTTATTTGTAATAAATGGGCTTCCCTCGCGCTGTCTTTCAATTTCTGAGTCTGTAGACTGTGGCCTTTGGGCATCAAAATCGGGTGCAACCAATGTTTTGTGGAAAAGCGTAAACGCGCGCGAGTTCCATGCAACTACACCAAACTCATCAGGACATTGAGAATTAGCCCAGGTAGCGCCAAAATTTTTGCGAGAAGAAACTGGCGCATCTTGTTCCTCGTGCATTAAATCTACGAACTGAAGGATATCCGGTGGAGTTGTCGACGTGCTATCCCAGAGCCCTACAATGTGTCCGTCCATTGGGACAATGAGAAGCTGTGTGTGTGCAGAACCTGCTGCAGCAGAAGAGCCTGTTGTTGTAGTCATGTTGCGAAATTGGATACGTGTGATATGCGACGTGTGACTAAAAACACTTATCAGCCGGGTCCGTTGTTTCTGTTGCTGAGCAGGTTCTGTAGATTTGTCAAGCAGAAGCTCCCACAAATACACATTTTGGGGACAACTACGCACGACTGTTGCAACATAACGCTGAGATACACACATGTGCAAAATGGCATTGCTAGTTGTTGGCGCATTACTCGGGTGCAAGCCAAAACCAGCAGCGTACCGTATAAGTCCGGTATTTTTATCCAGTGTTTCCTGCCACACTGTATGGGTATCTTCGTCGCTGTCATCGAAAAGGGTATTTGTACTATGTGCGAGAAGCACAATGACAGGTCGCATAAGAAGCTCTGCATCCAAAACAGTGACTCGCCCGGCCGCATCGCCAACCAAAAGATATTCTCGAGAATCAATGATGGTCCAGCATAAAACCCCGACACCATAAACGTCAAGCCCGTGAGACCTGTTTACGTACGGCCCACAGTACGTGTGTAAAGGTTCAGAGCTACCCAGCGTCGCGTGTAAAGATACAGAGTACCCTGCCGCAGGTATTTCACTTGATGCAACCCATAGCCCTGACGGAGAAATTTCAACATGTCGAGAGTCCAAGTGCCCGAGAGTAAGACTTTGTGGGCAGACTGTTCCATCAAGATCAAATAGCACAACGGTATCATTAGGTCCTTCACGCGTTACAACCGCAAACAACGAGCTAGGTGAATTAACTCCTGGATAATAATGTGAAGAATTTTCATCGTGGCCTATCACATGGACCCGATGATTCGATTTGGGGTTCCGAAAATATTGCAGAATCTGGTTAGTCGAGCACAGTGCAGCAGCAACGGGACCCGCTGCGTGGTCGCCAACAAGCACCCACAGACGCACCGTGGGTTCCACGGTTCCAGAAAGTGACATTGAGTACCCCTGAAGCCATTGAATGCCACATACACCGAGTGCTGGGAGAGCTTCAAGCGGTTGGGCCCGTGACGAGGGTGAGTTACGACCCGAGTGTGTTTTGTGGGGTGCGCGTGAACGCGGAGTTGCTGACGACGGGAGAACGAGTGATGCAGGAAACTGAAGAATACTGTCAGCACCGTCCGGGAGCACGCGGATAGATTCTTGAGCTGGATCTTTTGTTGGCGACTCGAAGAGAAACATGTAAACGGTAAGCCCTATTGCCACAGCCAGTCTGTCTTCGATTATTACTTTTTCTTGTTGGTAATCGGTATTATCTTTGATGCTCTCAAAAGGCAGATGAAAGTATGATGAATCCCAGGCCATTTGCACAGCAGATGCTTGACGTCCATTAAGTGCCGGACTTAGATCAATGACACGGCGTGCTGCTAGATACGACACGGTGGATGAAGATGGCGACCGGGAAGCCAGTGCACGTACAATAAGTCGCGGGCCAAGTAGGTACACTGCATGAGCACCTGAAGGTGACACTACAGGTCTACTTGCTCTAGGTCCTCGAGGACAATGGTGAGAAAAGGTGGACGAAAGGTAGTATGTTGTTGCAAGACCCGGTGTCGGGTCTGAATTTGTCATTTTGAAAGGGAGGTGTTTGGGTAATGGTGGAAGATCTTAGAGGGAAGGCTACACAAACAAATTTATTTCCTGTTTAGATTTATTTTATTTTATTTTTATAAACAATGTACACACAATAACAAAAAACTTTCATCAATGGCGCTTGACTACACCAGAACTGTCCGCAGCGCTGAGAATATACTTCTTGTAGTCATATATAGTACCGGGGAACTTCTTAACAGTACCGTCTTCACAGACCCAGATGTTGCGAGCAACGGCATTAATCATGGACACATCGTGCGAAACCATGAGCACACCACCCTTAAACTTCTGAAGAGCCTCGGCAAGGGCATCCAAACCAGCAATATCCAAATGATTCGACGGTTCGTCGAGAACCAAAATGTGAGGGTTTTTCATTGACAGACATGCAAAGGCCACACGGGACTTTTGACCACCGGAAAGTAGTTGCATTTTCTGCAAACCGAGCGGACCTGTGATACCAAACGAGCCCAAATGGCGACGGTACTCCTCATCGCTCTTACCGGGGAACTCATGGGCCATCCATTGTACGGCCGACATGGAAAGATCCATGCCATCGACGTGGTGCTGTGCAAAGTAACCGATACGCAGACGGCCGTTGCGATGGGCCTCACCCTTTGTAGGTCTGGCTTGCTCCATGAGCAGCTTGAGAAGCGTAGTTTTACCGGCACCGTTTGCACCGACAAGGGCAATACGCGAATCCATGTCGACGTCGAGGTCGACATCGCGGATGATTGGTTTTTCCGGGTTGTAGCCAAAGGTAACGTCCTTGAGCTGAAGAATGGGGGGTGAGAGTTTTTCTGGGTCGGCAAACCGGAACGTGATAGTTTGTTCTTCCTCTGGAGGTTCCAGTACAGGAAGCTTTTCAAGCTTCTTGATACGAGACTGGGCTTCAGACGACTTGGCAGCATTGTAGCGGAACTTATCAATGAATAGTTGCAGATGCTTGCGATAAGCCATTTGGTTTTCGTACTCGCGGAGAGCATTTTTGCGACGTTCTTCCTTAGTAGCGTAGAAGGTATCAAAGTTGGCACCACGGTAATAATCGAGACGCTCATTGTGTTGGTAGATGATGTCAGTTGCGACTTCGTTAAGGAAGGCTCTGTCGTGGGACACAACAAGGACTGTAGAGGGGTATGTTGAAAGGTAGTTGGACAAGAAAGTGATGGACGGCACGTCCAACATATTTGACGGTTCGTCGAGCAACAGCAAGTCGGGCTTGAAGAAAAGAGCACGCGCCAGAGCAAGACGCATACGCCAACCACCAGAGAAAGAGTTTGTGGGCTGGAGCTGGGCTTCTCGAGAAAAGCCTAGACCAAAAAGAATGGAAGCGGCACGACTTTCAGCCTTGTCGGCTTCAATTTCTGTAAGTTTGTTGACAATTTCCGTCATGCTGTTTTCGAGGTCACTACGCTCATCGTCAAGTTCACGCAACTCAGAGTGTTCGGCTGAGTTGTCAGAGCCAAGTTCGGCAACAGTTTGTTTATAGCGCTCATCGACATCAGCAATTTTCTCATTAAGTTTAGCTTGGTCTTGGAGCAGCGATTTACGCCAAACATCGGCATCCAATACACTCTGGAGAGCCAAGGTGTCATCACCGCGGATTTCCTGTTCAACGTGGAGAATGGTAATATGCTTGGGGACGGCAAGCTCACGGCGAGAAAGGGCACGCAAAAGAGTGGACTTACCAATACCGTTTTGACCAATGAGACCATAACGGTGGCCATAAGACAAAGTCAAAGTTGTATCAGAAAGAACACGCTGAGCGGTATTGCCGACAAAGAGATCAAAGTTTTCAATTTTAATATCTTTAGTCTTACCAGAGTTACCAGTAAAGTCGATAGGGTTGACAGTAAGGAAAAACTTGTCGTAGTCTTCTTTGGTATCCTCCTTGATGAGACGTGAGGCCTCGTACTCGACGGTGCGGTGCATTTTCTTTGCAAGTTTCTGGGCAATCTTGCGCTCGGCCTTTTCAAGCTTCTTCTTATCGACACGGGTATTGATGGCACGAGAACCAACGTGCTCAAGATCAGTTGCAGCAACGGCACCAATGCTGCTGTTATAAGTAGCTTGGTTGAGCGCGGCTGCATTTTGGCGCTGGGCAGTGAGCAATGTTTTCTGATCAATTTTGCGGTTATGCATGTCGACGGCACCGCTAGACGAAGCCATAGTTTGAGAGTATAGCTTAGAAAACTCGGAGGCCAAAGACTCGCGTAGACGAGAAACTGCCGTAGACTCTGCTCCGGCACTTTGGAGAATGTTGGCTACAAAGTCGACTTCTTTAGGGATTGTAATGGTTGTTGCAGAAAAGGGATCCGAGAGATTGCTGCAAATGTAGCGGACATAGCCAGAAGCATAGTCCGAAACTACCGAGTCAATCGAGGGGGCAGCCTTGCGGACCTGGGCAGGAAGCGTAGTGGCCATTATTTTTGATTGATGGATTAGTAGGGAAATGAATGAATCAAATAAAGGGTGGTGGTGATTTTAAAGATTTTTTTTTTTACATAATGAGTGAGCAAGTGTGACTGTAACAAGCCTTGAAAAAAAAAAAAAAAAAAAAGTGAAAAAATAGTTGTCACGTGATCTATATTACAATTACAGCTTGGGGGTGCGGACTGTGTACTCCAGGAGTCCCTCTCCCCATAGAGCAAGCGAGGCAGGTTGATTCGGATAGACTATAATTGTTAGTTAAAGGGACTAGGTAGAAATCAAGATATATCTTACCTCCATCGGCATGAAGAATGTCTGATTTGGGAATATCTCGAGTGAGAAACCCAATGTTCCAGTACTCGATTTCCCATTTGGAAGCAAGAGAGCGAGCAATCTGGGAAATTTGGTGGATCTTAAAGGGTGCAAATACATTGCTGCGGTGACTCTGTTTGGGGTCTTTAGACTCGCTGGTCGCTGTAGAAACTGTGGGTTGAGGATAGTGTGTTTGACGGTAAATGATGCGAGAATGAGGGAACTTTTCACGCAGGGTTTGCAGAAAGTTGTCAAGACGGGCGGTATAAGTTTCTAGTTGGGACTTGGTAAGAGTCTTACGACGACGAGGTTGGGCTTCGTCTAAGATTTTTGTGCGCAGAGTGAGCTGCTCGAAACGAAGAAGATCCCAGAGACCAAAGTTGACGATCAGTACGTCAGGTTCCTGGGAAGTACGGTGGAGGGATTCAATTGCAGCCAAAGCATTTTCAAAGCGCTTTTGCCAATTGTAAGGAGCCTGGATATCCATTTTAAAAACCTTTTGAGCAGCCTGAGATCCGCCTTCGTTCCAAAGCGCAGATTCTTCGGTGGGACTAGTTTCGCTGCTAGAGACTGCATAAAAAAAGTAAGAAGAAAGAGAAAAATCATATTGAGGAAGATAGCATCTGCGAGGAAGGGTATCTGGGGCTTTTCTTTCAGAGATTTCAGTTTCAGTAAGTGTTTTGAGATGGGTATCTTCGCTGGCAGAAACTATTAAATGACCACGGAACTCTGAGCAAAAGTAAGAAACAAAGTCTCGGTCAAATTGATCACCAAAAAGAACAACTGTTTTGTTAGAGAGACCGACAATTGAAGGATCACTTTCTCGGATGCGCGAGCTAGTGGATGGAGAGGTAATTGGGCATTCTGGATCCAAGGAGACATAGGATAAGTCAAGGATTTCCTTTGCGAGATCCAGGGATTCATCTCTGACACCAGATTTTTTGAGTCCATAGTTATAGTAACCTGGACGGGCATATGGGTCGCATCTGTAGTTAGGGTTGACTCTGTTTGCAGTTTTGTCGATAGGAGAGTCTGGGGAGGAAGCAGGTGCAAATGTAACTGTTTCCTTGATGGTGACGGTGACAGTAGCAACTTCTCCTGGGGGTCTGTATGGTTGTTTGTCTTGAATATTTTTGCGGATGTTTTCAAAGATTGAGTCTTCGTTTTGGTCATAATCTTCACCAGAGTTGGGTCTTGTTTTAATAGATGTGCGTTCCTGGCCGTCTAGGCGAACCGAGAATTGGATAAAGTAAAAGGTGACGAGGATGAAGACTGCAGGGACCGCAAGCCATTTAAGACTCTTGGAGCGTCTTGGAGGCATTTTGGAAGAATGGAGGGGGATGCAAAGGGTGTTTAAGATGTAAATTAAGGTATAGAAAAAAAAGAAAAAAAAAAGGGGTCCTTAATCTTTTTTGTTTATCTGGTACGATTTAAATTAAATGAAAGAATGCCAGGAGGTTTTTTTTTACTTTGAATGTTTTAATTTATTCAAAAGGGTTCGTACCGGATCTGCGCCATTTATGTGGGCACACGTGTTTGTAACTTATGCTTTAAAATTTGTAACTTATTCAATATTATATAAAACTTAGGCCTTGTACTTTATAACCTTTAAAACCCACGTGCGGCTATAATCAACTCGGACCGGTCTGTCCGTTGGAGAAAAAAAAACTTTTGTCAGTCAAATTTCGACCGACGTTTTTTTTTTTTTTTTTTTTGAATGACTCAATCAAAGATCCCATTGGAAAATTTTTCAAATTTCAGTTGTTTTTTTTTTTTTAATTTAAATATCCAGTTGATTCCTCTTTTTTTTTTTTTTTTTATTCTTCTTTTTCATTTTTTCTTTCATATTTTCTAATTCTTTAATTAATTTTTTTATTTACACAAATTCCAAAAAAATTTGTCTTTCAAAATGCCTGTAAGTCTTAATGTTCTTTATTCATCAGACATAATAATTTAAAAATCTTTTCAAATCCATTTTTAAAAATCCAATTTATTTTGATACCCAAAGAAGTCCATCTAATTGAGAAGATTTCATTTCTCCATTCTTTAATAATCACTTGCATTTGATTGCTTCTTTCATTCTTACCACTTATATATATAAATAAGCCTTTGCTTAAACTTTTGCTGCCTTCTAAATACCCCGCTTATCCTCTCAAATGACTTCCAAACAAACCCGCCCATATCCGTCCGTCCCTGCCAGTCCTTTTACAAAGAAATAAAAAAAAAAAAAAAAAGAAAAAAATTTTCTCCCTTCTATGCAAATCCGGAAAAATCTGGAATTTCCAATAGAAGCCCTCCACTATAGCACACAAGGACATAAATACCCTCACAGAAAGAAAAAAAAATACTCCTCCTTAAACTTTCCAAACTTTTCAAATCACCAGGTTTTTTCTTGTTTGTTTTTTTTCTATATAAACAACCTTTTTTTTCCAATTTTTTTTCCAATTTTTTTTTTTGTCTTTCTTAAGCCATATTTTCTTTTCTCTAACAAATCTTTCCTCAGGGACCTACCCACGAAATGTACCTTAAAAACCAAAACCTCGGTGACCGCTCGTCGCTCGAAGATCACCGCATCCGCGGCTACGATCCCCTCATTGCTCCTGATTTGCTTCAGTCAATGTACCCCCTCTCTGAATCATCCTCTAAACACATTCTCGGCGCCCGCACAGCTGCTACTGCTGTTCTCGAGGGACGTGATGACCGTCTGATTGTCGTTGTCGGTCCCTGCTCCATCCACGACCCCAAGGCTGCCCTCGACTATGCCGATCGCCTGGCCAAGCTTAACGAGTCTCTCAAGGACGATCTGCTCATCATTATGCGCGCTTATATGGAAAAGCCACGCACCACAGTCGGCTGGAAGGGTCTCATCAACGACCCCGATATCGATGGTACTTTCAACATCAACAAGGGTCTGCGCATCACCCGCGAACTTCTTTCTACCATAACTGAGAAAATCGCCATTGCTGGTGAAATGCTCGATACTATTTCCCCCCAGTTCATTTCTGATCTCTTTTCTCTTGGCGCCATTGGTGCCCGTACCACTGAGTCTCAGCTCCACCGTGAACTTGCCTCAGGTCTTTCTTTCCCCGTCGGTTTCAAGAACGGCACCGACGGTGGTCTCGATGTCGCTATTGACGCTGTCAGAGCCGCAAACCACCCCCACCATTTCCTCTCCACAACAAAGCCCGGTGGTCTCGCTATTGTGGGCACCAACGGTAACGAGGACTGCTTCATTATTCTGCGCGGCGGAAAGACTGGTACTAACTACGATGCCGAGTCGGTAGCTGCTGCCGAATCAAAGCTGCGTGCTGCTGGTATTGTCAAAGACAATGAGCAAACTGGCCGCGCCTACCCTCGTGTCATGGTTGACTGTTCCCATGGCAACTCAAGCAAAAACTACAAGAACCAGCCCATTGTTGCCGCTGAGGTGGCCCGCCAACTGGCTGCTGGCAGCTCGGCCCTGTGTGGCGTCATGATTGAGTCCCACATTGCAGAGGGTAGCCAAAAGGTTCCCGATGTTAAGGACGGCGGTAAGGACGCCCTCAAGTACGGTGTTTCCATCACAGATTCGTGTATTGGCTGGGATAGTACTGTCAGTGTGCTTGAGGAGCTGGCAGCTGCTGTGCGCACTCGTCGTGACGTTTTCAAGCAAAAAAAGCTTGGTAATTAGATGAAAAAAAAAAAAAAGTTTGGTTATTTGTCGTTTTTTTTTTTTTTTGTACTTGTAAATTATTAAATTTGAAATAAAATTAGTTACACTTGGTTTTTTTTATTTATTATTATAATTTGTTAATCTTCAGGATTTAATGGCGGTTGCATTTGGCCATTGTTTTCAAGATGAATTTTGACGCTCTTCATGTAGTTCTCCCAGGCCTGTGTTGTGGTTTCAATCTCAACATTGTCTTTACCTATTTTCTACAATACTTTGTTAATAATCAACCCCTCCTATGGGCTTCTCTCAGATTCACTCACTTCTAGAGTCCTATTAATATACTCGATCCCTTCATTCAGCTTTTCCTACAACTCCAGTCAGTCAGCCATAACCTTCTCTTCTATACTTTGTTCAATACTTACCACGTTACCAGTAATGCGCACCAGTAGCGCATTTTGTGCCTGGTCATGCGGATTTTCCATATTTCTAGTGACGATGGCGTTGTGTATGAAAAAAAAAAAATAAATAAAATAAAATAAAATTCTGCACTGCTTTATTATTATTTCTAAAGATTTATTTATTTATTACTCTTAAATCACATGATCTCCTATAACATCCTTATATATAGACTAATCAGCCAACTGCATCTGTACCTTACGCTTGCCAGAAGACTCGTCCTTGACGGAATGAACGCTCACCATGATCCGATCAAACACGCTCAGTGCACGCACCTGTCGCTTCCCGGTCTTCGAGTCTGTCCGCTCAATTTCTAATGTAAATGTTTCCTCAACGTATCGTGCAGTTTCTGGATCGCCCAGACCTTCCAAGTGGATCAAACTCTCCACTCCAAACTTGGGCACCAGAATTGAAACACCGTTACTAAACACCTTAATAATGTAGCCCTCATGTGTCACCGACGTCGCATCACTGCCTTCCCGCTTCAACAGCTGTCCCACATAGTACTCAATAGATGCTCGCCCGGCGAACTGTGCGTTGCGGTGGCGCTTGTTGATGTTGAAGCATACCCGTTCCATCTTTTCCTTATCACGGTGCACCTGGTCCAATGGCTCGTAGCTAATTGAAGCAGCAAGCTGTCTATGTGCAACCACATCCGCATATCTTCGAATTGGTGACGTAAAGTGCGTGTAAATTTCTGTCGCAAGACCGTAATGTCGGAACTCGGGCTCCGAGTAGCTACCAGAACTAAAGTACTCAGCAGCCATCATACATCTTGTAGCCATAATACGCACTAGTGTATTAAAGAAAGGATCTTTGGGATCAACAAGCTTGTCAAGTGAGTCGGCAAGTGCCTTGGATGACGAAGTGTCAATATGGAACTCTGAACCCTTCTTAACCCGCAGCTGCTCATTCAAAACATCAAAGTTGGTAGCCGGAGGAGCACCGTGACGACGCAACATGGCTGTCTGTGGGAACGCCTGGTAAATCTGTCGTGCCACTGAAATGTTGGCCAAAAGCATAAACTCCTCAACAAGTGAGTTGGTTGCAAGAAGCTGCTTGATCTCCACCTCAGAGGGGTCCGAAGTCTCGCTATCTGTGTGAACCTTGACTTCAGGTGACGCCAGGTTAAGTGCACCAGCATCCATACGCTGTTGTTTCAACTTGATTGATAAGTCTAGCAAAATACGCATACCCTTAGTCAAGTCATCATTGTTAGAAGCGTCGTCAATTCGAGCCTGAGCCTCGCCATACTCAAAAGCCTCACGCGATCGAATCACAGACTTTGTAAACTCAACATTCACAATCTTGGCGTCCGGAGATAGCTCCCACAAAACTGAAAATGCAAATCTATCCACACGAGGAATCAACGAACACAAATCGGTACCCAAAAGCATGGGCAGCATATCAATACGCTTGTCCACAAGGTAAACAGATGTACCACGGCGCGAACCTTCTTCGTCAAGAGGTGTGTTGGGCTTGACAAAGTGAGTCACATCAGCAATATGAACACCAACTTCGTAATTGCCATTGGGCAAAGGCCTTGCATGAAGAGCATCATCAATATCCTGACATCGTGGAGGGTCAATACTGCACACATCCAAGTGACGTAAATCTCGTCTTTTTTCCAGCTTTGGGTCGCCACTGCCCTGCAGCTTTTCTGGACATTTCCAGTCGTGGCCCTCGGGGGGCAAACATTTGAGTACAGCTTTGGAAAAAGGTCTATACTCCACATCATGCTCCAGTAGCAAGGCTTCTGTTTCTGCTTCCTTGGTCTCAATGTCACCTAACGCCCGTACAAAATGGCCGTCTGGATGCTTGCTTGTGCGTGACCATGAGTCAATGGCCACAACCAGTCGCTTGCCCATAAGCTCTTGAGCCTTGCGTGTACGGATGCGGATACGAGGAATGCACTTATCGAGTGGGCTTACAAAAACATTCTTAAGCGAGTTTGTGTCGTCCACAGTCACAGAGTTAGAAGGAATGTGGCCAACGTAGAAACGCCAGCTGCGTTTTTCAATTGCCACAATACGAGCAGTAGGTTGGATTCGAAGAGCAGGAACTTCTTCTTCGTCACTCTTTTTGTTTACAGCCTCTTGTGCTTTAAGAGCCTCCTGAGAAAGCATTTTGCGCTCAGCCTCGGAAATGATAAATTCATCTTCATTATCAGCACCGTCAAGCTGATCAAGTTTTTCCTCCTCAATAACTTCGGAAGAAGGGTACTTCCATTGGCTCTTGGGTAAAAGCTCGACAACAACAGTATCGCCGTTAAAGCCACGGTTGAGGTTTTTGCGGCCGAGAATGAGAATAGGACGAGGATAAGCGCGTGTAGAAACTGTGCCTTCCAAGAAATTGTAACGGTTAATTTCAAGCTTACCACGGAAAAGTGTATTGTTCTTAACGCCACCAAGAACACGAGATTGAGGGTAATATTCTGGGTATTCAAACTGATTTTCCGAAGATTTGGAGGTGTCCTCCTCAGATGGGAGCATATCGAGAATTTCATCGCTATTAGGGAGTTCCGAAATGTATTCGCGAATGGAAAGTGCAGTTATACCTTCGGCTTGAGCCTTTTGGCGGTTGGCCTTGTCTTCCGAAAGCAAAATGACTTGGGGGATGGAGACATTGAGTTCCTTGGACAAGGCGGTGGCGTGTGCAGCCAAATGGTTATTGTAAAACTCTACAACCTTGCGAATTGCGCGGTCATTGCGGTCGTTGATGGTTTCGTTTTTCTCACGTACAATGTGAGTTTCTTGACGGAACTCATTGTGGAAAACATAAATTCGTTTTTCATCAGCGTCCTTGGAAAGATTACGCAACCGCTGGTAAACAGGGAGAGATCGATTGCGAACCTCTTCCAAAACAGTTTGCGGAATGATAATGTCGAAAAAGGCAGACTTGAGTTCAAGCGCGTCAATAGCACGGAGAGCAATGTTAGTATCAATGACAAGATAGTGAGGTCCACGCTTGGAAGTAGAATTGGGATCACGGGCAAGGATAGGTAGCTGAACTGATCCATCTGGAAGTGTCGGAGTAATTCCTGCACATAAGTCACAAAGTGCAGAAGAGCATGGAATATCTGTACGAAGGTACTGTTCGCGATAAAGTTTAGTAGCATTACCGGCCTTGGACGATCTCACAAAAACCTTGTGAGAAATGACCGAGTAAGCCTTTTGGTGGGGTCTCTTGAGTGGGTTTTCAAGAGACATGGTTGATTGAATATTTACGGTTGGGTGTTTGGAATAATCGAAAAGATTGAAAAGATTGAAAAGATTGAAAAGATTTGGGGGGAGGTGTTGTTTGTATGGAAGATTTTCATTAAAAAAAAAATTATATATTAGTCATGATTAGTCATGTGTTATTTACATTGTTCAGATCTTTTCACTCTGCTGCTCCTGCTGCTTGAGCCAGGCCAAGTATTCCTTCCGTCGCTCGATAACGTTTTGAAAAATAGTTCTTCGCTCGAAACGATCAAATGGGCTATAGAAATGTTAATAAAATCAATTGTTAGATGTGAAGTTTGGAATGAAAAAGAAGTAAATAAATACTCACCCGTTTCCAGCTTGTTCATCTTCAACAATGGCCTCAGAGAACTTGATGGGTTTGAGAGTATCGACTTTAGTAAGAATCGCACCGAAAACTGCAAAAAGTGCGCCTATAATTGCTTCAATCTTGACATCCAGAGGAACGAGATTCTTTGAAGGTGTTGTAATGTGAGCAAAGTGTTTTAGCAGGTAAGAGAACTCATATGCCGAATATGCACTGTGGATTAAAAAGAACGCAGAAAAAGCGTAGAGGATGATTGGAAGAATTGATGCTGCCATGATTGTAATTATTGTAATTATTGAAAAAAAATTCCCTTTTATTAATATTTGCCAAGTTCCCACAAGGAATCTGAATATTTTGGCTTAGGCTTTGTCTGTTTGTCTTTTAGTTGGTTTGTTCAAATGCTGTTGTTGTATATATTAAAACCTGTGTATTTGTTATGTGTTAATGGTGGCTGCGGCAAAATGATAATGTTTCTTTAACACGTGATATATTACATATGATGTGACATTTTAGTATTCGCATAATATGTGTGTTCCTTAGTGTGTTCAGCCGTGCGGCTATCGGCGTTCCCATTTTATTTTTCAATTTGATTTTTGACAAATGTTTGTTGTTGTTGTTAATTTACAAATTCGGTTTTTAGCAAGAAAAATAAAAAAATTTTCCTCCCATTTTTTTTAATTTTTTTTTTTTTAATTCTCCGTATTTTCTTTCAATTCTTTTCTTCTTACCATCATTTGGTTTTTTTTTTATAAAAATACTCCTTTGTCTCAACAATCTCATGAAATATACATCTACCACCACCACCACAACAACAACAACAACAATCAAAAATCCACTATCTCCAATATACTACCTGATAAATGCCAGTCTCTACAGATTCTACGCTATCGTCGTCAACACCACCCGTAAGTGGATATATTATATAGCCTTTTGAGTATTATTTTTTTGTTTTTTTAAAAAATTCTAAATTATTTTTTTTTTAAAAAGTCGCCATCTAAACTGGCCACCACAACAACTCAAGAAGAACCAATAAAATCGTCTTCGCCTACAACTATAGTCCAAACTTCAGACCAAGATATAGTTCAAATAGTTAAAAATGACGACACAACCCCAGATAAACAGGAACAGAAGCTACAAGATGACCAACAAAAACAAGACCCTCCACAACAATCAGTTCCCCTGAAGCGACCAGACCCAAAACCCTTATCAGAAGAAGAAATTAATGAGCGTTCTTTTACTTATCTCGTCGAAAATGTTCCATCAAAAGAAACTCGCAAGGTTGGTCCTTATTTTATTCATTCACTTAAAAACCTCTAACTCTTTTACTTATAAAGAAACAAGATATGGCTAAACGATTTAGATATCTCCTCGGCCTTACTGACCTCTTTCGCCATTTTATCGACATTCGCGCGAAAAACGACCCTGAAATTAAAAAAATTCTGCGCGACATTGACCGCGCAAACTCAGCTCAAGCCTCTGGCTCTCGTCGTAAAACCCGCCGCAGCTCTTCTTCAGCTTCTTCGCGTCGCCGTAAAACAGAAAAGGAAGAAGACGCAGAACTTCTTCTTGAAGAGGAAGATGAAGACCCAGATGAAAACACAATCTTTACCCAATCCCCATCATACATTCAGGGAACACTTAGAGAATACCAAATCCAAGGTCTCAACTGGCTTGTCTCGCTCCACGAAAACTCCATCTCGGGAATACTTGCAGACGAAATGGGTCTCGGTAAAACCCTTCAAACAATCTCTTTTCTCGGCTACCTCCGCTTCATCAAAGACATTCCTGGACCCCATCTCGTCATTGTCCCCAAGTCAACCCTTAACAACTGGGCCCGTGAATTTAACAAGTGGATTCCTGAAATCAACACTCTGGTAATCCAAGGCGACAAAGACACACGAGGAGACCAAATTGCAAACCGTCTTTTTTCTTTCAATTTTGATGTCTGCATTACATCATATGAAGTCGTTATTCGCGAAAAATCTGCTCTCAAAAAAATTGCATGGCAGTACATTGTAGTCGATGAAGCACATCGTATCAAAAATGAAGCTTCGGCTCTTTCACAAATTATTCGTCTTTTTTACTCCCGCAACCGCCTTCTCATCACTGGCACCCCCCTACAAAATAACCTTCACGAACTCTGGGCTCTTTTAAACTTTATTCTTCCCGATGTTTTCACTGAAGCTGAGGCTTTTGACCAATGGTTTACCCCTGAGGAAACTGAAGATGGCCAAGACCAAGACTCAATTGTCCAACAACTTCACAAAGTTTTGCAACCATTTTTGCTACGAAGGGTCAAGGCCGATGTTGAAAAGTCTCTGCTCCCCAAAAAGGAAATCAATCTTTATGTTGGCATGTCTGAAATGCAAGTCAAATGGTATAAGCGTCTTTTAGAAAAAGATATTGATGCTGTCAATGGAGCTGTCGGTAAGCGCGAAGGTAAAACACGTCTTTTAAACATTGTCATGCAACTCCGCAAGTGCTGTAACCACCCATATCTTTTCGAGGGCGCAGAACCCGGTCCTCCTTATACTACTGACGAGCATTTGGTTTACAATTGCGGTAAAATGGTCATTCTTGACAAGCTTCTAAAGCGACTCAAGGAGCAGGGCTCCCGCGTCTTAATCTTTTCGCAAATGAGTCGCCTTTTAGACATTTTAGAAGACTACTGCGTGTTTCGAGATTATGAATACTGCCGCATTGATGGTAGCACCGATCACGAAGATCGTATTGCAGCCATTGACGAATATAATAAGCCTGACTCGGATAAGTTTGTCTTTCTACTCACAACGCGTGCCGGTGGTCTTGGTATCAATCTCACCACCGCCGATATTGTTATTCTATACGACTCGGACTGGAATCCTCAAGCAGATTTGCAAGCTATGGATCGTGCCCATCGTATTGGTCAAACAAAGCAAGTGTATGTGTTTCGCTTCGTCACGGAAAACGCTGTTGAAGAAAAGGTCTTGGAGAGAGCAGCGCAAAAGCTGCGTCTGGACCAACTTGTTATCCAACAAGGGCGCGTTGGGGCCAACAATCCTAATGCCAATAACCCTAATAACCCATCAACCAGCAAAGATGATCTCGTGCGTATGATTCAATTTGGTGCAGAAAATATCTTTAGCACGGCTTCTGGAGGCACAATGAAAGACAATGACATTGACTCTATTCTGAAGCATGGTGAGGAACGAACTAAGGAATTGAATGCGCGTTATTCCAAGCTTGGTCTTGATGATTTGCAAAAGTTTACCACCGAAGGCTCTGCATATGAATGGAATGGCGAAGACTTTAAGAAAAATGGTCACGCAATTATTCCAGTCAATACCGAAGGCTCCCGAACCACTCGTGGTGCCCGTGCTGGAAATCAGTTTTGGATCAATCCTTCGAAGCGAGAACGCAAAGGCGCTACTTATTCGATTGACGATTACTACAAGGACATTTTACAAACCAAAGATAAGACCGCAACACGTACACCGCGGCCGCCAAAGCAAATCACGATCCAAGATTTCCAATTTTTCCCCAAGCGACTGCGGGAACTTCAGGAAAAGGAAATGACCTGGTACCGCAAGCAGATTGGTTACCGGGTCGGACCTTCTAACGATGGGTCTGGAGAACCCGATCCAAAAGAACGGGAACGATTAAATGCGCTGATTGAGGCTGCAGAGCCATTGACTCAAGAGGAGATTGATGAGAAAGCAGCCATCATTAAAAAAGGGTTTTCCAATTGGTCAAAGCGTGATTTGACGAACTTCATTCACCAAAGTGCAAGGTATGGAAGAACAGCGTACCAGCAAATTGCCGGGGAGATGGACGGCAAGTCTTCACGAGAAGTAGAACGCTATGCAAAAATGTTTTGGGAGCATTACAAGGAAATTGAGGGCTGGGAGCGATACATGGCCCAGATTGAAACTGGTGAGGAGCGTCTTAAGAAACTTGCTCATCAACAGAAACTCTTACGGCAAAAAATCGAGCAGTACACTGTTCCACAAGCAGAAATGATCATCACCTACCCAGCAAACAACTCCAAGAAAACTTATAACGTTGACGAAGACCGGTTCATTTTATTATGCGCAGACAAGTATGGTCTGGCATCTGATAATTTGTGGGAAAAGGTACAGCAAGACATTAAAAAGTCGCCACTGTTTCGGTTTGATTGGTTTTTCTTGTCGCGAACCCCTGTTGAACTATCACGTCGATGTGCGACATTGTTATTAGCCGTGACGCGTGAAATCGAAGGGCCCAATGCCATGAAGCGCAAATCGGGACCAAAGCGTGGGTCTTCCAAGCTAGGTACGAATATTATGTCTGCAGCAGATAGTCCAAGTACGGTTGAAACACCAGGCCCCACAGAAGCTAAAGAGGATGGTGCCACTCCTAGTAGCACTACCACCTTAATAGAGAAGGAAAGTGTTACCGTAGAGAAAGTTACCAAGACTAAGGTTACTCATGATAAAGTTACCAAAAATGATGCGGCTGCAAGTGACGAGAAAGTTACCAAAAAGGAGGAAGAAAAGATCCCTGCTGAGAAGAGTGAGAAAAAGCAAGAAGTTTCTACAAGGAATCCTTCCAAGAGCCCAAGCTCTGAGGAAGCTGCCACCTCCATTCCCATAAATTCCGAGGAGAAATCGTCTGTGCAGCGCCGGGCGCGCTTAGACGAGGACGACTCTGAACACCAGGCGCCTCCAGCCAAGCGACCACGTAATGACTCTCCTGTGGAAAAAGGTGCCATAATAGAGGCATCTGCAACACCAACTCGCACAACAACATCCATTTCAAGTTGAAAATAATTTTGAATATGGCTTGCATTTTTTTACAAAAAAAAAAAAATAATAATATACACATAACTATTTTTGGGGACATTATTTTGATTTTTTTTTTCTTTTTTAATTAAAAAAAGTAATGTACAATTGAAAATATTATTTTTTTGTTAAATTATGCTAGTCCGTAACGTTGTTTGCACGACTTGACTTGAAGAGGCGTAATGCTCGTCACATAACAAAAATTTGTAGCGCGACACTTGTCCGACACACACCTTGGCGTATGAGGTGACATGCGGTAGCCAAAGTTTGTATACTTTTGGGCAAACCCACTGTCCCTCCATCGCACATCAGCTTCCTCCGACGAGTCGTCGCCATCAGCTGCTCTACCCTTTTCGTCACGAATCCGATGGGCCACAATCTCCCAAAACTGGGCATCTAAAGGCTTATTTGCGGGCCAGTCATCTGGTGCGTACTCATCGCGAGCAGAGTACAGTGCATGCCAGTCCGTGGTGCGCGAGCCATGTTCATGACTGTTTGCATCAAAGGTATCATTGAGGCGCGTGTAAAAGTTGAGCGAGTCCATGACCTGGAAAGTTTGCGAGTCCACCTTGTAGTAACGCCAGCCGGGATTGTAGTTTGTGAGGGGTGTAATGCTTTGAGCAATCCAAGCTACATTGACCGGGGTCCTTCCAGGCCCATCGTCTTCAAAATGGCGAGTCACATCGCCGGCATACACAAGTTGAAACTCATCACGGTGCGTGTGCCCAAAGAAAACTCCAGTAATAACGTGGGGACTAAACCGTTGAATAATTTGAGAAAATGCTGAAGCTGAAACAGGCATGGCATCCGTGTCAATGCCGCCAGGAGGAACGTGAGCAATGATCCAAGCATATTGACCCTTCTTCTCGCAAGCCACCAGTTCATCCGACAAGAACCGTAAAATTCCACTGGTATCTGGGTCACTAGTGTTCCAATAATTGTACATGTTCCACATGTACCAAAAGTTGGAGTTGAGGGAAATGACGCGCAGCCCACCGCGCGTCGTGACCGCATAGGCACCATAATGACGTCTCACAGAATCGATAGCAGCATCGGCATCGGGGCCAGACCCCAGCCAGCCAAACTCGCTCCAAAGATCAGCCATAAGATTACTATTCCAAGTAAATAGGTTTGCATAACCGCTGCGTTCCTGGGCCACCTGGCCGTACGGATAAGTGTCGTGGTTTCCCAGCACTGGGTAAACTGGAATCCCTCCCAAGTACTGCTTAAACTTTCGCAGCGACTGCTCCTCTTCCCAAACAGAGTCCTCGTAGCTTATTGTCAAGGGGTCATGGTCAATCATATCACCGGTAAAAATGGCAAATTCAAAGCCGAGGCCGTCTTCCGCTCGGGGGGCTAATGGCCGTGATCGCAACTCACGCCCAGAAGGATCGGTATAAAACAAATCCTCACCTTGTTCCAAATCCACATCCTCCAGGTCCGCATAATACATTCGTTTCTGAAGCCCCTTACCACGCACAACAACATCACTTAAAGTGCTATCCAAAAGCAGTTCCGGTGTGTCACAACGATAGTATCCGAGTGGTGGGGCCGGGAATGGGTCGGCGGGGACAATGGACCTGTCACGGCCAGAGCGTGCCATGGGTACATGCTGCGAGTTAGGTGCGCAGCACATAAGAGTGCCGCAATTGCCCTCGGCACCCACTGTGTAATTTCTCTGCAAATGGACGTCAGAGAGATGCAAAACATTAATAGTAGAGCCTCCTGGGGTTGGAGCTTTTGCATTTGCTGGGCGCGGGGGCCACCATCCACTCATGTCGGGTTCCAAGATTTGCGGAAGTGGGCATGCCTTGAAACCAAACATGTAGCAAAAATATGTACTGTCGTCCGAGTCTGGATCCATAAGACGTAGCACATTGTATATATCATTGAGAAAACTGGATCGTATTGATGTAGATGTGTCGGTATTGTTGGCATTGTTAATATTGTCGTCAATTCCTTGATAAGCGCCTGGGGCTACTGAAGAAAATGTACTATTTTCACTGTCGCTACTGCCATATTCGTCTTCATCGTTATCATCTTCGTCATCTTGATTCCAAGGAGCCCAGTCGCTCCAGGACCGCTTCATCATTTTGTCCATCATTGTTCTGCGATTAAGTTTTGAAGTGATTTGTCTATCCCATGGTAACTGCTGGCATAGGGTTGAGTCTCCAAAAGATCCGTCACCTAGCTCGGTACAAAGCCTTCGAATTAATGGTGGAAGTAAGCTTTTAGAAATGAGGGCAGCACGCCTGGCAAGTTTAATAGCTGAACGACAGGCATCGCATGTGAGGCGTGAGTTGCTGGAACTAAACTCAATAATTTTTTCAAATTTGGACGAGAACTCGCCAGGAATATTATTGTTAAGATCCGTCATAGCATGGGCAGGACTTGTCACGAAAACCAGCATCGTGACAGGCAACATCACTAGATAGAGATAGAAAGTTAGAAGCTCATGTGCCCTCATTCCTTCTTTGTCTTTGTTTGATAGTTGCTAAACTGATAAATTAAAAAAAAAACTATATTTTTCAAGCAAAATAATGATGAAAACACGAGCGTTTGTGAGACTATTTAAAAATGATATTCAAACAGCTAAAAGAAGGGGAACTAAAAGCAAGATAAAATGAAAAAGGCGTATTAAAATGATTTAATTATAGCCTCTTTGTTTTTATTACCCCGAAAATGATCTTTTTTGTTTTAAAATTTGAAAAGATTAAAGGAAATTAGCTTCTTGGGAACGTAAAAGGTAAATGTTTAAAGAGTCATTGGCACGTTTTTTTGGCAGCAGTAGACAAAAGTCTTTATATAAATAAAATATCAATATTCATATTAAAGCATATGATTAAAGTATTGTCCTTATAGTTGGAATTCATGGGATCTTTAAATGTCGAGATGAAAGAGTGTTTTTGACAATGAGTAGTCTTTTACTCCAGTACTGTAAGAATATGGAATGCAAATAATGGTAAAAAAATGATGCAAATATAGAAGAAAAGATGCATAAACGATTTATAAGATTCGGAAAAGATAGAATTAAAAAAAAAAAAAGTAAAAGTAAATTAAAAGTTAATTAAAAGGGAAAAAAAGGGGGGAAGTAAAAGTAAATTAAAGGGAAGAAAAAAAAAGAGAAAGAGAAATACTAGCCGATTTTGATGGAAAAAAAGAAGGAAGGTTGAAATTAAAGATTAGAGAAAAAAAAAAGATAGAAAGAAAGAAAGAGCAATCGAAAAGGGTGTTATAATCTCGATGATAAAAAAAAAAAAAAAGAAAAAAGAAAAAAGAAAAAAAAATCCCTACAAGATACTATAAGTTATATTTGCATGAATACAGGCCGTTCATCGAAATGTTTGAGATGATATGATATAAAGTGATTACATTTATTCAAATCTATAGAAAAAGAAGAAATATATATATATATATATATATAGTTAGTTTTTATTTTACTTAATTTCATTAGGTCATATTAAATATTTATTACATACAAAAGCCTTCATTTTTTTTTAGCTATTACCATGTTTCTCCAGAAATAACCAAACTTGAATGTAATTTTGGTTTCTCTTGGTGACAAGTGTAATATTATTATTATTATTATTATTATTATTATTATTAACAGTGGATATAGCAGATTAGCACCCGACAACAAGGTATTCATTATCCAGAGTAACATGTAAAAGAAAAATCAAACAAAAACCCCCGGTTTGCTCGAATACCATCGGATTGAAAGTGTTGCAAAATTGCGTCCTTTAACAATAGTAGGCCGCCATGACTTGGTATGAATGTTGTGATCTGGACTTCCGGCCACACACCCGAATATTGCAATAGCGCTACTTCCAGAGACCGGTACTTAAACCACACAGCGCATGGAGTGGTTAAGGTTCCCGAATACACCGGGTAGAAAACAATGAATCATTTTTTATGAAGAAGGAATATATTAATCATCTATATATATATATATATATGTTAAAGGTATTGCTATTCATTATTAATCAATCCCTATCAATTAGATCGGGTAATAGCACTTGATGTGGTCTACTAGCATTGTGTCCTTCGATCCTACTGCTAACCTATTGATAGTCTTACAAATCTTAGTTCCGATTCCGAGTCACTGTAACACTGATGGGCCATACTGGACTTTTAATCTTTTCTTCCAGCTTATTCCATCAGTTCATATCGCTATATATTTTTTAGTCGAAAAACTCCTCCGTTATAACGTCAATTTATTTTTATATTTATAACTTCAACATAGATTTATTCACAGGCTCTAAATCAATCAAAAACTGTCTAGTAAAAACAGTTTTTTTTTTAAAAAAACGAGATTATTACAGTCCTGATATTGTATTAAATGGAAAGCTTAAATCTTTAGGGAAAAGCCTCGGTAGAGTTATTTGAATTAATGGGCCGATGAGCTAATCATTCTGTTTAGTTTTTGATGGCTTCTATATGTCAATATATACAAACAATATGCAGTTATTATCATCTTTATGTCTATTCCATTTTCTTGGAAAGTAACTTTGGTTTTTTAGTACAAATAATAAGCACATTCAGTTGATTAAAATATATATTTAAATGTGGAACGTTTACCCAAACAAGCGAGTGGCCGGATTAGTGGCTTTTCTTAGCCCGCACAAACCCCCCTCGCCTTCAGAATTTTGAGACCTGTCACCACCATCCCCTGTACTCTTGACTCTCGTATTTTATAAATACGAGAAATATCAAAAAAACCACAAGGGCTAGGGTTCTTATTATTGTATTTAATAAAGATACAAATTTCCTTTTTCTTCCTTATTTATTTTAGTATTAAGCTTAATTTTCTTCTCTTTTGAGACTATTTGCTCTTGTTTTTAATTATTATTATTATTACTTTTATCATAATCATTACTTTCTATCATTATTATTATTTTTTTGTTTTGTTTTTGGGAAATTATACATATATATTTTATATAAGTTTTGGGTTTTGGGTTTTTTATTCTTCTTGTTCGAAGATCCTTTGCTGAAACTTCATCTATGATTTTAATAATGTGTTGAGTTTTTATCAATAGATTTTGAGAAAGTCTTTTGTAAAAAGAAAAAAAGATACGGTACAAAACTATTTCTGTACCATCGGATTGTATATAACAGTTTTTTTTTTTTTACTATCACCGGAATTTATTATTTAGATTCTTCCCCTTTCTCGACTTCTTTCTTTCAGGTATCAACATTAAGTTCTTATTTTCGAACTCAAAATTTCTGCTTCTTATAAAACTCTTTTTTCTATGTTTCTTCTCGCATTTTTTTTTCCTTCCTTCCATACTTTAAGGTTTCCCTTTTTTTTTAGCTATGATCTCGTATTTTTTTTGTTTGTTTGTTTGTCTCCCTTTTCTCAACAAGCCTAGTTTTCTTTTCTCGTATTACGTTTGAGACCTTTGGCTTGCATATTGGTTTGTATGTGGTTGATCTGTTGTAACTAATGAGAAAGGGAAATATTTTCCAATAATAAACCAATAAACGTGTTTTGATAAAAATAGTAATGCCGTAAAATGTTTTTACCAAAAAAAAATTTACATAGCCCGAAGTTAAGGGATTAGAGTAGCATATGTTAATGTTAGATATATATCTAATGAAAAATTAATCAATTCATTTTACAAATTTAAAGATCTTATTCATAGTTTTGAGATATTCTTATTAAAAAATTTTTTGATATCAAAAGAAACTGAAAAAAAAAAAAAAAAAAAAACGAAATCTATGCTTCTGTCATAGCTTCTTCCTTTCAAAGTAAATAAGTTTTGTGGTTTCCGTGTATATATCCCGAGTAAATAGGATATTGTCAGGTTATAATTGGCTTTTACAGTAATTACTGTAAAAGCCAATTTCGAAACTGTAATACCAATATATGGGGCAAGACAAAAATAAATAAATAAAAATGTTAAATTTTTATACTATGGTTTTAGAAAAAAAAAAAATTAATAAGGAAGAAAATATTAACCTTGTTAAAACGCACCTCCATCTTCGTATTTTCAAAATACGAGAAAATCCAAGGATTCCGCCAGGTTAAGGGCTCGGTATTTACATTTCAAACGACGTTTTATGTTTCATCAAAAAGTAATAAATCTTATGAAAAGAATATTTAATGCCACTGTCACTAATGATAATCCTACAATCGCCTTACTTAAATTTATATACATAAAGGTATGTATGATATTTCTATAATTATCTTTATTCCGTCGGATAGAACCCTTCCCGCTAGATCATCAATTTTTTTTTTCTTTAGAATCCGTTCCTGAATCTTTTATTCCACAAAAAATCAATCATGATTAGTATTCAATTCTATAGGACGCTTATATTGTTTAATATTTTCCTGATGATATTAATATACCAGGCATAATGTTCTAATTTTGCCCACGTCTCAGTATTTTGATTATGGCTTGTTTCGGGAAATCCTGTAGAGTCCAACCATCCGACGTAGATAATTTAGCATCCCTGTAAAGTTTTATACGAAGCACGCTACTTCTCACCTTAAGTTTTTTTTTTTTTCATAAAAGATTTCTATGGTTGCTGATAAATTCCAAAAGTTTACCTTTAGTCAGTTATTTTTAAATAAAGTTAAAATAACTGGATTTCAAAAACTATAGTTGATAGTTTGAGAGAAAACCACATCAAAATTTATCTTTGTATGCATCTGAGTAAACTTACACACTCAATCTTTTTCTTTTTCTTTTTTTTTCAAAGTAACCACTTGTGATATGTGCATGATACATGGAGATGGACATAGAATGCTGATCGAAATACTAGATTCTGAACTCGAACTTGTAGATATTTAAAAGAAAAAAGAAAAAAAAAAACCCTCCATATCGTGTTCGTTTTATCAACTTAAAATTTACTATTAAGAACGCTAAGGTTTCGATGCTCTACTTCCCCTCTTCTGTTTCTATTTAACTATTTATACGAGGTTATATTAAAAATAGGTTTACGAGCTAGCTATCAAAGTATTACTAACCAACTTTATATATTGTTGTTTTATGAAAAGAAAAAAAAAATGACTATGTCACACTTTCCAGTATACTTTCTTGGTTCTTTGAAGTAGCAACTACTATTCAGCAGTATTTCTAACTGGCTGATTGCTGTAAATATAGAGTGTATCGAGATCCAGATTTTAAGAACAATGCAAAGCTTGGTTAGATCATATCTTTATATTTCCCAAAGAGTTAAAATGGTGTCAATCTGCAGCATCACTATCGCCTTACTATGATCCATTTTTATAATGGAATGTATGGTAACCTTTTTAACTCTTCCTATAATCAAGGTTTCAACCCTTTATGAAATAAAGGTCTCAGCCTTTTGCTTTTTTTTTTCTTGGTTTTGTGAATGTCTAGACCAAGACAAGTTTTTTTTCATATGTTCTATTTTATAAAACACGAGAAAATCCAATTATTCCACCAGGGTTAGGAAATAATAGATCTTAGTTCTCTCTGTTCTGGCCTCATCCGGTAAAGTCTTTTTTTTTTTTTGTGGTCGAGTCGAGGGTTTTTTTTTTTTTTTATTTAATTATTTTTGTTCTTGTATCTTCAAAGTCTGGAAGAGTCTGGATTTTACCAAAGACCCTCCGTATTTTTATGGTCGTCTAGACTTTCTCTGTTACAAAAATACCTGCAAATAAGATCATCAACAAAAAAAAATAAATAAATAAAAATATCTAAATAAAACATAGAAATGAAGTTATAACCTCATTTAAGAAAAAAAAAAAAAAAAAAAAAGCAGCATTTTTAATATTAAGTGCTTACAATAAACTGTTTTCTATATACAAAAGTGTTGAAAAAAGTTTTATAAATAATAGAATCTCTTTACGCTCTTCTATTTAAACCTCAACTTTTAACCTCAATCAAAGGCTGAAAGATAATATTTATTATTTTTATTTTATTCAATTATATTTTTATTGGTTTTCATTAATATTTATTACTATTATTCTTCTTCCTTTTTCTTAACTTTGGTTAAAAAAATATTAATGAAACTGTCAACCGTTTGATTATTGTGTCTCTTAAACCCAAATTTAGAAGAAAAATAAACTTATTTTAGTGTTTTTAATTTTTTAATTTTTATTTCTATTTTTATTTTTTCATACGCTAATCAAATAGCTTCCATAAAAGAAACAAATTACATCGACATAATAGATCACTAAGGTAAAGGCCGTTTTTAACAAGATAAATAGACTATCCAAGCTGACAACATATCAAATTCCAAAGAGATTCTAATCAAATTCCAGTTTTCTAAAATACAATAATCTATAATCATTTGTTCAAAATTTCTATTCTATAATACCCTTAATCAGAAAAAAAAAAAAAAAAACACTACGACTTTTTTTCCCTCTTATTTCTCCCAGTACACAGCTAAATCATTCACAGCAGTCATCCATGCCTCGTTCTTCGACAACTTATCTGGAATAACTCTAAATTCCCAGTACTTACTTTCTTCGTTTCCATCCACGTCTTCAATCGCCTTAAACAACACTGGATACTTTTCGCTCAATTCTGCATCCGAGTGATGGTTAGTATATGTTGTCAAATTGTTACCAATGACAACTGTACGCAAGGAGGACTCGTTTGCACGCGCCAGCACTTTTTCTGTAAGAAGAGGAGGCGAATGAATCACATAGTATAGGGTTGCACTGGTATTGGGTTTAGCTATTTGTGGTTCCTCCGGATCGGTTTGACTCACAGTGTAACCCAAGCGGTCAAAAAGCTTAAGATCAGCTGGAGTAAACACCGGATCCCAGCATGAAACTGAAGAAGAGGGTAGTCCGAGATGATTTAACAGTAGACCTAATAACGCTAACTGGTACATGGCGTTGTGTGAATCTGTAGGTGAGCCCAAGGCAAGACATCGAACAATGGATATGGGTGTTTGGCTCTGTGTGGTTTGTTGAGAAATTTCCTTGAGATCCTCCTTAGATTCTTTGTTTGAGTCTTTATCTGATTTTTTATCAAGATCATCTTTGGGATCATCTTTTGTATCCTTTTTAGTTTCTTCTGTATTAACTTCTTCCTGACCCTCTTTGTCGCTCTTTTTTTCTTTTGGGAAGTCATCCTGAGTGCCCTCGGTGATATCTTCCTTCAAATCCTGCTTATTCTCGGGTATCAGTGCATCTAAATGCGCTATGATTGTAGAATAAACAACAGACCCCTTAAATGCGTCTGCCTTTTCTTGCAAATCTTGTAAGTGATCCTCGACAGTTTTCTCGCGCACAACATACTTGCTGCGTCGAGCTTTACGTTTCGACACCACTGGTGTAAAGCCATCATTAGCATCCGACATGTTGTTGATACGATAGCTGTGGTGACTGAGGATATACTGGTGTGGTTTTATCTATTGACGTATGTGTATTAAGGGGGGGGGGGGTATCAGTGTGACATAGTAAACCCCAATCTAGGAAAGTCGTGATGGCTGAATGGAGTATTCTTTTAAAGAGTCAAATGAACAAAAAGGAAGGCTGGCTGGCAGTGCAGATTTGAAAACCAAAAAAAAAAATCTTTCACAGTGTCTTTTTTTCCCCACCTATTTTGTTATTACAACATTAAGATTTCTATTACACTGTAAATTTTTTTTTTTTTTGTTCCTCTCTAATCTGGTCTCATCACGGGTGCAATATCGCCAAAAAAAAAAAAAAAAAAAAGTACCCACTTCTTTCATTACCCCCTAACCACCAACTTTTATTTTTTATTTTAATTTTAATTTTACATTTAACTAGAGTTATCTTTTGATACTCTAATTTCATTTTTAAATTATCAAAAATGGCACGAACAACACCAGCAGACCATACTGCTCGCCGACGAGCACAGGTCGGCGGGAAACGTATGACTGTTGCTGCAAAAAAGAGAGTGGTACAGAAAGGACGCGTCATGAAAATGGAAGCCCCAGCTGCTGAGGCTATTTCAACATCTTCGTTAAGCTTAAGTTCGCCTTCTCTTATTAGAGGTAAGCTTTTATATACCCTATTTTTTTTTTTTTTTTTTTTTTTTTTTGTTCTAACGTTTCTTCCCAGCAGGAGACCCTGTTCCAATCAAGAAGCGACGGTATAAGCCTGGAACCATTGCTTTGCGCGAAATCAAACATTACCAGAAATCTACGGACCTGCTCATCCGAAAACTTCCCTTTGCACGTCTGGTACGCGAGATTGTGGTTGATTATTTGGGCGTGGATATGCGATGGCAGTCAGTGGCCATTGCCGCGTTACAGGAAGCAGCCGAAGCGTTTCTTGTGCATTTGTTTGAAGACACCAATTTATGTGCAATTCATGCGAAGCGGGTTACTATTATGCAGAAAGATATGCAATTGGCGCGACGGATTCGTGGTGCCTGGGGTGGAGGCTACTAAGTTTTTTTTTTTTTTATTTTTTTCTTTTTAAAAAAAAAGGAATGGAAATGATTATGACGACGGGTTTATGAGATTATGCTAGATTTACTATTGTTTGCTTACCGCTTAATGAGATACATATTATTATTATTATTATTATTATTATTTTACAATTGTGATAAAGCTACATTTACGAGGAATGACAAAGCGTGCTAATGAATGTTTCGGAATAGATATATGATGGAAGAATTGATTTCGAGAAGTTATAAATTTGAAAGAAGCAAGCTTTGTGAAATTTCAGCGACATTGAAGGGTACCAACGACTAAGTATTCCGACATCCGATAAGTTAACATGGGGTTATCCATTATTATAAGTTGACAGACTAATTAAATATCAACCTTATATAAGCTGTATTTTTCTTTTTAAATTTGACTGCCACCATCCAAGGGATTTTCACTGACCCATCCAATTCAATATGCTCTTATGGGATTTGACAAGTACAGCCACATATTGGTGATGATAATTATATATAATAGATGAAGGTACAACTGTAATATAACTGATTTATCAACTATAGAACTATTAAGGAAATATACGTGACAGCCGCTATAGCAAAAAAAAAAAATTATTTTTTTCCGGCCTGCTACTGCAACAAATCTTTCATACAAAATCTATCTATCTCTAACTCTATATATATTTCTTTTGGGCGTATTGTTCCTCCATATTATAACATGTATGATTCGGTAATCCTTTCCTTCCGCTCATATTTGACACAATTTAACACTGTCATTATACTGTTGGCTGCTGCCTTTGTTCCTGTTTCCCTCGAACAAAAGTGCAGGCAGGCGACCGTTATATATCAGCCCGTGTTTTGCTTCCCGAGTTGTAGATTTCTTTCTTTTCTCCACCCCTCCCGCTTTTCCCCCTATTTTAATTTTTTTTGTAAGCTGCATAGAGGTACGGAAAACCCATTAGACTAATGTCCAATCAAAACTTTTTTTTAAAAAAAAAAATCAATCATTGAAGTGGCTGAGGTAAAAGTAAAACCAAAAAGAAAAAAAGAAAAAAATATAAAAAACACCTTGGATACAATAACTGTCATATGTGTCATTGTAGTAGTAGTAGTAGTAGTTCTTCTACCAATGTTATTTTTTTTTTATCTCTTTCAAAATCTTCTATTGATAATTATTATAATTTGTTAAGCGGCTATACCCCACAATGTGGAAAATAGGGATGTGATAATATAATTCGAAGAAGGAATATATAATATACAGCCACTAAGTCTCAATGGTTATAAGTAAGAGATGGCGAAAACTCAATTGAACCAAGGGATTAAAAACAAAAACAACAACAAAAACAATTAAACAATTCATGTACTTTTTGAAATAATAATAATAATAATTATCTTTGATATGTTTTAAAATATGTCAATTGCTCAATTGAATTATTGATAATATCATGAGACTTGTATATTTGTATGTATATTAAAAATTTGTTAAATATCTTTATTTTAATCGTTGTGTGATTCATGGCATGTGGCCATCATGACCGATCTCGGAGCTCTCCAGCTGACTCCATACCTGTCAAATCAGCCGTGCAAGGACATTAGTAGCTACACTGACAGACAAGACAACCTAAAATTGAGCGTTTTTTTTTTTTTTTTTTTTTTTTTGGTGGGCCAGTAAAAAGTGACTAAAATGTGTCATTGAGAAATGAAATTACGGACAAAAACAGTTATTTATGAATTGAGCTACTTGAAAGAAAAGAAAGAAAGGAAGAAAGAAAGAAAGAAGTTATTTTGAATTTGTGAGTTTTTTTTGTGGTATGTTGGTGTTGGAGAAAAGGATTGTGTTTAGTAACCATATAAAAAAATATAAGCGTACATACGTTTATGGGCTGAAAGGGTGCTTGATCCAAAAATGAGTTTATGACCTATTTTGTAATACAATATCCAATTGAGAACTGAAAAAAAAAGAAAAAAGAAAAAAACCACTTTAAATTATTTTAAACCTTCTTTTTATTCTTCTATTTACATGTTATCATCATCACCAATTTTTTTAATTTTAATTTTATTTTCCTTTTATTAATAAACATAAAGCTAAGCCATGAACTCGGACTGAATATCTATGTCAGAACAAAGTTAAGCAATAGAAGAGAAAAACCGAAGAAGTTACTCAATCACAGCGACATGTTGTTATTTCTGAAACAGTCAAATGTATACATATCCTGAGTTTTTAAAGCAGCTGAAATCTTGAGTTAATAGGCTTCAGCTTCACCCATCTCCTAAGAAGCAAGAAGGAAGAAGAATAAGAAGAAAAAAAAATAATACAAATGACTACCATATCTTTGATTGAGAAGTGCTCAGCTTCATTGATATTACGTTTATACTAAAAATAAAGAAGGCTTGGAAATGTAATGGGTTTATATTTATAGATGATCTATGTCATTTATGTTTGGAAAAAGGACCTTATATAAACCCAATCCAAGCCTCTTATCGATTTAGCAAAAAAAACTTTTTTTTTATTCTTTTGCATCATCGTTACAATCATGATATTCTTAAATATTTAATAACATAAATACAGATTTTCAATTATTTTTAAGGTAAGATTGATTGATATATAGTTATATGATACCGTCATCCTATCGATAATTACCATATCATCATTATCAATATTGTTGTTACATTTAACGATTATTTCTTGTGATTTCACTAGCATATTAAAACATTGTTTTTCCCTCTTTAAATCAATCACCATTTTTTCCATGTATATTCTATATATATATATATATATTGAAAGCCTCTGATTGATTGGATTTATATTTGTGGTCTTGCAATTTTTTATTTGGCCTTGAACATTCCTTCAAACTAACAACCCAAAACCTATAGGTACAGAAAGCGGCTCAAACAAATAAATAAACAAACTCTAGTTTATGGCATTATTTAACGCTTGATTAAAAAATTTTTTTTTTTAAGTCAATATTTAAACTCCTTTTTCTTTTTTATTCTTTTAAAAAAAAACTTTTTTCATGTTTTTTACGCAGTCCTGGATGTCTTCAAATCAAAACTTCAGACAAAATATAAGTGGAATAGATGGTGGGGCTGGTCATCAGCCAAGACAAGATGAATCACAACCACCTGTATCCAATGATATGACAGATTATTCACTGGAATCATTAATGAGTTCAATAAATTTTGATAGCTATATTTTAAGTGAGTTATAAAGGGTTTGGAGTTAAGGGTTCAAAAAATTGGAAGAGAAGAGAAGAAAAAAAAAGAAAGGGTTCTATAAAGTGATTTAGGTTATAGACTAACCTGTCAAAAATTTTTTTTTTTCATTTTTTAGCCGAATCATTTGGAACTGAAAATATTAGCACAACCCCGTCGCAGCCAGTACAGCCAATTATAAATTACACCATGAATATGGGAGTTCATCAGATACAGCAGCAGCAGCAGCAGCAGCAGCAGCAGCAGCCGCAGTATGCTCCGGCAGCATATAATAATACTGTACTTATGGATGGCAGTCAAGTTTACCCCACACAGTACCCAAATGTCAGAGGTCAAGAACAAGATTCCCATAATCATCACAATAATAACCATAATCATAATACTTTATACCAGGCTCCTACAGTTTATCCAAGCAGGTTAGAAGTGGAGTCTACAAACATAAATCCAAGTTTACATAATATACAAAGCTCACAACAGACTTTTTCATCTTCGACACAAAGACATCATCATATGCATCATCATTCGGATCTTATACCGCATCAATCTCACCATTCTAGTCATAGACCTCATAATACTCACCGTTCAAGCGTATCGTCAAGCACTGCATCTAGTTCAGGAAGTTCTTCTCGATCCTCAAGTTTTTCAAGTTCATCTTCGTCTTCTTCACGATCACATATGGTCAATTTACCTTCATCTGATCCAGCAACGGCGGCAGCTGTAGCAGCAGCTCGATCAATTGCTATGACAGTTTCTGCACCCAGACCCCCCGTTTCATCAAACTTGCATAGTATGCCGTACCCAGACTCGACGCATGGGGGGAGCACATATTCTTTACAGTCTGTAGACCGTACAGGACCAGCCTTAGATCGGAATGGTCGAAGACCTAGAGTATGGACAAATCGGAGGTATAAGTGCAACCATTGCGATAAGGAATTTTTCCACACGGAGTTGGATGCATTTGCGGCACATGTTTTGGAAGCTGAGCATCTTTTAGGAGTTGAAACAGTAGGTCGGCGATTCAAGTGCAGCGATAGGGAATGTAGTTGGCATATAATTGGGTTTACACGACGACTCGAGGCTCAAAAACATGAGCGTCGAATACATTATGATCCAACCATTGAGTGTCGGTTTTGGAGAGAATCAAGAAAAGAGGCGTATCCAGGAGCAGGAGTTTGCTCTTCGAGATGGCATCCAGATCAAGGGTCAAGGACTCGCCATGAGCGTGCAGTACATGGGAAGCAGTGGAATGATGAATGTGAGGAGGAAGAGCAGAGACACTTGCGGCAATCAGGTTCCCGATGAATTGGGTAGCAGAGAACTAGCACATGAAAAGTGAATTGAAAGCAGGGCCCTTTTTTTTTTTTTTTTTTTTTTTTGAAAGAAAACAGGGAAGGAAAGAAAGTCTTTGTTGAAAATAAATTTATTATTATTGCAATTTAATTTTATTTTCT